GATGTCGTGCGACGCATTTATTGTCTTACGCGCGCAGATTCGGCCGCTGATGGCTCATCAAGCGAGCCAGGACAAGTTAAATTATGTGAAAATATACTTCGAATCACGAGTTAAGTAGGATTATTAGCCCATTACGCTGGTAAATTAAGACGATAACTGTACCACAAGAAAAGTAAGTTTTTTCGTTGTTATTCACAACATTCTTCAAATCAAACGCTGACACAGGAAATTTCATGTTAACGTTTCTTCTTTCGAGAAGTAAAACATCGACTAAAGGAAAAGATTTAATATTGGCAATTAGAATATAAAAACTAATGACAAAGTAGGCAACAAAATGTGGAATGGCAGAGGTGCAGGTTGAGTTATTTAGAGGTTAAAAGCTTGCAACAACTCATTGTTGGACTTCCGTCCTTTTATAATTAACTTTTGAATTTTAACACATTTAAAATGTTGCATTTTAGCGCCGTTGATTACAAACGCCGCGATTAAGACGTCAAGCAAAAAGGACGTAAACATAATATTTCGCTCCATAATATTGTGATTTTATGCCGGCCGTAAATATTCACTGCCACATTGGTGGTTTTAATGCGTTTCTAGACGAATAGTCAATAAATACCGTTTTATCGTTAAGGGGCACACCTAGTGTGAAATTTTCAAAGAATCGAAAATTTTTTTTTACCATATTTCGATAGGTTATACCTTTTAAAATAACATACTAAAATTTTAACTTGATATCTGAAATAGTTTTTGAGTAACAGCCATTTGAAAAAGTAGCCGCTCGGCAGTTAGATAGTTGCATTTGATCTTTAAACGCGTTTTTCTCGAAACAGCATTTTTCGAATTTGCTGGCGTGATTACTCGAAGACAAATGATCCGATCGCTATCAAATTTTTTTTGCATCTCCTCTATATAGTTCTCCATACAATGACCCTCCAGTTTTATGATCTGATCAAAAATCGAATTTTGGCTGGCCAAAAACGACCAAAATTTTGGGAAAAATTTAACTTTTTTGTTCAAAGTGCCGCCATTTTGTCAATTTTTGATTTTTTTGTTCGCCCGAGGGTCATTGTATAGAAAATATGTTTTAGTTTAAGGAGAATTTTTTCTGTTTGGTTTTGTCGACGGAGAAGGCTGCAATCACGCCAGCAGTGGAGGACCTTTTTTTTTGGCGCCGCCGGAGATCGTGTGTCATTCCAAAACTAATAAATATTTTATTTCAAAAAATTTACTGTGTATTCACAAAACCGGTATAAATATACCCTCAAAATTTTAAATAGGTGGACTCACTAGTTTCCTTTATATTTAATTCCAAAAAATGGCCATTTTTTAAGTCGTCACACTAGGTGTGCCCCTTAACGCAAATCACGCGCGACCTTACGAACTCGCAACAAAAATGAAATTAACCAAACAGAGGTTGCACCTGCGTGCCCGGACCGCGCGCGCTGCATTTACAGTAAATGTCGACGCATTTACGATCTGTACGTACGTAAATGCGGGCAAGAAAACGAAACAATTAAAGATAGCGATCCGGACGTCGCGACTCCTTGCGCGCACCACGCCACAATTGAACGCAGCCGCTGACAACAATGAATCCGACACCATGCAGGAATCTTAATGAATTTAAAGTTTACAATTATGCGCATTTAACGTTCGGTTAATTCGGTTTTAATTGCTCGAGCGGATTTCAAACGTGAAAAATAAAGCCGGCCGCCGCTCGGAAACGCTAAACATTCGATGTTAATGTCTTACAATTCAAAATAATGTTAATCGTCGGACGGTACATAAATAAAGAACACAGCGCGCCGGAATTAGAAAGGTGTTTAGGATTGTTGTCGGATTTAATTGTTCCGATTCGGCGTGGTGCGCTTCGCTGTGCGAAGATATCCGCGAACATCGGCGGGCGCCAACGGCTAAGCAAACAATCGAAAAACATGGAAAAATTACAATTTGAAATGAGCCATATTTACGGCGACTTCTCGCCGCACGAAATTTTCTGAAGCCGTGTGTCAGAGGCGAGCGCCGCACAGAACGGTGAACTACTTCGACGAGAAATCCCAGCGCAGCCTTTTGTTGCACCCAAATAAACCGTAATTTATAGTAATTAGCGTCTAATCGAATGAAATGCTCCCAAAAATTAAATGCAGTTACGCACAGATTAGATCTACGCATCGCCGTCGAGCAGGCTAGTTCTCACATGCTAATTGGTGAATGAAAAATTTCACTAATTTAATCAAATTGTTTTATTTTAATGCGGAAAATGGGCTGGCGCGCGCGCACAACAGACAATTAAACAATTATCAATTAGCTTCTGCTTCGTACACGCCCAATAAACTTTTAATGCACGCTCAATTAAATGAAAATCCTTCATAATTACACACCACCGCTACGAATAATTCAATTTGTTCGAAAACTAGTGCAAGTGAATCAGTGTTTTCAAAGAATTTCTCATAAATATTTGCGCGTCGCGTGTTTAATTTCGTATTAAACATAATATTCAATGGAATAAACCGCCAAAAACTTCGAAGATCAAACCGATTTCCGGGAAGCGTTCCAGCTTTCCAGCTTTCCCAAAACATTAATCAGCGTATTCAATTAGTTGCCAGCCAAGTATTTCCGCAAGCGGGCAACAACATGCAGATGGAAATCTTTTGCAATCTGCGCCGCATTGCAATTTCTGGCCAAGCTCTACTTTATGAAGTGCTAATTTAGCAACATTAGAGAATATTCACACTGAATGTTTACAAACATCACTTGTAACTTATAACTTACAAACAACACAACCAAGTGAACACATGATTCATAAACAATTCTTTAAATTCAAATAAAATTAATTTAAAATTTACAAATTCCGCATTAAATGGTAAAAATATGCAAAATTTTTGATTTCCGAGAAATTCTCTGATACACACTGTAAATGTGGTATCACAGACGGCGAATTGATATCCACGCGAATGTCGCTGTGATGCAAGTGTCAGGTTGATCACGTCCACGCGAAAGGCATCAATTATGCGCGCAAAATGGTGATTAAAGGTAGTGACTAAATAACGCGCCGAGTGTATCGCCGGCTACCGGACAGCGAGAGCGGCGTCGCGATGCGCGCCGCAGCCTCCTGCGTCAGCGCAAACGTCTAATAATCGACCATCATCAGTGTGTAATAAATCAACTTTCATCTTTCGAAATTCAATGTTTTCCTAATGCGTTCTACGCTGATTAATTTTCATATTTTGTAATTACATATTCGACATTAATATCCATCGTGTTGTCGTCGTCTGGTTTTCGAATCGCGTGGAAAATAGCTGACCTCTTGCGGAAATTCTCGGCTTTAATCAAGACACCATTGTTTATATTTATTATTCACAAATCTCGCATATTTGATACATGCACATATTTTTGATTGATATATAAATATACTTAAATATATCTCTGGTAATTAATACTGATCATATTCATGCGGTGGAAGTGGTGGTAGCGGAAGAGGTGGCGGCAGTAACAACGCTCCTCTTGCTCGGAATATCGCAGCCTCTTCCTGATTCGGCGACCAGATTGTTCGCAAATGTCGCACGGGAATGTTCGGATTTAAAAAGGGCGGCAGTGGTAGCGGCGTGCCTGGCATTGGCAGCGGTGTGAACATGGCAATGCGTTGAACATCCTTTATGAAATACGCCGCGAAAGGAACGAAATTTATGAGGTACGGACTCGGCGGTAGCGGAAACAGCAATGCGCGGCCCTCGGTGCCGAAAAGTCGCACGGACGCCAGGCAGATAGCGTTCTCGATCAAATCCACGCGGATCAAAACACCTTCGAAGCGGCTGTCCATGATTGATAATAGACTAATTCGCGCACCAAGCGGAGGCAGATTCTCGGTTAACAGCATAATTACTGCGAACTTGTTATCACGATTGATTTTATATTTTTTGTGACTGTTCACTATTCGACTGAATAATTAAATGAGAATCATTTCAGTGAACTACCTAGTAATTATTCATGTGTTATAGGGTAATGTGATCCCTTTGGAGATATTGGTAAACAGAAATTGCTATAAAAGCCAAATATTGCTATTTTTTTATTCAAACAATCGGACGAAACAAGCTGTGACACATCTAATAACATAGATTTTCGTGTCGATTATTAGACGCCTATCTTATCATAGTTTATAACAAATCATAAACTAGCTGCGTTTTTTTTTCTTCATACAATTGATCCGAGTATCGACTAGGAGCAAACGTGTGAAGAATGTTTTCAAGCGTTCCTAATGCCGATCCTTTCATTTTTGTTTCCTTTCTTCCAGCAGCAGCCGGCAGTGCCGACCTCCAATAATCTACTTACGAATCGTTAGCAACAATAACAAAAACGATCTATCCTACAATGCGATTCGAAAGTACTTGCGTACCTACTCTCGTTACGACGCGCCGCGTGCGTACAAGACTCTGCGTGCATCATTTTTCTGTATTGTTAGCTCTAGTAACAAAGCGTAAATGTAATTCTACTTAAAATCGAATCAAATCCAAATAGAGCAATGAGAACCACCCAATAATTGTGGCGAGCGCTTAACGGCATTCGCCTGTGCCTGTGCCGTGGAGACGCCATCACCATCAACGTGTCAGCATGGCGAAAAAAGGGAATAAAAACGAGACGACACACGAGGCGCGCAAAGTAAACGCCGAATGCAGAATGGCATACGTGCACAACACCACGCGTGAATGCCTTGCCTGCGTGGTTCGTGGCTGTTTGGTCGAAACGGCGCGGCTCGAGAAGACGATATTGTCTGCCACGCTCGATTGTAATTCGTGGTAATCGCCCATGTGCTCATGTCGAATAATAAAGGGACGGCTAATAACAGATTTTAAAACATTTCGTTTGCCGTGGCTGCCATTTAATGCGCACCGCATGTGTGTAATCTCCATGAGAACGTTGCCACGGTTGCCACCCTCCGCCGCGCTCGCGGGCGATCCGGACGGAACGCGAAAATCGCGCACGAATTAGAGAAAATGGAACGCCCGCCAGTACATCCATGCCCAGCGTGCCCAACGATGGGCAACACTCATGTCGGCGTTATTTGACACGCTTCGTTATCCAAACGAATGCTTTCGACAGTTTGACGATCCATTTAATTGTGCACAATGCCAAAGAAGCATCTAATCATTTCAACATTTCAACAAAACAACATTGTGTATTTGTTTCAATCAACGCTGGCACATGTTCAACGCGAATATGCTGCCAATTTGTCGAATTTCCAAGACGCAACCCCGAATAACCGATTATACCACCACCCCCCTGCCCCTGCACCGGCGCCTTGCAGAGAAACGCTATCGACTGACCGACGTCGCAGCCGGCGCCGCGACGCACGCACATTCAGTCCCGCTTGCTGCGCCGCCCCCGCGTGCAAAAAGCTTGTCGGTACGGAGACAGTTCAATGAAACGCGGCCACGGCGTGCAACCAGTGCGCTCGCTTGCGACATTCTCACGATTCCGGACAAAATAAACATATCTCTTATCAACCGAAGTGTTAAGATACCAATTCTACAATGGCAAATGTAACACGATAGGCGTCGTACGCGATAAGAAGAAATCCGGGAAAAGGCGACGAAGTCACAGCGCGCTGCACAATTGATGCGAAGACGCTGGAGCGCGTAAGATGCGTGATAAATGGAAAACAAAACGTTTAAGAAAATCGTCATCGCGCTGCTGGTGTTGGGATTGCTCTCACTGTATCTCTCGTACACCTTCAATGCCTGTCTGATTGCGAGCTTTGCAAAGGTGAGTAAATATTTAACTTTAAAACACAACAAGAAAAAAATATGACATGTGCGTAGGACGTTCGCGACGTTATTGATTCGAATTAATTTGATTGACCAATTTTATCCGATAGTGGCGGCAACATCCAATTGTCCTCAATGAAAACATCAACTTACACTACACGACATCGGTGCGTGTTGTCCCATTACTTGTGGGCAACGAAAGTTTTTCCGATGCATCGCCCAAGTACAGATTCTTCCGAGAACAAGGTTTACGGCCTGCTAGACAACTTCCCAGCGCGTTAATCATCGGAGTCAAGAAGGGGGGAACCCGTGCCCTATTGGAATTCATCAGGGTACATCCAGATGTGCGAGCGGCAGGTAAAAATAGCAAATTTACAAAAAATACAATTTATATTCCTTTGATATTCCCAGGTAATGAAATTCATTTCTTTGATAAAAACTACGGCAATGGCTTCGAATGGTATCGCCAACACATGCCTCCAACCTTAGAAGGTCAAATGACGCTTGAGAAAACCCCGTCGTATTTCATCACCAAAGAAGCCCCGCATCGAGTACACCTGATGAACCCATCGACGAAGCTGCTCGTCGTGGTGCGTGATCCGGTGACGCGCGCCATCAGCGACTACACGCAGGCGATCAGCAAGAAACCGGAAATGGCCAGGTTCGAACAGTTGACGTTCGTACATCGCAATACGAGCAGTAAACTAACGCGAGTGGTGGACACCAGCTGGGGGCCGGTGAAACTAGGACTCTACGCGAAATATCTCCTGCGATGGTTGAAATATTTCCCGCTCTCGCAGTTTCTATTCGTTTCTGGCGAGCGGCTGGTCGTGGATCCAGCTGTGGAGCTGAAACGAGTACAGGACTTCCTGGGTCTGAAGCGGGTCGTCAGCGAGAAGCACTTCTACTTCAACTCGACGAAAGGTTTTCCGTGTTTGTTCAAGAGCGAAGGGCATGGGGCGCCGAAATGTTTGGGAAAGACAAAAGGTCGGAACCATCCGCGCATCGACACGATGGTTCTGCAACGACTGAGGGATTTTTACCGACCGTTCAATTTGAGATTCTACCAGATGACCGGAATTAATTTCGGATGGAGTTAGTCCACAACGTTCATGTCAACCATCTGCTACCATCAAAATATTTTCATATCAAATTGTGAACGAGAAGACTAGATATAAATAGAACGAGAAAATCTGGTAACAAATTCTGAACTGCCAAGAGACATGATGCTCAACTCGTTACGAGCAATAGATGTGTGAAACATTTCGTAGTTTTTTATACAGAATTTACTGTAGCTTATAGAAGAGGCAAACGTAACGACATAACGAAAATAAGAAACTTGTCAATTGATGAATTAGCTCCCTCCTTCACACACACGATTCCATCGCTTAACGAACCTTGTTTGATAGTCAAGCGACAACGCTGAATTCTAGATAACATTTGCACGCAATGTGTCGTTCGTTATGTAGCAATGTTTGTATATCTCAGGTGCCATTTTTCTACTTATTCCCTAGAGTACTAACGTAATAAAACCCAGAGATACAAATACGTCATACAGCAATATTCGCCAGAACAGTAAATAATATGTACAAGATTCTCAATAACGTTGAGATTGTATTCGCTTCGTAATAAAATGAAAATAAAATAAAATCCTACCTTTATTCTAGTCGCCCTCGGGTGGAAGTAAAGTTGTTTGGATGGGTTGGATCCCAATGAACGATTCGCCCGTCGAAACGCAAAGATTGGAAGCACTTTCGAAAAAATTCGCGTTTAATTCATCACTCGTACTGTAAAATCATAAAAAATGAAAATTTAACGTAAATACAAAATCAAAACAACAAAAACTTACATATAATTTGGTATTTTAGACTGTTGAAATCTAGGAACTTTTGTTTGTGGTCCAGATGCAATTAATTCTTCAAAAATATTACTAAATGTCTTTTTTTCAACGTTTTGCTGATTGATGCACTTTATTTTATCGCGATCATCATCAGGATGAGTTGTTTTAAACCGCTTCTGCTCTTGATGAATCTCTTCAAGTGAATTATCCATTGGACAATCACGATACACGCCTAGAAGAGCAAATTTCCGATAATATTTGTACTTTAGAACATCGTCGTTTCTCGGTAGCAATGTGCGGTATGCTTCGAAAACTGTCCATGGAATATCATCATTTAATATTTCTAACCTATTCTGTTAGATTTCATAAAACATACTCATTAAGTACGGTTTAACAATCAAAAAATCAATCAATGATACTCACGTTCTCTAACAGAAACAAAGCCTCAAAAGGTGTTAAAAACTTCCCGTCGGCATTTTGAAACCCTAATGAATGAGCGCCTGCACCCGATAAGCTAATAATTCTAATAAGACGTGATTCTGGTTGCCATTCCCCTATATTTCTGTCCATTCTGAAAATAACATGAATGAAAAGCCAAAGTTCTGTTGTTTTTTTAACAAAAATTAAAATTTACCTTAGTTCTACGTACTCTGCAACTGCTTCTTTTTTTAGGCAATTAATCCTACTTTGAATTTCTTTCTCATCCTCAGGAACAGCTACATTTTCAAGTGATTTTAGTTTAACTACTGGCTCCTGCTCTGTTGTATCTTGATGGCTATCTATTAATTTGGCAACCCTACAAATTATTTAAATAAATATAAATCCAAATTATAAATAATATTAACAAAAATTACCAGGCCTTAAAGTAATCACTTTTCTCCATGATTTAATAACACATGTGCTAACTTAACTGCAACTTAACCTACAAAATAGGTACAATATAAGATAGCTATTCTAATCTTAAACTATAAGAAAAGAATGTGTATACATACATTCATTTATTATTGCCATAAGAAAACATGGTTAATAAATGTTAGTCAATAAAGAATTGTTTGATCCTTACAGGATGATATGCTCTGGTAACTGTTGTTGAACTTGTCTAAGCCAGGGCCTTTTAAAACCACCTCTAACTCTTGGAAATTAACTAATCTACCCACATCATTATCATTTCTTAATCTAGTGTTGGGTAGTTTTCGAATTCTCTCAACTTGTGAGGCAGACACTCCAAGTTCCTCACAGCACAGGTCCATTAATGCAGAAAACCACAATTTATCAGTAGGCAATTCAATTTCAATAAAATCCGGATCACAAGAGCCATTCACTCGCACTTTGAGCACTAGAGACGAAAGAAAAAGTAATTTATAACCGGAAGTTGGGATAATAACCTAAATATTATTTCAAATTAAAAAATAGTGCAAACCTATTGAGTTGGCTGATGAATGCACAGCATTGCTTGGAAGACTAGTAATTGGAAGTGCAGCAGATCTTGGCATAAAGTTCAACTCCACTCGACCATTGATTGGCGCATTTTTGATGTAATTTGGTACAAATTTCAGCTCGTCGCCGGCCTCCAGATGGTTGTTATGCGGTGATGTCGGTTGCGCAACTGGTTCGCCCAGCAGTTGCGCTATATTCGAATGCGTGCAGAGACTCGCCGGCTTCTCAGCGTTGTTGGTTTCAAGATTGATATCGGCGCCGTTGTTCAGCAGGACGCGCACGACATCCTCGTGTCCGCGCTTGCAAGCCCAATGCAACGCACTCCTACACGCACGCAGCAAAAACATCAATCAATCAACATGTGCACAGTGAAATTTTTACAGCTGTGATTACATACCATCCGTTTATGCGGTTCTGCGCGTTGATATTCACGTGCTGCGAGATTAAACCCTGCACGGACTCGATGTCACCGAGGCACGCTGCTTCACGGAGTTTTTCTTCGATTAGGTATGACATCAGGAGGGATGCGGGAGTGTGAAGACACGGCGTGTATTGTGATCGGTATCGATTCGCGCACGAGATATTAACCGACCTTTAGATTACAGGTTACAATCGAGCAACTCGCAACTCTTAACAGTATCTGCAACAATCACATGTAACACTTACAGAATAAACAATATTTGTGTTTTGTTCATTTACAAACATGAATTCTCAACGCCAACTAAAACTTCTTAATTATAAATCGCTTGTTAGTTACCTGTTATGTACGACATTTTGTTTTAAACAGTAAAAACCGTTAAAAAAGAATCACTTGCAACGCGTGCAATGATAGCGACTGGTAACAAACAAATAAAGCAAGGATTGGAATCAAATAGTATTTGTAGTTCCACGCAACCTGCTAGAGGGCAGCACCTCCCGGTGATGAAATGTTTGCGCCCGAAGGAATCTCCCGTCCGTGAATTCCACACGTGCCTCGCGAGATTATGCTGAAACAGCTGATTCATGTTTATTGTTATAAGTCACCACTACAAATAAGGAAATACGCTACTTGGTGTTGATGTCTGTACATAGTTTGCAACGATTCGCAGTCGTTAACGCACGTGCTTTGTAATCTATCGCAACTTTAACTCTGTACGTCAGCAATCCTACAAGGTAGTGCAATGCATTCCATGTACACTTGATTATTCGCTAGTGCGTAGAAACCTCGTGGAGCGATTAAACTTTTAAAAATATGACTGAATCATAATGGAAAATTCACAAGACGCCAACGATACGCCCCCCGATGATGTTTTAAATAATTCTTCAATTAACAATACAGAGGTAAATTGTGGTTTTAAACGAATAAAAATGTGAAATAAACGTGTGGCATTTGTTTTAGCCTAGAGATGGATTGGATTACACTCAAATAATACCTGATTTGGATGAGATCACCACAGTTTCAGATGAAAACCCCCTGATACAATCAGCATGTTACCGGAGGAACAACAAAGATACCTTCCATCCGGGATCGTTGAATGTTTTATCAACCAAATATGAAGTAACTATTACTGGATACACTAAAGCTCACAATAAAATACTTATTCTTGTTTTTCTTTCTTAGAGTTTAGATTATGACACCGTAGAAAATTATTTGTTACTAGATGAAGAGCAGAAGAAGGGATATAAGTTTATTGTTAGAAAGCTAATTGCCAAATGGATCATCTTCCTGTTGATTGGAATGATCACAGCATTAATTGCATGTGTTATTGATGTATTAATAGATAGCCTCTGTTCTTTAAAATATGAACATTTACAGTTCTGTAAGTATGCATTAAAAATACTCAATAGAAGTTTAAAGAAATCGAATTTTCTATTTGTTTTTTAGTGGTAGATAAATACGTGCTGGAAGGCAAACTGTACATCCCATACTTTTATTGGATCCTCTATAATTTTGTGCCTGTGATGATCGGATCTGTTTTGGTCGCATACGTGGAACCAGTCGCCGGGGGCAGCGGTATTCCCCAAGTGAAATGTTACCTGAACGGGGTGAAAGTGCCGCGCGTCGTGCGAATACGCACGCTGATAGTCAAAGCCGTCGGGGTGATTTGCTCAGTGGTTGGCGGTCTCGCCGGTGGAAAAGTACAGTTTTTTTATAAAATGTTTACTCGATGATTACTGCAGTAAATTGCATGATTCATTGCGCTAACACGCCAACACTCGCTTACTGTTCGTGCACTATCATAATAACAATATTTATCGTGATTGTTTGCACACAGGAAGGACCGATGATTCATGTCGGCGCCGCTGTAGCCGCGGGGATTTCACAGGGAAAGAGCACAACATTCAAAACCGACCTTCACATTCTGCGGTATTTCCGCGAGGATCAGGAGAAGCGCGATTTCGTATCGGGTGGCGCGGCGTCTGGCGTATCCGCTGCGTTTGGTGCTCCCGTCGGTTAGTCATGCAATATAATCAATGTTTTCACAAAGAAAACATTAATTTTTTCACTGTTTAGGTGGTGTACTCTTCAGTTTAGAAGAAGGCGCATCATTTTGGAACCAAAGTTTAACATGGCGCATATTTTTCGCGTCTGTAGTAAGCACATTCACGCTTAATTTATTCCTTTCGATGTACTATGGCGAACCAGGCAATTTGCAATATCCGGGCCTGTTGAATCTCGGTCATTTTGAGGAGTTTACGTACTCTTTGTATGAACTGCCCGTTTTTGCTTTGATAGGAGCCTTAGGAGGACTTCTCGGCGCATTATGGAATAGTATTAACTACAAATTATCAGTATTTCGCATTAGGTAATCTAAAAAATGTCACAAGACTTCAAAATTAACTTAAATTCCACGAAAATAATTGTAGATATATCAACAAGCCATGGTTGAAAGTGATTGAGGCTTGTCTCGTCGCCACGATGACCGCAACGGTTGGTTTCTTGATGATATTCTTCCTGAATGATTGCAAACCGTTAGGACAGGATCCGACAAGATTTCCCACGCAGGTAATATTACTTTTAAGTAACCCTAACTAAACTAAACTAATTAAATTTCAGATGTACTGTAATGATGGACAATATAATGTCCTCGCGTCGATTTGGTTTCAAACACCTGAAGCTTCAGTGCGGTCGTTGTTTCACGACCCGCCGAACACCCACAACGTCACATCGCTAATATACTTCGTGATTGTTTACTTCTTAATTTCCTGTTGGACTTTCGGGCTGTCAACATCCAACGGCTTGTTTATTCCCTCGCTGTTGACAGGCGCAGCCTGGGGGCGTTTAATCTCAGTCGGTTTATCTTACATCTACCCTACAGTAAGTTTAATTCAATAGTTAAACATAAATAATTCAAATTGTAATTTTTAGACGTTGATACATCCTGGAAAATATGCTTTAATTGGCGCCGCTGCTCAACTAGGCGGACTTGTTCGGATGACAATTAGTTTAACTGTCATCATAATGGAAACCACACAGAATATTTCCTTCGGTTTGCCGCTGATTGTCACCCTGATAGCTGCCAAATGGACAGGCGACTTCTTCAATGAAGTAAGTCATTCAATTTAAACTTCTAAAGAAAACCTTCTTTATAATATATTTTTAGGGCATTTACGATATTCATATCCAACTGAGCGCAATTCCTTTCTTATCATGGGACCCACCACCGTTGACACACAACATTTACGCTAGTGAAGTCATGTCACATCCTGTCGTCACATTGAAAACCGTGGAAAATGTCGGACACGTCGTAGAGTTACTCAAACTGAAGTCGTACAATGGTTTCCCAGTTGTGGATCCACCAAGAAGTGACTCAGTAAATAAAAATACAAAAAATATCTGCGATAAATTAAAAACTTAATAATTTCAGTGCGATGTAACATCCTACGGTAAACTGAGAGGTTTGATCCTGCGTTCACAACTAATCGTCATGCTGCGCAACAAGATCTTCAATGAAACTGAACGATCCTGGGTGGGAATCAGCGCAGATCTCTTCCGAGATGAATATCCCAGATACCCCACTATAGACGTAAGTCTTCCATAATTAAATTACGCCAGTCATTAAACATAAAATTTCGTTTGTGTTTGTAGCAAGTACAAATAACCGAAGAGGAAAAAACTTATTCCATCGACTTGCGGCCATTCATCAATCCCTCGCCGTTCACAGTGTTACATGTAAGTAGCCAACTGCAATATCAATTTACCATTGTTAAATTAAATTGATATTGTTGCAGTCAACGTCACTCCCACGCATGTTCCGGTTGTTCCGTGCGCTCGGCCTGCGCCACTTGCCGATCGTGAACGACAGCAGCGAGGTGGTGGGCATGGTGACACGCAAAGATCTCGCGCGTTACCGCGTCTGGCGACATCGGGGCCGCATGGGCGTCGAGGAGCTGGTCGTCTCGCAAGAAATCTAACCTACTAGTATAATAAAATAGGACAATCATGTACATATTTAACCGAATGCAGTTGAGCGCGCGAGCTGGGAGTGTCAAACAATAAGCGTCTTACGTCTTCGCGTGTGCGGTCAAGTCGTTATTGCAAGTCGTTTCTTGTTTTATTCCCATGACATACACAAAAGTTGATTAATACAGTATAAATATTTTACAAAGTCACTAATTATTTTTATATGAATGTTGTAAATGTATATTACTAGTATGTTAATAATTTTTTTTTATGTTTTGGTTGTCTTTATCCCAATCGTGTTTTTTCTTTGCTTGTTTGCTCCTTAAGTTTTAATTAGGTTTCGTCGTTTACTTACATAGATGTCGCTTACAAGGCGCCAGCAGTAATTCCTGCATGCGTACGGCTATGTTTACCTTTTTTTTTTGGGTGCTGCGCCCTGCGATGTGGAATTTTTGAAAATTTCTTATGATTATGCTCTTATTTGAATGTTTATAGTACTTGCGTAAAGGAGCTTAGGTATTGTAAAATATCATTACACAGGAAGCTTCTCTAATTCGTACTGATTAATAATACCCGATATAATAATATCCACCCACGCGCCATAAATCACTATCTCATTTTCGTGTTGAATTTTTTTGGCTTTCCGTCGCGTCAATCCACCTTAAATAAAATTAATTTACTTACTAGCGTTTTATCCCTTTGTGTGCTGTTGCTGTGTAGTGTCCTATCGGTGCCTGCTGCCCACAGGTGCAGCCGGCACCGCTTCTTCTATTCTCGCTCTCGCCCCGTCGTAGCATTCGTTGCCTTCACGCCCCTTGCGCGTGACAAACCCTTCCCCACTCACCGCCTAGACGTAGGAATGGCTAGAAGTACTAGCCTTGCGTCGGTGTCACGCGGACGTCTCGTTTTCGCCCCAGCCCTCGCTGTCGCAGTCGGAATCGCTGGCTGAATCCGAATCGCTAAACTCAACCGCCACACGCCGTGCAAGAATACTCGCCACGTCGTGTAGACCATTGCCGCGCTCCACCTCCTTCTGCTCGATTTTCTCCACCTTGCGGAGTTTGATGCCGTCGCGGATTGCTTTTAATAAATCATTGCGTGGGTCCACCATAGGCGGTGCTTTTTGAATAGCGCGCTCCTTTGGCGGTGTTAACTTAGGCGGTGCCGAGTTTAGAATCTTCGCGAGATCGCCATTTGTGATGGGTAGAGGCGGTGGACTGGCAGGGCCGTTGGCAAGCAACGGCATTGGCGGAGGAGGTGGAGGAGGCGGTGCCTGAACGGGAGTGGCTTGTTTAGGCGGTGAAGCCTGTTTGGGTACCGGTGGCGGCGGCGGCAGATCCTGATCGGGTTCAGGCGTGCCCTGGTGTGAATGCGGACTGTTGGAACGCGAACCGCTCGTCTGGCGAATCAGATGCGCCGGAATACCATTCGGTGGTGACATCATTGCTTCGGGCGGCGGCGGTGGAGGCGGCAGATTATCCCTGCCCGCAGACATACTACGGCCTCGCGTCGGTGTATTCGCCGACGGTGTAGATTGGTTGCTAGGTGGCGCTGGCGGCGGCTGCGTTGGGCGTATTTTACGCGTGGGCGTGCCCGGCTGGTAGTGTTGTTCGTTGAGTTGCGCATGCCCGCCATACATACCCGGCTGGTATTGGTTCTGATCCTCGTAGGGCATGTACATTGGCGAGTGCACACCATCGGGCATCTCCTGTTGATAAGATCGGCGAATTTCGATCGAGTTCGGTCGATTCGGCCGTTCGAGCATGTTGTGCATATCCTCCTGCATCTGCATCGGGCTGCGGTAGTGCATTTGGTTCATGTGCATAGCCTGTGCGGGTTGCATCGCTTGCGGATGCATTGGCGGCTGCTGCTGTTGTGGCGCCGGCTGTAATGCGCGCGGCTGTTCGGTAGGAATGAGATACTCGCCGTGTCCGACGGCGATGTCACGATGGCGGTCGATTGTCTTCACCGGTTGGCGCACGCGCTTCTTCTGTCGTGAGCCATCCGTGCTCTGCGCGTTACGCGGTTTGTGCGGTTTCTTGCCCTGCTTCGCGCGCTCCGTATCCTTCAAGACTTCTTCACGCCACAGCTCGAAGAAATAGTTCGGATCCGTGTAGAATTTCAAGCTATCCTTATCATCGTCGCGGAATTTGTTCAGTAACGACAGCGGCGGCGGTTTATCGCACGACTGATACGTTTCCTGCATAGCAGTCGGCATTGTATTCCTAGAAAATATCTAAAACAAAACAATAACTATTATTATAAACAATCACAATTGTCATCCAAAACAAAATACCTGTTGTTCCAAGCCTGAAGAACTTTTGAACGCCTTGCGATTATGAATATCCTGTAATGACACCTCCTCGTAGGTGCTATCGAGTTGTGTGACTTTGATTGCAAGGCGATCAATGCGCGCCTGCAGTGAATTCGAGCGATCGTACAACTGGTGCGTATCGCGCGCCAGCTCACCGAAGAGATCTTCGGCGTGCCGCGACAGCGACGACAATTGACGCACGGTGTTGGCAAGCGTCCCGTTGGTAACCGCCTCGAGTTCGGAGGGTAACGGGAAGTCGCACTGCGGCAGGGTGCCGCGTGCGACGTGCACCGGTTCGACGAGCCGCTTTGGTAGAGGCATTGTGCGGCGGCGTCCGGCGGTGCTCTGCTGCTGTTATTCGCACAACCTGAAAGCAACAAACGCCATTAGTTACATTTGCTCTCCTCTTAATGAGTCATTTCCTCGAAGTGAACTCCCCTCCGCCTGACTAATCGCTTATTAAGCTACACGTATCATCGCCTTGAATGTTCAACAAACACGTTTCTTAATCAAACACATTTCCAAATTATCTCTTATGACATTCCGAGTTTTAATCGATGCACAAGAATGATAAGAATGGTAAACAATCATCGACTTATTGACTATTTGCTTGTTGACTTTTTGATAGAGATGATTACATGCAGGAATTTTTCTTATTTGATTTATCATTGTTGACGTGTTATGTGATACTTTCGCAATGAATAAACACAAATTCATCAGCATGCATGACCTAAATTATCACATTTGTTTGTAATAAGAGGCAATTAATTAATTTACAAGTAGTGGCGATTAAAACTCGAATTGTTATTTAGTTGTGTTGTGGATCGGTCAGAGCAGCGTCCGGCAAGTCCGACCCTGATCATTGACAATCCCATAAAACAAGGCGAATGTGTGTCATGCCTACCGGTCTCCTTTCATTCGCTGATAATATTATCTCGCTGCCACCGCAGTCAGTGTTCTCGCCTGCAGCGATTTCAAGCGAGAAATTGCGTTGCTTGGACGTATGCATGCGAATTGGCCGTCGCCCATGAAACAAATGTCGATCGACTCACAAGTCACGACTCACCCCAAATAATAAAAAAAGTTGTAGTAGTAACTATATAGTAAGGAATAGATGCAGGCGCACTCTTGTATTAATTATATACGGGTAAATTAAATGCGTATGAATGAATGTTTGCGTTCGGCAGTGCTCTCATGCAATGTATCCCTGCAGGTCCTCTGCATCCTGTCCTGCCAACGCGAAACGATAACTTACGCGGATTGCTGGCACATACCTGAAGCGGTTTCGACGTTATTTATACTCGCGCCAGTTGCAGCACGTTCGACATCGCTCCGGCAGTCGGCACACACTCCTGACACGCCAAACTGATAACTCTATCGCAAGGTTCACAAATAAACAGCGCTAAACAAATATGCGAGAAAATGGCGAGCTGTGCGCGACGGCCATGCACACCCAACGACGTGCGCTTCGTGCGTCATCGACCCCGCTCGCGATCGAATTCTATTACTCCCCAGTGCTGCCAACCTCACAAAATCACACTAGAAACATTCTAATTCACTAAATCTTTGATCTTCACACACAAAAATGCGTTATTTCAATGCATTTGCAATAAATTTACGCTTAAAATGACAAACTACAGATAATTTGCGCATAAATACGCGAACTTTATTGCTGAGGTAATCTTTGCACTAAAATAACACAATCAACAATGAGCCGCATTGTATCTCTTATCAATTTATTAAAAAACAAAATAAATAGTTACTGTTACTAATCAAAATGAAAAAATATAACAAATATGATTCTCTAGAAAAGAACAAACAATTGAAGTGAAGCGCCATCGCTCCCGCAAACTCAGATTTGAGACGCGTCTTATTAATCGATGACCGCCCGTTGTACACAATTAATACTAAACATAGATTAAACGTAATAGTTAAAACGTACATACACTCGATATATGCAATATGCAATTATACTATCTCATAACAACACACCGAGATGTGAGTGCTCCGCCTTCAGCAACGAATGGACAATAAAGTATTTAAAACGTTAACGTACGGTACAGTCTTCATCAATAAATAAATTTAATATAACAATCGATTTCGTGTCTTGTTAATAATTCTTTTTTGTTTTGTTTTGTTTCTTATCGTCGCGTATTGTTGTCCTTAACACAAATTCAGTACGGATTGCTACTAGAACCGACGTACCGACGCCATCGTCGACACTTCGAAAATATACAAATTGCAACAATTTTACTAGAGATACATAGTATCAACGTAATCAATATATGAAAGGGTTGTTTCTCTCCTGCACGACACGCACGTACCATCATCGACATCGATGATTAACTCAATGCAATTCAATATATTAGCTTAAAATTCATTTTCCACCTCCTTCTGGTCTCATCGACGCCGTGTTCTCGGTCGCGCGCTGCTTCAATATGAAGGGCGTAATAAAAAAAGTCGCTCGTCGCGTTCGCTAATGACGCTTAACACGATCGTCTAAGCGCCTTAGAAACATCGTCGTATCAAAACGTGCGGGTGCTTAGCCCTGCTTGGGAAACAGCGCCAGTATCGCGGCGCAAATCTTCTGCGGATTCGTCTCGTCCGGATAGAGCTGCAGCGCTTGTGTGACCTGCTCCTCGGGAAAAATCGCCGCTAGATGGTAGTGCAGCTTGCGGCGCGCGTCCTCCTGCACATTCATCGGCGGCGGCGGCGGCATGTGCGGTGACCACACGTTCAGCTGCGGATCGCTGCAGCTGGAGATGAGATGCGGCGGGTGTTGTTGAGGCACAGGCGGCCATGGCCGGTAGCTGTCGGGCGCGGACGCGATGCGCGTCACATTCTGATGCAGATCCCAGCTGGGCACGTATTTCAGCACCTGTTGTTGCGGCTGCGGCGTGAGAGGCTTGTACCGCCTCAGACGCGGATCGGCGTTCGGATTCAGCGTGAGTTGTCGCTGTAGTTTACGATGCAGATTCTCGCCCTGAGTCTGCGCAGCTTGTGCTTGGCTTTGCGCCGCCGCCTGTTGTTGGAGATACGCTGCGCCCACATTGTCGACACTACGTGACTTGGAAACGATCGTATGCTGGACTTCCTTCGGCGGTGGGATATTGGAACGCGTGCGGCCTAGGGGTAATTTTCTCGTTTCGCATTCTCTCGCCTGTAGGTGTCGCTGCGCGTGCTCGGAGAGCCGTTCGATGACGCTTTTGTGCGGCAAGGGACCGCGTTCGGGATGATTGTACTTGCATTTGTTCCCGTAGGTGCACTTCTTGCCGTAGGGACAAAGCGGCGGCGGGTCGGTTTTCTTTGGTTGCGTGCGTAGAAAATTACACAGCGTTGGGCCAGCACGACCGAGCGGATCATCCGGCGGCATGAAACGATCATTCACGAATGAATACATCAAGATGCGCTCCTCGACGACTTTGCGATACTCCGCCGACTCCTGACAGAGGTCGCGGTAGTTGTCGTTGGACACGACAATTCCATCCACTTCAGCTGCTAGTTTGAGTATATAGCGGTCGTCGTAACACACCATCCGCTTGCCACCGACAAGTCGCGACGGCGTGAAGACCAACATACGCTCACGTTCCAATTCGGCGAGAATGTCTTGATCCTGGATGGGATTGTCCGGTCGCGGCGACTCCTTGCGCCATTTCGGCACGAATACTGTTATGTCTTTGTGGCCGCGCGACCGGAACCACTCCACGGCGATCTTGATACCTCGACAGGAAAACTTCTCCTTGTTTCCATGGCTGTTTAATCAAAGAAAATTAATAGAAACGTGTTTTTTAGTATAAAGAAAAAAGATTTTTACCTCATGGCGACATTACTGCCGTCTATCACAATTGGCCGTAATTGCACCTGATAATCCTGACTATTGTCAGGGAGAACAGGCGGGGCCTCGTCGGAGGGACTGCTGTCGGCTGACATACCACGCTGCGCGCCCAATTTGATGAGTTCAGCGAGTAACTCATTCTGCGCCGGTGTTGGGCCTAACTTCGTCAACGCCGCCTGCACTAATTTCTCCGTATAACCCAATTTCAGCGCAAACTCAACCCTGCAACACAAAACAAATCAGCGATTATTTCCGGTCTTCCTACAAGACGGAAATTCAAAATTACCTCGCCGTGTAGCCAGGCGACGCGTCCGTTTGCACATAGTCGGCGTATTCGGCAGCGAGCGTATCGCTTGTCGTACGCGACACATCCTGATGCTTACTGCCGCCGCCAGGCGTCGACGCGTCCGCTTCATAATCCGAATCGTAGCTGGAATCCTCGCCACCGAGCGTGCCGCCACCACCAGCGGCCGCTGGATGCTGGCTTGTACCACCCTGGCATCCTTCCTTGCAAATGTCATCTACATATTTCTGCAAACAAACAAAAAGAAAAAGAAATTCATTCACTGCGTAATTTCCGTAGCCGCAAGCATCGCGAATCAACTCTTCCACGAAATGTCAATTAATTGTTTACGCTTCACTTGGAATTCCCCTTGCACAGAGAAAAAAAAAGCACGCCCCGAACAATTGAAGTGCACTGCGCCGGCGCTGCGCGAAGAGAATGTGTTTGCCCACATTTCACATTTTCGAATATCCGCGTAAGCGCGTAAAATTGCGTACGCGCGCGTTAATTCGAGGGTCATTTTAACGTTTTCGAGCATTTCGCTCTTTCTAAACATCGAGCAGCAGCGCGTGTGTAAAATGTAAACCGCGCGCGCGGAGTTCAACCGGATCTGCGCACGTTTGCACCGTCGTTCGGTTTCGATCATTGGCTCGCACAACGAAACGAAATGAAACTCGCGTGAGAGATTAGTTATATTAATGTGCAAGCGATCTTTTTTTTTATTCCACGCTGGAACAATAGGTTTTCACGCAGATTATAATGAGACAATGCCGCGTACACTGAGAGAAAAGTTGTGCGCTGTCTTTTCGAGCAGCGATGCGAATGTCACTGTACTGTAAATGATCAACAACATCCTGGTGTGTGTGTATGAAAATTACGTTGTAGCGCGTTTGTAACGAAACGAAGGTAAATAACAAAAGCAACAAAAAACGAATTACGGACGAGCAGCAGCAGCAGCAGGTTTTGCTCGCGCGCGCAGAGAGCGGCAAAACAAACGAAAGCTTTATTACATCCCAACATGCCGCAAAGAGATAATTAAATGCACACACGATGCACAAGAGTCAGTAGCGCGTAGCTACAGGCACATCCTGGTGGCGGTCATAATGTGCAATCCGAATTATTCACGTTATTGATGGCCGCCGTCATTAGTATGCGCGTACATGCGGCATGTGTGCACTTGCGAAAGGATTCGCGCCGTTGAAAAGTCAAATTTCGACACACGCACACACGGCGCGGTCGTGCGCGCCGCGATTGGTAATAACGCGAGTAAATAGATATGGCCTGATCGGCGGCGGGCAGGTCCGCTTCGCGGCGCGCTCAAAAATCGGTCAGTGAGTCGCGCGAGACGGAACTGCGGCTCCAAACCGCGCGCGCGCGCACGCAAACAAATCAAAATCAAGTCCATCCTCATCATCATGAATCGGAGACATTTCAATAAATGTCTGTATGTTTCACTCTACCCGGATTCGCAACCCAACACACACACGCGCGCGCGCGCGAAGAATGAGAAAAATCGAAAACAACAACAAAAGAAATCTCGCATCCGTGTGCACATCCGCATGGGTGATTATTACATTACACACAGGTCGAAAACCTACCTTCGTGCACATTCCGATACATTCTAAATGCATTTATCCAATGTCACAGCGTAGGCCCAGGCGGTGAAACGAAATATCTAGGTATATGTGTTTATAATCACCGCGGCGCGTTTATTGGCTGTGGTCGGCAGCGTTCAGTAATCGATCATACCACGAGACGCTCGCGGACACGAAGGCGAAGACCGAACTCATCGAGACCATCGAAACACTTCGCGCGACCGGCCAGACCCGACTGAAACTTCGGCCGCGTGCGCGCCGCGGTGTGAGTTGCGTCTCGTCGTGTGCCTTTCCAACATGTTTCCAGCACCGAACGAACGATGATGCGGTTCTTAGCGGAGCGTCACACGGTATAATTTCACCTGCGGACGGCGGACCTGCATTCATTATTCACGCCGTTTCGCCGTGAGCCAACCCACCGCGGTACTAAGAAGACGAAAAATCATCTAATTCATTAAAATTTCATTCTCTTATACATTGTATTCGAAAGATTCAAGATTTAACTTATATAAATCATTGTAATATTCGCAGAAATCTAATTATTTCCGTGTTAAAATTATCTAGAAACTATAGAATTATTCTTACGGCGAAACGGCTCAGGGTGAATGTGTACCGCGGTGAAACGGCGCATACTCATTCACCATACGCACAAATAGAAGAAAATGAATAGCAAATGAAATAATCATATGAATCGATACTAATAACTAAATAAAGGGTTTTTTGTTGTTTGTGGGTTGAGTGTTTAAGAGTATGGAATGTCGAATTCGGAATCGGATGCGGATGTGATGGCACTAGCTCCTCCTCCTCGACAAGGTCTCCACGCCGCCGTTTTGAATAAAGCAGGCCGGCGACTTTCGAAAGTTCTCGAGCAGGAACCGCCGGACGCGGACATAGAAACAAACACACGCACGGCATGAGGATGCGCGATGCACCCACCGCGGCCTGCTCGTGCGCCCGTAATAACGTTGAATAAGATCCGGGTCGGAACGGTCGCTGAACTTACGTCAAGCTCTTTGACCTAGTGATGCGCGATCTTCATTATTGCGCACGCTTAGGTGCACTCGAGATTACGCTCGCATAGAATTCAGTGGAGAGATACACATGGTGTGGTATTGATGAATAGAACTATAATTTAATAGGTGAAAGGTGCATGCATGTGGTTGGTGTGTGTGTGCGTTGCGCGTTTCGTTTCGTCAATATTTGCCGATTGTCGTGCGGCCACCGAGCGCACACACCCATCGCGTAGCGCGCGGCATTCAGCGGCGGTCCGAAGGTTATTAGTCGCATCCTGGTCCAAGCCATTTCCTAAACCTGACGTCATAGCGCGCCGAATGTTTTTCGGTCGCGAATTACGCACTACTGGCCGCTCGCGCGCGCACGTCAACAAATACATCTCATGCTTGCGCCGCGCGTAGGATGACGACGACGAAAAAGTGTGTCTTCTCGCCGGAGTGGATCCGGAAGTGTTTCTATCGTGCTTCGATAGCGCGCGCAGCGATGATGATGCCCTAGTTTCAATCGGCTGTCTGTCGCTCACCTGTATCCTGCGAAGAAAGTCGCGCGTGTAGCCCGGATCGGCGGAGACGGTCGACGGTGCCCTCACCTCGAAGACGCTGTGCGGCGCCGGTGAGTCCGCGCCAGCTGCTTCGATGAGTCGCGCGGCGAAGAGGACGCTCACGCGCCCGCAGTTCTCCCTCAGCAGCGGCGCGCAGCCTGCTTTGATTGTCACGCTGCCGACGGGCGCGTAATTATCGCACGGCGACGACGGTGCGCTCTGGTTGTGCGTCGTCATGGCGCAATCCCATTATTTCAGCGCGGCGCGATGCATCGCGGTCCGTGAGCGCACACTACGCGGCACTATGTACCAGCTGACGGAGACATTTCGCCCGATCGGGGGCCAAACGCGAAGTGCGATTTATCGGCTCACAAGTCGCAATTTCGCGTTTGTTGACGCACGCTCAACTACTGCCAGCTTCGCTTTCTCGCCGCGGCTGGCGCTGTTTTAGTTCATGAAAGCTCCGTTTTCGTCGCCACCTTACAGACTAATAAGTTCTACAAAAAAGCAATATTTTACAATTAATCAATCAAGTTTTTATTCACAATTCCATGTAGTTTACTTCTTTCTCTTAACTAAAATATCCTCTGTCATTGGCTCAATCACAGTACCCATCTTGGTGGTGACTGCAGGTTTCGTCAACCTGCGAAACGCCGTCTCCGGCATAAAAGTATTCCCGATCGGTGCGCGTATGCAAGCCTCGTAGTCTTTCACATTCTTGAATGGGAAAGGCACCTCCGACACCAAATGCGAACGCAATTTCGCATTAGTATTCTCGTTGATAATCAAATGTCCCTTATTGCTGTCTTTGCGTTTCATTTTCTCCGGAAACCGCACAATAAACCGCTTCTTCTTCCTGTTGGACACCTTAATATCCTTGCCACCCCATGCACCCCAACCCGGCAGAGACAAATCAATACTCTTCGGATTACCTGCATTAATCTCGTCTTTTTTCTCTTGCTGGAACTCGTCAACGACATAGTCATCCTGGAAAGCTTCCGAAATCACACCGCGCTGGTCTTCGCCTTCTTCATTATCGTTGAATTCCTGCAGGTCAGGAATGGCCGTGTTGAGTTTAGTCGGTTTCATATTCATGAATTTATTGGGGTCGATTTCTTCGGATTGAGTTGGTTTTGATTTTGATTTGGCGCTAGTATCACCATTATTTACTTTATTAAGCACTTCAAAAGCTTTCAACATGTCGTCTTGGGTTTTATTACCGCGATGGGCTCTTTCATCGAGTGCTTCGTCGATTACAGGACGAGTAATTTGTTTAGGCAAAGATAATAAATCTAATTGGGTCGGTTTCTCTGATTTTTTGACTTGTTTCGCTTTTGTTACACCATTTTGAGTTTGTTTTTGATTGCCAAGTGACTTATACTTCTTTTCGACTTTTTTCCGTAATTTATTTTCAATGTTGTCGAATTCTTTGTCCAAATCTAACGGTTTTGTATCCTTTGCGTCGGATACATCCCATTCAGATGCCCCGGTTGACACAATTCGTTTAACTTTTCCATTAGTTTTAACTTTTGACTGTTTTACATGATTGTTATTATTCAGTGAGGATTTTTGATCGGAATTTGTGTCAATTTCTTTCGCTACTCTTTTCTTACCACGGTTTTCTTGTGTTTCTGCTGCTGTGGAGTCAATTGAATTATCTGCATCATTGATTCCGTTCTTTTCTTCCCAGTATTTTCGATATCCACTAACAAAATCGTTGACATCCTGTGATACTTTGATGTTTTCATTGAGCCACGGATTGTCTGAATTTGAATTTCCCTTGATTTTTGGAGCTTCTTGAGCAGCTTCTGTTTCGGAATCGCTGTCGCCTGATTTTCGTACTTTTTGAGTTAAATCTCGACTTATACCCAGTTGTTGTGCTAATTCTTGTCGTGTCTGTAATAAAATGCATCAAGTTTATACTTAATTTTATTAAAATAATAAAAATAAGCATTATTTACCTCTCTATCATATTTAGCCCTAATTAATTTACTCTTAGCCCATTGTCCAGTGCTCTTATGCCTCAAACTCATCCTTTCTTCAGCCCTGGCCCTCTCAATCTCTTCCAACTTCTCTAAAGCAGCTTCTGGATTAGTTTTCTGCAACAACTCAAACTCTTTCATCTGCTGCTTCATCTTCTCCTTCTTCTGCACTCTGTGAAACTTCTTGCTCTTGATTTTGTTCTGCCTTCTTGCCTTTGCAATCTTATAACTTTCATGTGCGCGCATTTTCGCCGCCTCCCGACGCTTCTCCATGATTTCCTCCATGGTCATAGGAAACTCATCATCATCATCCATAACATACACCTCCTCCTTTGGCTCAACTTTTTCCAACTCCTTCTGTAGACTAGTTTTGTACCCCCAATCAGCCCCACCAAGTGAATCCACCTTATCATCCAGCTTGGAGTCTGAATGAAGCGGAAACGTGGTGTGCGTTGACGACCGAATCGCGGAAACAATCGGATCCCATTTACCAAGCTCGTTTTGAGTCTTTTTATAGGCGACGGTTCGATGTATGCGCTCAGCTTGAGGTTTCTCCAATGGTTTCGGCAACGTGGTGAGTTTCTGCTCGGCGCGTTTGATTTGCTTACCAATCGCCAGCTGTTTGCCTTTGCGTTCCAAAACACTTGCTAAATCCGTGATGTGGACATTCTTTCCTGTTTTCACCAGATCGAATTCGGAAACTTTTAAAGTTGGCTCTGAACGCGTGGATTTTTTCACGTGTTGTTTATAAGACAAATTCAACACGTTATTCACAAGCTTCTTGTGAACTTTATCGTCCAGCTCGCCATCTGAGATCGAGAAATCCTCACTATTATCATCACTATCCATGATTTACGTTATTCAATTGTTTCTTTCTCAAACTACAAACTCGAAAACAAATGCGCACGTTTCGTCGGTTGTTACTTGGATAAGTGCGGTTAGAAATTCAACCATTCTCGTCACGTCGCGCGCACGCAGCGCACCTATCGCCATGTCTCCCCCTACAACCAGTGGACCATCGGGTTCGAAAGCCGGTAAAGTACCGATGAGCATTCTGGACAGCGATAAGAAGAAGAAGAAACGCAAGAAGAGGGAATCGTACTCGGTGTACATTTTTAAGATCTTGAAGCAAGTGCATCCCGATATCAGTATTTCGAGCAGGGCGATGCATGTGATGAATTCGTTGGTCAACGACGTTTTTGAACGCATCGCCGCCGAGGCAAACCGTCTTGCTCGCTACAACAAGAGATCCACGACGACTAGCCGCGAAATCCAGACCGCCGTACGTCTTTTGCTGCCTGGGGAACTTGCGAAGCACGCAGTCAGTGAGGGGACCAAAGCAGTCACTAAATATACTTCATACAAGTGAATCTTTTGTTTTAAATAAATAAAAACTATTAATTAATTATTATTAATTAATAATACGTACTTATCTATGTATATTTGTACGAATAAAACGTGAATTTTTATTCAATCAAGCAACCTCCTTTGCAATCATGGCCGCCTTCGATGAAGAAATGGCGTGCATGTTTGGTTATTTTGTTTTTGCACGCAAAACAAAGGAATGCAACGTTGCTGAACCTCCTTTGCAATCACGGCCGCCTTTGATGAACAAATGGCGTTCATCTTTTTTTTTTGTTTTTGTACGCAAACAAACAAATGAACACCAAAAAACAAAAGAATGCTGCGTTGCCACGCAACGCGCTGTGACGTAACGAAACTGTTGCCAGTTATAAAGTGTGGTTACCTTTTTTCGCCATTCTCATTTCGACGCTCATTCAAACCGCACACAAGCATCATCATCATGCCTCCGATTACTAGTGGACAAGCAGCTAAGGCTGGTCCGAGCGGCAGAGGCTCCAAGGACGAGTCGAGGAAGAAGCGCAAGAAGAAGGAATCGTACGCGATTTATATCTACAAAGTCCTGAAGCAAGTGCATCCGGACACTGGGATCTCCAGCAAGGCGATGCACGTCATGAATTCGATGGTCAACGATATTTTCGACCGCATCGCCGCTGAAGCGACGCGTCTTGCGCGCTACAACAAGCGCACGACCACCACCAGCCGCGAAATCCAGACTGCCGTCCGTCTTCTGCTTCCTGGTGAACTGGCGAAACACGCGGTCAGCGAGGGCACCAAAGCCGTTACTAAATACACCACTTACAAGTAATTCCACTGTTTGCCAATAAACAACCGATGTATTTCGATATTTAGATGAATAAAAATTCTTATTTTTTGTTTCTGTGTGAAAATGATGTGTTCTAACATGTGCAGAAGTTTTCGACCAATCAGCGCACTGCAAACGGCGGCCATCATGGAAAAAGCAAACTTCCTGCAAAATCTTCCAGAATTTGCTGAATCACGACAAACTAAATCATCCTAGCGAATATAAAAAGTTCTTTACAACTTGACGACGATATTACTGCACTTTGGTAACGAATATTCTTTAAAATTTTTATTCATCAAGTTTAACTGACTATTAATTGCTTTTTCATGCATGACTGAACTCTAGTAAGCTTTAAAAAAAACTCACTTGTGATTACTGAATGGTAATTGTATTGTTAAGGGCTGAATTACATTACACATTATTACATTTTAAGATTTTGCTTTAACTTGATATATCAATGCTTGAACTACAACATTTAGCAATATGCTATTGGGCCTGCTGGCATGCAATCAGATTAGTGGTACTTGTAGTTCCTGTGCTTGGAGAGTTTGTTGTAGTTGATGACATAGAAGAAAACCATAGCACCAGACACCAACTGGAAGAATGGAGCGATACCGGAACGCTTCGGCTGCACATACTTGTGTTGCCATCTCCACCAAGCTGCAAAAGCATAACCATAGACATTAGATTAAATCCCAATGCAAAAGATGAATGATAACTGACAGAATGACAAAAGTGTGTTGCATAACTATCAATATTAAATGAATTCATACCCCTGCTGATGGCACCAGTCATGGCCTGCGGAGACTTGTTACGGCGACCGAACCATTGGCTCAGCTCACCGATCTTCACCTGGCCGAAGGGAGTATCGGCTGGAAAACAATCAATTTTGTACAGATTATATTATGTAATGTCTTTTAACCTCATGTCGGAGTGATAGTAGAATTTCCGTCGATATTGATGCATCGTGCAGGAATTGTACTCACGTTTGCCGTAGAAGCGGGCCGGATCGTAAGGTCCGTGCACCTTGGGGTTGTAATCAGCTGGATATTCACCGAAACCCATGATTCTTGTCTGAAGTCCCGAATGTAATCTGGTCCGCTACAATGGTGGACGAGGACGGCGAGTTCGCCGGAGTTGACAGGACGGTGCGAGCGCGCAGCGAAACAAGTACGACGTGCGGTGTCAAGTATTGAAGCTTCTACTTCACACTTGCATCGTCAGGTGGCGCCAGCAGGTTTGAATAGAGTGTAGGTGGTTTAATAATATCAATCAGTCACTCAATAAACTCATTTTATTTGAAGTTTTCATTCTTCTTCAAAGACTGATTTCGAGGCGGTTATCTCGTATATTAAAAGCGATAGAGGTGAACAAAATTGAGATTCTACAACTCCTGGAAATTCTCTTCGTAAGAACGTGTTCAAATCATAACAAAATGTTGTGAACTTTAAAATTGTTTTATGTTTTATTTATCAACATCAACATATATTAGCATAACTTTATAAAACCATCTAGCCTTCAACGTTAAGACAGGCCCATCTTAATCCCTGGCTTAAAACCCCAACGATTCTTACGCCTATCTCAATATCCGCGACAAATCGTAACGCCATTACATAAATAACTAAGCACAATGCATCACAATGCAATCACACATATAATAAATACCTACGCTACGTATCTCCCCAACTGGGAAACTGGGATATGTTAAATAGATCTATCCAAAAATATTGCTGACGAAACTGTTGAAACCGTTGCTAATGGTGGAGAAGATGCCGGACTCGGCGGTATCCTGCTGCGGGGGATGCACATGCGGCAGGTGCTGCGGTGGGCCCCGATGGTAGACGGCCGACGACTGCTGGACGTAATTAGGCTGGTTGGGACCCGGCCTATAATAAGGTCCATCGCGTCTCTAAACATTCACAACGCAAATACGCACATTAACGAATGCCCCACACGATTTCCAGCAACTTTGGGAAGGATGCAAGAAGACAGGAGACTAGTACTCATATTTCATTCCTCCATTCCGTTCCAGAAACAACTTTAATACTTTCTACCCTCAGCCATCCGGAACATCAAAGTATATTTATATATGTATATTAATAATATGTGTGCATTCTTACAGCTAGGGTACTTACTTCGAATTGGGGTGCATTCCAAACATTGCAAAACCAAACTTATAATGCATCAACAACTTCAACTTCAACCGGGAGGTAGCTTGAAATATTTACAAATAAATGCTCCGCTTTGAAATTACAACACGGATATACTCGTTTGTATCTAGATAATTAAAATACGTTGTACGTTACTCTCTGGGGAATGTAAACTCGTCGACGAAAGTAGGGCGTGTGGGTTCTTTAATGTTATGTGCCGGTTGTTTTTGGATCATGCTGAGAGAAGGTGACGTCACCAGTTTGTTAAAATGCTGGCCGAACTGGAAATGTATATACAACAGAACGCTACAGAACTTGTACCAATGGGTTAACGTAATGGCGGCAGCGCCATGTTGGAACATGTACCCGACATGCGCCAAACACATGCATCGCTTAACTGGTTAGTGTAAAAGTTGAGCTTGAACTTGAACTTAAACGTCCGCGTGACTTACCAAACCTACCTTGGCAGGATGAAGAGTGACGTTTAGAAGAGTTGGGTGTTCGTCAACCACCATGAATTCGACTTCTTTTGGTACGTAACCATCAGCATAGACCTTGATAATAACATAAAACAAATTATAACAAGGAAAATTTGTTGTTTTATGTACGTACCTCCAATTTGTAGATTCCAGGAAGAAGAATACGCCAGAATTCACCGTACTTGGTAGTCTGGAAGCCAACATCACGGGACTTGACCTTCAGGGAAGCCTTCTCAACAGGGTTGCCGTTTTCATCCATTACGAAACCATGAACACCGCGGTGTGCCTCAGCAAGGAATTTAATCAAAGCCTACACACATAAAAAACATTCCAGGTTTGGTCAAACCAGTAAAATTTAGTAAATATAAAGGGGTACCATTTTATTGTCCTCCCAATATCTGGGCAGTTCGCTAGCTGGCGGGAACTTGCAGCAGGAGATCTCCAATGTGATCTCCATGCAACCAAACCAAACGTAGTTGTAGTCCTGCATACCCCCAGTGAGTGGGTACCATGCAGCACCATTGGTAATACCCTAAATTACAAATATTAGAAAATGAAGCATATATATAATCATCAACAAAATCAGGATTGGTACCTTATTGAATGATGGAGCATTTGACTTGCACGCAACATTGCGACTCATTTTTGCGTGATTGGTGGAATACGTCATGGAAAGATGCTTGAAGACATCATCATCAGGTGTTAGAGAAGGTGCCGACGAATACGCCTGGAACACTACAAAATCATTTTAATTTCTGTTCCTAGACATGTCTTTGTTTTTGATGGTCAGGCAAAATATCTTACAGGAACACAAGGCGGATGACCGACACATTCCTTTGCAGCATGGTAAAATAATCCAATAGTATCAAAATTTTACAATAATTTTTAAAAATGACTTACGAGAATTGGGAGTGTTGTCAAACGGATAACTGGCAACCAGTGCCCCGCCATGAAGACTTCCCGAAAGCACGAATTGTATTTTCGAGACCCACTCCTTGACGGCATCGGTTTCCGGTTGGGTACGCTTATTATTCTGCTTGAAGTAATCCGGGAAGTTCCTGTTGAGGTCAAACCCGCGTGCGTTGTATCGTCCTTGGCCACCCTCGCAGGTACCCTCCTTGCTCACCTCGAAACCATCGGGGTTCATGGAAGGCATAATATGAATACGGGTGTTCTCCAGCAGCCATCTTATGTAGGGATCGCTATTGTAATTCGTGGTAAGGTACTGATAACAAGAAAAAAATCTTATAGAGTTTATCAAATTGACGATTGAAGGTGTGACTCACATGAATCAACTGCAAAAGGACTTCGCGACTGACCGCCTCGTTACCATGGATGTTACCGACATATTTGACATCCGGTTTACCGATCATATGCTCGTACGGAGAGGCAGACACGACCATCACCCATAAATCCCTTCCTGAGATAATTCAAATATAACACAATTATTATAATTATAATTATAATCATGCTGGTTACAGAGTTAGAGTCATTTATCATTGGCCATATTGTTGTACCTTGGACGGACTTTCCAATGGAGTACAATGCGGTCAACGATGGAAAGCGGGAGCTCATCGCCCGCAAGTACTTCGTCATTTGCTCATAGTTGTGGTACTTGAAGTTCAGCTGGAGGTTCTCAGTGGAGGGAGTCAATTGCTGCTCGGTGTTGTAGTTGTGAATCGACGGCTGGTAGTGCCTCTGCTCGGCAATGGACGTATCTTGGAAGCTGATCTTGCTGCTGTCGTCCGTGGCGACAGTCGGATCGGTCAACGCATCGTCTTGCTCTTGACCCAGCGCGAGCTGAATGATCGCCAGCAGGCATATCAGTCGCAATCGCTTCATTTTGAATCACGAATCTGTGGGCATACAAAATTGCTCAATGCAGGAGGTGTGGCTGGACGAAAATCATGCGGCTCTTCTCCGAAAGTTACCGCAACATATTTCGTAATCGGAGTGTAATCATCGTTCTTTGTTCAAACACGTGCCGAGCGGCATCCGCAAGTAGGCCAAGCGTTTAAAACGTTTCCTTTTGAAAACAGTTCCTTGTCCTCTTGTCAATCATCTAAGTCCCGAGACGTTAATCGCCCTATTTAGTTATTAATGTTGATCGAATGCGCGACATGCTAACATATAGAAAGCCACGACATGCGATTTTCTGCGTACTTTTCCAAGGGAAATTCGATAAATGCAACGCCGGTGTGGCGCGTTTGCTTGACCCATTGACCGTCATTCGCGCGCACTCTGGGTCAAGGTCTAAGCGTCTGCGTTCCGGGGCAGCAGCGCATGGAAAACCCATCAGCGGGTTTTATCTTTATCTGCCGACGAGATACGCTCGCGGCGCACGCACAGAAACCAGAACAGGACCAGATGCGCGCAGGTCAAATCTCATCGCATACACTCAAGCGAAGCAAAAAAAAAAAGAAACCGACGAATTTACCAGTGACGAAATGACACGTTACGTAACTGTAAAGTAAGAATTTACAGCTGCATCGGCGTTCTCTGGTAAAAACCGATGTGGTCATAGCTATGACCAACATCTATATATGTTTTTCTATGATGATCAACTAATTTCTGTATGTTTCCGGTTCGTGACGCGCGCTGATATTGCTCAATTGTTGTGCGCGTGTTTAATCTTTGTAGTCGCGCACAGATTCGGCAGAATTTCGACAATTCTTTTGTCGATGTGAATTGGAACGCGTCAGATGTTGACGATTTCGTGCGCGCGAGGACCGGATTTCAGCAAATCCACACTCTAAAGTTGCGGCGAATTTCCCTAATTACCTGCGCGGAACTCGTTGCTGGACGCACTAACCTTGAGCGCAAAACCAATATTAAAAAGCAATCGGTGTTGAAAACTGAGCGGTAAGCAGCTAATTGATGCGCGCAAGTGACAAAAAATCGGGTTTTACCTCGCGACGACAAAATCACAGGTAGAATTAAAAATGCGCGCCGCGCTGATTGCCTTTGCGGCCAGGCTACCTAACTGTTCATCTATTGATCTTTTCTTTTTGTTTCGCGCTTGGCCGTGACATTCGCTATAAATACCATTGACCTTATACACTTTTCCCTCGAAAATTCATGCAATACTTTTTTATATCCAAAAAATAAACTTTTCTCACCTGATTGAAGTATAACTTGTCGGGTTGTTGCGCTGGATTAGATGCGACGATGCAATTTCTCTTCTAGCATTCGTGAATGAAAATATTCCAAAACGCCAACTTAAATACTAACGGTGCCTGCGTTAATAATTTAATTTACCGTTGTGCTCGTCGCTGGCCGCTCGCATTTGTGACTCGAATCTGACTCGATTTCCACACTGGCTTTGCAAAACTTGATTGACTCTCTTTGCTCTTTGATGATGCGCATGCATTAGCTCGTGAGTTTTGAATGAGTGACAAACAAATCGCGCGAGCGGAGTGAGCGGGAAATCACGCGTCCGTCGTCGTACCACCGACACCGACTAAGCCAACATCACACCTGAATCAAAATGCGAACAGAAACGGCGAGCATGTCCCATCGTCGGCCGGATTGAACCTTCCCAACCTTGAAGCGCTTCTTCCACCTGTGTCCGCCGCTTTCGGGTCCCCCTACTGCACACACACACGCTCTCCCCGCGCGGTAAGTACCGTTCGGGCCGTAGCGCGCCGGATGCGCCCGGCGTAAAACTTTTGCGACCACCGGAATGTGCCCAAATTGATTTCGCGTGCGGCGCGCGCCCGGCCGCCGGACGGCATTGAGAACCACACGGTCTACTTGGGCCGCGCGAAATGGTGCACACGCACACACACTTTCTTTTCTTGCGGTGGTTTACATTTTTCCATCAGTTTTTCGCCTCCGCTGCCGACAACTAGATACAATTTCTCACTTGTTGTTTTTCGCAGTTTGCACTCTGGTCACGGGCCGATGATTGTGACACAATGTGAACGCACATCGAAACAATAGAGACACCCGGCATAGCTGACCACTTAACCACATTAACTGCGCGTGAAACTATGGAGCCGCGAGGTATCAAATGATGTTTTGTGTTGGATTGCTTTCTACTCGGTTGTCGCATGCCGGTTTCATGATAATGATGATGATTCGACGAACGCGAAAGCGAGGAAAGTCGGTGCGCGCTGGAAATGCGAGCGCAATATTTATCTAACTAACTCGATGTGAATTGTGTTAAATGATTGCGATACACACGCCGCTTATCGTTTTAAAGCTTTTTATTATATCAATATTTGGTAAAACGGTAACGAAAAACATGTGGCGAACACGCACACGCTTCTTGCATGCAATACAAAGTAGTAAATTCAATAATATCGTTACGGTACAGATTATTCAAAAGATTTAGGCCCAACAGCCGCGTTATCAAATCCGCCCAAATCCGTTGTATTGTATTGTTGCATAATTGATAAGTACGCGTACATCTGGAATACATTTTCGTTTACGTTTTTTTTTGTTGCTTCATTTTGGAATGTTACATGCTTTAATCTCGAAATTTTGAACCATTCAAGACCCAAAATACCCAAGCCTACATACATTTATGCTATTACATCTATTCGAAACCCTTCCGGCGCTTTATTAAGCCCCGCATCCATCAAACGTCGATAATACTGTCGTGTTTCTTGTTGTCCTGCCCGGAATCCTTGAGTTTCTCCTGCATCTGCCGCAGCATATCCTGCATGCGGCGAATCTCTTCGTCTTTTTCTAGAAGCAGTCTATCAGTTTCAGAGATATCCGCCGCGTCGTACGGCAGCGAGTCCCGCTTGAGTTTACCTCGTTCCCGGGACGCGTATTGCGAGATTTGCGATATGCACTGCGTGCGGAAGTTCTCGTAGTGCACATCTTCGGTGACATCTTTGAGGTCCTGCATGTGCGTGGAGATGAGCATCGTACGCAGTTTGATAAAATCGCTGTGTTTCGGGTTTTCCACTGCAACAAGAAAGATGTCATTGAAAATATGTCAGGGATGTTTGCAAGGGATTAGATGGGTCTTACCGTCGACGACGCCCCATGGGTATTGCCTGCCGCGGATCTTTTTACCTGCCACTTCTATTGTAATATCACTCCCAACCACCGCGAATGGTACCGCCGCCTTCATTTCGCGGTCTTGCTCTTTGAAGGCTTCGTCTTCATCGCTGTCGCAGTCGGGAAATTCGTAAATCTGCATTTTGGGAATAAAATTTCACCGTTATACGCAATAAATGTGGGTTTATACTGGTATTACCTGAATGTCATTGTCCTTGATGTCATTCAGAATGTTCTTCTTCAGTTTGGCGACTTCGCTGGCAGTGAGCGTGTCCGCTTTGGCAATAACGATCACAATATTTACTTTCCGATGCAGCCGTTTCATTAACTCTAAGTCAACCTGCCGCAAGCTGCAAACAGAAGCACATGCATGAATGGTCGCGGAAAATGGCGCGAACGGCGGGCGTACCTGTGGCCCCATGACGGCACGAAGTACAGACAGCAGTGGACGCGATTGTCCTGAATATTCCGTCGGTTCAGGCCGCTTTCGTCGGTAAAGTACTGCCGGAACTGGTCATCGATGTAATTCGTGCACGCTTTCCAACTTTCTTCGCAATTTAACGCATCGCCGAAGCCCGGCGTGTCCACAATCGTTAATCTATAACCAAGAGAGGAAACTCCCAGTCGGTAAAACCTCTCGGATAGCGAAATATCTACCTGAGCTTGACACCGCGCTCCTCGATGTCCATGGTCTTCTTTTCGATGAGCGTTGTTTTGGTGAGGCGTTCGCCGACATCGGGCACCGTGCGCTCCTTGTACAAGTCCCCGAGGAACAAGCTGTTGATGAGCGTCGATTTACCCAGGCCGGATTCGCCGACCACCATCAGCGTGAAGTCGAATCCGCGCTTCACCGATTTCCGATGCACTTGGTCGGGCAGTGTGGCGAAGCCGATGTAGTCGCGATCGTTCTTGTCTAAAACATCGCATCGTTCGCACCCACACGCAAAAAAAATGGCACCGCTACTCACCGCCCATCTCTCCAGCTGATGTTATACAATACGGTTGACTCCAGGAAGTCGCTCGCTTTAAATATACCGCCGGCGACGCGCGTAACGAGAGTTATAAATAAACGGCACGAATCAAGTCCGTGCACGCCGACAGGAGCGCTGCAAGTGTAAATAGAAGCGCGCTCGCGGCGAGGCGCCCGGATGCCGAATGCCGATCAATATCATTCGGTTGCAGTAGTGGGTGTTGTTCCCTGCTGTCCCTGCTCGGCGTCCCTCGGCGCGCTCCTCGCACGATATGACAAATGCAGGGGACTGATATCAAACATTCGGCACACTGAATTCAACAATCTGAATCACCTCACATCGAATATGTTTGTACCGATCCAACAAATTATTCCCGATCGAAATATTAATTATTAGCGATTAATTAGAAGCTATTTTCTTATTTATCAGGATATCTACCTGAAACATTGCGTGTATAAAAATAATTTGACCGAACACGATGGAAGGATAGATCCAATAAAGCCTTCAGCATGAATATCACGATATAATGACAATAAAATCATATTTGATTGATCAATTTGTTTAATGGGGCCGATGCTGATCAAATCAACTTGTCAACTCGGCCGTTAAAACGTCCAATTCCCGGTCGGACATCGAATTCAATTCCATTCTCGAACCGCAATCGCTGGAACAATGTTCCATCAGCTAGTGTTTTTGCTCGCCGCACTTTCAGGTGCATTGAATGCATCGTCCGGCGGCAGGAGGGCCGCGTTTCTTTTCGATTATTTCGCCGGCAAGCCATTCACGCTCACGATGAATGTCTGCTGGACACACAGTGAGTGTTTGCGCGCGCGTCTCGCAATTGCGCTGGACTTAAACTTGGTCAAACGCTTCCAGGTGAAATTTCTAATTTTCTCCAAGAAGACATCCGCTCGCCGCATCCCATGCAGGTGGCGATCTATCGCAACAGCACCGCGCCGAAATCGTTCATGAATCATCTCGCTAGCAATAACTATTTCGTGCTGGACGGGCGCGATGAGTGTTCGTCAACGTGGGACATCATGGAATTCGTAAACAATCTCATCGCTTTTTAGCGATTCAATGCAGTATGATTGATTGATGAGTGTGTTTGTTGTTTTTTTTTTCTGTTTATCTATGCGCGCAGATTAACGAGACTTTAGCGTTTCGCTTCCCGCTTAAGTTTCTGCTGCTCGTCGATGAAGTGTTTGGTGAGAAATTAGTCGATGTGCTGAGTAATTACTCGATCTTGCCGAGCACCGACTTGATGGTGGTCAAGGAAGCGCCGGAAGACGACGATTTTGAATTATGGCAGCCGTACAAAATTGATATGGAGCATGCAATTAGTAAGTGCGCATGTATATGGCTGCAGTTATGCAAACATCACTATTTACAGTCTGGGAAAACTACGGTACGTGGAATGAGACCTTCGGCGTTTATAGCTACATAAACAAAAGCGAGATACAGACGCGCCGCCATGATTTCCAAGCGACGCCGATGAAAGTCGCGTTTTATATTGAATTCGAAGAGACCTGGAACCACTTGGAAGATTTCAGGTTGAACAATGCCAATTTAAGCGAAATAAATTTAACTGATAATTAATTTCTTGTTTAAAGACGTCCTAGGATAGATACATTCACTAAACAGAATTTTGGCGCCATTAGAGCTCTGATGGAGTATTGTAATATAACCTTGATTATCGTCCCCGTGAAAATTTGGGGATATTACAACCCGGAAACGCAAACATGGAACGGATTAATCGAAAAAGTCCATAAACGCGAAGTGGTCCTGGCGGGATCATCGCCGTACTTTACCGCTGAACGCTTTCAGGTCGTGGACTTTATCAAGATGCAGAATCCGCTCGAAATCAAGTTCATTATGAAAAAACCGCCGCTGAGCTACATGTACAACTTATACACGTTGCCGTTTCAGTCGAACGTGTGGAAAGCTTTGCTTATCGTCGTCTTGTTGTTTTATGCCGCAATGTATGTGATCATGAACTGGGAAACGAGAAAAATTCAACCGATAGCATGCAGGGCAACCTTTACGCCAAGTGATGTGTCGTTAATCATGTGTGAGGCTGTCTGCCAACAAGGTAGATAGAATTATTTAAGAAAATTCATTTTTTGGTTCTTTTCTTCTGACTTTCCTAGGCAATACGCTTGAATCCAACACTGTGACCGGCCGCATTTTGGAGTTTATCATGTACCTTGCCTTCTTTTTTCTGTATTCGTCATACTCGGCGTACATTGTAGTCATTCTACAATCAACGTACACAGTTGCTGATTACCAGGACTTGTATGATAGTAGTATGGGCGCAGGTGGAATGGAAACAACTTACATGCGGGTTTATCTTGCGGTACAATAACACCTATCAAAATAATCGATAAAATTTGACGCGTGGCGCTTTCAGGGATCGAAAAACCTCTTGCAACAGAAGCTTTACAATAAAAAAATTGGTCCCAATGGGTTTTATGCGCTAGAGGACGGGATTCAACGCGTAAAAAATGGTTTCTTTGCATTTCACGCGGAGGTGGCCGCTAGTTACAACTACATCGCAAAGACCTACACGGATTCGGACATTTGTAATCTCCAAATCATGGACGGTTACTCATCGGTACATAAAACTCAAAATATAAGAAACATTAATAGTATTTTTGGTGTATTTATTGCCAGTACATGAAAGGCTACACGCACACGCCGAAGAACTCGCCCTATAAAGAAATCTTCAAGGTGGCCCTGCTGAAAATCGACGAGTATGGCATCCAGAAACGAAATTACCTGCGCTACGCCGACCAGCCGAAGTGTCATGGCGGCGGCGGGTCCTTCGACAGCGTTGGCATCCGAGACATGTACAATGCGTTGTTAATTCTTGCGGCTGGCATCGGTGTCGCCGTCTGCCTGCTGATTCTAGAATGTATTTATTTTCACGTCCGGAAGCGCACCAAAGTGCAGCCTCGGCGGCCGGTGCATCATAACCAGGAACGTGAAAAGCGCGAAAAGCTGCGAAATTGGTAGAGAATGGTGGCAGTTTGAAATTCAAACAACGCACAAGGGTGCAGCGAACAGATTACCGTTACGTGAACCTATATTACGCACGTGACAGTACAACAGTACTCTTTAGTAAAATACAATTGACAAATACTATTTAAAAGCACATTGAACACTTGTTTTCTTTGTTTTTTTCGAATTTGTCTACGACTGCTGGTCAGTCGATCATTTAACAAGCCTACCACAGTTTCAAGGTACCGAGTGACGCAATCATAGTAAACACGAGTATTGGTATGTTGGGATCAATCTTTGAACATATTTTAATGCATGAATAAAAGTTTGTATGCGAACATTGGGAGTGATGCTTTGATTTTTGGTTGCGGATTTATCGTCCGTCCTGGCCGTCGTTGTACGCATAGGTTCGCCGTTTAAATCATAGTTGTGAATTTCTAACGAAAAATTTTACAGCCTTTCTGGGACAGGTTTCCGTTTCATGACTTTGCATGGAAAAAATGTACGTCACATGAGTGAATTTCGTCGCCGTTCGGTTGGCCGATAACGCGTTCGGCCGTATCGATAAGACGGGGAATGATGATTGTCTTCGGATTGTAATTTTCTAATTGGTTTCATCGTGGGCGGAAGTAACTGATTCAGTCTTCTGAGCATTTGGCATTTCGACGAGCGTCGCCGGCGTCACAATGAGCGGCGGCTTTTCGGGCGTGCTCGTCAAGGTCGGTGCTACACCATGGATCATACTCGGAAAACTCTACAACATTAGAAAACAATTAGAACACCGCGCGGAGGTGGGTGGCGTGATGAGCGGGAGCGTGAAGATGGCGAAGGTGGGTGGATGGTCTAACATCAAGAACGTAAACATCGAGCTAGAGCTACGCGCTAGTGGGCTACGGTCATAGAGATCGTTGATTCGCAAAGAAATAATTCGTCTATCGCTGCGCTAGCAACACAGTGGCTATGAAATGAAGGTAGTAGTAATGAATAGAGATCGTATTGTAAAAAAACTAGCTATAACTACCTGCGGTCACCTTCTACATGGCGTTTACATGGCGCGTTCAAGTCACACACTTAATTGAAAATTGTTTAAACTCTAAGACAGTGTTCGTTTACGTGGTAACAAGATAGCATGGTTTTGCATTCGTTACAATGCCTGGCCGACAACTGCCTGTTTTTGGATCTAAAAACTTCCATTTGTAAAAACACACATATATGGCTAATCATAGACAGAAGTACACACGTAGCTCTCTTCGTTACGAAGAGATTATAGCAATAATCTTTAGATTAATTAGTTAAAATTACACACAGATATCTGCACTGTTGCATTTCGTTCTTCCTACGACTTACTGCGACACTGCGAACAGACGCTATGGAGCGTCGCCAAAATGAAATTTCTCGCCTTGGTAATAACAATCAGAATATGTTATGATCGAAACGAACAGACAAGTTGTGTGTGGGGTGAATGTGACACGCGATTCGGACACGAGTGTGAGGGGATGCATGTGATTCGGGGCAAGACACTCACCTTTTCCGTTACGGGCGGTGGCTGTACTTTCAAATGAATACGTTTTGAACACAGCGCTTTCAGCCGATCGATGCCTGCAACAACAGCAGAAAGAAAAAGAAACAATACAATCGTACATAAAAATTGCGCGTAAGTCACCCACCTTCGTCGCGGCAGAACTGATAGCGATTTTCCCAGGCATCGAATAATCGGTTGTAGTACCTAACAGGAATAAAATCTAAAAACGTATAGGTATCGGCGGTGGGGAAGATGCGCTCGAAGCTTCCCTCAACTTCGCGCTCATCCTCGGCCTGCGTGAGGAAGCGCACGTCGTCGCCGGTGAGCTCATCGAGTATTTCGTTGATGTATTCATCGCGGCGGTCCATCTGCACGAAGTAGTTGTGTTTGTTGGCCTCCTGCGGCGTGAGCGTCGTTGTATAGATGCGCGGATCGTAGCAAGGCGGCGTCACTTCGGCGCAGCGCGTTACTTTAGGCGGCAGGTGAAATTGAGCTAGGTTGAAGAGCGTTTGTACTAATGGTCCCTTCACGTGGAGATCCAACGGAGAGGAGCTGTGCAGACTCGGTGAAATATTTACCTATATTTACGCATAAATAAATGCTTGGAACATTAAAAAAACTAAAAATTTAATATAAACATACCTCTAACAGCCAGGGTTTTAACCGCTCGTCGAATAAAACATCGACGCCGAAAAGTTCGTAGCAATTGTAACGATTGCCGACGTTTTCGGAGCACATCTGCGTAATGGGCGACTCACCACTGAGCATCGTTTTAATCACAAGCTCCTTGAGTGACTCCCAGAGAAACTTTGTATCCACGCGGCGTTCACGCAGATATTCCCAGAGTTTCGTCAGCGTCCATTTGTGGCCCTGGCAGGCGTTCGCGTCTTCGTTGGCAGTGTATTGGCTGGACAATTTGTTAATACTATAGTTGGTCAAATGCATGAAGCGATCTTTGAGATCCTTATCGTTATCACTATATTTTACTACACAAAAACAAATAAAATTATATTGTATTATGTGATGAATGTTCTTTTTTTTTCACTCACCACTCGCGAATCGAACCAATCCTTCCGGATACAGGTAGATTCTTAGGGGATTAAAGCTCGTCACAAGGACGTACAGCCTCAGGTCGAATTTGCTGCCGTTGATGAGGTACGGATCGGCAATGTATTTTTGCACTACGATCGAGGTTTGTTTCGGCAGCTGCGACCACTTGTTTATCACCTTAATGCCCACTCCGCGGGCGGACGCTGGCGGCTTGATGATCCACTTCTCACCGGCGCTGCCATCCTTGCACTCCCAGCACTTTTTCAATGATTTTATATCATTTGGCAGTATAAATGTTTGCGGGATAAAACCAAACCTGCCACGAAAAAAAACCACATAAATTATTAATCAAAATTATTGTTTAAAAGTTTAGGTATACATACTCTTTGGCACCAAATCGATGCATTAATCGTTGTACATTCCTCCACAGTCGATCCTTCCGACCCAATTGAAAAGTGCCCGCGAAATGGTTGAGTTTCTGCGCGTTCTTCAACGTCTTGAACATCGGGGACTTCATGTGTTTGCCCCACGTGCCCATCCAATCGTTAGACTCTGGAAGAGTGCGCGCAATTGGGAATTGCACATTGTAATAGTTTCGCAGCATTGTGAATTTGCTCGGGTTGCCGAAACAGAGGTGCGATGTTCTAGGTTTTATATCGATGTCGAAATCATCGGTATCTAATGGAAGGAGGTTAAGGAAATGGATAAAAATAGGAACATGTGGGTAATTTTTGTATACTTACTTCGTACAAGCCGGAATCCGGTATTGAGGAGTGTCTTCCGTACAACGATTGGCGTAATCGTACTCAGCTTCCACTTGAGGAAGCGTTTGCCTGGTGGCAGCTTGTTGGCGGCAGCATCGTGCATGCAGAACATCAGGTAGGGCGGAATGTGCGGGAAAAGACTTTTTCGCAGCGGCCACGTCGGTAGGTCGCTGGTGTTCACTCCAGGTATGGTGCATCCGGACGTGGCTGGTTTCGGAGTGCGTTTCTTATTCGGATACAATAATTCTTCTAATTCGCTTTCAGTTGTACTATAAATATAAAATAAATAAAATAAATGTTAAATTACCTAAAATTATCTTAGTAATGCATACCTAGCATCTTCCATCAATACAGAATTAAGTTTAAACGTGCGCAGTTTCAGTTTCGGAGTGCGGCCGGTATTATAACGCGATTTGCTCGCTTTAATCGAAATTTTACTGGAAGACTGTTTCTGTTCCCGCGAGCGTATCGGCCGGCGCAGATCTGTGGAAGTAGCAGGCACACTTCGATACTTGTCCATGCCGTCGATCTTCGGCTCGGGCACATCCTCTATCACCCGAATATCTTCCAGATTAACATTGGTTGTGTGGCGACGTGACGACCGATCAAGATTTTTAATCTTTGTCGGCGGTACCAACCCGGCATACTTTTTATTGTGTAAATCGCGCAGTTTCTCGCGGAGGACATCCAGCTCACGCGAATAGCGCTCTCGCACCAAATTCGTATCGAAGTTCATGTCGAAGAAGGTGCATGTCTCGTGCTTCGGCGTGTGCGTCTCCGGCACGCGCTGCGTGCTGAAATAGTTACGGTTTTGCGGTGAGAGTACGGTGTTGTACCGACCAGGAGACCCATGCGGAGACAACGCCTCCACCTGGGTTTGTCCGGTACGCTTTTGTGGGGTGACTGGTGGACGCTTGATGAGCCGCTCCGTCGGCGGACTGTAGTCGCGGCTGAGTACGTATCCATTTGAATACTCGCGCTGGATTTTTCCGTCGAGATAATCTGGCGTGGTGAGTAATTTCCCGTGTGGCAGATTGAACTGACAATTATTGCTGATGTATGTTGTCGGCAATTCGCACAAGTTGCTGCGGACGCGATCGTAGCGTACGTCCGGCACGTCCAGCTCCAGGTCGTTTTCATACTCGCACCGGCGGTCGTACTTCTTCGGCGTGTATGTTTTCATTTCCCGGGGTTTCTTGCGGCAGCTATCGTAGGTTTCGCTCTTTGTGCGGCGCCGTGATGAGTCGCGGTCGCACGTGGGGCACCAGCTCATGTAGGCGTACTTACACAGCTTGTCCGCTGGAATATCCAAGTTGCAGTCAGCCATTCCTCGCTTGCCCGTGCTACTTCTATGCATCACTCCCTATCTGCAAGTCGAATTTGTGTCATAAATGTGCTTAAACGAGTTTTGAATGTTGCATGTTCCCGATATCTTTTAACGTTTTATATTTGCAATTTTAACATAACCTCTAATTTGTTTAAAACTTTGAAAGAAAAAATGCACGTGTCTGAATTATTATCGCATGCATGGCAACACAAACAATTGTAAACAATGAAGAGGTTGCGCTGAAGGCGTCTTAAATGAAATTAGGAAAAATTAAATATGGAGAAGGCAGCAGGCGTTGCGAGGGGGGTGAATCTCCCGATCGTGCGAGATTCGATGAGATGCAAGTCGCTTTTCATCAATGAAATTTCAAACGAGGCGACGTGAAACTTGCACTTACCATCCAACACGATTCCATCACACCGTAAACACTCGCATCGCGGAAGTCGCAGTTTGCGCGGGCCGTTCGTTGGCGAATTATCGACGAATCCCGCTCCGGATAATCGGATCACAACACGCCAGCGCACGGCTGCGGTGCACGAGTTGAACCATAGTTGTACGCGAACAAAAACCGCGTGTAAAGTGCAATGCTACCGCAGCGCGTATCACCGGCACATTGCGCAGACGTGAGATGGAAATAGAAGCAACTCAACGACGTGCGTCCGTGATTAGTGGCGGCCGAGGCGCCATGTCATACGCAACGCGCAGGATCGACAATTGCTAGGTCGGTAAGACTCGCATCGCCTCGGACCCGCGCGCTGGTCGCGCCGCTTGCGTTAAATCAGACGAGAATTCGTGTTTGGTCGTTGGGCACCGAACAACAACGCGCCAAGTTGCGCTCAGTGGTCGTAATCATCACAGACACAACATTATGCACGGCGTATGTGATACTCAGCGGATTCGCAACTTTTTCTAGGTCAGGCTCGTCGATGCTCGGCCTCGATTGGCGCGCGCGCGCGCGCGCCGTGGGGCACTCGCCGGTGCTGCTCGCCGACAATCGCAGGCATTCGCAGGCGGTGCGAATCCGCGCACGGGAGGTCTGATGCGATGAGCGGTTCGAGCGAGCGACGTAATCGAACGACAAACAGCGCGACGAATCAGCTGGTACGCTGGTGGCACCGCCGGTCGACCAAATCCGCACACAGATTTCGCCATACGCGCGTACGGCGCATACGACAACGACGCGCCGGCACGCACGCACGCACCTCAACCGCACCACGCAGCACCCGCAACAGCCACCCGCTGCTGCTACCCTGCCTGCACCCGTACGCGCCTCTCTAATCAGTGTGGCGCTCCGAGGGCCCCCCGAAGTCGCGCCATCACGTGAAACGCACGTGTCGCGTATGTTTCGCCTCTTCGCGCTCCGACGCGTGGTTCTGTTTTCGTCGCGGGGCCGCCGGAATCGATGTCTTCCATTCATGCACGGACCTAGTCGCGCCTCAGCTGCTGCACTGTTTCCATATTAGGTGAGTGTGTGCGCGACGATTTACGCAGTCGTCAGCTAACTGTAAATCTTTTATCTCTCGCTCCATAAATCATGTATGCGGCGCTCGCGCGCTCGTGTTTTCTGTTGTCGAGAAACAAAAACACGAGACACGCGCGGCGTGCTTGCTGCGCTGGCAGGAGTCGCCGCCAAGCTGCCGGCGATGACGCCAAAGGTGTGGGTGCATTTGGCACCTACGATTGGCCCTTGGAGAGCATTCCTGGCTGCTCGCGGGACCGAAAGTCAAGAGCACGGGCAGTTTTATTTTTACCCGCCGGCTGGAAATTTGTTGTCGCTGCGACTCTCCATCTATCAACCGAAATATGTCAGAATGTGAAATGGTCGTTGTTCGTGTTTCGAGCGAGGTATTTTTAATTAGAGCGCTGCGCATTGCTCTTTGCTGCGTGCCGGCTTTTATTGCCGATGGCCGAAAATAGAATTGTAAAGGAGCGAGGGCGGCGCGAATTGTGTTTGCGGACGAGCAGATGAACGATGTAATCAGCGATAATTGAAATATTAATGCGATACGCCTCTGCCGTGGCTTACGGCGTTTTTAATGACAGCCAAATCCCGGAATCGCCGGGCGCCCGTCTGTGTTCGTCCACATGAATCACGCAGTTACGCAGAATCGACAATTGTCTCTGCGAGAAATTCGAGATTGCAAAATTCCCCGCTCCACGCTTCGCCGGAAACACATCATACTCTTAACTCACTGACTAAATTTCAACATCTCTATGCTTAGAAATTGACAAATCGCTCGCTTTCGTGCTGTTAACATTAATTAATAATGCGTAAAAACTTACGTGTGGCGAACGGGCTCTGTATGTGTTGTCAAAATTTGTGAAATTTTTGTCAGTTTCATGAAATTGAGAGAAGACATAATAGAAATGACATGTCAGTTGTAACAATTTTTCTAGGAATCACAGCTTACTTTGTAAATAACAAAATCACGAAGGTAAAACTAAGTAATATTTAATACGATTTCCATTTTTCTCAAGGTTTATATTCTCAGAACTTTATAAGAAGATTTTCAGAGAAGAAAATCTGAGCTTTATGCTCTTATCCAACACCTTATTTTCTTGTAAAATATTAAATTATCCAACTATAGCGGTGGAAATCTCTTTGTCACAAAAATATCATTTGAAAATCGAAACAGTTACCTCTAGTCTCGAGTTTCTGCTCGTCTTCGAGCAAAAAAGCAATGATGATTTTTATAACGCACATAAACATTTCTTTCAAGAGGAAAATTTCTCTTTAAAGTGCAATAAAATGGAAAATTTCCTCCGCATTGACGACACGCGGCGCGCGGTGGTGTCGATGACGTAAAGTGTATCGGAAAATGTCTCAACGGATTTAACCCCAGCATGCTCTATATATCTTTCTTATCGTCGTCAATCTTCATCACATCGACATCCATTATTTTCTTAATCTTATCCGCGCGGATAAAAATTCCAATCACTTTTTGTTTGCGTCAGATAATATTTTAAATCTCAACCGGTATCAAAAAAAAACTATCATAAATCCGATTTAATGCGACGTGAAACGTGAAAAGTTGTGTAACTGTTGCATGAGGGTTGATAAACAAGCCCACAAATTTCGGTACAACAGGTAGCACCGCGCACACATGTCCCCTGTCCATCCGCCCGAATGAAAAACCTGGAATTGTTTGGCCTCGCCGCCAATCTGCGCCGGGGATCGAAGCCCGTGAACTTTGAATTCCACCCAACGCGCGCGCGCTCATCAACTTCCGCATTGGTAAACACATTACGCGTATTATTCGTTGATTTATCTATTATTTATTTAGTCCATCCACGACATGTGCGCGATGTGCGCCATGCAAAGCGGACAATTACGTACATAAATGATTAATTAGCGAGTGGTATACGGGCGCGCCGGGCGGCGGCGGCGGCGGCGGCAGTATACACACTTGTTGCGCCAGGGGCTTGGATTAGCAACAGGAGTGTACGCTGCCACACGTGCCTGAATGTGTGTGTGTGTGTGTGTGTGTGAACCGAAAAGTTTCCGCAAATTTCCTCTCGAAACTTTTATCTCTGCCATTACAACTTTCCAGCCGCGTCGTCGTAGGTATCGCATGAAATGCGCAGTGGGAAAATGTTTAATAGGAAATTTTGTTCCGGGCGCGGCGGGCGAGTTACACTTGCGCTCGATATCATTAACTAATTAAACATCCAGAGTGGGATGGCGGTTAATCACTTATGGTTGTGAATCGGTTCGTGCTAAAATGCAATTTTTCTTCGCCTTGCAGATTAATCGACGTCCGCCTCTCATCCTCAAGCTGGCTGCGCCGATCAGCAACGCCTCGCCGCCGGTGCTCTGGGAGGCGAGAAGAAAAACAGGTGAGTTGCCGCCGCCGCCGCCACCCAGCTCGTTTTTCATTTCCAGCAACAACAATAAAACGCGCGGCGCGAAGACAAACAAAGGCCAAGGCGAAACGGTTGTGCGCACTTGGCCGTCAACCACGCATTGCGCTCGCTGTGCGCACACAATATAATTCAATGTTTTTCTTTCACTCGATCATCATTCCCCCCTGTTGTCTTCGTTTTGTTTACGCCGCCACCCACACAATCCTCTCCCTGCACTCCCCCGGCTGCCTGCCCTTCGAAATGGAAATTCATTATCGTTTTCCGATGCGCATTCGCTCGCCCCCGCCGACCGTGGCGTGACTTTCAAGAGTTTTAAAACGCCAGTTGATTAACACGGTCGCTATTAATAATAGAAATTAATTAGGTTTCGATGTCGCGGCGCGGGCGTCTAATTAGTGGTGTGTTTGTTTTACAATCGCCCCCGAGATGGAAGGCGGCCGCCGGAAGGTCTTGCTTGCACGTGTGCAGCGATTCGAATTCCGCGCCGAATTCTCGAAAAACTAACGAGCGACGCAATCAATTACACCAAATTGGATTATTGCATGGCGCAATTCGATACAATTACGAAGGTGGAAGACAAATATAGACCGCACGGAACTCGAGGATGTACTTACAATTACAAAAACAAACAAGTGCCGCTGTGTACCTATATGCTTTTATTAGCGCCGTCTTTTATTGTTGTCCTCGAAAGTCCCAAACGCGCGGGACGCCGCTCACCTCCTCAAAACCGCCCCTGCGTTCTCCCAAGACGCGCGCCGCCGCCGCCGCCGCAACACAAACAGACCCGAAATGAATAAACGAACACAAATATCGTATGTGCGTTGATAATTAATGAAGATGGATTAAAAGCATGCTCTTTGGTAATTACTGCAGTTTGCTTTATAATTAAACGATGCCAAACATCGCGCACGACTACGTGTCGGACATCCGCGGGTGGTGCTTCGCCGGAAGAATATATAAGCGCGCGCTGGCGCCCCGAAACCTGTAATCTTCGGCTTGTACACCATCGACTACTTATTCCTTGAGTGCTACGAATTATTACAACACACACACACACACACAACGAGATAAAAAAAATCTGTTGAGAGTGTCTGTCTTCTTTCGCTTGACCTGCGATGAAATTCTCGAAATCCGGCAACTATCTGCGCATGTTATCCTCGTCGTTGAACTGTGAGTATCCGTCGTTTTGCAATTTTAATGCGAGCGTCCGTTGTCATTGTCATCGTTGTCCAACCCTCTTCACACCTCTGCGCCGGAAATAAATCAAATGTGTGTTTTGTGTGCTTTGTTTTTTTCTCACTCGTTCGGCATTCATCTTCGCCGCGGTCTCGGCCCTTTTATTAATATCGACTGTTCTAGGTTCTAACTAACTCGTCACAAGTGTGAAAACAGATCGAAAACAATCAAAACTTGCACGCAAATAAAAAAAAAACAAAACAAAAAAAAAACAAAGTCTCGTTGCAATTTGCGATGAGCAAGAAATTCTCATCAGCAATCTGCCCCTACAACCGTATGAACCTTGGTCACTTATCGCTGTTGCACGAAGTGTTGCACATAAGTGAGTATTCATTTGGTGTAATTTTTCTTCGTTTGCACCGACGCTTTTTGTAGATCTATCTATCTATAGGTGTAGCAAGTTAGAGTTTATATATATTTAGTCTGTGTGTTGGTGTGTGTGTGTGTGCGGCGTGGATGAATCACGCCGCGCGCGCGACGAAATTCGCGAAATCGTTGTTGCGGATTTTTCGCGCGGAGCGAGCAAGGTCAGTATCATGGCGTCAAGCGTTCGCGCATGCTGCCGCCTGCCGCATGTATTACGCCACACTCGACGGCGGCTAATTGCGAAAACGTTGGCGCTCGCGCCACGCTCTCAATTCAATTAGGGTTTCGCGTTGAAGGGTGCTTTAATTGGCGATCAATTGCATCGTTGGCGGTGTACCTGCGGCGGCGGCGGCAGCGGCAGCGGCCCTTCGCACACGTGCGGCGAGCCGCGCCGCGCCGCGCAGGAAATCCTTTTAGCGGGTTTGCGGGTCATGAGTCATTCGCAAACCCAACTCGTGCCAATGCTAGTAGCCTAGCTAACGAGTTACTTCCGGAGAAAATGACGAAATTGAGTAGCATGATAGCCGTATAATTGCGCTTCAATCTTTCGGTTATATGCAATTCAATGGAAGAGTAATATCATTATATTCAGCTTATGCGCGGGGTATTCTCGGAAGGGTTTATTGGTATTTATTTACATACGATGCAGAAAATTTAATCTCTGAGCGATATGAAGGCTTCCCGGAATTCGCCTCCTCCACGTGCGTAGGTGGCAGGCAGGAGGGATGATGATGTGTGGTGGTGGTGGTGGTGGCGGAGGAGACGGTGCGGCTGCTCCTGGTGCAGATGATGATGACGCGGCACGCATGCATGTTTTTCTCGTGGCAATGCGTGCTGCGTGCTACGCAGCGGAGTGTGGTGCTCGCTGGGCGATGGGCCGCCCGATTTCAAAGGCCAAATCGAGAGCCGGCCGTGCGTCGCCTCCGTCGACTGACTGCGTCTCCTCGCCCGCCGTGCCCGCCGTCCCGCCGCGGCAGCACTCGCGGCCCCGCGGCGTGCGTGTTCTCTCGCGGCGCGCCGTTCGCTAGTAGTCTCTCATGTGCTGCTGCCAGTCTGCAACGAGTCGCGGGCCGGTGTTGACGACGCAGTGCTCGCGCTCGACGTAATTACTACGCGACGCTCCGCCGTCTCGCCTGCGTTTTGGAAAACCGCGCCGCCGAGGAGGCGATAAGGTGTGCACCGCTCGCTCCCCGCGCGCGACCGCGCCGCTTTCCGATCACATAAATGTGCACGGCGCGCGCCCGCCGCGCGCAATCGGGCCTCGAAGTGACGAAAGTTTTATTGGTGCGCGGATTACCTAATTGGCGGCACGGCGGCACTGCACCAGCGGGCTCAGCCTGCAGCAAGCAGCGCGTGAAGTGAACAGACACACAAACAACACCGCCGATACACTCAACACACCACAACAACAGCGAGAGACGAAACAAACGGCACACACCGAAACAAAAAAAATGACAAAGTGAAGCGGCCGCGGAGTTCGCGAGCGCGCAAGTGGAAAGTTTTCGGCGCTGCGGGATTTTCGGGCCGCGCGCGCGTCGAATGTGCGATTAGTTTCGGCCCGGCGGAGTGTTCGGTGCCCGCGCCGTCGGCCAGTGTTTACACCTTCGCATGCGTTCGCATTCCCGTCCACGCGAGAGGATTTAAAGCCCCGCGCGCGAGGAGAGCGCACGCACGATCCAGCAGCGCGCGCGCGACGCGCACGCCAAAGTAAGCAAAGACGGGGGCCCCGAGACCGGCTGGTCGCTGGCGGGCAGAGGCGCGCGGGATTAAATAATTACTTGATGGTCAGTTTACACTCTTCTTTGTGCGCCTCGCGAGGCGCGCAATTGCGTTCGGAAACGGATAAGCGAGCGATTGTGTCGCGGCGGCGCTCGCCACACGAGCGCGCGCGCCCGCCCCGCCGCTGTAACTGATATCAAGTACGTATTCAATCCGGTTGCGTTGGTTTCTTGATTTTGCATTATCTATTAAAAGAAAACTTCACCACACATTCACTCACCACACATGCACACACATAGAATAAACACATTCAAATAAAACATCGTCCTCAGCCGCAAGGTCGGGGGGTAGGGGAGGGTCTAGCAGCTGAGGCATGCGAAATGTTTTGCGGGACGTCATTCGCGATGCGGCACGTACAACGATAAATTGTTTGTTTCTTGCAGGTGCAATTAGACTTAATTAAGACGCGAATGCGCGCCGCGGTTTGCAATTCGGCACAAATATAGCTGCGCGCCACGATGTAAAATACGCATGACAAGCGTAAGTAGGTATATAATGGGAACGCGATAGTCGCGCGCGCGCGTTAAACGAACCGCGCTATCGCTTCAATTCGCGATTTGCTCATTCCGCGCGCACGCCGGACGCGCCGTCGATTTTCGGGGTCGCGGAAAACGATCGCCAACTTTCGTTCTCTCCGAGGACGTAATATGTGGGTCTCGTTTTCGGGGTTCATGAACTCATTGTTGTGTTTCGATTTACCTACTTTGCGTACTCATTGCGAAAACTTTACGCCGAAAACTTTTGTTTCTCGCTGTGCGCGCGAGAAAAACTCTTTTCAACGGCGTCACCCAATCAATATCGAGTCTCGCGTGTGTGTGTCGAAAATACTACCTGTTGGATTCGAACAATACCAGATTATTTCAGTTAGCGCTGGACTATTATTGTGATTGTCGCGCACACAATAATAGATTACGCGTTCGCTCGCGGCATGTCACAATAACTATCAATCGCGCGCGGCGCGCCGAGAGTTAAATTGCGCCTTGCGGAATCGGAATCGAACGAATTACACACATGTAGAGGTATCTACATCGTTGTCTATCGTCTACACATAACGTCGAATTTGTTCGCAGTGCGCGCGTGTTTTTTTTGTTGTTGTTTGTTATTTATTAATGACGGCGCTTAATTTTCCCTTGCGCGGATTAAAAAAAAACAAACACGAAATAAAAAAAAACGCACGCAAACACATGCCGACAACAATGGATCTACGTCGCAGCGCGCAGATTGATCGATTTCATTCATCATCGGCGCGATAAAATCTGATCCTGGTATTATCGGCGCGTATCAATTAGGCGCTAATCGTGTTACATAAAGTGCGCTTGTAACGTCCGTCGTCGAGTACTCGAAAACAACTTGAGACTATGCACACTCTCCGCGCGCACTGACAAACAGGGAAATTCTTTTTGTTGTTTTTTTTTTTGCGATTTATTGCACGCACTCAACAATAGAGCGCTTATATATGTTCTGAGTAAATGCCGGCGCTTTGAATTTGATGCCGAGCTGAATTCTAATGCACGAAGGAGAAATGTACGTCATGCATGCTTTGCGCTCAATGCGCATACTTTAAGTCGCCGCCGTCTCCTGTTGGTGACGCTCATTGTTTGGTATACTTTTCCCGAGAATTTCGCTATTTGTCATGTGTTTTAATGTCTCGTCCATCTGCTGATAGACGTTAAATATTTTTGGCTTAGAACTCTGACGCGCAACGACCATGAAAACGCCGCGCGCTGAAATAATAAAAAAAACAGCGCCGGTTTTAATTACGCACGTGTAGGCGTGTCGGCGGCGGCGGCGGCAGAGTGTGAGAGTTTTTATTTTCTGTTGTCATCATCGTCGAGAATTATCTTATCTGCGCTGAACAGCGCGCTTAGGCCCCTAAATAGGGCACGACATAATCGGCCCTGCGACACGCTCGCCACGTTTTATAACTTTGTTGTGTGTGTGTGTTGTTACAAAACCAGTCGCGACAGGATTACACGTCCGAGGCGAAGACGCGCATCTTCGCGCATATTGCGCCCGCCGCCGTTATGTAAATCGCGATTACGAAATACCGCCGCGCGCTATTCAATTCACCTGCGCGAAATATGTGCGGCAACGACGGCGGCATGCTGCACACTCGCGACGACGAACGAAATTAATATCGGCGCGGGAATGTCGGGCACGCATAGATTCGCATAAATTCGCATTTTGCATTGCACATTGCACACGCACACTTCATCATCTTGATGGGTGTTTTATCCTTGGCGCGCGCGCGTACATTTTATGATATACACGCTGGCGGCGGCTGCTCCTCTTTCCCTTCCGGTCGGATGACGCCCGCCCGTCGTTGTAAAGGTGTTCGGCGTGATAGATAGTGTCTTTTTTCGTGCCGCATGGCCTGATTGATGATGATGATGATGACGACGGCGAAGGCTCCTTTTCAAGTTTCGGATGGGCGCACGTCTAATTTTCTTACGCTTAGTATTTTCCCGCGTTTTTCACGCATATACCCACACCGATTGTACGTGGAACAATTCTAGTAAGGTTTTACGCCGGAGCCAGATTTTTCATTTTCAGTTCAGCAAGGTGGGGAAAAATAATATCACCGCGCTGTTTACGGCGGCTCATAAAATTTAAACACACATTAATCATTCAAATGATATCAAAGGTTGATGTGTGCGTGCTCACAACCTCTCTCCTACCTATCCGCTCGACGCCGTATGGTGGCGCATTTCATCCGCGGTTCCCACGTTTCGAGAGAGAAGCGAAGAACGAATTTTTTTCCTGGCGGGCCGAAACAATGGGCACAACTGTGTTCGGTTTATTAGTCTGCTGCCGCGAGCACCCATTGTGCGGTGCGTTGTAACATAGAATCGCGTATCGCTGCGTTTTGTTGTCATCGCGGTATCTGCAACGGAACTTTCCACTGCTGATTATGCCGCGTTCGACGCTTTATCAACGATAGGTTTACTTACACAGCGCCGGCACACGTCATGTATTTTTGTTGGCCGGCGCGGCCGCGTGTGCAATATTGTCGCTTGGTTTTTAAGTCGCGTTTTGCATATACATACATACACACACATGCAAGCAGGCGGATTGAGATTAGCAGCCGCGTGGCGCGAAGGAGGAGAGACGAGACGCGAAGGAATGCGCTCGCAGCTGATCCGCGCGGCGATACGCGCTGACCGGAAATTGTAGAAAATAATTTGTGCGAGCGCTTCCTGCGCGCCGTACAACAATTACAGCTGAAAGCTTTTTGAACCGTTTTGAGTGCGGAACACTTTTACTTTGTGTGCGAGTGCGCGGGAAAAGCGGATTCCCGGACGGTTTTAATACTCAGCTTTATTAAATTTTTTTGTTTTCGAGCCGAATTCATTGCAGCGTGTTTTCTGCAATGCGAATAAATAAATTACCGGCGCTGTTTTGAAGGTCGGAATTTTTGTTTAGGCTTTAATTGGCTGGTAAATGAATAGATTCGCTTGGTGTGCGGGTCCAGACTACGACGGCTATAAACGCGCCGAAACTAAAATTTGCGCCTGGGAAAAAAAGCCGTTTGCAAAATTAGTAAATAATTGACCCCGAAGAGCGATTATACCGCCTGAAGATAATCGTTATCTACGCAGCCCACATTCGCACAGCAATTATTTTTCTTTCGCAGCACATTTTCCCTTTCTGTCGAGATGTGTGTGTGTGTGTGGTTTTTTTCTATTGATTTTGCGAAGTATTTATAGTACTTAATAAATGGGATGTGGAATGGACACGCGGACGTGAAGTCGGGACAGCGAGCGTGTGTACGCGCGGCTTCCAATTTCCAGCGGCGCCGCCGCCGCCACCACCGCCGCTCCCCCTTTCGCATACTAACGCGCGTCGCTTTTCTAGCGCAATTTTTTTTTGTTCCCGAAAGAAAACAAACCAAACACAACGCACAACACGTAGTTGCGTGCGCGCGCGCGCTGTGGTATTGTGGCGTTTTCGGTGTGCGTTTCCCACTTATCGCGCGCCCGGCGCGGCGCAAAAGTAACACAATTCTATTATTCCGCTTTGCATCATAATCAGGCGCGAGGAGTCGAGTGGCAGCATCGAGTCGATAATCTACAGACCGACCGGCGGGGAAATCCAGATTAAGGCGCAATCGTTATTTTTAATTCGGGCCAGCGAAGAAAGGAAGTAGGCGAAGTGGGCACACGGTGTTATCCCGGCTTCCGGCGCAAGGCGCGATAAGTCATACGTGCGCCGCCGCTAATGACGTCCGCATAACATCACCACCACACCACTCAACCACACACACCATCCACCACAATGTACTAATAATGGCATTTCGAGGCTTCGAGGCATTTCGAGACACTGTGTGTTCTGATTCATGACATGTGTATATTTTCTCATTATATAGAAGCAATGCCCGCAATTTGTTTTTGCTTGCCACACTAAGCGAGCACGGACACCCGGACCCTCCAGCGGCCGCACGCCGCCCCCGCTGCGGCACCCGTCCGCGCGCCCAGCGGCCAACACGGCTACCCACGCCGCCGACTGGCCCCAGCGAGAGTTGAACAATAACGAGTGCTGCGAGCCAGCGCCGTCGCCGCCGCACAGCAGGCGCAAGATTTGCGCGCGGCACGCCGCCAAGGCAAAGCATTTGCTGCACCACCACCACCACCTCTACGCGCACGGCGACGGCGGCCGCCTCTCGAAGGTGAGACGTCGCTGGACGGCGCGCGGCGGCGACAGCGGGCACGGCCTGTTCGGGCGCGCGCTGCACAAGGCCGGCGCAAAGGTCTCGAGGGTGGCAGTGACCCTGAAGCAGTGGTGGCGCGATGCGGGGCTCTGCCCCGGCACGTCGTGCGCGCCGCTAGCCGGCCGCGCCGACGGCATCGGCGGCGGCGGCGGCGGTCCAGGGTGCACGTGCGCGAGGCGCGTCGCGGCGAGGAGTGGACGCCATCGACTCATGGGCCAGTCCCTCAGCATGTGTAAGCTACACCAATGTCGACACAAGAAAAGTAAGTCTGCCGTCCCCGTCCGCTGCAGAGGCCGGCAGCGCGCGCGCGAGACCACCACATCTCTTCTGCGCGAATGCCTGCCAAGAAGCCCGGCATTACATTTATCGATTCCGACGTATTTAGCGTCATTCATGTACTACTCCCATTTGCATGCGAGCCCGTCATTCCGTCGCTCGTTAATTAAGAGATCACTATCTAATAATAGCGCGCCGCATTTTTAACGCATTTTAGCGCCGCATTACTTTTACAGCCCCGCCATTAGCCATCCCGCTAATGAATTGCACTACTCGCTCTCCTCTAGCTCTTCCCACTGCGCCTGGCTCGCCGCGAAACGCGCCACGAATTGGTGCCCCTTAAATAGCGTAAGCGCACACTGCGCGCGTGGTAAGTCGCGGTTATTTTTAACGCCCCGCTCGGATGACATGCTGTATGCGCTGTGCGCTTGTAAAAGTTTCCGTTCCGAAAATAGACGGTTTCATGCAGCACCGTGCCGGCGAACGCCGAAAGGTCGGCGGGCGTCGGGCGGCGGCGGTGTGTTAAGTCTCTTCGGAGATGATTCGCTGGCGCGCGCGAACGCTGATTGTTCGCGCGACGCGTGCTTTGTGCGCGCGTATCGCCGCCGCCGCCGGCGTCGCGACGTGCGAAAACAATGGCGAACGGGATACTATCGCCGGCGATTGTTCACGTGAGTGACGTGACAACGGCGTCAACTTGAATGGGGCCTGTCGAGAACGCTCATTTTTCTTATCTAGTTCTCCTACATTATCCGATTCTTGACTTGCTCGCTAGCTATAGCTATCTGGTAGATTTAACTGTGGCTGGCTGGCTGGCCGCACACACCCTACTGCTGCTTCCGCTCTACACCACCACCCCGATATTTCCACCAAACGCGCGTATTTTTAGAACGCTGCGGATTGTAATCCGTTTCTGCTTCTTCGTAGGCTTGCACTTGCGTAACACCGAGGAATCTCGGATGCCTATTGAAGGACCCGGCTCCCAAACCGGACTACATCGCGTTCAAAGGAATTGCTATGATCCGGAGTATGCTCGCATGGAATCATGGCTGGATGAGCATCAGGATTTCGTGCAAGACTACTTCATAAGGTATTACTGCGGAGTATGAAGATAATAGACGTGATGATTTTTTACATGAAATAAATATTTGCAGGAAGGCTACACGCCAGGTGGTGGACGCATGGCTTGTTTCACACGCCACCCCAACATCTTCGAGTACCGAACTCGTGTCGCCGACGCATGCATCGCGCGGCGGCTCCGGCGCCACCACGCCGGTGAGGAAGATCTCCGCGCACGAGTTCGAGCGCGGCGGTCTGCTCAAGCCTATGGTGAGCACGGTCGATGGCCAGACTACGTTCCTCACCGGTACGGATGGTCACACCGTGGTTGGCACCGGCCCCTCGCCGACACCCGGTCGTCGTCAACGTCGTTCACGCAACGAGCTGCGACAGCTCGACGAGAAGGAGCTTATTTTCGAGCTGGTAGGTCTGCGGGTATACCCGCGCTGTACAAACCAATTTAATCTTCCACGTCTCTAGGTGAAGGACATCTGTAATGAATTGGATGTGCGCTCACTGTGCCACAAGATTCTGCAGAATGTCTCGATGCTCTTGCATGCCGACCGCGGCTCGCTGTTCCTGGTGGAAGGCGCCAGGGAGGAGGGCTATGGGCCGAGTGCGCGCACGCTCGTGTCGAAGCTGTTTGACGTCTGCTCGAAGAGCACACTCATGGAGATGGAGAAGAAGGACGAGATACGCATACCGTGGGGCACGGGTATCGTGGGCTACGTCGCGAAGAGCGGCGACCCGGTCAACATTCCGGACGCCTACAAGGTACGCAAACATTGTTTTTTTTTTGTAGGGATGAATGTGTTTGATCAGTTGATGAATTTCGCAGGACGCGCGATTCAATCACGACATTGATGTGCGCACTGGATACAGGACGCGGGCATTACTCTGCATGCCGATTAAGGACATCAACGGGGATGTCATTGGGGTCGCTCAGGTGATTAACAAACGTGGCGACACTCCGTTTACCGAGCAGGATGAGAAGGTATTCTCGAGTTACCTGCAGTTCTGCGGTATTGGACTGCGCAATGCGCATCTCTACGAGAAGTCGCAGTTGGAGATCAAACGGAACCAGGTTCTGCTTGACCTGGCGCGTATGATCTTCGAGGAGCAGAGCACCATTGAGCACGTGGTCTTCAGAATTCTCACGCACACGCAGAGTCTGATCCAGTGTCAACGGGTGCAGGTACTGCTGATGCACCAGGCGTCCAAGGGGAGTTTTTCGCGTGTCTTTGATTTCGAGGCGGCCGATTTGAACGGTGAGGAGGGCGAGTCGCGCACCAGCCCGCACGAGAGCCGCTTTCCGGTCAACGTCGGCATCACCGGCTATGTATCTACTACAGGGGAAGTAAGTACAGTTGCATTTTTAGGGGGTACCTTCTCATTGCGCTGGTATTCTCGTCGTTTTTCAGACCGTATCCATTCCGCGTGCGTACGAAGACGCTCGTTTTGACCCTCGAGTCGACGAGGGTACCGGCTTCAAACATAAGACCATCCTTTGCATGGCTATCAAGAATTCATCAGGGCAGATCATCGGAGTCATCCAATTGGTGAATAAATTCGATGACTTGCCGTTCACCAAGAACGACGAGAACTTTGTCGAGGCGTTTGCGATCTTCTGCGGAATGGGCATCCACAACACGCACATGTACGAGCGTGCGGTGGTCGCCATCGCCAAGCAAAGCGTCACTCTCGAGGTGCTCTCATACCATGCGACCGCCAGTCTGGAGGACGCGCAGCGCCTACGCAAATTACGCGTCGCTTCCGCCGCCCATCTCCGCTTGCATGACTTCAGCTTCGACGACATTAACATGGACGACGATCAGACGATCGCCGCCTGCATGCGTATGTTCCTCGATCTGGACCTGGTCGAGCGTTTTCATATGGACTACGAGGTGCTGTGCCGCTGGCTGCTGTCAGTGAAAAAGAACTATCGCAACGTGACGTACCACAACTGGCGGCATGCCTTCAATGTGGCGCAGATGATGTTTGCCATTCTCACCGCCACCCAATGGTGGAAGATCTTCGGCGAGGTTGAGTGCCTTGCGTTGATCATCGGCTGTTTGTGCCACGATTTGGATCATCGGGGTACAAATAACTCGTTTCAAATTAAGTGCGCATCATGGCCGCTCCGCTGGCGCAGGTTAAATTAATTACAGGCGGTGTCGTGTTACAGGGCGTCGTCACCGCTGGCCCAACTGTACTCCACCTCTACAATGGAGCACCACCATTTCGATCAGTGCGTGATGATCTTGAACTCGCCGGGGAATCAAGTTCTTGCCAACGTCTCACCTGATGAGTACTCGCGGGTGATTCGTCTAGTCGAAGAAGCCATCTTGTCTACGGATCTGGCTGTTTACTTTAGGTGCGTGTAAAAATTACCATCAAATATCGTGATTTGTAATAGTGTGTATTTTTTTGTTTTCGTATAGAAAACGCGGCGCATTCTTCAACACCATATCACAAGGACCAAATTTCGAGTTGAATGACCAGCGCGAATTGCTGCGCGCCATGTTGATGACCGTGTGCGACCTGGCGGCAATTACCAAGCCGTGGGACGTGGAGAAGCGGGTTGCCGAGCTTGTCTCGTCCGAGTTCTTCGAGCAGGGTGATATGGAGCGTGAAGAATTCAACATTACGCCAATTGTAACTAATCAACGCTTGTTTTTTATGATGTTTTTATGCACGTTTATATATTTTTAGGACTTAATGAACAGGGAAAAAGAGGACCAATTACCTTTAATGCAGATCGGCTTCATTGACTCGATCTGCTTACCGATTTATGAGGTACGCAATGATTTCTGATTTTAACAATGCAATGATGTTAGTTAATTTAAATCATTTATCGTAGGCATTCGCTCGCCTCTCTGAGAAGCTGCAGTCACTGGTGGAGGGCGTGAACAAGAATCGCGAAATGTGGATGGACATTGCCGCGCAACAGCGTCTGCTGCCGGCGGAGGGCGTCGAGAAGGACTCGAACGACAATGTGGCGGCGGGCAAGAGCGTCTAATCGCGCTGCGCTGCGGCCGGATGTATTTATACTGTTGTAGATACCGAGGGGATTATTTATTAATGTACTATACATATATCATTTACCTATTTAACAAGAGAAACACTTGCAAGGAGCGTACGACTGCTGCAGACACGCGTCCGTCCGCCGAATGCGGTGGTGACGCGCGTTTCGCGTCCGTGAGATCGCGTTGGTTCTTAATTAATCGATAACTTATATGAATTACTTGCACTTCCTCTAGTGCCTAGTCCTAACACTTAATATGTGTGAGATCAGTGATGCAAGCCGCGAGGGTGATGGGTGGAGCGGGCGTCGTTGTTTTCGAAGAGAGATGCAATTCTTACTAAACTGGCGGGCCGCCAACACAACATGAGCAAGCAGGGCACCGTGCCACGAACCGATTTTGAGTTTGTTTGAGTTTTTCAGTTATTTCAGTTTTGCTCTCTTTGCTGTCTTTGTCGATTTTTATTAATTGTGATATTTTTTATTATTTAGTTACAAAATGCTAAAAATTTGAATTTTATTAATGAAATCTATACTACTCCAGTCGTGCATTTGTGTGAGGCGAAAGGTGAAAATGAAATGCGCAAATGCTCCTGATTTCTAATGCAGTGCCGTATTTAATTATATGGTCATAAATGATATGCAAGTGGTTTTATTCGGACTGAACGTTGGACGTTGCAGTGATGACGACCGGCTGACGAACCAGACGAAAACACTAAACAGTTTTATCATTATCCACATACACATTGCCACATCGTGCCCGCTGACTGACTGAATTCTGAAAATAACACACAAGACACTTCTTATCATTCTCGTGTAGCTGGTGATAGCGTGCGCTGTGCGTGCGATAGTGAAAATGCTGCGGCGGCTTGTTGGGTCCGGCGGAGTGTTGAAATTAATCGCCGCACGTCGGTCACAAGCACAACATGGCGGCTAAATGGTGGCCAAGCACGCTTTTTGTGCTATTGGCTGTTTTCAATAACAAACATGTATCGTCCGACGGTCTACCGCCAACATGCGACAGCGAAGTTTATTGTTACGGCGATTTATTGCACGTGGTGCAAACCGCGGGAATCTTCCCCGATTCGAAGACCTTTGTGGATATGAGCATGCTTCGGGAACCCCGGCACATCCTCGACGACTTCGAACATCTGTTGGCCGAAAATAACGGCAACTTGACGAAGCAACAAGTGAGTAGTAAATTCTCTTCGCGGGCAAAACTTCAAACTAAATGTGTATAGGTACAGACATTCGTCGACGCCAACTTTAAAAGTGATCTTGAGTTGGAAGACTGGGTACCACCAGATTTTACCCCTTTTCCCTCGTTCCTCAAGGATGTCACCGATGAGGATATGCGCACGTTTGCTTGGAACGTAATCGCCATCTGGCCGAAACTCACTCGACGGATCAAACAAACCGTATCGGAGCACCCTTCGCGCCATTCAATCATTTATCTCCCGAATGGAATAGTCGTACCTGGTGGCAGGTTCAGAGAGTCTTACTATTGGGACACATACTGGATCATCAAGGGTTTGCTGGCGAGTGAGATGCATACAACTGCCAGGGGTCTCTTGGACAATTTCGTGCATTTGATTAAGACTTACGGTTTCATTCCGAATGGCGGCCGGGTTTACTTTACCCGCAGGTCGCAACCGCCTCTTTTCACTTCAATGTCAATGGAATATTTCAAATACACCGGGAACATAACATGGGTACGTCGTAATATTGAGTTTATGGAGAAAGAAGTACTCTCTTGGCAGAGTCAAATGATTAAAGTAGGCAAGCATATGTTGGCTAGGTACCTTCCGAAGAGTACAGGCCCACGGGCGGAGTCCTACAAAGAGGACTACACTTTGGCGATGAGATTTCCCGAACGTGAACGTGATAGGGTCTACGTAGATTTGAAAGCGTGCGCGGAGAGCGGGTGGGACTTTTCTTCTCGTTGGTTTTACGGTGGTGCCGGTGGAAATTTATCGCAATTACATACGGGTCGTACTCTCCCGGTTGATTTGAACGCGTATTTGGGCAAGTGTTATCATGACCTGGCGCATTTCTACAGTGTATTAGGTAATCCCATCAAGCAGAACTACTGGAATGTCGAATACGACAAAATGAAGTATGCTATTTACGATGTCTTCTGGAACGAGACAGATGGCACATGGTACGACTTTGATTTGAAACAGAATGTGCACCGGCGTCAGTTCTTTCCTTCCAATCTGGCTCCTTTATGGGCCGGAATCCATCATGACGGCAGTGTACATGACTTTGTCTACGATTACCTTCAAAGAAGTGGCATTTTTGATTATCTAGGAGGTACACCTGCTTCTACGCAGCAAACCGGTGAACAGTGGGACTATCCGAATGCATGGGCGCCACTGCAGGATATCATCATCACCGCACTCCGCCGCGGTAATCAGAAATCGCGAGAAATGGCCGCCAGACTGGCACGTCTCTGGGTGACAGCGAACGCCATCGGGTTCAAGAATTCCGGCGAGCTCTTCGAGAAGTACGATGCGCTGGTACCGGGGAGGTATGGTGGCGGTGGAGAATACATTGTACAAGCGGGTTTCGGCTGGACCAACGGGCTTGCCTTAGATCTTATTACGAAATATTTTACAAGAACAAACTAGATGGTTTTAATACAAATACATTCTGTAGTACAGATGCGAGACGCTATGCGTGTCTTCTCTTTGGTGTGTCCCATCCTCACAGCGTGTGACGAAAATGCATCCGGCATCGGTTTCTCGTGTTTTTTAAACGGCCCTGCCTTGTATTCTCTAAAATAGCCGCTAGCGGCCAAACACAAACTAAGCGGTAAGTAGTAATACATTAAACTTGATTAGTGACTTATCACAGTAAACGATAATAACTTGATTTGTTGAAGAATGAAATTAAAGTGGGATTAAGGGTGGGCCGGGGTTGTCGGCGGCCGGCGGAGGTGGTGGCGGGACGCCTTGATTTAGGGTGCTGCCCTGACTTGAGGCGTGGCTACTCGATCGCGAGTGACTGCCACCAACTGGTGTTTGAATCTGCGGCGTGGGCGGACTCTTCACACCTGCAATCATACCAGGAGTGTTGTATTAATCAGTGTGCACGGAAGAAGCACGCGTGGATTGTGATTATTATGAATTAGCAAAGAAAACAGAGAAAACAGAACGTAGCATTAAGTAGGTTAGTAATTACCACTTTGTAAATTTCCTCCTCCGTGCATCTGCATGTGGTATCTGTAGATGTTTTCGGTGGACTCAACGACGCCCTGTGTTAAATTAAGGCTCCTACCTCGCACTCCTGTCTCCTTCGTCTTCGGCGCCCACCAATTCATAAATGTGCCCACAACAGGTACCTGCCGCAGGATGCCTTCCTGCCATAGCTTCTCCTCGTTCTCTTTCTGAAGATCCAATGTCGCTGTTTCAATGCCTGTCAAAATAAACACCAAAATACAATTACTCTCTATTAGAAATCTTTGTGTGTGGATTAAGAAATACCTCGTTTGACTATTTCACTCATCGAATCCAACACCCGGGAGTTCTCCTCTACGCTCTGCCCGACTCGAATAACCAGATTGATCAACTCCTCCACTTCCGATTGAGGTGTGAGCATGCCAAAACGAACACACATCAATCCATCAGTGCCCTCGCCAAGCGAAAACGCCGAATCTGTCGAGCGCAGGGAATCCACCAGCGCCATGTTTAAATTGTTGAGCTCCTCCTTCGCCTGGTCGGTGAGCAACTCCTCCCAGCCTTCCGGCGCGTATCTCACACCGCCCAATCCTGCCCATTCGGGTAGTTCCACTACTCGCAAGACAGGTGATGCCTCAATAAGCTTCAGGAACGTGTGTTTGTGCTGGATGGTCGCGCGGAGGATAATCAACTGCTGCTCCAAACACTGCACGAATTGCTCGATGTCCGCGGCGGTCGGCTGCTGCCCGATCGCGTACTCAAACGGGCAGAAACGCAGCACCACGCCGATGTTTTCCAGTTCGCAGATATCGATCGGTACCTGCGGCGCGTCCAATTGCAGAATTTGTCCCAGCCACGAGTTCAACTTATCATAGTATTGCGGAACACGCGTGATCACCTCGCCCTCCTTCGCTTCGGGTATGAATTGAAAGACGACGCTGCATGCGGTGGTCTCGAACAGGATGGGTACGGTGCTTGCCTTCGAGATCAACTCGGACACTGTGTATGTGCCACTCTCTCCACCGGGTTTTTGACTCTGTTTCATAGGATAATTAGCGTCCAAAGTTTGTAGCATGAAAAATACTTACTAAAACTCGAACTTGGCGATAACAATCGATCGCCGCCCAAAGCCTCTCGCTAGCGAGGAAATTATCGCGAATTTTCGCGTGTAGACCTTCACGACCCAACGCCTGCAGTGCAACCCACAGGGGCAGCGACACTATTCGCCTGCCCTGATGATCATTCGTTAACCCTGCGATCAGGGGCAGCGTGCTCTCACGCGTTGAGCCAACCTGACGATTTCGAGCTCCGGTGGGGTTTTGTTTCTCCCATAATCGATACAAAGTCTGCGAAATTCATAAGGAAATACCACGACAACACGAAATACATAAATAAATGAGTATTAAAAAAGGATACGATCATTGGTAAGCCTGGTAGACCGAGCCAACTTCCCAAAGGCAACGTAAAACTGTCCGCGATCGCCGGTTGCTAAACAGAACAGCGAAACATCACATATTTCAAATAAAAATACACATTTTCGAAATGATTACATGTCCGTTGGGTTGTTGTAGTGGTAAGACAAGCGCGGCCAGACTGTGTCCGCGCAAATGCAGCCAAATATCGTGACACTTGCACAGCTCCTGAATGCGTGGGATGTTGTCCAAGTGTCCGGTGATTGGCGTGCCGACGTCGGCGATGACGATGAGCGGCGTACGCCCGGCGTTCATATCCTCGGTGAGCATTTTTTGCAGCGCCGTGCAATCCATCGTATACTGTGAACCTGTTGGCGCTGAATTATTTTCCCATTTGAATATTGCCACAGACGCACTTACCGAAATGCGTGTGCACTGGGACGGGCCTTACGCAAGACAGCGGCAATTCTAATTGCCGACATAAATGTTGCACCACTCCCAGGGGACTTGCCACACTGCTGTAAATCGTTGGCGGAGCTGCGGTGTACGCCAGCGCGCCGTCTTCCAAATATCGCGGATATTTGTAGTGCAGAATCATGCGCGTTATGCGTACGAGGCCTTCCAGTTGGTCTTCGTGGTAATATGCAGAAGAGTCCAGAAAACTGCACTCAAAGATTCAATCAGATATGAACTGATGCCTCAAATGACAGCTTTGCATGCATGATTGTTATTTACATACCCAAACATTTGACTCAACCATCTTGTAGTATCTGTAGTAAACCTTGTGCTTAATTTTTGTAATACCATTCTATCCAAGTTGCCACAGTATGCAGCCAAACTGTGTGAGGTGATGACAAGTTTAGCAATGTCATCAAGTGCTGGCAAGGCAGTGGGCTCACCATCCTCATCAGTGGCAACCAGGGTTTGAATAGTTTGAATAATCTCATTGCCTTGCTTTTGATCCAGGCCTAAAAACACAGTAGGCTGGTTGAAGACGCCGTCGTTTGCACTGCCCCCTACAGCAATCTGTTCCAGCCGGCTGACGATCTGTGAAGCTTCAATTGCAATCTCTCCGAGTTGTGGCTGCAAGTGACCGGGTGAGTTTTAGAATTAAATTCGGAAATAAGAAGCATTGGGTGCATGATATTGCGGTTAAGACACGTACATTACGTGGCGAGTTTTCGCTCGGTGGCTTGCCGATATCCATAACGACCGCCGGCGGCGGTGCTGGGGGCCCTCCTTGGGGCTGTGCGGCCTCGACGGCGATTTGCGGCGTGGAGTTGCTGCGCTGCGTCGGCGGAGTCGCCATCGTGGCAGAGAACGCGCGCGCGTTGACGCTGTCGCAGCGGTGTTCACGAGACGTATCGCGGGGCTGGGCGCAAAGCGCAGGAGGTGGCTGAGTTGGCCGCTGGTAGTCGTGGCCGTGTCGAGGTTTGCGTGCGGCGTGGAGGCTACGAAGGTAACGACGTACGCTGCACACATATAGCACACCTACCTATGACGAGGAAAATTCGAAACATTCGAAACTTGGAAAAGCGTCAAACGAATTATGCTCGCTTTTAAAATTAGAAACACGCAGTCTGTGCGCTTAAAATTCTCCTATTTTTCGTGGCAAACGCATTATTCTTATTGATTCAATTCGGTTACTTTTGTTTACCGTGTCAGTTGACAATCATTCAACTGTCAACAAGGAAAACAAAAACAATCACAAATGCAGAGCATGACTTGCATGATATTTTCATCTGTGTAAGAAAACCAATCATTAGAACTTGCACGAAGCAGAAGATGATATATTGCATAAAATAAATTTTGAAATAACTTCATGTGGTGTTAGATATTATATATTTTGAACAAGATAATTTGGGCACAATTAATAATCGTCAATGATCGTATGGAGTCGTGAGCCAAGCTCGTCTGCGCATGCGCAAACAAAATACACAAATTGTCATGAAGCAGTCCCCTCTCTATTTTGCCAATTCATGGTCAGTCATGGTCAGTGGTGCACGTGTTATCAAATAGGCTGTGCGTTCATAGCATCCGAATCCAAACAAACTCACAACAATACAAGGCGGCGGCGACGTGCTATGAACGCACTTCGTCGGATGTCATTTTCATTTCGTTCTCCAACCTGCTTGCTTGCTTTCCGTCCCACAGAATTTTAAAAACCGCTCCCCCTGCACAACCGCAAAATGGACAAAAAACCCTGCCCTCACGTAAGAAGTTATCTCAGGAATCATCTACGCACCTACAGTCGCCTTCATGAATTGTTCGTTGTCAGTTCCGAACCCGAAATGAAAATTATAAAGGTAATTCGCTTAAACATTCACAGTATACCGGCTTTTCACACGTTTCAAATTCATTTCTTTAGAAGAGAGAGGCGTTTTGCCATTTATGCAAACAACCCGGGCCGCGTTTACATATCTGCATGGAATGCGTCTACATCGGATGCTCTGAACATCTCACAAGACACACGACCCGAGTTTCGCACAACTTCGCAATGGAGCTCAGCTACGGTCAAATGTTTTGCGTCCGATGTGAGGACTATGTTTATGATATGCGCTTGGACCAAGCTGCGCTCAGCAACGCGCTGAGATCAAAGAACTGCCCGAAAAGGTCGGTGCGATTTCCTTCCAGACACTTGGTTCTTTATTCATTTTGTGCGGTTTTTTTAGAGTGCTCCATTGGAGCGCTGGTCTCGAGCCGCAACTGGTTGACGGATCCTTGCCCAAGCGAATCCGTATCACACCAAAGTCGACAAGGGGATTGAGAGGACTGGTAAATTTCGGTAACACCTGTTTCATGAACTGTATCATACAGATTCTGGTCCACACTCCCCTGCTCAGGGAGTACTTCTTTAGCGACAGACACAAGTGCCAATTACCGCCTGGGTCCTGCCTTGTGTGTGAACTGGGCCGCTTATTCCAGGTAAACTCTTTAATTTGAATGTTTGCAGAATATTGAACAAAATCTTTCTGTGCAGGAGTTTTTCAAAGAGCAAACTGATCCTTTGGTGTTGAATAAACTTGTATACATGACTTGGATTCGTGCCAAGGAGCTCGCTGGCGATGAGCAACAAGACGCTCATCATTTCTTCATCGCGACCCTGGAAGCGTTGCACCAGGAGTGCCGGGATCCCTCATTGGCCGACCAGCCACAACACGCCACCAAATGCAGCTGCATCATTGACCAGATCTTCAGCGGACAAGTCCAGAGCGACGTTGTCTGCAAGTGTTGCAAGTACGTTATTTCAGGATTTCCGTGTATTTCTATGTTCGTTTGTCACATTTACTTATCAGGGGCGTGTCTACGAAAGTCGATCCCCTTTGGGATATCTCTCTTGAGCTGGGCCAGCGCATGGGTGACCCTTGCCAGTCCTCGCTCATCGACTGCCTCGAGCGGTTCACTTCCACCGAGCATTTGGGCGAAGTCAACCTCTTCATGTGTTCCACTTGCAAGTCGTATCAGGAATCAACAAAGCAATTGACCGTCAAAACCCTGCCAATAGTTCTGTGCTTCCATTTGCGGCGCATTAAAGTCAACAAGGATGTAAGCTAACGTCGTCCTATCACAGGTTCCCGTTGTTAATTTGTTTTTACAGGGTAATAAAAAGATTGAGACCAAGATAGCCTTCCCGGAGATGTTAGATATGACTCCGTACATGACCCCGGATTCCATCCGCAAGCCGAGCGCCGAAACGTCGCCGGACGACAACCGCTACTCGCTGTTTGCGGTGGTGACGCACTTCGGTGGGCCATGCACCGGGCATTACATTGCGTACGTGCGACATCAGCTCGATTTCTGGTATAAATGCGATGACCATCGCATTGTTGCATCATCATTGGAGCAGGTGCTTGGGGCGGAAGGGTAAGTGGATCATTTTGAGCGCAGTTGGATACATTTTAACGTAATTATTTGCAGCTATCTTCTGTTTTATCACAAGCATATGCTTGGTTACGAGTAAGCGCGCAGTCGCTGGACGCGAATGACAGCAACTTCCAAACTTGTGTTCACTGGTGGTGACCATTCTCATTTTTGTTAGTGTCAAGTGATACACTTCCATAATTTATCTCATTTTTTTATCATTTCAGAAGTTCTTTTGAGTTATTTGTTTGTAATTTTTGTATAAAGTAGTTATAATTTGCGTATGTGATAAGTAATTTAATCTGCTCAAATAAATACCAATTTGATGCCTTTCGTAACTTATTCGCATAAGTTTTTTTTTTTAAATATCTTTTGTGACTCTGCAAACCTAACAATTTGTTTGTTTATTAATACGCTAGGCGTGTATTACATCGTTGTAACTTAAACTATTATTCCTTGTACTCTTCGATTGTAACCCCGCCCTCCGGCTCCTCTTCCTGTTGAAGCTGGATGACCTGCACTTGAACCTCGCCATCGCCCTCCTCATCTTCGTTGATGTCACCCAGAGAGCCCAGGGGTTCGTCGACGCTTAGACCTGCCGAAGCATCGTCGGCCGCCCGCTGGGCGTGAAGTGAATACCAATACAACGCTGATGTGAAAGAAGGAAGAAGCTGTCTTTAATTTAAACGCTAAAAGAGACGAAACTAACGAGTGGCACATGAACGTGTTAAGCAAGCGTCTCGGTGGCCGGTGGGTCACAGTTCAGCCGCTGCAAGGACTCCCCAGACTCTGTTCACAAACAAGAAACATTCACATCACGGTACTGTGACCACAACACACAATTTACACCAAAATTAGAAAACTCACCGGCAGGATCTTGTATACGGTAGAATTCGGCGAGTTCCGCCCCGGAGCAGAGCGGCGTGTCCACCTGCAGCGTATTGTCGAACTTCGAGTATTTCACTTCGTACCCCTCGCGGTCCTTATTGTAACTGACCACCGGTTCAAAACGATGGCCCCAGAGCACTTCTGCAGATACGTAACTGGAGCGTGCTTGCGTGGATTGACCGGTGCTTTCGATGGTACCCTCCAGGATCACGACGATTTCGAAACGATCTTGGAGCATATCAGCGGCAGACAGGTGGAAGAAAGGCGAGTTCTCATCGATGCGATGCACGACTGTCATCGGCCAGATGAAAAATAGATCACCGTCACACCCGTCCGCGGCTACTTCAAGCTCTGTCTGAAAGTTCGAGAGGACTTCGCCTTCCTTCGTTTGTTTGGCGCGAATGAGCGCGGCGCGTATGCTGGCGCCAATGATGTGACTCTTACGCATATCGCCGACGCGGAACATGAGACACAGGTGACCATCGCGCTGGCAAATGACTGCGTTCTTCGAGAACAGCAGAGTTTGCGTGCGATGCTTTGGACGCGTCATTTTTGCAAAGACAATTCCCACCATAAAAGCCTGGATCATCACACCTACGGTACAAAAATCATTATTAATCACATTTGCTTTAATTTACTGTTAATTCAAACCCTACCACAAATACTCTGCATACACATAACAAATATGGCTTCCGGACACTCCTCGGACGTCGTTCTGAATCCATATCCAATGGTGTGTTGTGTTTCAATACTGAACAAGAAACAAGACGTGAAGTCGAAAATGTTGCTCACGCAAGGCTTCCACTCGTTTTCTTCCTGAACAGGCGGCAGGTGGTTGAGTTCGAGGTCACCATGAGTGAAGGATATCAGCCACCAGATGACGGCGAACGCCAGCCATGAGAGTAGAAAACTCAACGCGAAAGCAATCAGCGTCCAGCGCCATTGCGAGTCCACCAGCGTCGTGAAAATATCCTGCAGAAAGCGGAGGCGGTGTTTGGAGATGCGCGATTGCAGAATGTTGCAGTCACCATTTTTCAGGATAGCGCGTCTTCGCACCTTGCGTGTGGCACCAGGACGATAACGACTTCTAAAAATAAACGAGACCGCAAGATTACGCAAATGAAAACATCTACTTAGCGCCGACTTCTCAATTCGTTAATTGCATTAGAACAATTTTGTGTATCAACCTAAGGAAGGATTACGTCGAATTGGGAAAAACTCTTACGTTAACGCCAATTCACACCCGCTCCCACACGGCCAGACAAAGAAAAGACTCATTAACGTTGATTTGCACAGCATGAAGAAATGATATTGCTTATTGTGACATCATATTGTTCAAATAATCAACATATAATTCATGCATGAATATATTTCTTCTTTGATTGATTTAATTAAGGACTACCGTCTGAAAACTTATCAAAACGCGATTGCTGTGTTTGAGAATTACCTTGAGAGTGTCGGTGATTTAGGATAATAAACTCCTGGCGTAAGCTCATAGGAGTTGATACGAGGTGAGTGTTGTTCGTTGAACATCAGCACTTTGCGATCGCTTGGCGGCGAGTCCATGCTTGCGCGCAACGCTTTAAAACAAGTGTCGAAGAAACGTCAAGAACGAATGCAATTGAGCTGTGATTGCGCCGGGCGAGCGCGCGAACTTAATACGCTTCAGCACACGAACCGATTGGATTACTGGGTCGCTTATTGGAGTGAGTCGCTTACATGCCCGCCGCGATGATCGAAACTAAGCCGATTTACATCATGCCGCGATGATTTTAACCAATCTCACATGGTGCTAATGAACTGGGTAAAGTCAGAAGAAAAACACGCGCGGGTGGCGGAAAAGTTGTAGTCACGGAGGTGCGGCACGAACTGCGAGAGTTTTGCGCGCGTGTGCCTCAGTCTGCCGCCGGATTTAGTTCATCGCGTACGTTTTACAGCGGTAGAGATAAGATAACAACGATCATCGTCATTGCGAGAGTTTGATAGAATAGAAGTGGTGCAATTAGTTTACACTAAATGCGCTCATATGTAGGTAACTTAAATACTAATCAAGTTTATAATTATTTTTTTCATGTAAATCTTATTATTTCAGGCTTACCGATAGGTAACTTCTTTGATGCACGTGAAAGAGCTATTGCACGTGGAGACGCGATTCATTCCAGAAGTGATGACTGGAAGCTGCGCGGCAGATTTCGAATTGAATATAAGCGGCGCCTCCACCGCAGGATATCGATACTCTTCCATTTCTTCGATGACCCCCGGTTTGTAGAACAACTTCTGTGGAATTGCACTGGGGTTTGTAATGTTAGCGTCTTTCTGGCCATTTTTCGTTTGCTCCGCGCTTTGTTTCTCCTCCACTTTGATGAATTCCTTCGTTTCCTCCTCGGGAGGTGTTGTAGTTATCACTACAGTCGTGTCTTGACTCATTTGGGTCCTCTCTTCCGCTGGCGGTGTCGGTGTCGTTGTCGTAATTTGAATTTGAGGTGTCTTTTTAAATAATCTCATTCTGTACGCAATTAGAAGAATAATTAATCATATCGTGTGCTCGTGTGTGCGCTAATCTCCTCCCACGCCTCGCACGAATGTGTATGCGTGAGTGTGTGTGTACCACGCACCAAGTGTTTGCTTTAGCATAATGCTCTATTATCCTTGCAGGAAACACTCGATTGGCACTGTGTACTTACGCGTTAACGGCAATAACGACGTCGGCTCCCTATCAAAATGGCATTTGTGATCGATTGATTTATGCACTAATTAGGGCCGCACAGGTGAAACAATGCGTTGTTATTGTTTGGCGTGTTTATGATTTGTTGTTAGTCTTGCTTGCTGCGAGCGCAGTTGTTACGTGCGGTGGCCATGAGCAATTGTGCAGAGTTTCACCTCGACTAACTCACGTGTGTTGTGCGCGTCCCAGAGCGGGAGACCGCCTCGTCCGACTGGACGGAGCGGTGATGTAGTCGTCAGCGGCTGGCCCACACCGAGCGACACAAAAACGACGAAATTATGCGAGTTTCACGCGCGGCATTAAATTGAAACAAATAGATCGACGTGTAGAAACACGACATTGACTTTCGGATGTGTGACCGGAGCGCGCGCGAGCTCGGACCTCACCTCACACTCGCGCTCCGTGTGTTTCCTCATCATCTCCGCGTGCGTTTCAAGGACCGAGCAGACGACGTGCATTGACGTGATTTCAATATTTATTAAATTGTTATGGACTGAAACCATCGAGTCGGTTGGTTAAAAGTTGCATTGCGTGCGGTTGCGGTGCGCTGTGTCCTTCGCGTCGCATGTGTGTGAGGATAATGGACCCTTTTGCGCGATTACAGTAACCGCGCTCAACTGATTAATGACCGGAAAGTCGCCCACTTCATCCGCTCAATTTCGTCACTTTAGATCCCTCCTTTCGCCACACAGTGCCGCGGCAATTACGATTTGATCGAATTAGCGTTCCCGTATTCACATCCTCGCCGTCCAGCTGCAAATCGCCGGCGCGTCGGATCCCTGTATGCCGCCTGCGTGGTCGCAGTTGTTGTGAATGCAGTCGAAAAGGCGAGCGATTCCACTCCAGTTACTCAAAAGATTTTATTTCAAAGTTTATGTAAGAAAAACGTAATATAAAATGAGGCACTTTTCGCATGGCGAGCGTTCCTCCTAACGAAAATAAATAGCTCCTCGCGGGTACCGCGCGAAGTCAGACCGCCACCGGGCGGCCATGTGTGGAGAGGCGGCGCACGGTGCCGTTGACGATCACGTGCACGTCGCTCCGCACGCTGGCCGACTCCGGCCCGGTGACCATCACCGGGATCGGCGAAGCGGTAATCGAACAGTCCGGAATGGTGATTTCCAATGGTTTGTCGCAGTCGATGGACATCGAGTCCATGCTGCTCAGAGTGTTGCTGGATGGGGACGGAAACACTCCGTTCAGATGGTGCTCTGAAACATTACCAAAGCAAAACACCGCCAATTACCACCAGGCACCAAAACAGTCTCCGTAGCAAATAGTAAAACGGTTAAATATGGAAGTGGTATCAAATTGTGCATCAACGCAAACAAAACAAGCAGTGTCGACTGTTGATCGTTGAGGGTAGCGCGCGGGTGAAGGTAGGTGTGGGTTAGAGTTAGACTGGAATCGGTAGTAAGCGAAGAATAATAATGGCACTCAATCACTAACAATTTACGTCAACTAATCGTCGATGAAGATTTTGATTTCGGGTACGGTAATTGGCATTGCCTCTGTTTCTGAAATAGTATGGAAGGTATAATGATGAGTCGTTTCTTTTTTAGTTGATGGACGGTTGGATCTTGTGTGTCCACTTGCATTGACGGCCGCCTCCAGCGTGTGCGTATACATACCCACTACTCCTATCTCCGCTAGCTGCTTGGCGCTGGAAAGTGGTGTGGCCACCTCGGATGTGTTGTTGAACATCGCGTAATCCACCTCGTATCCGCCGGAATCAGCTTTGAAGGCGACCAGAGGCTGGAAACGATGACCCCAGAGGATTTCGGATGGTAGGTAACTCGAACGGGCTTGCGTCGTCATACCAGTTGATTCTATGACACCCTCTGCACATAAAAACATTTATACCGAAACCTAGTCGGCGCTGATTTTGATCATCGCATTACCTAAAATCACGACAATTTCAAACCGCTCTCTCAGCAAATCAGTCGCGCACATCGAATATAACGGCGAGGTGTGGTCAATTTTATGCACGATAGTCGTGGGCCAGATAAAGAAGATCTTATCCTCTTCCCCGTCACCGCCCACCTGGAAAACCAAAGAGTTTGTCTGTAAGCAAATGTTCCCGAAAGCTTTAGTCAATAACTTCAATGCGAGTGTTCGTCGCGCGGGTACCTTTAATTCGGTCTGGTAAAATGGTAAATGCTCCCCTTCTTTGGTAACCTTTTGTCTGATCAGTTGGGCGCGTACGTGCGCCTCGATGATATGACTTTTACGCATATCGCCCACCCGGAACATCAAGCACAGCACACCGTCTCGCAGACAAATGACCGCGTTACGCGAAAACAGTAAAGTTTGCGTCCGTTTTTTCGGTCGCGAAAGTTTGGCAAAAACCACACCGACCATGAACGCCTGAATCATCACACCGGTGATACTCTGAATGCACAAAACAATTACAGCCAGCGGACATTCCTCCGTCGGCAGTCGGCCACCATACCCGATGGTGTGCTGCGTCTCGACACTGTAGAGAAAAATCGACATGAAGCTACGAATGCCCGTCACACACGGTGTCCATTCGTCATTATCCTGTAACCACCGCATTCTGTTAGCGCATTATATCCTCATTTGTCGAATTAACACTCACGATGTTTGCAGGATTCAGGTCGTCGTGCAAGTAGCAGATCAGGTACCATACTACAGCAAAGGCAAGCCACGAGAGCAGGAAGTTCATGGAGAACACCAACAGCGTCCAGCGCCATTGTGCGTCCACCAACGTGGTGAAAATGTCCTGCAAATAGCGCCGGCGACGTTTTGCCACGTTGCCCTGGATCACGTTGCAGTCGCCATGCTTGAATACCACACGTTTGCGTATGCGGCGCGCATTGAAGCGCGATTGCCGGTACCTTGAACAAGAACACAACAATAAACAAAGCAGCTCCGGCGGCCATCGGCAAACGTAACATGAACGTAACAAAACAAACGGGTTTCTTTTGATCTTGTCGGGTCGGGTTCAAACGCAAACGCTCCGCCACAAAGCAAACAATCAACGCAAAAAAGAAAAACACGAGAGGACATGCGAGCGGTGGTACAAGGGGAGTCTCCTCAATGCATGCGCAACCTGTGCCATTCATCTAGCCACGCTTGCTCGGTGGACGTGGTCGCCTTGGCGACCATGTTGGACATTTGCGAGAAGCATCGCCTCAATCCCGTGCACGAACCCATCTGCATCGTCTTAATCAGCCGGTGACGAGCGCAGCGCGCCGCAGGTCGTCGCTGCTGGGGGCTAATCAACGCTTAAGCGCCACCCGCATCGCAGGCGTTAATTGGATTTACTCGGTGCGTGAGAGCGGCCGGATGGCGGCGCGGCGATGGTCGGACTGACTCTGGTGGTGTCCCCGCGTCCCGCGGGCGCGAATTGGCAATGAACGCGCGACGGCGGCGAACGTCGCGGGCTGTTTCGCCGCTCTCGAGTTATTTTAATTGCGATATTTAGTCGCCACGGCCAAATTGCGTACTTGTGTAACGGCGTGCGACGACGAGTCGAGCAACTGCCGCGCGACGTCAGCCCGCCGCGAAAAATAGAATAACGATATTGCTAAACAACCACTCGGCGACCACCAGCCGAAGTCGCACCCGAGCGCCGTGAGAGATAATCGCGTGTTATGGACGGCGACAAGTGATCATGGTGATCATGACCCACTGCTGCCGCCGCTATCCTGTTTTCTTCCAAAAACGCCGCCGCATCTGCCACGTTACGCAATGCAAGCCAGTCTAGTCTAAATGCGTATCACGTGGCATACAAACGCTAATGTGCCATTTGCATCGCGGGCGCCCGAACGCGATTCCATATCGCTATTGTCTCACCCATTGTCTCTATTTATGACATGCAAAATACGAGCGCCGGCATGAACTTAACTTGTCGGACTGTTTTGCGCGTTTCGGGAACTCGCGCGCATATTTTTGAATAAACTCACGCGGCACTTTTTATTACACAACGCAATTTAGTGTTCGGCCATAAACACAATGAAGCCATAATATTTCGTCAATTTGCCGTACACGCGAATTACGAGCGCATTATGTTTTATTGTTTATTTATACAAATTCCAAGCGTGCGAACACAATGTCTTCAAAAAGTGCACAACTTGCGACTTTTACTACATTTTACCGTACGCCGCGGCGTAAAAAGTGTCATTGAATAGGAATAGGATTCTAGTTTGTTGGGAAGTATTCGGTCGGTGGGCGTAGATATTAGTTATACAAACCAAAATTAATCGCTGACACCATTGAAACGAACTGATAACGAAGCTAAAATACCATACCTACTGAATACGTGCCCCGTCTTGACGCGGCCGTTCTTCGTGAAGTTGAGCGAGCTGAGGATGCTGCCGCTGGAGCGCCGGCGTGTCTGCAGTCTCGGCACCGGCAGGTTGGAGCGATTATTCGCCGCCGCCGCTGCCGCCGCCGGTAGAACGGTCACTCCACCATTGCCGTTACCATTACTTAAGAGTTTCTCCTCCGCTTCGGCGGATTGCTTCAATCCAGCGTTCGACATTGCGGCATCGCAGCGACCACCGAAATTCTTCCAACGCACCGTGCTGCACGTCATGCACGCATCGCGAACTTTAATGCGCCGATCGCCATTGTCCGCCACCCACTGGACGGAACTGTTATTCGAGCGCAAACGCGCGACTTTTTTATCGTGCGCTAGTCGCGCGACAGTCCGTGAGCGATGTGTGCGTGCAATTCGCGTACTTCATCGGCCTACTGACTGATCGAGCGCAAATCGCGCGCTCCCGACCGCTCGAACTGGATTAGATCTGCACGTGCGTGTGCGTCGTATCCCCTTTTTTCGCGATGCGCGTCCCGCCAGCGGCGCCGAACTTGAGCCGCTTCCGGTTTTCGCGCGCGCGCGTACGCGGTTTATTCGCGTGATAAAGAAATACGACGACGACGACGACGACGGCGGCGACAGCGGTGGTGTGTGCGGAACTCTGCCGGTGTCACCGTCGGCGACGACTGTGTCGCGTTTCAGGGTCTGCTATAAAACCGATTTGTTATGCAAATTCCACGCCATTTGTTTGTCATCTTCGATAAGGTTTCGCAAAAATGTGCTGGATTGCGACTAATGTTTGGCGCTTGTAACTCGTAATATGCGCTCGAAATATGAAGAGCGCGTGTGTTTGGTTCAATCTCTCACCGCTTATAGCGCTCCTTTCCGGCGGAAACTAATGGACACGACGTCACTGGCAGCAGCCACTCCGTTTGCTGCAAGTCGGTGTAGTCAATCGTCATAAGTGCAGCTGAAATTGAATTTCACTCGGTTTAACTACAGGTGTCATGCGCGCAATTTCTTAGTAGTTGTTTTAGCATTTCGTGTACTAAACACGCAATTGAGCACTTGACAACCATAGGTGTGTTTTTTATACAAATTGTTTTAAGTACAATCTACACCTACACATTGATAATACCTTGTGACAAGATTAACAATGCTAATTTGTTTATGTCACTTCTAAATTTTCAATTTAGAAACATGTTTTGCAAAAATAATTAAAATTTAAACACGCGCTAATATTTATTTACCGAGATGTACTTATTTTAAATACGCAATGCTAATATGTCTTGTTTGGCAACTTATTTAAATTTATTGCATTTGTAACACCGAACAAGCAATATGTGTTTTTAACTGATTGAATACCAAAGTGTACTGAACTAAAACCAATGCATAAATTGAAGTTTTTTTTTTATTATCGCCCTATCCATATCTACAATTGCAAATTGAAACCTTGAATTGAAATAAAAAGAATATCGGCGTCTAATTCCCGCTACGTGCCTCCAGGACCACATAGATTTGCATTGTGTGGCGCTAAAATTGATCAATCCGCATTTTGTTTCAAAAAGAATGCTGATAGTAACAGTAGATTAATGTTTGTTTAAATCATTCGATTATGATCTCGCCAGATAAACATTTTGGCATCTCCGCTTCGAAAATAAACACCTCCGTCAGCCTGATGCAGACAAATAACAAGTTTTCTGTTTTGTTCATACACCATCTATTATGCCAGCGCACATAAAACTGCAGTAAAATTTGTAAATACCGGCGGAACGATTGCCCCTGGATGCATTTGGTTGTTGTTATTCGTAAACGTGCGAATCGACGCCAAAGAATTTCAACAAAAACTATTTGTTTGAAATCTAGAGTATTGATTTGTCGCATTCTTCGACTTCGAAATACAACAACGAGTGATTAATGACCATAAACACGTCAACAAATAACAAAATCAATGATGGAGATATTATGTTATTTCTGGTATTACTCAGACGATTGAATTTCTTATTCGGTGAGCAGGTGAGTGAGTCATATTGATGCACTCTGGCCTTGGACGAGAACGTGCAATGTAGTAATATTTATTAAATAGCGATGATCAAATATTGCAGCGCTAAATGGACTCACGGCTTCCAAATAGACGCTGATGCTACATGTCACCGGTCTCGTCACTGTCGGTCGGCTTTCTGGTATTCCGCTGATCATTACCAGTAGCGCATCAGTCGTAGACACAACGTACCAGCAGCCGTGATCGTATCTCACATCTGCATGCGCCATCATGTTTGTTTTTCTCGCCTTGGTGTTGTGCTTGTCGCTGAATAGGGCGGCGAGTGATCATTATCAGTTCCGCGTGATCAAAGAATGGCGGTATGTGAATTACACGTGGCCCAACGAGGAAGAACTGCGTTCCGCCACCGCCACCGGCGAATATAATCCCAATAGGTGTGTTATGACCGGTGTGGACCATTATGATGGCTATTATTACATAGCCACTCCACGCATGTTTGCTGGTGTGCCCATCACGCTCTCCCGGGTACCCGATGGCGGTAACACCTCACCACTTCTGGAGCCCTTTCCATCCTGGAGAAAAAACCGCATTGGGGATTGCGACGCCCTGCAAAACGTGCAGAATATTCAAGTCGACAATGCTGGTAATCTGTACGTGATTGATTCAGGCAGGAGCAATACCATCGAGCACCATCAGAGTAACAACTATTGCCCCGCGAAGATTGTTAAGTTTGATCTGAAGACTCGCGATGGAGAAGATATGGCAAAGGAGGTGTTCAGGTACGTGTTTCCAGCAAGTGTGGCTGATAGCAGAGTCAACTACCTGTACGAGCTGGTGCTGGATGATGATTTCGTCTACATCAGCGACAACAGCAAACACGATCCGGGATTGATCGTCTTTTCGGAGGCGGATATGAAGAGCTGGAAAATTCGACATGGTACCTTCAAGGCAAACATGAACGCCACCACCTTCAATGTGTCTGGTACGCTGCAGACTCATGCATTGAATCTAGCTGGGTTGGCGCTGGATACCAGCAAGGAAGGAGAACGTACATTATATTATTCCCCCATATCCAGCTATACCCTTTTCGCGGTGAATACCAGCGAGTTGAAGAATCCTCTTACTACAACATTGAAGAACGTGCAGCTTATTGGACGTAGATCTTCGCAATCTGATGGTATGATTGCGGATGACCAGGGTGTGCTGTATTTTGGACTGCTGGGATCGTCAAGTATTGCTATGTGGGATACAACTCAATCTGGTTTCCGGCCGACGTTGATTGCACACGACCCGGAGTACGTACAATGGCCAAACGCGTTTTCTTTTAATTCGGATGGTGAGTTAGTTGTTCTCTGCAATACTCTGGCGAAGTTTATCGCAGGTACTGCGGATTTGAATCAACCCAATTTTCGCTTCTTGGCTGGCAATGTGAGCGCACATAGTTACGTTCATAATTCCATGAAGTTCAACCAAAATACCGAGCATGTGTACTTCTCATCTGTTAAGCCAAATGTGAATACAACGCAGAGGACTATCGGACAACCTGGAGAAGCCTGGGATGTGAACGATTTGCTCATTCGCGATGACCTTCCTCATCCGAAAAGTGGAGCCAGCGCCGCGAAGTTTGGCGCTTGTTTGCTTGTTGTTCTGGCTTGTGCCTGGATGTTGCAAGTGAGAAATTGAGGTTTTCGTAATTAATGTTAATGTACAAATATAAATATGTACGCAGCACGTAAGCTTTATGCAATTGTTAATGTGTTAATTGAATTGCTTACAACGCGACGAAGCATGATCACATTTATCGCTGGTCTTCAACTTCGTCGTCACAAAGTCGTGCCAATAATTAGAATTACTAATCGAGTTAGTGTAAATTCGCATATATGTACTATAATAAAATACACCACACAGCAAAAATAAACATAACTTAAATGAGACATGTTTGTTGTTTTACGCAGTAGTCAATGTTTGCGAATTCGAATTTTAGCTTTTGATTAATTAGAATCAAAATTAAGAGTTGGAATTATTTAATTCTTAATTCAGATTCTTATACATTGTTTAATTCTGTATCAATTATTTAAATGATATTAACCATTAACCATTTAGGTCCTATTTGCAATATAATTGATAAATTTGTATTTACAATTTCAATTACAATTTGTAAATACAATTATTTTATTAAAATTGCTAATTGGGTCTAAACGCTCATGTTAGACAGAAAATTACTTAAATAATCACTGTAGATTTATATTATTGATTGGAATTCAAAATCTGAATTATTAATTCCATTTTCTTTTAGTCCTTTATATCAGCAAATGTAGCATTTTTAATAATTGAAATTTTAAATTCTGATATTGGATTCTGAAAGATAATTTAATTATACATTGAATAATTACGTAACATTTTTCCTATCATTGACCGTTTAGGCCCTATTTGCAATTTTAAAAAAGAATGGTTTCTATAGGCCAATAAGGTTTTCACATAAAATTGTGTTACTGAAAGGCAGGGTCGAACTTTTCCGTTAAAATTATTTTGTGCCGAAAGACAGGATCGAATTTTTCCATTAAAATGATTTTGTGTCGAAAGGCAGGGTCGAACTTTTCCGTTAAAATTATTTTGGGCCGAAAGACAGGATCGAATTTTTCCATTAAAATGATTTTGTGTCGAAAGACAGGGTCGATCTTTTTCGTTAAAATTATTTTGTGTCGAAAGACAGGGTCGAACTTTCCCGTTAAAATTATTTTGTGTCGAAAGACATTATGGTACAAAAAAATTTTAACGAAAAGATTTTGTTATAAAAAAGGTAAAAGATTTCTCTTTTTAATGTTGAAAATAAAAAATTGGAATTTTTAAATTCTGATTTCAGATTTTTATAGATTGTTTAATTCCACATTAAATATTGAAGTAACATTATTTCATAACAATAACCGTTTAGGTCCTATTTGCAATTTTTATTTTTTGTTTAAGAACTGATGGAGAAATCGAGTAATTTCGTTTTTTTTCTCATTTCTCGGAAACCAATAGGGATAAACAAAAATGGTTTTCAGATTTGGCTGCTGAGAGAAATTCTGTATTATATAGCACTTTAAAATTTTCAGTTTACAGTACTTACGTAATTATTGAATTTGGTGAATAACTCGAAAACTAATTAAGATAAGAAAACAAAACCAAGATTAATCGACTTCTTGCAAGATTCTACACCATGCTAGAAAGTTTCGTGAAAATCTGAGTTGTAGTTCAATTTGGTGTGTTTCGATTTTCACCTGGTTTTTCCGAAATAATGGCGATATCGAAAAACTGACTGGATATCTTTCATCCCCTTGTAATTCTCTATAGATTGGCGTTTTCCATTTTCTTCTAGCTTACAAAATAATTTTTGAGCCAGAAAGTAGTCAAGTGTAACCTCTTGACTTCTTTTGAGTAATTTTTATAAACTATTCAGAATAAAAAAAACTAAATCTGCCATTTTATAGAGCTTTATCGTGTCATGAAGAAAATGCAAAAACATTTGGGGTACCGCTTTTAGTTTCCGATGAAATCGCGATGGAAAAGTGTTTTTCATGGGTTTGAAAATGGAAATTTTAAAATCTTATCTAACGTAGAATATTTTGCTGAACATAATGCAGTTTTCCGTTTTTGATTATCATTATTAGTTCCTGAGATAACCTGTACTGAAGTGTAGCGGAAAGTACACGTATCACTTAAAGGCGTCTACAGAGTAAACGGTAAGTACCAATAAGTAAAAAATTATATTTATAAAGTAATTAAGAACTCCTCTATGCAATGGTTTATTAATTTTTAAAAATAATTGAGAGCACTTAATAAAATGAAATGTCAGGCGCCTCCGCCACATTTTTGTTAATTATTTGAACTAACATAACATAAATTACAAAAACAATAGATTTTTATTCCAGATTATAAAAGAGTTCAATTATCTGAATGAAATATTTTAGTACACTATTATAATTAGGCGTTTAATTTAAAAGATATACTCATAAACCTCTGAACTAATGTTTCCAATACTGGCGTCCATAGGGCCTTAAATAATAGTTGTAGAACAAAAGTGTACTAAAATAAATGATTTGTAATGTTCTGTTTTACCATAATCAAAAAAAAGGACTTTAAAATTAATCATTTTAATTTTTTCCATAAAAACCATGTGACGATGCGGGCGAAAAGATTTTGTCATAAAAAAGGCAAAACTTTTTCATTTTTTTTATCAAGATATAAAAATTAGAACTAGAATGTTCGACCCTGACTTTCGACCAAAAATAATTTTAACTGTAAAGTTCGACCCTGTCTTTCGTCCAAAAATAATTTTAACGAAAAAGTTCGACCCTGTCTTTCGACCAAAAATAATTTGAGCTTAGAAGTTCGACCCTGTTTTTCAGCCAAAATTAATATCAAAAAGTATATTTCACTCTCCTTCGACTAAATCAGCATTAGCAATGAAACATGCATGAGAGATTATATCATTCCAGCCGATTGCCCTCTTAAAAAGAAAAAAATCAAGGATCTGAAAGGAAAAAGGTAGGGAAAATAAAACACTCATTAACATTATTATAATTTATTAAATATATACTATCCATTTTCTTTAAAATGTTTAAAATATGTTTTGTGATGTAATCGTATCCTTCTTGAATTCTCATTATAATTATGTACAAAATAGTGCTGCTTATTGCATGTTTTGTGCTAGTTATAAACCGATTACTACTATAATCTCATTCTATACTCGAAACTAGTGAAGAAGTTCGGCTGTGCCATTGCAGCCACGAAGCACGTTCGTAAAAAATAAAAGAATTGATAAGTAACTGCTAAACGCTAAATTAGCATTATTGCTAGTTCTCGCCCCCCGTCAGATCGGGGGGTTCCTCCTCACCGCCAGGTAATATTGCTGATAATAATCCGCCGTCGCCGTGCGGAAAACTTATAATACTTAGCTAACATTATTTACATCAATATTATATGCAGCTGAATGCGGGTGCGGCCTGTATGTTAATACAAGCGAGTAAAATTAAATCACTAATTAAATAAAGATATAGATCACATAGAAAGTAAATCGAATCCTGCACAAAACCGTGTGTAAATTTTCCAATCAACTAATGCAAGGCTGAATCATGCCGCCTAATGTTTTGAGCAACGAAGATGAAAACAAGCGAAAGTTAGTTGCAAGTGTTTATAAATCGCTACCTAATACAATTCGTGCAACCACTCTGACGTGTCTGTTTATTGTTCGGCAAGTTTGTAATCGGACCGTCCGTGTGTACATATTTTATAAACCATTACTAATGCACCGTTACCAATTGGTCGTAAGTTAAATCGTAGTTAATTTCTTAGAATCTATTGTCTTTTTTCCTATGTTTAGGTTCCGTCGTTTTGGAATCAAATTTTACTCGTTCCGAGAGTTGAATCATCGAAATGGCGTGACCTTCAACTCGTGGATTAATACAATGTTTCAAGCGATATTTTAGGGGAATAAAAGATACTTTGACTAGCAATAGGCACTTGTGATGGACCGTACTCGATCATGGAATTACAATTCATTTATCTAAAACGTCTCTTACATGTATATTTCCTCATAAAAATTGCAACTATTGATTGAATTCTTCTACTCAATATCATAAATTCAATAAGATTGGTTTGAATAGGCCGATGATGGTACGAATTTAATTTAACGCGCCAAGGCACTTGAATTGTAACCGGTTGTCAGTGTGTTTCACATGTTCAGCTATGATATGCCTTATTAATCTCTATTCCGTCCGGCTTCCTGATATGTAAGTGCGTAAATTCACTGGGATTTGAGAAGAGCAGGCAGTGCATGTTCAACGTGCTCGTATGTTGTATGAGTGCGTGTGTTTATGTGCGTGGGGGGTGCATGCATCATTCGACGGCGAAACCGCAAGTCTCTTCGACTGCCTGAGTCAGTTTATCACACAGAATTTGGAAATTTTCGTACGGCGGTATGTCGATGCGGTTGAAGCAGGTGTGCGCCTTGGGCAGGTTCTGCGGCGACACGTCCACGCAGTGAATGGTGAAGAGGCGCGGGCTGGCACCGCCCGTGCTGCCCTGGAGCGCGCGGAAGCCCTGCAGTGGCACGCGCGATGAACCTGTTACGAATTGCAGCAGGCGTGCGCGCATCTCTTCCGAGTACGACTCCACTACCTGCCAGAACCATTGCACGACTAGCGTTTCCGGCGTGCAGTGTTTCAGTCTACGCAGTTACACAAACATAGAAAATAATTAATTTAATACAAACAATTTGATTGTAATAAACAAACCTTGTGTGTGTTTTCCAGTCGACGATATCAATCGATCCGATACCACTGATGACCAACTCCAACTCGCGTTCGTCGAACGGTCGCAGCAGCTGCAATGGTATGAGTTCGGTGAAGCCTTTCTGCAGCGAGAGGAACTGCTGCTCGATGCCACGCATGAACCGGTAGTTCACGTACAGTTTCACGTATTCGCGCTTGTTCTCCTCGGTAACCGCAATAGACGCGCCGTTCGACTTTAACTCGTGCACCTTTAACACCCCGAAGCTGTTGTTCTCCACCGAGAAGGTTGTATCCAATACGCCGTCGATATTGTTTTGCCTAATCACATAAATCACATTAATCAAACACTTCTTGACGCCACAATTGCTTTTATACTCACAGCATCCAGGTTAAACTCCGATGCAAATCTGGATCTACTCCTTCAATGTCCGAAAGAGTGATCGGTTTGTTCAACAGTTGCTTGTAAAAAGGCATCGTGAACCCGCCCTCAAGCTGGTGATTATGAAACACCGCAATGCCTAGAATTCGTCCGACAAAGTGGAAATAGCTCAGGTGCTCCGGATTGACGGACGAGTCTGGATTGATCTGCAACGTGTAGTGATCGTCGCGGCTGTACTGGAATAATCCGTACTGCGGGTTAAGCATTTCGCGAGACAACAGATGCAACCATTCACGGGCGACACCCCCGTAGTCGAGACCCTCCTCGCCGCGGAACTTCACCATGAGTCGTTTACGCATGTCTTTCGGGCGCATCTTCATGATGAGCCGGTAGCTCTCCTCGAATATCTCGTTGCGGGAAACTTCAAGACGGCAGTGGCCACTCTGTGGCTGTAAGGTGGTAAGTTCGGCGCGTAGCGCGCGCAGTTTACCAACCAGATCGCGGCGATACTTCGGTAGAAGTTCGGCGTCAATGAGAAGGCCTTGTGGTAGGTCCTGGTCACGATGTCGAGGAGGCGAGACCGGGGTGCTAGAGGGTGCCATTGTCGTAGAAGGAGCAGACGTCGTAGGTAGAGCTTGTGGCGGTGGGGCTGGATGCGGATGTATATGAGGCGGGGGAGTGGGACTCATGTTCACGAACGGCAACAGTGGTGGTTGCTGGGTGTTGGCAGGCTTGGGTTGTCCAGCGGAGGGTGTTGTGTTCGCCATAGCTGTGATGGTCGTGCTACTAGTTGGCGTCGATACTGACGACGTCGACGGCAAATTGCGCTTCATGATGTTCGTGAGTATTTCAGTGTTTAGCCGCGGATCGGTAAATTGCGTAGTGCGATGATTATGATCAACGAAATACGTCTGCCAAGGAACACAACAATAAGCACATAGTTTATAGTACATAAAAGGATTATACATACCCTTCCTGATGCGGTGTGCCTCATTTCCCAGCCGGGTGGAAGCGGGCCCATTTGATCCAAAGCGATGCCTAACGAAGCCAGGTCTTTTGGTAAGCGCGGGTCGTGCCACGTCGAAACACCAGTCGGTATGTGATAGAAGTAAACCTGGCCCTGCTGTGTCGTCCGCAATTCTAAAGAAATGTTTACAAATTGAGTTACACATTCGCAGGAAAACACTTGTCTTGTCTTGTCTACGCTCAACTTACCGTAGCCAGGCGGAAGATCAATGCCCATCGTGGGGGCAGAAGTGTTTCCGTTTTGTGGCGGTGGCAAAGGCGCATTTCGATTGCGCCCCGACCGACGCCGGCCGCTGCCATCCCGCCGTTCTTCACCATTACGCTGCCGCCTGTCTCGCGCCACACCACGCTGCACCTGCGGACTGACGGCCTGCTGAGCCGGCGTTGTACTCATGCTGGTGGAATTAGGCGCGTTGAGGCTGATATTGTTCGGTGGAATCATCGGAATGGCTGCACTCGTTGGCGAAATGGCGAACGCGTTTGGTGCACGTCCTGTTGTCGGGATGATCTCTTTTTGAGGACTGACCACTGGCGTAGTGGGCGAAGTGCTCGAACTGGGTGTGATCACCTCCTCGGTGTTATTGTTTACCGTATTGTTGTCGTTCTGATTGTCCACATTTTGATTATTGCGCGCTGGATTATTACGCGGCGGCGGCGCGTTTCTATTCTTCGCGTTTGTTACCGGACGCGTCCACTGTGTCATCTTGGTGATGTGGTTCACGTAGTAGAGGCGGCCGTCTAGAGTGCGTCGCTCCTCCCAGCCGGGCGGCAGTTGGTCGTTATCCACTGGCGAAACATCACGATTGGCCGGACCGCGGAGTTCGCCCTGCGGTCCGACAATCGCCAGCGGTGTGCCGCCGCTTTGACCATCGCGCGACAGCAAGGATATTATTATTTGACCCTTCACAGGCTCACTGTCATCTTGAGAGGCTTTTGTCAGGTCCAATCTTTGATCTATTACACATGCATTAGTATGTTTCTCACATTACAATAAAAATAAGACATAAAAATACTCTACACTCACAGCCAGTATCCTTCAGCCTGTTGATTAATGAACTAACAATCCTCACACAGCCCAAAAACCCACTGCCCTGCTTCTTCTGTGCCTTCCTGTAGTTCCAGACTGTTATTGTGATGGTGTCAGTTTTGGTAATGTACAAATCATAGTAGGAATTCCACTTTGGTTCCAAGGTATTCTTGCTTATCTCAGTAGAGTGGCACTGGCCGCTGCCCTCGACGGATATCTTCGCGTAGGGATCCGGGAGGCCTGCAAACATTGCACTCAGCATGAGGACAAACTCCAAAAACAATAACAAGGTGAGGCTACTTACGAAAGAGATCCTTCCTGACCAAATTGCGCGCACACACAACTGTAAGGCAAAACACACGCACGATTAGCAAAACTTTCCTGGAGCACAGATGCAATCGTGCCACGAGCGACCGCCGGTGAGATTTAATTGAGTAATTACGCGCTTTGAAGCCATATTGGGTCATCAGGGAGACAACAAACCGTGATCAGGTCGCATTTGCGAGTCGCTTATGACACAATTGGAGCGCTCGCACGCCTACAACTTGCACTTACTAGTCAAGCGAATCTTCTGCGCGCCACTTCGTCGGTTCGACGGAGTGCCCGACATCGTTTTAGTTATTTTCTCCGTGCATTTCACTACACTCTCCCATCGTATCCAGCAGTGGCGAACGCCATTTTGGTATCTGTTCTGCTTCTGCGTTTTGTGCTGCAATGTAAGCTTTCAGTGAACGCCGCTAGAGGCGCTAGTGTATCACCGACTGTCACTTTGATTGTTTGAACAACTTTTCACTACAAAAATTGTTTTTTATCTAACACTAGGATTAAAACAAAGTATCAAATGTTAGAATCTATTAAATTGAACTATATTAATCTTATTTTTCAATTTTATTTAATAAATTAAGCCCTAATCGCATTTCCAGTTCGGCAATCTTCATTGCTGCATCTTCTCTCTGCTTATTAATACTTTCCACTTGTTCTTCCATAATACGTTTATACTTTGCTTCAAGATTTACAATAAGCTCATCATATTTATCTGTTCTTGACGGCGTTAATGTTTGTGAGGACAACAATAACTAAAAATTTGTCAGAAATTAATCAATATGAATAGAAATTTGTATTATTCTTCACCTCGTAACTGGCGTTGCGGCGTTGGTGATACTTTCGCATTTTCTTCAATCTGGCCATGAAAATATCCTGCGCATTAGTGTAAACATGTTTCATTTCAGCAATAATATCCCGTAAGCAAATAATTTCTTTCTCGAGCTTGTCAATCTTTGCCAACGGCTGTTTATTATCCGCGCGTACCTTTTGCAATTCAGTGCACAATCTACAAAAGAAGAATAAACAAATTTATTACTCTGAACAATATTTAATGTAATACCTAATGCATTCGTCTTTAAGTAGCATCTCGGTTTTGATATTTTCATGGTTTTGAACTTCAAGCGCTTTATGGTGTTCATCGAAGTTGATCTGCAAAGATTTAAGATTGGACTTTTGTAAATTTTTATCACAAACTTGATTTTAAATAATTTACCATTAGTTTTTCCATTAGTTTTTGTTGCACAACGCGTTGTTCCTCCGCGCCTTTAAAATACAACTTCTTTTGTTTCTTTATTTTCATTTCAAACTCAAATTCCATGCTTTGCACCTGCTGTTGATGCGCGGATTTCTCTTCATTCATTTTCTTCTCATGTTCAATACGTAGTTCCTTTTCTCTATTCTGATAGAGAGTTTCTTGTTCATCTATGTATTTATTTTGGCTATTTACACGATTACTTAGGCTTTCATTATCTGCTGTGAGCTGGTCAATTTGTTCTTGCAATATGACACAGCTTTCTTTCGAAATTTGCAGCTGTTTTGCAATTTCTCCCAAGTTTTCTAGAATTTTACAATGTTCATCTTGAATTTTCTTATTTTCATCGCGTAGAGTCTTTATTTCTTTTTGATATTTCTTGCGTTGCTCGCTTAATTGATTATGATGTCTAATTCTTTCATCTTTAAAGAAATTCTTGTGGACTAACATCTGTGCGTCGAATTTCTTTTCGTGTTCTTTATGCGCTTCCACCAATTTTCTTTCTAATTCTTTTTCATGTTCAAGTTTCAGTTCTTCTATAACACTCTCGCACAGTTCAACTTGAGCAACATCTTCGGCTTGTTTCTTTTTGATTTGCTCTAATTTCTTCCTACAACGCGTTTTTATCAAACGCTCTTGATCCGCCACTTTACTTTGGTACCATTGTCTTAGACTGTTGTATTTTTTAGCCAACGTATTATATTTTCCTTGCATAGTTTGTGCCAATTTAGTATGCTGTTCCTTTAGAGAATCTTGATGTTTTTCTTTCAATTGCGTTACTTCTTTTTGAAAAAATTCTTCCTACGAAAATAATTAAGTACTAAATTGATTAAAAACTATTTAATATTGACTAACAGTGTCTTTTTTGTATTTATCGCGTTCCTCCTGAATAATCATAACAGTTTTCTGCAGTTCTACGTTGCGAAGCATAGAATTTGCAAGTTGCTTCTGTAGCTCAACGATTTTATCATTCAAGCCCTGAAATAGCATAAAATCATACTCAGACATACAAATGGTTTTTGAATAAGTCCTACTTCAATAACTTCCTGCTGATCATTGTGCTTGTTAAAGAATATTAACAGCTCGTTATTTTCTTGTCGCAATTGATCGATGATCCTCGTCTGTACCTTTTCCGAATTTTCTTTACCCTCTGAGGACGGGGGACTGTGTTCCGACATGTCTTGCCAGGAACTTTCGTCGCCATAAGCTTCCGGAGTCTTATTCTCTGCGGCTACAGTTCCAGTAAAGAATGGCGCATCACCTTCACCTTTAGCGCTGACCCGACGCTTAGTGCAACGCGGAGAATACTGGACTTCCTTATCCACGTGATTACTCTCCGATAAACTAGGAAGATCTCCAGCTGGGGGCGGCTCAGTAAAAGGATGTTCAAGAACACCTTCTTCGATTTCCTTCCAGAGGCGTTGCAGATATTCGTTGCGCAACTCTTTGTCGGGAAACTGTTCATCGCCGAGACGCTCCAACCACATCTTAATTAAACCAATATAATGTGTGTTGATTATACATGTGATGTAGGGTTTTATTTGGTTGAGAAGATGTAAATATTCTAAGTCTAACTTGGCAGCTGATGAGCTTTTAGGCATTATAAATGTGTATAAATATAAGTAAACGTAGAGTAAATGTGTGTAAAATATTTGTCACACCTGTATTTAATGTCAATACATATTTATTATAATTTCATAGCAATCTTTGATTCTTAAAGTTACAACTTCGCAGAAATTCAAATTTTGAAAGTGACATCTCACCCCACATGCATCCAAATACAAGATGGCGTCATGCCATCATGGCGACGCAGCGCATCAAACAAGCTCGACAGATGCACGATAGTCTTTCGATATTTAACAGATTAGAGCCAGATTTTCATCATAAATTTCACATCTGGATGTCAATAGAGATTGTGATTGTATCTAGCAATAAGAAAAACGAAGCGTGGATCTCAGGTATTAGAATAATACGATATTTATTGTACCTATCGCCTTCTAGGTTACCCGTATTAAAATACAGATAAATAAAAACGTATGTTGGGGTGTGTTAGATGATTCAATCTTGCTCATTTGTTTAAATATCATTCTTTGCAAGTTGTTAGTTCCAACTGTGTAGAGTTTTGGCTCACAAGATGAAGTTTAGAAGCGTTTTGCAAATGTCATGGTTTGTGTGTTCAAGGAAAGGGTCAGAAATAATAGTAATGCATTTATTTTCATGTAACTCAAGTTGTGGATCACGTTAAAGTAATGATATAAGATCATGCATGTTGTTTTTTTTATGTATAAAAAAATTGATATTTGACTTTTGTACTAAATTTTACCCTTGTGAGCCTTGCAAATGAAAATATGGTATTTATCTAACGTTTCTGCCATAGCATCTGTTAATTACAAAGCAAATTTATGCGATATTAGTTGTTCTGTTGCTGGTCCGAGTGGCTCTTCTGACCGCCAGACTGTCTGTCCTACAGTCTGACTGGCAGTTCTGGCTGCCTGACTGACAGTCTTAGCTGTCCGCTTGGCTGTCACCAAGTTGGTAATTTTATTTTTGACGTTTAGGGGAAATCAGACACTGCCGATAGAATGCGAAGTACGCCGAACTGAGCCGATGCTGACTCACGTCTACTTCTCCCCGAGACGAGCTCAGCCTCGCGTCGGTCAAAATATGGCGTCCGTTCAACGATGTGCTGCATGAATTACCGACGATTACCCAACGCTGCTCGCCATCTGGGACCCGCAACAGGGCGTTTACAATCTGTGCGTGGTGTGCCGTCGATGAGACGAACACTGGCGTTGCGCAAAGCGTAGCGTGATTAGTGCTAGGTCGCGATTAACCCTGGGTATTTGATTGAGGACGGTCGGATTCCCGTTGGCGAAGTGTCGACGCTAGTCCCGCCACCTCCATCCGCGAGCCGTCACCGCAGGACTGGCAGGTATGTATGTACAAAACATTTACATCCTTTATTTCGTCGCGGCTTTCATTCGCAACCATGTGAATATAATGCTTATACGTTGGGCGGGTGTGCACAGGCCGCAGTGTCTACTAGCAGCGATGACCGAGCACGGGGACGCCGCGACGGAGGCACCCACGCACGTGCAGAACGGCGGTGTTGAGCAATCCACCGATGCCGTCGCCGCCAGCCGCGTCACGGTCACCGAGAGCGAGCTGCATACCCTCACAGCCGCCGACTGGACACACAAGTGGCAGCAGCAGGATATTTATGTCTCCGCCATTGAGAAACGGCTCATTCTCCAAGAAGGTATGCCTGCTTACCAATAAAATTCTCATTCACATTTGGGAAATACAATTAATTTAACGGCTGTTTTAAATTTTCGTACATTGCAGGCGAGTTGAGTGACTTACGGCAGAATTATGAGCGCACTAAAGTCCAGCTGACGGAGTCCCAGCAGAGGGAAAAGCTGCTCGTGCGGCGGCTGGCAGCCAAGGAGCAGGAGATGCAGGATTATGTGGTTAGTACCACGAGTAACAGCAAACACGTACAACAGCAATGACAATTTCTTTTCAAATGTTCAAAGTGCAACATTTCTTTGTTTTCTTGCGCGGCGGTGATCGACGGCCAAATTACATTTCAAATTCTAAATATTTTTTCTCCGGCGGCGGCGGTTTCTTTGGTGGTGCCTACGGACATGAAAAAATACCTCTGTGGATTCAAGTGAGTTGCGCGTGTTGGTGGTGCGCGGTGAAGAACAATGTGATAAAAAGTGATACTTCTATCTGTAATCAATAAATTAAAAATAAATTAAGTTAAGTTTAAGCGTTTTAAGTAAGTCTGTGATATGAGTGCGCGTGCGCGTGGTTTCTTGGAAAAGTGTCGCGAGTGTGAATCACAGAGGACACTGCATTTGCTGCTGATGATGATGATAATGAATGTTGGTTGTTGATTGTAGACACACAAGCGAGCGTGCGCTTGAACATTTGACTCTTAATTGTCATTGTGATTGTTGTAATTAATATGTATCTAGTAGTCGAGCGGTGGCGCGGCGGATTGTCATCGCCCGCAGCCGCCGCACAATCTTTCTCTCTTTCTTACACAAACACACACACACACACACATACATAACCCTCACTTGCGAGATCGCATGATACGCGATACGATGATACTCATACAAACTGTTATTGTTTTTCCTCCCTTTTTAAAGTGCCAAGTGACCGAACTAAAAACGTCGCAGGCGCCGACGACGGCGTCGTTGCGCTCCACGCTGCTGGACCCGGCCGTCAACAGCCTGCTGCAGTTACTGCGCGCCGAACTGCAGAAGACAAAAGCGAAGCTCGAGGAGACGCAGAATGACCTCTCCGCGTGGAAGTTCACGCCCGACTCGAACACCGGCAAGCGCCTGATGGCGAAGTGCCGGCTGCTCTATCAGGAGAACGAAGATCTAGGCAAAATCACGAGCAGCGGCCGCATTGCCATCCTCGAAGGCGACCTCGCGCTCCAGAAGAAGTTCACCGAGGAGGTGCGCCAGTCGCAGCTGGAGCTCGACTCGTTCCTCGCCGATTTCGACGAGGACGTCGAGGGCATGCAGAGCACCATCATGTTCCTGCAGCAGGAATTGCGCCGCACGAAGGACGCGGCCAGCGCGCTGCAGAAGGAGAACGCGGCGCTGCGTGCGCTCAACGGTGGCGAAACGGCGCCGGAGAGCGAGCCGCCCACCAACGGCGATGGCGGCGTGCTGCGCGCCAACGGTGACTCGAGTGATGTGCGCGATCATGACATACACGCCGACGACGACGAACGGACTACAAGGGTTAAACGCGTTCGCCGCTCTTCCGTTCTCAGTATTGACTATAACGACGAGGACATGTGTAATACCAACGGTGACAGCGCCATGATCTCGGATGCCGAGCTGACCCAGTAGGACTAGGACTCTAGGATGTTAAAGGCAGGCATGCGGCTGCGGTGTATATATTAAGCGTATTATAACGAGAGATGGATGGAGAGCGGCGACGAGGCGAGCGCATCATTGGCGTAGTTGTCGATTGTTGTCACAGGCGAATTTTATTCAAGTTTTATTTATAAAATTCATCATTCGAGCGTTAATCACCTTAGTTGCGATTCACACGACGTGCAAACAGTGATACTTATTTGTAAATAGTTTAATTCTTTTGTTTGGCTGCGCGATTTTTTTTTTTGCATTCGCGGAATTTATTCATCTTTATACAATAATTCATTCTCCGGATTTTCGGTATTTTAAATAATTTGTCAGAGTGAGCTTTCTATTAACTTTTGACACAATTGAAATCATTTTTCCGGTTTTACGGTTATTTTAATCCAGTTCGGTGAGCTTTTCTCATCTTTCATCTATGATAACGATTGTTCGCATGTTTTAGAAGCAATATACATGAAGCAAAAGTGCGCCATTTTGTTTTGAATTATTATGTTTCATACACAATTATACTCCAATACGGCAAATGGCGACAAAAAACAAAAAAAAATCTTCAGGAAATACCTTTATAGCCTCAATATTGAACAAGTGTGTCGAGTTTGATCAACAAACAACGAAATTTCGTCGAATTCCTGTGACAAAATCGTCCACTGCGTTCCACACAAAATTCGGAATCTAAATCAATAATCTCAGCGGCGGAACGCAGCCGACGGGGCACGGAGGCACACCGAACAATTAATGTTAGCGATAATGAGTGAAATCAAAGCAAATCGGAGGGTGCACGTCGTCGAGCGCGGAATATACTGTATAACTTATTAAAACACACACATACAATACAATTAAAATACTATTGATCATAATGTAAAGTTGTATTTAACAAATTGTTGATGATTGTACAAAAAAAAAGAGCATGAAGTATGTCGCGACGCGGCGACGATGGGAGTTGATAACCGCGCGACACGAAAATCTTAAGAGGTATTCATTTTTCAAGCAGAAATACAAATAACAAAACAAATTTACAGCAAAAAATGTGTTCGGTTTTGATTAGAGTGTTATTATTATCATTAAATTATCTTTATTTTCTATTTCGCAAGCAAATTGCCATCCAATTTTGTAAATCGACTTAATCATTATTATTTCTTAAGACCTTATTGAAAATAAATTTGTTTCTACAAATAAGTATTCCAGTGCGTCTGTTTCCTTATGCGGTACGCATTGGCGGGCTAACAAGGATGACGCCATCGCCGCGTACGAACAGCATTGGAATCGTGCGTTTCGTTGATCTGTAGACTTCCTCATAAGTTTCTTCATCAATTTCAACTGTTGTGATGGTCTCCTCTGCATCACTCAGTACCATATTCATGTGTTGGTCATACGCCTACGAAAGACATCAAAAATTGTAGAAAATATAAAGTTATTCTTGTTTTTTATTGGTAATAATTTGATTTATATTTATACTCACGTGGAGACGGCCTCGCAACTCGCGATCGTTGCGCATTTTTACATAGATGCGCTCGTCCAGACTTAACCTCACCAAATCAAGCGGTTCTTTCACCGTCATCGACGGTAACTACAAGATTATCAAGTTTATTAATCAATACACACATTAATTAATATTGTTTTAGTTTAGACCTACATTATCGAACTCTTCCGCCATTCTCGGAGTGCTTAATTGCTGAAAATCGTCAAACTACAAGCCAAATACACTCAACGCTTTTTATCGCAACAAACTGATGGGTGTAATAGAAGTTGCCTATACGCGCCGCAGGAAAACAAGAAATATTTTGAACAGCGTCGAGATTTGATGAAAAAACTTTTAAAAATGCGTTAAAACATTTATTCAAATATAAAAACAGTGCTGACTTGCAAAAAAACATAAATTGCGAGTGTGAATGTGGCGGTGAGTGAACTAAAACTAGTTTTTTACGTTCTAAATTAAGGAATTATAGATAATGTTCCAACAGCTGAAATATGAAATGTCGCCGCAGCGCATAAATTAAAATCGTCCGCATGCTCTACCTATTTAAGCACCAGTTGACCTATCGCAAATGCTACGAACTAATAATACTAACATGTCGGCTTCGACGCGCGCGCCGTTCTTCAGAACCTGAAAATAATTAATCGGTGGCGGTGCGTGCCCGCAGGATGCTCAGTGCCGATTCGGCGGCGCGCACGGAGTTCTCCAGCGTCTCGCTGAAACTAGAACAGCCCGGCTCGAGTGCGCTGGACACCTTCAGTAATTCCTGGCAGAGTTCCACACGCCGCTGCAGTCCAGCCTCGGACGGCGTACCTACAAGTTGAAAATTAAATTTAAAAAAGCACACGTACACGCTGCGGACGTATATATAGGTAAAGGTAATTTTTAGATGATTGAGGCGACAGCCGTTCGATTCACTCAGGCATACTTTCAGCTGTGAGCAAAAAAAAATCGTTGGAATTAATCACAGTAAACAGTAAAAATAAAAACCGAGAAACGCGTGTTTCACATTCAAATTTCTAGACTTTCATCGTGAAAATCATCAAAATGCAAGTGAAATACGTTTGAACATAACTTCCGATAATAATTTACACAGTTTGCGGTCTAAAAATAATACCGCAGTGTGCAGTGTGCAGCGCGCCAGGATGATTGACGTTGTCCAGCCGCCCCCACACGTTTCACATCATTACCCGCAATCCGGCGCGCCTCGAAAAACACATCTTTCGTTCCCCAATAGCGCCCGATGTAATTAACCGCGCAACGCGTGTTATTTTTACGCAAAAAAAAATCAAATACTTACACTTTACGCTTTCGTACAGCTGAACCAATGCGTACTTTATCTCCAACGCATGCGTATTCTGCGCGTGCAATAAATGCGAAAAACTCTGCAACAATTTCTCAAAGTGTTCCGGTGTTCGCGGAGCGGCTACAATCTCGGCGCGTATCTGCGCATTTAATGTTTCCACCTGACACGCAGCAACGACATCTTCACATTCTTGACATTTCCATGCGGCGTTTTTATCCAAAGGATTCGTGCTTACAATTAAACCCCGCTGGCATTGTTGACACTTCAAAGAACCCGCAAAAGTTCCTAATTCGGTTGGGTCCGAGCATCTCCGGCAAGTGCAATCGAAGTGTTTGTTTGTTTTTAAATGCGTGCGGCGTGACAATGTCGGCCATAATGTCTGCGTGTATGTCGTGCAAATCTTTTCACCTTTGCAAATCTTCCTTGTGGCGATTACGCTCATACTATAATCGTCCGCACAAAGATGTCTTGTGTTTGGAGTGCAGTCGTGAGGCAGAAATGATACCATCGAATATACTGCGCGAATATTAACGTGTTTATTGCGTACTTCGAACGCATTTGTATCAAAAATCGAACATATCTGCAGAGGATCTATGTTTAATTCTTCTGACGATGAAAAAACTCGTTTCAGAAGAGGTATCAGTGTCCTGCCGAGAAAATTGTAGATTGGTTTCGGCATATTGCTCTCAATATGTGACTGGAGCGCCAGTAACTCGTCAAATTGTTTTTTGTGCGTGTTTTTCAACAGTAACGCTCGTAGTGGTAGAATTAACGCGTAACTCGATGATTTTTCATTCAGATTTCTGATTTGTGGCTTCACACCGGCTCGTGCGAGTAATTTACATTCATGTATATGCCATTTGGACTCTTCGCATTCGGCACTACACAAGCCCCATGCACATTTGGTGCATTTAACGTGATCTGGTTGTAGTTTTCGATGGCAGCCCAAACAAATCGGCACTGTGATCATTTTTGGTCCGGCGACAAGCGGTGTTTTCTTCATAATAACATCGCCGGGTTGAATATCACGATTTGCCACTGCGTATCTACCTAGGTGGTCGTTTTCTTCGATTTTGTACGCGACACACGTGGATTTGTGCGATTTCCATGCGAGTTTTTGATGTTCTTTGCCGCAGTAGTAGACGAGACCGCAGGAGGAGCATTTTAAATCCGCGCTGCGGTCGCAATACGCGCACACGGGCATATCGACGGCGGGCGTGATGTATGCGATCAATTCTCGTGCGTCGTAGAAATGCGAACTGCTCGATTTCGTTCTGGCGTGAACTTATATTCTCGATTTTTATTTATAGTTTATGCTTATTGGTTGCGCGTAGCGTAGACCCGCCGGTTTGAATCTCGCGGTTATGTTTACAACGCCCCCTGGCGGTCATAATATGAATCATTTATTCAGAATTTATGTTTGTTAAGCAAAGTAATAAATACATATAATAGTAACTTAATGGGTATGTAGATATTTTATTTAAGTGTATATAAGTACGTTTTATGTAATATTATCATTTATAATTTGTTTGTTTCTGTATAGGTTTGGATAGATTTGATATTTGTTGCTTTTTGAATGCGCCTCGTCGTGGCAATATTGGGTACTAAATGTATTGCGAATCTGGCAACACTTGGTTGTCGTTTGCAGTCGTTAGCAGTCGTTTGCAGTTGTGTAGTGGCCGATGTGATGTGATTGACACTTGTGCACACAGTGTGCGGTCCCTCTCGACGAATTTCGAACGAAAGTATAGATAAACCATTCACATATTCGAGGTGAGTATTTCCTGGGGATGCTGTGCTTCGGCGAGTGCACGCAGTTCGAGGGTGGCGCACACCACCGCCGGCGAAGATTTCGACATTCGCCGGAAAACAAGGCCACCCCGGCACGCGGGCGCTGTGCAAAAACGCCGCCGACGGGCGGTTTGCGCTCCGCACGACGCAAAACCACACGATGACAACACGTTCGCCACGCGCAGGGTGCTCACCCACGTACGAAACCTGCGAGGCGCACATCGCCGTGCGTTAACCTCGTTGAGACAACGCACGCGGTCACCGAAAAGTCGCCAAGGCTATCGGCTGATCTGACCTCTTCATGTCACGGCGATAAGCCGCTGGACACGCCGCCGGCGGCGGTTAATGTTTTGTTTACTGGCGCTCATGCTCGTGCACGCTCCGCACTTCGTATCTCGTCGCACATCAGGCGCGAGCTATAAATAGTTCGACTTGAACTTGCATAAATCAGCGCCGCGAAAATAACGCCGCCGTCATGCACGTCTTTGTTGCCGTACGCGCCTAACCGCCTTATCACGATTTCGCGAAAGTTGCGCAACCTGCTTGTCGAGGTGGCCCACCATCAGCTCCTGTCCACTGGCTGATCCTTACTAATTCCTATTGTGTTGTGTTTCAGTGTTGCTGGAGCAGCACTATGCATAATATCAACTCGGAGGGCCAGTACATGAACACCGCAAACGGCGCCGGCAACAACACGGAGCGTGTCGCCATCCTCGATGCGGGCGCACAGTATGGCAAAGTCATAGACCGGCGGGTGCGCGAACTGAATGTGGAGTCGGAGATCCTGCCACTGGACACGCCGGCGTTCAACATCCGCGAGGCTGGCTACCGTGCGATCATTATCTCCGGCGGGCCCAATTCGGTGTACGCCGAGGACGCACCGCGCTACGATGCGGACATCTTTCGAATAGGCCTGCCTGTCCTAGGTATCTGCTATGGCATGCAGATGATGAATAAAGAGTTCGGTGGCTCCGTCATCCGTAAGGAGAGCCGTGAGGACGGCCAGTATGATATTGAAGTCGACACCAAGTGTCTCTTGTTTAAGTAAGTGCAAATTTCATTTACAAGTTTGGTTGTAAGAAAGCAGCTTGCATTTAAGCTTGGCAAGTTGCTGATACAACAACCATAAAACAAACCGGCGAGAAATCTTGTTCATTTCGTAAAGATGCCACGAAATGAAGTTACCATCTCGCTCAACATTTATTTTAAAAAAAGAATGCAATTAAGTTACACTTGATTTTGTCCAATAGGTCATTAGATAAAGTGCAACAAGTACTCTTAACGCATGGCGATTCAATCGAAAAAATCGCCGACAACTTCAAGGCGATAGCGCACAGCGCGTCATTCTGCGCCGGCATCGCAAATGAAAAGCAGCAATTGTACGGTGTTCAATTTCATCCGGAGGTGGACCTCACCGCGCACGGCAAGACCATGCTGCGTAACTTCCTCTTCGACATCGTTGGACTCACCGGCAACTACACGATTCAGGGCCGTGAAACAGAGTGCATTAAACTCATCCAGGAGACGGTCGGCAACAACAAGGTGCTGGTGCTGGTGAGCGGCGGCGTCGACAGTGCCGTATGCGCCGCGCTGCTTCACAAGGCACTCAAAGCCGACCAGATCATCGCCGTGCACTTCGACAACGGCTTCATGCGCCAGAACGAATCGCTGCGCGTCGAAGAATCACTGCGGAAGCTCGGCCTCAATATACGCGTCGTGAATGCGGCGTGCGCGTTCTCCAGCGGCAGCACAGTGGTGCCCATCGATCGCAACGAGCAGAACTCGCGGACACGTATCACAAAGATGCTCTCGCAGACGGCGGATCCGGAGGAGAAGCGTAAGATTATCGGTGATGTATTCGTCAAGATCTCGGACGATTTTCTCGCTGAGATGAACCTGAAGGCCGAAGAGGTGCTGTTCGCGCAGGGCACACTTCGGCCGGATCTCATCGAATCCGCCTCGAAGTTGGCGTCCAACAAGGCTGACGTCATCAAGACCCATCACAACGATTCAGAGTTGATTAGGTAATAAACAACACCATCAATTTTAATATTTTCTCATGGTACATGAACTTTTTATTGCACTTTTCAGGAAACTACGCGCTGAGGGTCGTGTTATTGAGCCTCTCAAAGATTTCCACAAAGATGAGGTACGTGCATTAGGCCGTGAGCTAGGCTTGCCAAGGGAGCTAGTCATGCGCCATCCGTTTCCGGGCCCCGGGCTCGCAATTCGCGTGTTGTGCGCGGAGGAACCATACATCGAGCGCGATTTCTCCGAGACGCAGGTTCTCGTGAAGATCATCGTCGAGTTCGAGCAGATGCAGCAGAAGAAGCATGCCTTATTGAATCGTGTGGAAGGTGTCACATCGGAGGACGAACGGTAAAAACCCCACACACGCAATATTTTCGCGTTTAGTTATATAATTTGCGTTTGTAGGATAACCCTGCAGAGAATATCCAGCAAACAGAAGCTGGCGGCGACGCTGTTGCCGATCCGCAGCGTTGGCGTGCAGGGCGATTGTCGCTCCTACAACTACGTCTGCGGCATCTCCAGCAAGAACGAGCCTGATTGGGACGACATCATGTACCTAGCTAGATTAATACCTCGCATCTGCCGCAACATCAATCGGGTGTGCTACATCTTTGGCGGGCTGGTCAAGGAGACCATTCCGGATCTGACGCCGACGTATCTTACCCCGAACGTCATCTGCAGTCTGCGCCATGCTGATGATGTCGCCACAACTGTAAGTTTTTGTTTTTTTTGTTTCAAGTTTTTATCATCCAAACGGTTGTAAGAAAGCGATTTTTTCATGATTAAGCTTTGAAAATCGTTGATACACCAACCGTAGAGTAACCACAGACCAAGTGAACACTTTCGTAGCGCAGAGTTATGCCTACGGAGCTACAACTTGACCAACACTTTATATTTTATTGATTAATAAATGTTTTTCATGCGTGAATCGAAATCATTGCAGGTGTTACAAAACGCTGGCCACATGGACTCTGTAAGTCAGATGCCGGTCGTCCTGCTGCCAATCCACTTCGACCGGGATCAGGCGTTGCGAATACCATCGTGCCAACGTTCGATCGTTTTACGGCCTTTTGTCACACAAGACTTTATGACTGGAGTACCTGCAGTACCAGGGAAACATCTGCCTTTGGAGGTGAGCACTGAAAAACCCACAAATTTCGTCATTTTTATTTCAAATTTTCATATTTCATATTTCTAGGTTGTACAAAAAATGGCGAGTGACGTGCTGCTCGTCCCTGGCATATCCCGAGTACTCTACGACGTGACTTCGAAGCCGCCGGGTACCACGGAGTGGGAATGATTCGTGCGTGCATCCAATTAAACTAAAAGTCTCAAAAGAATAACATAAAAAAAAACAAAAAAGAAAAACCACACACACACACTACATATGTACACCGCGCATCTTCCTCTACAATACTTTACACTGAGCAAAACAAATGACACACACCATTAAAAAAAAAAGGAAACATTTGCACACAGACATGAATATCATGATATATTCCTATGGTACGTCTGCAATTCAGATGATTTATATCGACGTACACCCAAACACAGCGTATTACAACATCCCAACTGATACGACTACCAACTATCATTACCAACTATACAGGCGACGCATTGCAAGCGAGCGGCGGGCACTTTGTGTCCACGGCTGGTTTGCATTTCCTTATCTTCATTATTAATTAATTACTATTATCACTTTGTTGACTGTTAAGTGAATTGATGCCACCCGATCATTTCCTTTATTCGATATGAATGTGTAAATTCCGATTTGGCGGAAATAAAATTTACTAATGCACCGGCTCAAGTCATTTTGCGGGGTGCGGCGCACGCTCGCACAGATTGTATGTATTTGTATATGTCGGAACGAAGCGGCTCTTCGTTGTCTCTTAAGAATTTTTTTTTTGTATTTAACTTTATTGTTAAAAATTGTTTGTTCGCGAGGCAGGTATCCTGTTCTGATCATTTCGCTTGTTCTAAAGTACTTGTAAAGTAAATGATAAAGAAGCAAACGTTCATTTTCTGTACACCCACGTTGTTTTCGCATCGCTAAACTGAAATAAAACTCGATTTTTGTTACGCCTGTTTGTCTCTACTGACTCACAACTACAAACGAACGGAAATGATTGAGAAGCATTTGTTATTCTCTTTATTTCAGTTTTTTTTGTTTTAGAACGATAACAGATTAAACATTGGGATATAAAGTGCGGGTTGCAGGTGGTTTCAAATGTTTCAAAAATGTCCGTTTCTCAATTTTGCTTCACAAAATGTATTATCTTGTGCGTTGTATGCCCTGCTGTGTACGTTGTTATCAATTCGCATCTTTTAATATTCCTCGTGACTTTGCCGGTTCCACTTGTTGATTTTTTCTTATAGTATTTAAAGATTCAGCTGTAAAATTTTCTTTATCAGCGCCCCCAGCTGGGGGTGGAGGTGGCGGTGGTGGCGCTTCGTCCTCCAAGAATCTATCAAACTCTTGCATAGTTTTCTCCAAGTCAACGTCGGTGGAGGGAGGTCGCGGCCTTTGAATCGTCCGATTGACGAACTGTTGCGCTGTAGGTTTAACGCGTGATGTATTCGCCGGACGCTTGAGGATGCTGGTATAATTCGCAGGACGTACACATTCGGGACGCAGATAGTGTGGTGGTATCGGTGCCTCACGCGTTTGATTTTTCGCACTGGATTCATATCCTCTCGGTTCTGATGCGTAAAACGCTGGAGGGGGTTGCCACGCCTGCTCAGAGGATCCCGGATACGGCCGGTCAGTCAACATCTTCGCATCCTCCTCGCTTAAGGGGAACTTTTCAAGTAGTTCCTGGAAGATTTCCGTGAGTGGCGGATGCTCTTCACTTTCAATAGCCGCTTCGAACTCCTCGAGAGTCGAATATAATTTGATTTCTCCGTCGGGATATTCTTGCGCTGCTGCACCATGGTATCCAGTTGGTGGGGGTACCATGGAGGGATTGAATCGCGGCTGGTGTGGATGCGGTTGAGCAGCCGGCGGCGGTTGATCGCCCGGATAGTAATTCATCATGAATTGTTCGAACTGTTGATTATACACTAATCGTCCGAGCAGTTCGCGGCGTTTCAGTTCGCGTTCGTGTTTCTCTCGCTGCTGGTTTTCAAGCTGTTGCTGTTGGATTTGTCGCTGTAGGTGATTGTAGACTTGTAGCTGCCGTACCTGCTGCAGTTGGAACTGCAACTGCTGCTCGGGAGTGAACTGCAGTGGTTGTTGCTGATGATGATAATAAATCGAAGGTGGCTGGTGCGACGGCGGCTGCGATTGTTTTTGAACTTGTAGTCGTTGGTGTTGTTGAAGTTGCAGCAATTGCTGCGGCAACGGTTGCTGTGCTAGTTGCATACGTTGGTGTGGATATTGAAGCTGTTGCTGCTGCTGCTGCCTGTGTATATATTGCTGCTGATATTCAGGACGTTCTTGTGGATTACAAAGCTGATTCGGTGTTGGATACCGCAGTTGATATCGCGGTGTATACTGAAAGTGAGGATGGGCGGGTGGTCTAACTTGGGGTCGCGCCGGATTTCGCAACTGCTGATGAACTTTGATTTGTCGTTGAAGATGATTTTGAAACATGCGGTGCTGGTCCCGGCGCGCACGCTCCCATTGCTGGTGTTGCACCAATTGCAATTCTTGCCGTTTTCTTTCAAATTGCATCTGGTAGTGTAGTTTCTGTTGTTCCAGTCTCAGTTGTTCCTGTTGACGTTTTTCCTTTTCCTGTAATTGCCGATCTACGACATCTTTGTCCACTTTTAATTTACAAAATAGTATCTCCTGGCGTCGTTTTTGCACCTCTACCCATTCCTCATGTTTGCGTAAATCATGTTGTCGTTGTTGCATGATCTCGACATGTTGCGCGTCCATCTGCTGAAGATATTGTTGGTGTATTATCGGTTGAAGATTAGATTCTTTTGGTCCTGGCTGTTCAATAGCCTGCGCAATTTGTTGTTGAATAAACCAGACGGGTATCTGCGCCGCTGGTGGCATCACGACTCCGAACTCCAGGATCAGCTTGCGATGCAATGATTCCGGCGGGAACATTTGATTGCCTTGATACAATGGCGTCTGGGTCTGCACAGCCTGCGGACAGCCGGGCATACAGGGCCCCGCTGGTGGTGGCGGCGGAATGGGACACATGCCCGGAGGCAGCATCTCCTGCAGCTCCGAGAGCGTCGGGCTCCATACAGTTTGGTAGTGTTGCACCGGGTGGAGCAGTGCATTGGGGTTGGGACTTGGTGAGTTGAGGGTTTCTGCTGTCGGCACTGGGGTGAACGTTATTATCACCGAGATATCCTTAATGATCGAGGCTTGGAACACTAGATAATTGAGGATATCGCCGAGTGGAGCAACGGGGAACATCGTCACCCGGTGCTCGGTCCCGAAAAACCGCACGGCCCCCACAGCGACGGTGCATGCTGTCACGTCGATGGTGAGCAGAATGCCTTCGTAGCGGGTATCCGTGTTGGAGAGTAGACTTATCTTGGTGCCAATCTCGGGGAGGACTTTCTTCAGCAGCTGGTCGGCCTGTTCTTTATTGGTCGGCCAGATTTTGGGATCTATCAATTTGGGCATTGTGTTTTTTTCAATGCTGTTCACCTGCACGTTCTAAATTTTGAATGTGTTTGCCGAATTGTGTTGGAAACGGATTCGCGTTTGTTTCGGATAGATTTTTCGCAGCCGCCTCGCAAAACGCTGACTAATGATCAACTTAATGAGTAACTATGAGCTTATTTATTTAACAACAATAATATTCAACCATCATTAATATTATAATGGAATTATTCTGTATTTTAGGCAATACTTTTGCTGGGACCATTTTTTACTGACCAACTCTAACCTAACTTTTGTCCTATTTGCGGTACAACCCAATACAAAGTATTTCCAAAGGTAAGTTAAATTTTAAATACTTTTACCTTAAAGTAACGTTTTAGAAAGCGTGCAATAAAACTTTAAAAACCTTGACTCACTGGTCACCCTTTCGATAGAATAGTGGTCCACTTAATTTCGATTTCTGACATTGAATCGCTCGTAATTCCTCTATGAGTTTTAGAATTTCAATCGCAGATTAACGTATGCTGGAATTGCACAATGCGCGAGATCACGAATATCACGATATCGCGTTAATTACGCGATCGCACGTGTGCCGCCAAGAAACCGACCAGCGCAAGGGAAGGAGTGGACTCGAAATCGGCGCGTTCTTGTCTCGCGAACTCGCCTTATTCTAGTTGCGCGCCAGTCGTGCTCGCCATCGCGTAAAAATCAACAAACAACACAAAACATCAACAATTTATCAAGCAAACGTTATTTCTGTGATTGTGCTAATGCCCACCGCTGATAATCAGTGAATTTATCACCAATTAAACATTTTGTGAGTAATATTTTCTATATATTTACATATTTACATATTTCGATTATCATTTGTGTTCAGTTATTTCAAATGTTTACAAACAAGTTCTCTATTATGATTGTGAAACACAGAAAGCACGCATTCCTGCTGGACTAATGAGTTTTACTCGTGAAGTTTTTGATCAATACGGCTTAATAGTGCGGTTTAAAGTAATTGTGTTCAATTGTTCACACAAAAAGCTGGTTTGTCCGCGCGTATGCGTAGAACCTGGACGTCCAAAAATAGTTCAGTTATTAACCTTTTGTACACATTCAGCACACGCACACAAATTCATCTAAATACATCATTTTCGCTATCAAACCGTGTATTAGTATAGGTGGAAAACCTGAAAACAAACAACTGATTTATTTATAGGCTTAGTTACATGCACCTAGTCACTGTTAAGTATACTTAACATATCGAGATTGTGCGTCGTTTTGGTTTGATTTTGTAGCTCAGCGCAACCTTGTAGGCTTTACAATAACCAATTGATCGAACTGCACACACTAAAAAAAAATCCGCTCGAATTTGCTTATTCTTAAATATTGCTTCATTTTATAATATGTGCTCATTTTTTGGGTCAAGGCTTCGACGGTGCGAGAGTGATCTTGGTTGGCCTTGAATGTTCTGCATTGTTTATGTATCACGCATCGATGTTCAAACACTAGCTGTGAGCATTTAAGCGCTGTTTCTTAATCGCCATTTTGATTTTAGGGAGTTGCAGGAGTTGTGTGGTACATTGTTAGCCGGTACGATGAATGAATGCGACCTTCATTTGGCGCGGGCGATGCTCGACGAGGCAAATCTGAATGGAACTCCTGGTCCGCTCAAGAAATTCGCTGCCAACGAAAGGAAATTTATGTAAGTTTAACGCCAAATTGAAAAATTTATCAGAAAATCACCTGAATATGAAACTTATTTTTTAAAATTACATTTTAAGATTGTGATAGCAGTTATCTCAGGCATGATATTTATTTTATTACGCAATGCATAACTTTTGTGACTTTATGCAAGTTTATTTTGAAAATAAGTGCATTGTGTATATTGGGTTGCCTAAGTTACATGCTGGTATCTTGTAAAACAAAAACGAATAGGTTTAGTAATGACTACGGAGCGGTGGGTTTGTGCACTCGGCAGAAGTTTATTTATAAATTCAAATGTTTTGAGATGGATCACGAAGTGAACATGTAAGTACAGACAGCGGCATTACACAATGAAGCCGCTCCAACTAGTAATCGCAATTCGATCGCGAGATAAACTTTAACTCTAGTTTTAACATGTTGTCCGTGTGCGGATGAGTCGTCCCTTATCAGCTGGTGGTGTGGCGTGAGACGTGATCCGCCGTGATCGGGATACCGACGAGATCTCGCCGTCAGTTGTGCATGTAAGCGCGTGAGGTAAGCGGTGCGTGTGCCGACGTCGTTCGGTTGTTGTTTTTGCGCCTGACACATAAAACTCGTGTGCGTGCAAGTCAATGAATTAGCGAATAACACACAGCCGCTCGGCTGTCAGTCAGTCTGCGCGCAGCCAGGGTTCGAGTCGATAGAGACGGTCAGTCAGCATCGGAGTTCACTCGTCGTGGTTCAGAGTGACAACATTAACAGCCAAAAAAAAACCTGCGACGATGTTCTCGGGGTGAAGACGACACGGAACCGAAGCGTCGAGTTACAGTTACAGCGGCGGTCATGGACAACTTGTGGGTGGGCAGCGAGACGGATCTGTCCGTCCTGCATGAGATCCGGATGGCGGACCGTCTCGAGTACCGCGTGCAGTGCCTGAAACCGCGCGAAGTCGTCTGCAAACAACAACAGCCGGATGGGGTGGTGACGGCGAACGCGACGGCGGCGAGATCGGTGGCTGGAAAGCCCGCCTTCGTGCGGGATTGCTCCAGCACGAATATCATCGATACAGATGACTGCGACTCGTGCAGCAGCTGCTGCACCAGCCGGCAGGGATGCAGACGAAGGTCAGGCACTTGGCCGTAAGTAGAGCAGGAGTGCACACCCCCCGAACAAAAAAAAAAAACGCGGCCGCGTTGAATGTCGGTCATTGCCATCATCATTACCGTCATCGCCTGCCGATCCACGGCCCATAACCTCACCGCACGCGATTCTTCATTCAACTTATTCGACTTCCGTTTAGGTGTCGCATTCTGCGACTTTATATCATTTGTAGTGATATGTGTAGGGTTGTGCTTTGTTTTGTAAATATGGCACAATTTCGGTTGTTTGTGCCATTTTCACACCTGCTCCTCAACTCCGATATGGTCTAGTGGCTAGGATAGCTGGCTTTCACCCAGCAGGCTCGGGTTCGATTCCCGGTATCGGAATTGTTTTTCTTTCTCAACTTATTTTTCGACTTCTTATCACGACTTGCGGCTGACAATCGCTTCTCATCTTTATCTCCTCCTGTTGTTAGTTTATCACAAGCCATAATATTGATGTTATTTGGTTATCCGCAGTGTACATATTGATAATTCTTACTTCTTAAAAAATAATAATGTAGATTATGTGTCAATGCGTTAGAATGGTGCCCCGAAAAGTGGCGGCCATGACGGTGGTGTGTTAATTGTTAATTGCCGCCGTTTGCACTCCTGACATCCTTTCGCACCTAGACGGCATAAATAATGCACGCACGCTTTTGTTTCTCACCTTCGCGCGGCCGCCATTTATTATTCAATATTTGACGACCGGCCGGCCGGCCGATGATGACTCGAGTAAAATATCCGTATTTTTATGGCAACGACAATAGGAATCATCGGCGACTACAATAGAAGGTCATTAATAATGTTGCACGCAACGGACGCATGCTCGGTTTCCAATTATTCGAGTATGCAAACGGATAAAATCACACAAATTCAATTTTATTGTGCTGATGATGATGATGAGCAGAGGAGGATTCTTGCGGCGCGTTTCCACGGCAATAGAAAGCGAAAAAAAAGCAAGCGCCAACGGAGAATGAACGCAAACACACATCGAAGTTTTCGATTTTATGCTTGCGCACACCGCCGTGAAAGTTATTCAAAATGATAGTCATTGTATTACGGCATTACGCCATATGCGCCTACGGCGCTTGCACGAATCTAGTGTAGTGCGTGCATACGTTAATGTCGTTATTCGATGTATACTGATCGGCGGCGATTTGGTTGTTGCAGGAGGACGCGCTCACTCAATGCACCGTCTCCCATCCAGCAGTTTGGGCCATGCGGCAGGATAATGAAAAACTCGGCGATGGTCATGTAAGTACCAACACAATTGTTTACTCATTTTTATTATTGTTAATTATTGTTTTTGTCGAAACACCGCCGCGGTTTTCGCTCGTGTCGTTATCACCGGCGCGCGCGGTGCCACCAGTTCCGCGCGCGAGTTGCGACGATTTGGTCGACGTCCTTCGCTGCGGCGGCGGCGGCAACAGGCGTGGAAATGAACCACACGCTCGTCGAATTCATTTCGCATTTCGTCGCCGGCGTGCGCGCCGTACGCGTCGCGACTAGTGAAACTTCTTCCTGAATAGTTCGCGAGTGTTTCCGTGTTCAGGATGGTCGCCTCCTCCGAGCTGGTGAAATTCAACCTGTGCACGGACCTCGACTATTCCAAGCTGCGCTATTTCATGTAAACTTTATTCGCTTAACAAAAAAAACGTGTTTATTTGATGCGCGTCAGTAAATACCGAAAAAAAAAAACACACACACAGTCAATGTTGTGTTGTGTTGTTGTTGTGCTACCGGTGAGCAAATATTGTGTGTGACGAGTGTGTTTTTGATTGTTTTTAGGTCGATCCAAGATCCGGCCAGCCAGAGACTCACCTGGTACAAGCCGCCGCTCACCGTGCTCGTGATTAAGAAAGTGCACGACGCAGCCGTCCTGCCGCCGTTCGTCCAGCTCGTGCAATGGCTATTCACGGTAATTACACAATTCTTGCGCAAAACAATCGCGAATAACGATGATAACGTCAAGTTTTTTGTTTTGTTTGGATGATTTGCCAGATGTCATGCTTGATTATGATTATCAATGAATGCCGATAAGTTTTAACCGGAAATTGCACCCGAACGAAAATTCAATCATCATATTATGCAATCTTATGCTCCTCTAATGCTCGAATTCGAATGACGAATTGTTATTATTGTTATTATCGTTAATGACAAGAATAAATAGCCGCGGTGGCTTTTTTATGATAAAAATGGCGCTCGAGGTCACGCCAACAAGTTCCACAGGTGTCCGCGCGTTATTTCTTTATCATATTTTGATCGTGCGTTGGTTTTTATTGCGTTTTTACAATGTTTCACACGGTGTTTAATCACCGCTCGTCATTTTTCCACTGTTGACACTCTCACTACTTCAATTTTTAACGGTTTTCTGCCATTAAAACGAGTTTTAAGTGGAATTTTACGCTTGTTCTTTTGTTTTTTTTTTTTAGGAAAAACGAATGGTGGTGTTTGTTGAGTCAGCTGTAATGGATGAACCACTCTTGGATCAGTATCCTGCCTTTCAAGGCTTCAAAGACAAACTGATGACCTTCCAGGACGGCAAGGACGACCTCACGGACAAAATCGACTTTATTATTTGTTTGGGAGGCGATGGCACACTATTGTACGCTAGTCATCTCTTCCAGCAGTCGGTGCCGCCGGTGATGGCGTTCCATCTCGGCTCGCTCGGTTTTCTCACGCCGTTTCAGTTCGATAACTTTCAGTGGCAGGTGAATAACGTGCTGGAGGGCAACGCGGCGCTCACGTTACGCAGCCGGCTGCGTTGTGTGATGCTGAAGAAGCGCGACAAGGAGGCGGAGATTGTGAATAGCGGCGGCGGTGGTGGTGGTGCCGCTGGTGGCGGAAAGAATAAACTGCCGACGAATGTGCTGGTGCTCAACGAGGTTGTGATTGATAGGGGACCATCGCCGTACCTCTCCAATATCGACTTGTTCTTAGACGGTAAACATATTACAAGCGTACAGGGTGATGGCTTGATTGTGAGCACTCCAACGGGGAGTACGGCCTATGCTGTCGCGGCCGGCGCGTCTATGATTCATCCCAGCGTGCCCGCCATTATGGTAACGCCGATTTGCCCGCATTCGTTGAGTTTTCGTCCGATTGTTGTGCCGGCGGGTGTGGAACTTAAAGTCGCCATCTCGCCGGACAGCAGAAACACTTCGTGGGTGTCGTTTGATGGCCGGAATCGACAGGAACTCCTACATGGTGAAAGGTAAATACAAAAAATTTTAGTAATATCAGTAATCTAAAAAATCAATTTTTGTAGTTTGCGTGTGACGACTTCGATTTATCCAGTGCCGAGCATTTGCGCCTTAGACCAGATCTCGGATTGGTTCGATTCGCTAGCGGAGTGTTTGCATTGGAACGTGCGGAAGCGGCAGAAGCAGCTCGAGGATCTCACCGACCTGACACATTCCAGTTCGAACGACACGCTCGACTCCCTTGAGATCCGCAGCGAGAGCGGGCAGGAGTAGTGCGCGTGCGCACGCGAAACTGGTGCTTGTTCTTTATTCTATTTTATTTATTATGCTCATTTTTTATTTGTATATTGAGAGCGTTCGACGCAATCAGTTTATCACGGTGCACATGAATACATCTTGATCGGACCGCGATTTTAAATTAATTTTTAATTTATAGTACGATTTTTTTTTATAGAAGCACTTGTTTGATATTTATTAACACGCCGTTTGTCTGCATTGTTTAATTATTTATTTATTTGTTACTGCGTTCGAAGTTGTTTGTTGCAAATCACACGAATTCACCACGATTGTATGACTTTTTGACAACCAGGGCAATAATGTACAGGTGTACCTATCACCGCAGTTAGAAATAAGTGAAAATGGGTCCAACTAGTGAAATTCTAGCCGTAATTTTGTGTGTGTTTGTTGGAGTTTTGAGCGACGCGCGATTGGAACGTAATTACCTTGCATTGTGAATAACGAATGTGGAAGATTGATTTGAATTGTTGCCAAGTTATTGGGTAGATCCCAACTTATTGTGTGCTGATTTTGCACTGCATCGCTGGTTTTCTACCAGCCGCACATTTTTAAACAACGTGAATAACTAGATAAGGGAAGTGGACGTCGGGAGGGCCGCGGCCTTCTTTGATATTATCATCACCGTTGCATACTGTCGTACTTATGACCTCGAAAGGAAGCAATTTGTTACATATTGATAGTTTTAAAGTTGAAATATTTTATAATGATTGCAAGTCAGATGAGATTATAAAAGAGGTTTTATTATGTTTTTATTATATGCTGATTGAAGCTGTGTATATTGTTAATGTGCGCAAATCCTGAGATCCTTGTTAAGCAGATAGTTATTTTGTGAATTGCGATTTAAAAACAAAGTTGAAGTGACGTTTCAATTTCTATGGTAATTTTGGTTGCCTACATCGCCAATCAAACATTTATATCAATGAATTTGACAATTCTACACGTCGGTGCTTTTATTTAACGCTTTACACATTTTTTACATATTTTATACATATTCAGTGCATTTTAAATAACAATGGACTTTCTGGTTGCGAAGCATAACATTTTCCAGGTGTGTATAAGATTATCTTGTAGAATTATTTAATATTTACTTAGTTATCACACATTTCCTGCAGACACAACCTAACAATATGATATATTTTACAGAATCCAAAAAATCTGCCTCTGAATGAGCTCTACCTCACAATCAAAGACGTGAGAACGCCGCGTGCTCACAATGAAGCCTTGGTAAGACATTTTTCCGCTTTAAATGTTGATTTACATAATATTTTTCACCTGGCAGATAAATTGTCCCAGCAAGAGATATCCTGCCTTAGATAACATATTTATTGATGAACGGACATTCCCATTATACCAAGAGTACTTCACATTTACGGAAAATGTTGAAGATAATGTAGAGCAATTTAGGTACAAAGGTTTAAAGTACATTGAGAGTTTAGACTTTCTACTGCAATTGAATTACCATCAGTTTTGGTGTTATATCACCAAAAATCCAAGCACAGTGAGAATGCTGAAGAGTTACCTCTGTAGTTTCACACCGGCTGTAGAGATTGTCAAAATGGATGAGAGGTGCTCAGATGTAGCCAACAGAATTCACCAAAAAGTGCAAATAATTTTATGCAGAGTGTTAACTTTCAAACACTCTGATTGTGAATACATGACGCCAGAGAAAGTCCTGCAATTATTAGAAGAGTGTCTATTGTTCTCATTTCCTATTGTCGTAAATATTTACGTGGCGTTTGGTAAAACATGTCCGAAACTGGTGCACGACCTTGCCAAGTTGTATTTTACCGAAGAACGGAAGGAAAAATGGGACCGTCCATCGGAACAGTTCCTAGAATACACTTTACTTGTAAGTTTTTTTCGCAAATCTTGAAAATTACATTTTTTATAGTTCTATGTTTGATTTCAAAGGTATTCGAAATGATTGGTGGCAACATCTGCGGTTTTGACTCCGCCGCCATCCAGATTCCAATTGGAGTGCCCCCGAAACCAGCACATTTCGATCCTGGATGGTACGAAGACGTGTTAACTTTCTTCCTGGAAAGTTTAATGGCATTATCTGCAATGATAACGCAGTGTATGCCTATGAATGAAAGGGCGATCCGTTTAGGCATTCCGTATCGCCTGACTTACTTCTATAACGAAGTATTTCCGTACATTTACAAGGTCATGGGCTACAAGCGCGATTCAATACATAATTTCGCTGAGGCCAAGTCACGCGTCTATGACACCGTCGCAATGGCGCGGCAGGAATGCGTTGAGTGCTTCAGCAGGATTATTGAGAATCTAATTGCTGGACTGTCGAACAGCACGTAAGTAAAATTAGTTATGTTTGAATCAAATTAATTAATTAATGTATTTGTTGATTTTATTGTGTAGACTACATGAAGAGAAGGAAATGTATGTGGAGGAATACTTGAAGCTGATCACAGCCGCGCTGGACGACGAGTTGTTCATCTTTGACTTTCATAATACCAACGACATTTCCGAGCAGTTCGAGGTGATTTCACAATTCTTTCCACAGTTGTAAGTTTTTTTCGTGTTTAGCAAGATGGCGCTGCGTTTGATTATTTATGTTGTGATTAATTTATTAGGGATACAATGCAGACAAAATACATCACGGATTATATAGAAGGCTTCCCGAAGTTAAAAGAAATCATCATGAAGAGAGAATGTGCGGATAGACGAGCAGCACGCGAGGGAAGCACCGAAGCCGGTCCGTCAAACGCGTCGGCATCCGAGAACTTTTTCCAAGTCGACCCGGAACGGACCGAAGTGGTTTTGACAGAAAACGAAATCGACGAGCGAATTTCAATTGTTGCCGACACACTGCCCGACCTAGGCGACGCATTCATTCTCGAGTGTCTCCATGTTTGCGACTACGATCCTGTCATGGCAATAATGATGATTCTCGACGAGGAACTGCCACCACATCTAGTCGAAATGCCACGCGATTCGATTCGTATTCCAGCCGAAACGCCTCCATCCCAGGGCAAACAACCCGTAATGGCGTACACCGGTAAGAAACCGAGCGCGGCCGATGCCAAAGAATTACTGGATGATAAATCCGATCGCGAGCTCAAGGATATCATCCTCAAGTCGGCCATTGCTCAGGATCAATACGACGATGATTTTGATGATCGCGAGGAGTATTCGCCGGCTGTGCTGCTCGACAGTGATTCATCCACGAGTGACGATGATGAAGCCTCAGGCGGGAGTGCGGCTAATGTCGCTGGCGGAAACGCAGCGTCCGGCGGTGATGCATTTCGGCCATTTTGTGAGGATCCGGCGAAGCTGCGCGAACAGCGCGAGAATGCGCGGCGGACTTTCCGAGGTCGCGGCGGGCATCATCGTGGTGATGTCGTCGGACGCGCTAAGGGGCAAGGGCAGGACGAGCAAGTGCAACAGAATCGGAGCAAGAAGAACGTCAACAAAGCCGCCAGAGGCAATCATAACCGCAAACGCGGCGCGCAGTTTAAGGCGTCACGTGGTATGTTCTAAAACACATTTGGCTATCCTAGATATTTTTACATGACTAAATTATTTGCTGCTATTGTGATGTCTCGGAAACAAATTCAAACAACTAACAAATGATGACTCTTTACCTCATCATTATTAACTTGTTGATTACCAAAACAAATAAATTATTTTCCATTGTTTAATAACTTGTAAAATCATTCGAACGGTTTCTAATGTTGAAAACATTTAGAATTTGATACAAAAGTTGGTTATTTGCGCTCGCAAACGTGATTCCAAAACGATTTATTGCCTCTGAACTCTTGTGTGAGTGAGTCACTCTTTGAATATGTGAGTTTTGTACAAGAATATTCACTGCCGTCCCTGGGTGTGTAATAGGAGGCACTTGATAAGCTAAATCTAGATGTAGGCGCTAGGGATACAGCAGAAGGGCTGGGGTTGTCCAGATTAATTTTTGTTGATGACGTTGGCCCCTTTTTTGCTTTCAATTCTTCACCCAAAGGGATTAAATCCTTGAAAATAGCTCTGTTGTGTGGAAAATTCATACTTCGTGTGATCTGAAAGCTCAGAGGTTTGATGCAATTGAGACGGAAGGAAAAAATGATGAAGTTTTATACATACAAGCTCACTTATGAATGGCGTATGACCATCGGATCTTGCCGAACCTTTCGGTGCGTTTTCTTTAAGTTCATGCATTTGTGCGCGCATATTTTTCGATGAATTCACTGCCGGCGTACACAAATCATGATGGCTTTTCGCTGAGGTTTTCGTCGAATGCGCAGTATTCAAACGCGACGATTTTTCGGATTTTTTCATATTTTCACGCGACGCCATCGGTTTAATGACGATTTCTTGATTGGCGGCGCGTTCTGCTTTCGTTGCAGGCGTGGGGGCCTTTGTATTGCGCACGAGGCTTTTCTTCGGCGAATCCATTACGATAATTGTAGCAGTTTTAATTTAAACAGCGCACGAAAGTAAAAAACGACCACTTTGAATTTTGTTGGTTATCAGATTGTTTACGTCCGCTTAACTGTCAAACACTGGTATTGTTTTCATTTTCAGTTTCAGTATTGCTATGACGACGATGTTAATAATTCATAGCTGGGATTCATACAATTTTACATTGTTATTTGAAATGTTTGAAATATTCGAATAGAATATGCAGGAAAATAACATTTCCTGCTGATTCACATCGTTTGTAATCGGGTTGAATCGTTTTTTTTTTTGCTTGACTTTAAAAGTCATTGTTGTTATAACTACAGCGAAACAATCGCCAAAGTGAAATCGATCAAAATCGATCGGCCCGATCCCGTGCGTTTGCCACGTGTGGCGAGAAACGTGAATCGCCTGCAGTATGAATCTCGCCGCGGCCCGCACACCCTGTATGAAGAAAGCGAAAACGCATAAAAAAAGCGGCGGCGCTCGCTCCGCCAATCCGTCGTCCAACCAGTCAGACCGAGGATACCGAGACAGGCCCGTCGCCGCGGTGCGCTGCGCTGCGCTATCCTCGACCCGTCGTCGCGTTTTGTGTGCGCCGTTTTTTCCAGTTCCAGTTCACGCTCGGTCATAACAGCAGCAGCGCAGCCGAGCACAGCCGCCGCCGCCAAACCAGCCCCGACCACCTCGTGAAGGCGCTTACTTTCGTGCCACACCAGCGCAGCCAGCCGCACGATTGCTGCTGCACGCGCAGACGAAGAGAAGCCCTGCGGGGCCGCCAAGAAGATGGTCAAGCCGATGTACGAGCTCTGCCTCAACAAGGCGGTGCGGTTCTACACGGCGCCCGAGAACTTCGAAAACAAGGAGTTTCGCAACGTACCCGATAATGTCCTCTTCGACTTCTATCACTTGGTAAGCGCATAATAATTGCATACAGCAAAATCCGCGCTGAAAAAAAACAACAATCATTCTTTATCTGCACGTGTTCTGTGGTATATAGATGTACGATCAGGATCTAATGTGCCAGCTGGTTTTGGAACTCAGCGAGTGGCCGGTGTTTGCGCGCATGTTGACGGTGAAACAATGCTGGGTGGACCTGCTGCGCATCTTCCAAGGCCTCCTCAACGTCAACAAGATGCAGGCGAGCAACCTGGTGCACGACTACAAGTTCTACGCCGAGGATGCGAGCAATCGCGAGCAGATGATCGAGATGGGTCTGAATTTCGCGGTGTTTCTGGTCGAGGGTGCCTGGTACAATTGCGCCTTCGAACTGCTCAACTGCATCCACGAATATATCTGCGAGTGGAAGGCCGAGGACTCCTATCGGCGGAAACTCATCTATCTGGAGTGCCTTCAGCGGTAATTACGATCAATAATACATATTGCTGGTGTTTATTGTTTGAGAACTGGTTCAGTTTAGCTTTGATTAATTGAATAATTGTGATGATTAATCGGACAATGATAAGGCTTGTGCATTTACATAACGCGCTGTGTGTTTGCAGGCGCTTGTACGTCGAAACCAATTACGCGTTCTTCGACTACGCCGACCGAACGTTTCACTCCTGCCAAGAGCTGCAGCGGCGCATTGAACGCGAGGCGAGCGAGACGAGGAGGAAGCTGCCGAATCTGGCGACGCTCTACGCGACATACACGCATCTGTTTACGATGCGCAGCGAGTACGACACAGTGAGTACGCATTCTTACCCGAACGGGCGCGTAATTAGTGCGCGTCATTTATCCACTTTGTGTGTTTGGTCGCGCCATTGATCACATGCTTCTGTTGTGTATTCGTAGGCATGCACATGGGGCTTGAAGGCGATCGCCCTGCTCAATTCAGATCTCTCCAAAAGGTTTGTAGCAAACCCCACAAAGGTTACAACGTTGGTTAATTAAGTTTCAAATTTTAGCGCTTGTCTTTATGTGCTGCGCATCGTAGCGAAAGTGTGCGTAATGAAGCGGCGCTACTCCGAGGGCAACTTTTTGATTCAGCAGGCGTTGATGCTGGCGAAGGAGTTGTACGAAGTTGATCTACATCCGAACTTTGCGGATACCCTCATGGTGTACGGGTTTTTCCTGCTCAATCACGACAATATCCGCGAGAGTCTGGAAGTCTACAAGAAAGCGCTCAATGTGCGCGTCGCCGTTTTCGGTAAAAATAACATTCACGTCGCGTTTGCCTATGAAGAGTTAGCTTATGCGCATTATGTGCATGAGTACAGCTCGGGAGACTTCCAGAAAGCACTGTGAGTGGTTTAATTTTCATCTTTATAAAATTTTCTAAAATTTTGATTTTTTTTTTGACAGCGAATACGCTAACAAAGCAACTAGAATCTTATCGAATCTTTTACCTCCGCATCATCTTTCTCTCGCGTATACAAAACGTGTAAAAGGTTTGATTGTCGAGGAAATCGCGCTGGATCTGCGTGAACCAAGCGAGCGAGAACAACGCGCGCTGCTTTTACTAGAAGCCGAGATGCTGCACAAGTCAGCGCTGTCGCTCTCAAAGCGCACGTTCGGCCTTGAGAATGTACAGACGGCGAAACACTACGGGAATCTCGGACGCGTCTATCAATCGATGGACGAATACCAGGAAGCCGAACGAATGCAATTGATCGCCATCCGCATCAAGGAGAGCATCCTTGGCAATTGGGATTATGAAGTGGGGCTAAGTATGGGCCATCTTGCGTCGCTGTACAATTTCCACATGAAGCGATTCAAAGATGCGGAGCATTACTATCTGCGCTCGATTGAAATCGGGAAAAATCTCTTTGGTGAGTCGTACTCCGGTTTGGAATACGACTACCGCGGACTGATTAAAGTCTACACGCAACTGGAGCAGCCCGAGCTCGTTGAAAAGTACAAACGATTGATGCAGACGTGGCGCGCGATGCGGCAAATGCCGGCGTCCATCGTGCGCTACACCGACATGCTGCCAATCCCGACCATTGTTCAGCTCTTCCTCAATTGGGACAAACAGAAAGCCGCCGCGGACTGAGCAGCCGCGCGTTTCGGGCGCACGCAAAACCTGTTATCGAATAATCTCATTGTTTGAATTTCACGAAACTGCAAGTCGAACTGCTGGAACTCTGGGACTATATTTGCGGAAAATTTACTAATCATCTAGTCACGCATCGTGTAGCGATAGGCGGGCGCGCACGTGTTCTGCCGCCTCTCAACAATTGATTCCCCTTTCAACTATATTTTATTTTTTTTTATTTAATGCATTGCTGCTGTCTTTACATTTTGATACTTTATATATTTACTTTATACCAGAGCGCAGACGGCTGATATGCCAATTAGATTAAGATCGCGCGCGACTCGATTCGTTTGTGAACACATTCCGTGCGCCAACAGTATTTCGTGATCATCCGGCATTGACAAAACCGACGATTTTGTGACTGCGAATAGTTATGCGCTAAATATGATGCGTTTTTTAATCGATTTAAGCGTAAGCAGCTAGTTTTTAGTTTCGATTAGTTTATGCGTTTTATTTTTTATATTATCGACGGGTTTTTACACAATAATTTTATTTGCGCTGATCGGAGACGCGTGCAGCATGACAAAAGCAGAACAATGCAATTTTATTTTATCGAAATATAAATATATACATATATAGTTTATTATAGATCGTGTGTCTGCGGATACCGGTCCGAAAATGATTTGAATTAGTTAATGACATTTATCAAGATTTATTCATAAATAATTCATGCGATTCTCAGACGTATTTCATAGTGCAACAGTTGAAGTTTATCTATACATACTTTGTTGGTAAGCGTGAGATCGGTATATCTCGACATTGATAATGTGATAAAAGCGCTTTATTAGCACTAATTTAAGAGTTTATAAACGCGCGTTTGCGAATTAAGGAGTGCTGCGAGTGAAAGAGCATTTACTATGTAATATGTATCGTGAGTTTTTATTTGATTACGACGCGATGTCTCACTGTGTGACGCATTCGTACGCCCAATACTCTCGTTGGTGTTGTTTTATTTTCGGTCTAGAGAAGCCGAGAGCGAGATGTTTACGTTGCGTTTAGTTAGTGCTAGGACGTATTTTACTGTCGGTTTATATGTTCATTATAGGGTTGCGACTTGTTCTTTCACGGAGTTGCGGGCGCAAGCGCAAACACGCTGGAGTGATGTGTAATTTTAGAACTTAGAACTGATTTAACAAATTGTTACAAGATGGATATGAATAAATAAGAGACATTCGATTTTACATTGAGAAATGTGTAGTGTGCGCATTTCGAAACGTCTGCTCCTGTTTACGCCGTGGAGTTGTAAAAATATTTAATGATAATGGATGGCTGTTATCGCGGAGCAGAGTGCGCACGCGCCTGATTTATGTTTATGCGTCGATTTGATAATTCTATTCGGATTATATCACAATCGTTGCGCAAACAGCGAGCGTTGTAGAACACATAATCTGTAAGTATTCTTATTATTTGTCGTATTAATGTAGTTTCTTTTCTTGCATCTAGTGAATCAACGTCGATTGTTTTAGTTTTTTTGTAGCGGTTGTTTGTAAACATGTCGAAACTCGTCCGTACTTTGATTCGCACACCGAAGGCTCCCTTGTCGATTGGACCATACAAGTAATACTTTTATTATATTTGCATGCATGAAACATGTAATGCATGAATACAAAATGGCGCTTGTATAAATTTGCGTGTGGTTTATTATAGTCAAGCAGTCAAATTCAACAATGTGGTCTATTTATCGGGAGTCTTGGGAGTGGACGTGAAAACGAACAAATTGGTAACTGGCGGCGCCGCAGTTGAAGCTAAAATGGTGCTCACCAATATGGCGAACATTCTGGCCGCAGCCGGTTCGGGTTTCGATAAAGTCATCAAAAGCACCGTCATGCTCAACGACATCAATGACTTTGCGGCGGTTAATGAAGTTTACAAACAATGTAATCCTAGTTATTCTTAGTATTTGTTTCGTTTTATTTTCATATTTGTTTTTTTTATTAGTTTTCACCAAGGACTTTCCAGCTCGGTCCACATTCCAAGTCGGCAAGCTTCCAGCGGGCGCAACAGTTGAAATTGAAGCAATCGCTGCATGCGGTGATGTCTCCACGGAAGTCCTCGACTTATCTAGCAAGATGTAAGCAATACTCGTCACGGGTAGGACCCACACTTGGGGAAACCCTCCGGAACAGGTATGTCGCCATCTTCTCCGACTTTAAACACCAGCGCCATGCCCATTTCCGTGTGATAATCAATATGGCAATGGAAGAGCCAGTAGCCTGCGAATCGCCATTTTGATTTTTAGTGTTATAGTAAATAGTTTTTTATACCACGGATGCGTTTTTTACCTGGGTTGTTGGCGATGAACCTCACTACGACGTATCCACCATCCGGCACAATAATCGTATCCTTAATCGGCGGATGATCAAAATTTCTTTTTATCAATCCCTGGTTATCAAGATCAATGACGGTTTGTTTGGTTGTCCATGTTCCTAGTTTCCGTAAGGTTAACACCCTGAAAGACATTCCGTGTAAATGAAACGGATGTCCAGCGTCTGTGGTCCATCCGTTATCAATCAGGACCAATTCAACTGATTTATTTAGTTCTAGTTGAATCACATGCGTACAGTGACAAAAGTCCACACTACAGTTTTTTCCTTGCATTGTAGTCGCATTGCATGTTTCCTGGTCTGGATCAGTGATTAGCGGTCTCTCGGGGAACTCAAAAGCGATATTGTTGATTTGCGGCGTGGTAGTCCTCATGTTTTTGGCGACTTGGTGAAAACCATACGAGGGATACAAGTTATACGCTGGGTTGGACACATTGTTCAGGTCCATGTCCAGGTAAAATTTGTAATCAGGCTCTTGGAGGAGTTCTGGTTCAATTGGACTCAACGATCGCATTTCGGAGGCGATGATAGGTCCGCGTGTTTCTTCTCCGATGTTAAACGGGTTCAGAATTTGTTTACGAGGCGTGGAATTTTCATAAGTTGGTAAAGGTCCTTTTGGGAGTTGATCTTTAGGGCTGCCTTTGTAGTGGAGGACACCTAGCTGAAAGGCTTGATGATGCGCGCAGTTGATTAATCCGCGGAAACGTATCCAGTAGTTGCGACGTTTCTTGTTGGTTGTTAGAATGAAATCATAGCGTTCACCGGAAAATGTCGTGAGGGTATCAACTAAGAACAATGGGAATTAAGTGCACAAGAGCAGAATTGTTGACCTTTTTACCTGCGGGCTACCCGCAGAAAGTGGTGGGGGTAAGCAGGATTCTATCTGACAACCTGGTTCTCAACCCGCTGAGAACAAAGAAATTCAACTTCGTTTTTTAAACAAACCAATTGTAAAACGGGGTGGTTGCATACAATAACTTCAAATATTGAATGACTTATTACTGAGTGCGCATGTGGCGCCCCCTACAACAAGTACTAACTAAACTAACTCATCAGCAGGATGTGTATCCAACATCCCGGCTGATTTCGCTAGATTAAGTGTAAATAAACAGTGAAAAGATGTGAAATGCAGTGATAATGCCTTCCCCCAACGAGACATCATCCCATGCAACAGTAGTAAGTTCTCAACCAAACAATTACTACATTATTACAACATCTCACCTACAACCGGCGCGATCTCATATCCATCACTACTGATAACCTCCAAAACATGATTGTCGATGCTGACTTCCACTGGACAATCGCGAAATGCGCCGTTTATAACACGAAAACGATATCGGTTATTCTGAAAGAAACATTAGGCGTGATTTGTTTTGTTTATCCACAACTCATATTCCATTTCTACGCACTTTCACCACATTAAACCTCGCAATCGTCGCGTCATTCGTAATGTTTGTGAAATTATTGAAACCGATGCCATTTACTAATATCAACGATGGGTAATCATGTGCGCCTGCATGCACATAGTGCAGGTACATGTCCTCCTGAATATCATTGTACCAATCCCTGAGGTTAATTACATGCATTGGAAGATCATGTGTGTAATTCCTGGTGTATGGATCTTTGGGATCTCTGATTATCAGGGATCCAAAGAGACCATTACCTCTTTGAATACCTGAACATGATCAGAAAGAATCATAACTTATATTTGTATTATTTCTGCGTTAATTTTTACCAGTGTGTGAATGGTAGAAGAAAGTCCCAGGTGATAAAGCTGTGAAATTGTAGAGGAAAGCAGTACCACTATGAATGGGACACTGGGTTAAAAATGGTACACCATCCATGTATGGTGTGCCATATTGGTGAACCCCATGCCAGTGGATTGATGTAGTCTCACCTAACATTTTATTCTTAACAGTTATCAGTAGTTTATCACCAAGACACACCTGAAATATTTGATTTGTAAACTTTTTAACTTTTCGAGAATTTCTTCAAATGTTACATCAATTAATGGTCCAGGTATTGTCCGATTTACTGTTACAATAGGTCTGCCCACTCCTGTCCCAATCACACAATCGGGCCGGTAGCAATCTTCTTTGTCCATTGGACAATTATAACATGCCTTGCTCATGGTGTAATACCATTCAACCTGGAAAAGATACTCACAGACCATTGGCTCAGAGTTTTGGCATGGTCTTTGGCAAATGTGAGGATATTCATCCTCATTTGTAGGCCTATCGTAGATATTACGTTCTTGATTGTTCCATTTTGAGGAACAAATTGCGACAACACAGAGAAAACACAAAATAATCTTTTTGTTTGCCATTGAATGTCGTGGAAAAACTGAGCAAACTTTCTATACGCAATTACTTAAGTATTTTATTCGTAATAGTTAATGACTTAAAATAGCATAGCATTTAAATGCAAGTAAAAATATTTGTTGCAAGAATGTGATTTTATAGTAATACTACTTTGGACAATTAAATTTAATAACACAATCAACTTTACGACCTTTTAGGCGCCTTTCCGGTCAGAGAATTCTTTCTCGAAGTTCTCCAGGCACTGGAAGTTGCATTCAGTCTTACGTCTCTTTGGCACGGCGTTCAGCGGCGGAATCCACTTCCTCTTTGCAATTGGAGTGGTTCGAGCCGATTCGGAAGTGGATGCTCCCACATTAATCTCATCATTTGCAACTGACATAGGTTGTTGATTTTCCTTGTCCGTTTCCATGGCTTCCGTCCATTCGAATGGCTCAGGTGGTTCTACTTCCATCACACCATCATCAGAACTACTTACAGCAGTGGAGGAAGTTGCATTTGTTACAGTATTCTTTACTATTTCAAAAGTTTTCGGATGACTTAATCCTTCCCAGTTGTATTCATCCGCTAAATTCGTATTTGTATTTCCCATCACTTCTGGTTTCTTAAAAAAACTTCCAATTGGTTTCTGCCACTCTGGGATGGGTCTCTGCACCAATTTATTACCCCCGATTGCTGCATAAATAATTCAAAAATAAAAATAGGTTAATAAGTTTTTAACACACTTACATCTGCTTGAAGAATGAGTAGTTGAACTGGTACTAATTTTTCCAGCGGTCTTCTTACCACCAGTTGCTGGAATCAATGTTTTGGATTAAGTTACAGCTTCGTGGATTTGAAATCGCGCCGTGTTGTTACTTACTTTTTATCGTTGAAACGACAGTGCGAACCATTTTGTTTTTTGTTTGTTTCGTCGCTATGGCAACAAACGTAAGCGTTGCGCTTTTGTTTCAGTTCAACCACTGCTTTCCTAGGTGTTAACTACATTTATTCTATGGGTGCACGGACTACTAGACCTAACCAAACAATGCGAAAACGCACCGGTGGCGAGGCACAAGACTCGCGCCATGCGTGTGCCACTTGGTGGGGACTAAATGGTATAACCCGCCATTTGAATCATTACCGGACAAGGTAAGTTCGAATAATTTTACTAAATATTTATTTAATTAATTATACAGTCATTAGAATATTATTATTTTTCACACCAACTTATTTAACGCAATTTAATTTTTTTTAAGAAAACATTTTTCTTGTATTTTATTTATTCTTAAATTAATTATTGTTGCCTTGCTGGTGGTTCTTGTCGTCTTGCATAATAACGCAATAATTTCCACAGTGTTTCACTGTGCGTACGCAATCTCAATGTGCATAATTACATAATTGTTCAATAATTACGCAATTAACATTAAATGCACACAAACAATTACCGTGTCCGGCTGACATGCAGCGGTGCGTTTTTTGTTCGATTTTATTTCGCACTCATTGACCAGTGCGTCGTGCGCATATCGATCTTTTTACTATACAATTCTGGGGAAGGCGTGTAGGCGATTTGCATCGACAATTAAAAGGGAATTAATCATCGATGCGCACGCATTTCTACCGCGAACTTGTCACAAACTCATTTATTACCTATATTAGTAAAACGCATTTCATTATAAGCAGGTTTCATGAACTTTTTTCTACAAATTTGATTTCTAAATCGTTTTATTATTGCGCACGTGCGCGATTTGATGATGAGTCAAATGTATGTGTGCTCTGGGTGAAATGTTACAAGCTAAAGGATAATAGTGGTCTATTATGGTGGTTGTCATGAGGATGTGCTACGATACAAACGAAATTCCTGCGGCGTCGTCGATCATCCTCCTTCGATCGATTCGTAAATAATAAAATTTTAAACAGCACATCAGTTCAAATATTTATCGCGGCAGATCATAGTGTGAATAATTCAAGTAAATTGAGCGTCATTTTGGAACAGTTTATGCGATAATTTATGAAATTTCTATAATTCTGAAATTTATGAGTGAATTTCGATAGAGGCGCGTGTGGATTTTTTTTTTCAACCGTCGCTACTTGATATTCCTGTAAAAGTATTCATTTTCAAGGTGAACAGCCCGAAACTTCGGAGTCGCAGAGTTCAAGATTTTTTTAGACGAAGAAACTTTAACCCGTACAGATTTTTTTATTTGTTCGTTTTATAATGCTGTGGAATGCCTGAAAATCAAGTTATGGTGTCTGCAAAATTTCCAAAGAAGAACAAGTTGCTATTTTTTTTGTTTTTTTTTTTAAGATTTAATTTAAGAAATATTAAGAAGTTGAGCGTTTTTCATGTAGTATTTTGCATATTACATGCGAATTTTGCGCGTATTTGGTGTAAACTTGCGTGAGTTACCTGTAGTTACTCATTATACACGACGTATAACATGATAGAAGGTGCAGAGACCGGTGCGCCACCGGCCGCTGGCCGTTCGCGGTTCATTCAGCCAGTCAATCACTCAGTCCTCGGCTAGATCCTCGCGCGGCCGGACAAACATTCACGTACTTTTCGGCTCTTCGGAAAATTCGCCCGAAAGAAAGTGTGAAGTTTTACTCAAAATACACACGTATACATCGCACACACACCTATTGACGGTCCTCAGATGCGTGCTGTCATCGCGGCGTTAAGTTTTAATTAAGTGAGCGTGTTTCGCGAGTCTCGTGCAATCGCATCGAACGTGCTAATTGTCTGTAAGCCGCCTCATGCATGCAGAAATTGCATAAATTGTTCAGGACCTCACTGCGCGTTTATTCGCTTGTTGGCGCGCTTGTTTGATCAGCCGTAAATTTCAATTTTCAATAATTGCACAAGCACGCAGACTTGCTAATTGCATACGTACCCAAGAACTATTTCGAATCAAATTAAGACCAAAGTGTATGGATACAAAGCGAGCAACGAGAAAGAAACATTTAAAGGTAAGAGCGTCATTTGTTTGTGCCATATATTAATTAATTTAAACTCGCAATAACATTGTTTTAGAGTTTAATTAGGATAAATTAGAGATCGCCGTGCGTTTAATTAGCGCAATTTGCGTACTTTGTGTGCAGTTTTACACCTGTGAACTTTGTTCGCAATGTATTTACCGGGCGCAATTAACGATTCAGGAAGTGCACTTCAATGGCATCTGCAAATTAGAGATGTTCTGATTGTAAATGTTGTCGTTTGCGCAAACGTTTGTTGTCACATTGTAGTCAATTCGCAATTGACTCGTAAATTCACGCGTCGCGAGTTACTCAAGGTTTTCCCAATTCGTTTCACTTGGACTTAAGCGACTCGAATTCGCCTAAACCACAAAATGGACAATTTTGACGTTTTTTTCTAACATCTAAATTGATTTGTGGACAAAATTTACTTCGTTTAAAGCATCGTTTGTGTTACGCAGTCGAAACAAATCGAGGAGAACGTATAATCGTATACGATTTCATAAATTTTCGAAGTTTTAGCTTTAAGTTTTAAGCAATCAATACATTTCTGCAGTAAAATTGCGACATTCTCACGCGTTTTCGTTTTCATGCATGCGATTTCTTCATCGTGCTGCTTAGATTCATATTTTCATTTTCATTTTGCGTTCGGTAATCCGCGATACACGAGTTGAGAGCGCCGCAAACTATAAACGGTTATAAAAGCCGCTGCACCTAGTGCAGTTTTGAAGGCATGAATTGCATTCAGCCAACACGCGACGTATACGTACAATGTGAAAGTTCATATATTTAGATGTTATACCGGCGAGCAAGAAAAACGAACGACTAATCAAAACTAGTTTTATCTCATCTTGTAATAATCGTGCGACTATTATAAGCAAATGTTAATATTTTTATATAATATTTTTAACGCGGCGCGCCGCGAAGTTTTGCGGGCTTTCGTCAGCGAGATAACTTTTCGCAACAGGATGTCATTTTCTATTTGCCAGGTGCATGCAAACCTGCACTGCAGTCGTGTCTCATAGATTGGCAGTGCGAACGTCTCATTCACGCTCGTACACTCGCACGGTGCAAGAATTTATTACATTAGATGCATATTTAGTATTTACATCGGGTGATATATAAGGAAATTGAATAACTTTTGCGTTAGAAAGGTAATCGACGAATACACAAATTTAATCAATTTTAGTTTGGGTAAAGTAAACTTTTACCTTGACGCTATTCGTGAACTTCACAATAAAAACGGTAAAATCACACAGATTAGTATAAAAAAATGCAATTTCAATACCTTGAAACATACATAATCATTTCTTAGCAATTTCGCTACCACATTTTTTTTATTTGTTGCATGCCCTCGGTTCTGAGGTGAGCTAATGTGATGTGATTTCGGGCGTCCACTTCCGCCCTCACTGTTCGATAACACCTGCACGTACGCATGTGGTGCACACGGGCAATGATACGCGCGTAAATTTCCTTTCTAATGATACCTCAATCATTATGCCGCTGTGTCAAATATCGAAGTTATTACGCCGTAAAAGCGGACAACTTTTTAAGACACATCAAACTAGATTTATGCGAGAAAATACTAGCGAACAGTACAAGTCGGTTTTTTTTATTCTATAGAAATAATTACAATGCTTTTAAATTTAGTCAAACCTGTGAACCTTGGCCAGTTTACACTCATCATCATAGGCTTCCGTATTGATGGAGCAAACGTGTGTGCCGCTCTGAACCAAATAAAACTCATTAGTGTGGCATTGAAATCCGCACCACATTTGAATGTTTTCGATTGCGCCATCATCATCGTCATTACGCTCCATCGTGTTTTGATTATGCGCCGATTTTATCATGTGTTGCGATTGAGCAATTGGGCAATTGCGAATTTGAAATGTGCAAATGACAATGTTTGTACTTCGGTCGCAGGTAAACACATGTTGTGAATTCTCGCGGGCGTGCAATTAATATCGAAAGATGAATAAAATTATATGTGGAGTTTAGTTGGACGCGGGCGAGAGATGCTGCATAATAACGAGAATAACAATCGTTAAACAACCAATTTGTATTAACGATGGCTTCGTGTTATGTAGCAATACAAAATTCTTCGATTTCACGCCGGCGACGGAAATTTTTCAACTCATTTGCATTTTTTCTCTTTATACGGTGCTGTAACAACTAAACCAAGCAACAAAAGTTTAAATCTTTCAAGTCCGTGATCTTCCACAGCAAAAATTAAAATAATTTTTAAATTTTTAATAAAATTTTGTTTAAATTCTACGATATCACTTGACTTTTTACATTTTTTTTCGGTATAAAATGAGTAATATCCAATAAATTGTTTAAAATCGTGTATAAAAGGTAAGCTTTTGAACTTTACAAGCAAAGTCATTTGTTTATACTTGTTATAATACAAACTTTATTGCTTGTGGCGTTTTAACGCGTCAGAATATTCACATCGCTTTGTCCTCGGCTATACATATTGCTTTGTTGATGCCATTCGAGCGTTTAATCGCTTGTAACATTATAACATTTACGATTATGGACAAATGTTATTGCCAAGACAGCCATCGCGGTAATTAACGGAGGTTATCACTCTCGTGGCACGAATATCAGGAGCGCTATTTTTGTTCGAGCGCTGCGCATCGATTAACTTGCATGTTATCTATCCACTGAATTTTCAGCACCACTCGCATGATAAAACCGCACATAAATGTAAATATTAATACTACACCGCAAAATAATAAAAGTTTTACTATTATGTGCGCATACATTGTAAAAAAAATCGCCGAAGGTTTTTTCCTACTATAAATTCTTGGTATTTTTTTTTCTTCCGCGGCGGCGTGTTTTTAGTAATAACTGGTTGGTAACTTTCGTGAAAATTAATATCTAATTACCGAGTGATTACTGCAGTGATATCAAGCGCGCTAATCTCAATCTCGCCGGCTTCGGCGGCGCTATCTCGCATTAAATTTACATTTGCGTCGCACTTGCTATAAATACGGATTGTGTAAGCAAAATCGGGAGCTGTTCGTTGATCATCCACCCGTGCGTGTTCCAGTTCGCCTGGAGATTCGGTATTCGCTCATAAGTGAGTACAGTGTGTGTGTGTGTGTGTGATTGTGGCTTAAGACGTTAAGAAGTCATTAGAATGACGTGACGCGCGTTTATGTTATAACTTTTCACTTGAACTTAAATTTTATTCGCAATGATTTCTCCGCGCGCGCGTGTGTGGTGTGTGTGTGTGTGTGTGTGTGTGTGTGTGTGTGTGTGTGTGTGTGTGTGTGTTGCTATTATTTCAATATTGTGAATTATGTATAGAATAAAATAGTGAAATGAGTTTGAGATGCATACGCGGTGGTTATACAATACGACGTGTATTTGTTGTGTGTTTGCCAATAATAACAATACTGTGGCGGTTTCTAATGATGCTGTTCACTTGTTCGGTTTATATGCGTGCTCAGTTTATGCGGTAACCGCGTGGTGCGTAATATAATGTAATGATAGCGTTCGATTAAGGAAAAGCGGAAATTTGACCGCGTTATCGATTTTTTTCGTTTAGAGAATCGACGTCAATGGGGCGTGCCAAACAACAACAACCGAAGAAAAAAAACACTTACGGACAAAAAAAGTTCATTAATTTTTTCCATTCGTCTTCTTCGGCTAGGAAGAAATTTAAATTATTTATTATTTCGTGAATTATATACCCGCCGAGAGGAACAATCCAAGCGTTTCTCAAAGGTCGTAAAGGAGAAAGTGCAATGTGCAAACATTGCGACACACTCACGAATTTATTTGTCATATTAATAACTCCTCAATCTAAGTAATATTTTATTGCGCATGACGGGCTGATTATATCATCGAAAACATGAACGTTTTTATCAGTTACATATCTATAAATCTCTGTATTGTCTTTTATTTCAGACTGAACGCGTGGATATAACATGACATAACTTGTCAGCCACACCGACTTAGAGAAAAGTGCCTATTACTTACCTACCACCACCCTTTAATTATTCACATCCACTGGTATCACGAGAGGTGAATCATGGTGTCTGTTAATGATACATCGTTACTGAAGGCCATCATAGACGTGATTGGTTTTCTGGTGATCTCGATCGGTTTCTGCCTACGCGCCATCATCAAGCAGGTTCTGCCGCAGACCTACCGCAAGAAATGTGAGGGTGAGGTGGCGCTTATTACAGGCGCAGGGAGCGGCATTGGGCGGTTGGTCGCCATGCGTTTGGCGGCCCTCGGCTGCGTCGTGATCGTGTGGGACATCAACGAAAGCGGTGAGTGAAGTGTTTCTATTCCGAAAGCCAGCATTAATTTCATCACGCCGCGCGGTGTAATCAAGTTGTAAAAATGCGTTCGAGATGTTAATTGCTCAGCCACAGAAGTTTTATTGCCCGCGCTGTGAAAGTAAAAGAATGTCGCAAATTAAACAAAATATTTTTTGTTCCTGATATAATAACTATGGTTCTCATAGTCAATAATCGATCATAAATGACCTTAATTGTAGTTTGTATCATTTTGACGTGTGATCAAAACAAGATTATTTGCAGTAAAAAACTTGTTTGCACTACAATCTCGTCGAATAGGATTATATTGAGATAAAGTTGTTTATCCTAGACAAAATGCTATTAACTAGAAATTTTTTACCAGTAAATATTTATTGACAAACAGTTTCTGCAGTTTAAATTGCAACAAGTTTTTTTCTTGCACAAATACGTGCAATTCGTGTATGCGAAAAGAAAAACGGCGCAAATGCAGCACGCGTTGTTTTATTTGTTTATCTGGCTGGCAATTAATTTCGTTACAATAGTTATCGCGGTTGTTTTACAATGTTAGCTTCCGATTGCGACAGCTAGACTCCTGCAAGTTGCAACTTGCGACTGTAACTGCATTAAGCAAAATTAATAGAAAGTGAAAATGCGCATTATACAACTAAGTGGAAACTAAACCGGTAAAACGAACTTTAAGATCTCTTTTAATGAGATCCCACGTGTCTATCGCTAATGTGCAATTAGCGATATCGTACATAATTGTTTCTCATATTTGTTTTCAAATTCAGCACTCAGCAATCATTTTGCATTTCTCCGTTTCACCATTTCTCAATATTCATAATATCCAACTAATTTTATCTCGATGCTGCTCTTACTTACTTACTTTACTTCTTCCGCATGTGCATAAAGTTGTCTTGTTACACGACATGTTGCACTCGCAATTGAAAGTAGGAAATGTGCATCGTTCACATCGTTCGATGGCGCATTACAAGCGCATTAAAATGTAAAAATTTTGACCAAGGCTACACCGTTGGGCAATAAACACGTGATGTAATTGATGAGACAATAAACTTCTATTGATAATTATTTCGCCCGCAGTTAGCATGATATGTGTAATTAGAATTAACAGTGAGATTTGTGTGTAAATTGGGTGTGTTTCGCTTTCAGGTATCGATGAGACTGTTAAATTGATCAAGGCTGCTGGCGGCAAGGCTCACGGTTACAAATGTAATATCGCTGATCGCGAAGAAGTCTATCGTCTTGCTGCCCAGGTTGTTAAAGAAGTTGGCGAGGTAAACACAACGCACACAAAATGAGTTAGTTACCTTGTAGTTCAAAATATTGTGTTTGTAGGTAACTATGCTGATTAACAATGCTGGCGTTGTTTCCGGCGAGTTCCTACTGAAGACTCCTGATCACATGATCCAAAGAACTTTCGACGTCAATATTGTGGCGCACTTTTGGGTACGATATGGAATATTTTATGTTTAGCTGTGTTATGTATATTTTTGATATTTTTTAGACTACAAAAGCGTTCTTGCCAAAAATGATCGAAAAGAATCACGGCCACATTGTCACCATCGCTTCAATGGCTGGTCATGTGGGAATCGGTAAATTGGTGGATTACTGCTCGTCGAAACATGCCGCTGTTGGTTTTGATGAGGCGTTGAGGGTGGAACTGGAAGCACAAGGTTAGTGATAATTTTATGCGCTTTTATGCATTGGTGTGAAGTATATTTCGGTGTTTTTGGTTAGTTTCTGCTTTTTTGCTTATATTTAAGATTGCGAATAGGAGATTTGGGATTTTTTTGGTTGCTTGGATTGTTTTGCTAGGAAATTTGCACTGCTTTTACTTGGATTTGATCCTGAAACTTTTGTTTCTGTAATATTCTGCTTTATTGGCTTTTCTTTGCCTGCTTTGCACATATTTGAGGTGGTTGTTTTAGCTTTTTGGTTTGTCGCACTTATGGGTAATTTTTCTGAGAATTACACATCGTTTCCCCGCAGGAATCAGAGGCGTGAAGACGTTATGCGTCTGCCCGTACTTCATCCAGGCGACCGGCATGTTCGACGATGTCTTCTCGCGATTTTTGCCGCGTTTGAAGTCGAACGACGTCGCCGATCGCATCGTGTTGGGCATCCAGCGCGAGGAGGTGCTCGTGATGCTGCCAGGCGTTTTCCGGTATCTGTTTTTCCTGAAATGGATGCTGCCATGGGGCGTCATTTCAATGTTTTTACGCAATTTGGTGCCAGATGCTTCGCCGCACTCTCCATCGCCTACAGTTGAGGCGAAGAAGGTGCCGGCGATGCCTGCCAAGCGCAACGGGAATGTCGTCGAGCAGACCATAAAGCAGCGCGTCGTCGAGCGTCAGCCCTAAGGGCTAGACTTTCTTCAATATTTTTTTTGCGTTTGCCATAACTCTTATGTTTCTTTTATATCGAGAACAAAGTACAACATAGCAGCTTCAAGCGATCTATAAGGGTTGATATAGGATTGTTTTTTGCAAATAAATTTAATTTTAGTGTATAAATACTGTATTTTACTTTTGCAGGTGGGTGTGTTTTGAAAATGACTAACTTCTATTTGTATATTCAGTTGCCTACGTTGAATGCACGTTCGAAAGTTTATATCATTCCCCACTTCTTTAGAAACTGATTCGTCGCGCGACTGAAAAAAAAAACTCCTCGCACGCACTGTTTATTTTCTAGCGCTGTGTTGATTTTAAACTTTGTGGTTTTTACCTGTGTAATTGTTAAAATGGCAACTGCACGGTACATTATCTCAATACAATGAAGTTTATTATTTCTAAACTCGAATGAAAGAATAGAACTAGCCAATGCACATAAATTTTCATCATTGTAAAAGGCCTGAAGTAGTCGTGTCGCACTTATTTATTTAAATTAATTTAAATTACGTACACGCTCGTAACAAAGCAAATAATCGTATGCCCCTCGCTTGCATCAGCGTCGAATTCGTTTATTGATGCGGTGGGCCTCGACCGAATGTCGCAAGCTCGGTAATGGCACTCGTTAGTAACATTATTCAACAAATTACTTGTCTCTTATCATCGCGCAACCGCCAATCGAACGCTAGACGCTTCATTAGGGGACTTTCTTCAGGTGCGCGACGGCAAATTAAATCGCAACGACAAATTACAGCGTTTCTAATGTTTCTTCCATTTAAATGTGCTTATTACCTACGCGCAGCGACGGAAAACGCACCGGGCACGCACGTTTGGCAATCGCGCGACAGTGCGCTGAACCTTCGACAGCTTCAACAAACAATACGACAAACAAACAGTAATCAGAGTGCTAAGAATACCACCAATCATCGGCATCGGTCGTCGTTCTTATTCGCGGTGGTGTTCTTTTATGATTGTATTTCGAAGGCGCTTGGAACACCTTCGTGCTGCGACATAATCAGCGTTGCTTGGTTGCAAACGCATTTCGTGACGTCTTGATTGCCGCGCGGCTATTATTCGTCGTTGATTGCAAAATTTCACTAATCGCCTGGCGTGCATTCTGCACAGCAATTGACTTCGATCGCATGTGGCAACTGCATCAGGAATATGATTGAATTCCACTCGATTTCAATTCATACTTGTTATTTACTAAGTTTTATTCATTTCCAGCAACAATACTGTTACACATTCTTGTATGCTTATAAATACTAACAGCGTGCACGTCGTTTTTTACGGTGATGATTCAAAAAAGAAATTTTTGATCACCGACCGCAGAGTAAATCGTGTCTCGAATGAGGTCGCTGCAACCGAGAACAAACAATGCAATGACAAACTGCATTCGGCATAATCAGCCGCAATCACTACAATCATTGCAATGATATAGCTGGCTTGAAAATTGCAGGAAATTTGCAATCGCTGAGGAAAATTTAAGCGTTTAAAATAATTGCATTCGCAAGCTAATTAACTGCTAGATTATTCTTAACACATAATGGGATAGAATCAAGTTTCACATCGCCAGCGGGGTTTAATGACTGAAACAGCAACGAATAATAAATAATAAATGTATAAGTATGATAATGATTGGTATTATAAATAAGTTAACCTGCAGGAGTCACCGAGCACAACAACAAAAAAGAAACGAAAACAAGAAGCTATGACGCATTTCAGCGCGTTGCTGCTAGTGTTCTTCTTTTTTTATCTCGTTCACAATCTTTCGCTGCGTACGAGGCAATCTTTTTGCTTTCTTTGAGTAACAAAAAAAGATTTCAGAGAGATTGTATGAATATGAATGCTTACTTATTATTTGTTTGCTCCATTATGACTTATATGCGGAGTCCAATATCCCCAATGGAAGTGAAAGGTCAGTAAACAGTAGAGTATTTTTAAAAACTTTATTTCAAATGTATTTTATCAGTAGTTAATGACGAATTACATTGATTTAATTTCCACTGCTCTATTTTTTTCTAATAACAAGTTTGCCGCTGCTTAGGTCGCGATTAACGCGTGGTTTACTTGTAAACAACTAGACTTCATGCGTTAATTGATCGTGCATTTGCATCGACTGGTACGAGTAGTACATGTCTTAAAATTGAACATCTTGAAGTGAGCATGAAGTCAATTGATGGATAGAAAAGAGAAATTTTCAATTGCACGTCACGTAATTGTATCCATTTGCCCACTTGGGATCCTAAGAGTTTATATTTAAGACTTTATCGTACTTTCGATGTGATTGTATATTATTGAAAAATAATTACGACGCGGTTCATTAAGAAAATTCGGTCGCTTACCTCCACAACAAAAGAATTTTCAACAAAACATGCGTACATAGGCTTCTGCTTCAGTTATTTTCGGTTGTAGTTACGGTTCAAGTGCTTTTACTTAGATAAAATTCCCTTGTCACGACCAACAACCTCTTTTTCAATCAAATGTTGACTCACAGTGTCGAAGTAGAACTTGAACGTGTCAATTATACGCACCGCCTTCAATTAACACAATGCTTGTGCCTTGCTTCACCAATTTAGTGCTTACCAAAAAGTTAAATGTTAAATTGAAAAAAGGTTTCTTGCCTTTAGTCGAATCTGAGTTTGTTGAACCAATCATACAAACATTCTCAAGTCGGATGTGTATATTACTTAATTTTATGTATATTTTTGAATGTTTGTCGCATTCGTCTTCTGGCTACGCCTTGACTTTACCGATTAGGTAATTTCTAGCATATGCATTTCGCGTATTGCTGTTTCAACAAGTCGGGATTATTAATGTCTTTTTTTCAAGGTGGCAATGAATTGGACAAATTTGTCGAAATTTAACAGAAAGTGTGAGCCTGCTTTTCGATCTGCGCGCGAAGGTGTACGTACAGCAACAAATGATGGATGGAAAGTGAAAGCAGCGCTTCGTTGGCGGCTGCATGTTGTATGCTAGCGATTTCTGCGCTCTCGTGTTTGCAGGCCAACGACTTCTTCCTCTTCTCCATCGTCTTTTTTCTGTTCTGCGCGAAGATTTTGTTCTTGCAACTCGCGAACGTTAGTGCTAAACAATCGGCATCACGCACATAAATAAATGTGCAAATTTCTAATGCACACAAAAATGATTAGTGTCATTAAGCGCCATTTTTGTGATCATAATTTTTTGTCGATAGCTTGCTGTTGAATTCAATATCACTGAGAACATTTTTTAATAAGTGCCTTGTTTGCATATCATTATTATTGTGATGTGTATTCTATGCACAGGGAAAAGTTAATAATAGTGGATACGAAAACCATTTGTGCTGCGGCTGGCTCCGGAAAAATGCGTTTAGAAAACGGCACTTGCTATCTCGCGGTTGTTCGTTCGCGAATTTCTACTTTTACCGCGACCTCAACTCTCGAGCAAACAAGCTACTCAATGGGAATTGCTATTCATGATCATAAAGTGCATTCGCGGAGTTCAATATCATTCTCCTTGGTGGTCTTTTCCTTTTGTAATTTCGTATTTGATTGCCATATGATTAATATTCGTCGAGAATGATTTCTAAATCATTCTATGCCGATTCTGCAGGTTTCAGTTGTTAACATTCATAAGAGTCGCAAGAAATATGAATGTTTGTTTATGTATTATAATTTGGTGGCGACATTCTTTGTGATATTTGCAGTTGACACCTTGTTATTGTTCAATATTGATGCGATGTCATCATGTGTAAATATTATCAGATGCATAATATTAGAAAAGATGTCTCTTTTTTGGCTTGGTGTTTGCACCGATATTATTAAGATGCAGTATTTATTGCTGGTCGGATGCGAGTTTTAATGCAAATTTCGTTTTGGGACAGTTTAACTTTCCAAGATGATGATGCAAATGACAACTAAATTAAACAGATAGAAAATTTACACATTAAATATTATCAAATGCAAATCTTGATATTTACAGAACCATAAAACGTTTGAAAATATAAAGGCAATTAGCAGATAATTACGAATCAACATTATTTTCATTGCAAACGTGACATTATTGTTCCAAGTATTAATCAAAAAACGCAAAAATGTGGATAGGAGGTAAATTAAAACAATACTAGAACTTTTATCTTATTTATCTTATCTTAAGTGCTTATTTTTGTTGTTCTCCGATTACTTCTAATGTTCATTTAATGACGGATGGATGGATGAATGGATGGATTTTTGTTTTATTTCGTATCCAATCGATCAGCAAATTCTGCGCTATAACTGTTTTTCCTAATAACGCTAGTGGTTTTCCAATTTCTCGACGGTTCTTTGAACGCATGTTCAATCATGGGCAACATGTCAAAACGTCTTCAACGTCGTCCACCGTGGTCGATGCATTTCGTCCGCCCCGAACGCAACTCGTCGCGGATGGACGACTCCTCTCCAAGTAACGGCTTTAATAGTACGCGAACGCGCAATTTCGCGCACTGCATTTCGAGCGGTCGTCGGGAGCACAGCTCACTCTCGGTCGCGAGGAAGTTCTTCTACCAGTTTGTTTTGGTCGTTTAGCGTCGTTGACTTGAAAGTGGTACATGTATTTCTTCGAGTTGCCCAGAGGCTTCAGCGAATTGAATTTGGCGAAGGCGAATTTGGGATTTATTGATCGTTGTATTGAATTGCGTAAGTTATACAACTTTTTTAAACAAATGTTTATTCAATTTATTTGAGCGAATTTTTAACTGAAGTTATGGTAAATGCATGGAAAAACTTTCATATTTCACTGAATGAAATGATCAGTGTTGCGTTTTAATTGTTGATCAAAAGTAAACAACTGTGAACTGGATGTTTAAAGTTTTTAACTGCAAACTCATTACCGACACGCACTTCTTAATTAGAACATTTATAGATAGAAACTGAAGTGCGTGCGTGCATCTGCTGATAAGTTTGAATTAGCTCAATGTGTGCAAATGTACTTAGTATAATTTTGAATTAATGCTATTAAGTACTTTTTAAATTTAGAATGAGCTGAGTGAAAGCAAAATCTAATGATTTTCGTTTGTATGCCTTTGACCTTTTACAGCTTACCGCATCAAAAACATGGGATTTTTAAAGTACGCCCGGCGAAGTTTTTATAACATCGTCGCTTCTATCTGGGAGCTTGTGGTCGTTGGATGGTTGACATTTTATTATACAACCGAATCGACGGTTAAATTCCTTACGCCCAACTTTTTGCGTGCTCAGAAAAGTCTGAAAGATAAAGTTGTGGTTGTTACGGGAGCGGCGGGCGGTGTTGGACAGGAGTTGACGTTGAGATTGGCCAGGATCAAGGCGAAGGTAGTGGCGTGGGATATTAACGAAGCAGGTATTTGCACCTTAAAGACTGGTTTATTTGATATTATTTTTGTCGTCGTTTTATTTTTATTTGTTAGCATTGGAGACACTGAAAGAGAAATGCGAGGAGGAAGGTTACAAAATCTTCACTTATGTGGTAGACATATCCGATCGACGCAATGTTTATAAAAACGCTGATCTGGTCAAGAACGAAATTGGCACCGTTGATGTCTTGATTAATAATGCTGGAATTGTGACAGGAAACACTTTCCTCGATTGTCCAGATCATATGATCGAGAAAACTTTTCAAGTCAACATGCTTTCACATTATTGGGTACAATGTTGTTTTCTTTGTTTGTGTTTTGTAATTTATTTAGATTGTTTTCCACAGACAACCAAAGCATTCCTTCCTGATATGCTGAAAAAGGGTAAAGGGCACATTGTGACGATGAGTTCGTTGACTGGCATGCTGGGTACTTATAAATGTACAGACTACAGTGCATCGAAATTTGCCACAATGGGTTTCCATGAAAGTCTTCTCACCGAATTAAAGGTGAGGTTTAAATTGTGATTTAAAACTATTTCATTTATTGTTTTCAACAGAGTCATGGCCATCATAAAATAAACATGACTTTGCTTTGTCCGTATTTTATCAACACGGGCATGTTTGATGGCTGCAAACCGAGGACATTCCCCATGCTGGCACCTAGAGATGTGGCAAAGCGGTTGATTACCGCCGTGCGTAGAAATGAAGTATTTGTGACGATGCCAGGATGGGCACGATATATCTTGCCGTTGAAAAAGTATGTTATCTGTACTTATACGCGGTAGTAAGATGGGATACATTGTTATTTTATTTGTAGTTTCGTACCTTCGAAATTGGCATGGGCTGTCACATACCGCTTGCTGAAGCATCCTCAAGCAATGATGGGTATGCGACCATATGAGGAAACAGTTAAAACTATTACAACCGTATCCGACGCTGTTGCCGCCTAGTATCGAGCGTCTTTCTATAAATAATTTTTATACATAAGTTTCCACGTTTTCGTTATTCAGTATTTATTATTCAATACTTTAGCATGCGTTTGATTTAGTACTGATATAATTGGAGAATATATAAATAAATTTCAAGACTGACGATAGGGACACTTTATGAATCTTACTTGGCGAATTACATAAGCACCACTGCGTGATATAATCGATTAAATTATTCTATTATTATGTAGCTGTGTGTATGATAAGATTATTGTAGTATATGTAGTAGTGTTAGGATTTTGGATTTCGATTCGAATTGCGTTTGTCTTCCGTAGACGTTCCAACGTTTATCATTATATTGTCGCAGTTTTGTGCCGGTTCCCGAGCGGATCATACATGCATGCTCATGCGCATCAAATGCGGTTTTAATTTTGGTAAAACGTGGTTATTGGCAAACTTTAGTTATCATAGTTGTATTTACGTGGCGTGCCGTTAATGATGTGGTGTTTATCAAACGCGCATCTGCTTTCTATTTTTATTTGTGTACAGGATCTTCATTCTTCTCTCAATTGCCCTGCAATGAAATTGGAATTTTACTGCCATTCACTTTCGTACCTGCTGAAACATCGTTTGGATGAGTAACGAGTAAATAATATCAAATCATATTGCATTTTTCCAATATTTCTGTGTCGAGGCAGACAAGTGTTTGCGTGTCCTGAAACTGCGCCTGTTTTTAAATTGGCAACTGTAACGCTACATTCATGACTACCTAGAATTGTTCTCCTTTTTTACCAAGCGCAATGCTGCGCTGCAGGACGCAGACGTTTCAATATATACCTATATATTATATACGCCCATTGTTTGTGTGTGGTGGTGTCTAAATAGTCTTGTGATCTCACGCCACACTGGAATTCAACCGGTCTGTTCTTATCTCTTATTGTTAGGTGATTCGCGTACGATATTCGTGTATAGAGTTGTACTATATACGCGACCGTGTGATGGCGCCGCGTGTATCGTTTGCTCACGCTGCAAGAATAAAATTAGTTTCGCGGTATCCGACGATTCTCCTTTCCTAGCATTTAATTCGGTAACGCGTATTACTTTCGGTGTTCTTAGTAATTATTGCTGTCTATTTTGTCTCGCGAATGATTTATCGCTTATAAGATATTCGAGAAATGCAAATATTGTGTATTTGTTCGTGAGCGGCGTGCCGACGGATGCCGTTTGCGATGGAAGTTTTACAGTACTAACCAGTAAGTAAATTAAATAATATTCTCAACCGCATAGATTGATTCTATTTCGGCCGTTTGTTTTTCTTTATTATCATATTTTTTGTTTTATAGATTGTTATATTCATAAATGTGCTTAAAATTACATGGCATGTGTTGTCACTTCAAGCGAAGCGATTGAATTCTTAATTCTTATCTTATTTTTCTTATCTTTTGACTTTCTTATCGCATCCGCCGGAATGCAAAGCATGAGACCCCTCACGCCGCATGTTGGCGCATCTTAGTTTAGTTTTGATTGCAGGCAATCGCAGGTAACGTGCCAAAGCGATTCTCGCACAGGGTCGCGTGCCATAGACGCACTGGCTCTGCGCATCTATTCTTTGTTATCATAAACTGTCGCGTCGTTGCTTGCACAGTCTGCAGCCAGTTTCGTGCCGGTATCTGGTTGGTCCAATATTTTAGGCGATTCGTATTGTTTGTCCGGATATCTACTTTCCAAATTCGCATTATATTCGATCATCAATCGACTATTAATATAATTTACTGTTTGCGCGTTTACTGTCCATAAATGCCGGTTAAGTGTATCGCTCCCATGTTGATTTGATATAATCATTGGGATGACCAATTGTGCTGGTGTAAGTCTCGATACTTTTAACTAAACAGCACAGATTGTTTGTTTTTCTCCGTTGTGTGATTATAATATTAATAAATTGTATTAAATGTTTTTGTTTTAATTTGTGTTTTCTTTGTTTATTTACAGTATTTGCCGTGCCTTGGAGTCCATGAGTAAGTTTATAATACAATTATATATTTCGTTTTAATTTCTGCGTCCTCTATTAGTTTGTATTTACATTGTTTTGCTTTATCGCGTTCCACCGCGTGTTGCAAATATATAAGATAGTCGCGTACCCGGCTGATTCGTCTCAAAATTAACTGTTTTGTTGTTTTTCCTTCGCTTACACAAGCACAAGAGTTGTACATGAAGATGCAATTCAGCGGAATTTCGCCCTAACCATTCTTATCCCATTTTTGTCTCGGTTTTTTCAATTCCAATTATTTCGGATTGAAGATTCTAAATCTTCGGAAAATTCTCTATAAGATAAGGTATTCAAATTGGGAAAATAGGAGAGGTTGAAAATAATTCATAAACAAAAATTTGGACAATTCTTGTTTCATCTCACGAAATGGTTTTTCATTTTTATTTTTAGGAGAATCTAGGAAATTTGTTTCTTTATATTTATTGTATAATTCCTATGGGACTAGTATCCACTAAAAATTACTTATTTATCAACGTTTGTGTATAACCAACATTTTTATGTCGCGTTGCCATCTGCTCATATCGCATGCAGTATATTTCTGTTTAGTTTTGTTCGCATATACCCCCTCGATAAAAGTATTTTTGATATTTACCTGAGAGAGAATTATCCAAACTTTCATATTTAATCCGTTGATCGCTTGCGCTCTTAGTATAAAAGAGGGCAGCAGTAAAAGTGACTTGTATTCAGGGCACCGTACTTGGGCAGCGCTAGAAGTGACTCCTGTTCAGGACACCGTTCGTGGATGAATGTAAAGCTGACTCCCATTTGCCCATTTTTTTCTTATGATTGTTTTTATCTCTTAGATTTCCAACTTAAATAGCTTATATTATAGAGCTACTACTTGTTCCTATCTATCTCTTTTAGTTTACGAGATATACGCAATTGAATTAGATAATTAGATAATTAAGTGCGTTTTTCAATATTGTGGGCGAACGGAGCTTCACACAAATTTGTGCGCAATGTCTAGAGATGCAGAATTTAATTCTCTATAGGGCTATATTAATTTGTTGAACGAGATTTGTCTGCAACGTGAGTTAATGTGAAAAATTATATTTTATCCGGTTTTTGCATCCTTGAGTTAATTAGGTGCGTCTTTTCATTATTGTGGGCGAACGGAGCTTCACACAAATTTGTGCGTAATGTCTAGAGATGCAGAATTAAATTCTCTATAGGGCTATATTAATTTGTTGAACGAGATATGTCTGCAATGTGAGTTATTGTGAAAAAATTATATTTTATCCGGTTTTTGCGTCCTATTACCTGCGTTTTTTCATTATTGTGGGCGAACGGGGCCTCACACAAATTTGTGCGCAATGTTTAGAGATGCAGAATTTAATTCTCTATAGGGCTATATTAATTTGTTGAACAAGATTTGTCTGCAACGTGAGTTATTGTGAAAAAATGATATTTTATCCGGTTTTGCGTCCTATTAGGTAGGTGCGTTTTTCATTATTGTGGGCGAACGGGGCCTCACACAAATTTGTGCGCAATGTCTAGAGATGCAGAATTTAATTCTCTATAGGGCTATATTAATTTGTTGAACGATATTTGTCTGCAATGCGAGGTATTGTGAAAAAATGATATTTTATCCGGTTTTTGCGTCCTTGAGTTAATTAGGTGCGTTTTTCAATATTGTGGGCGAACGGAGCTTCACACAAATTTGTGCGCAATGTCTAGAGATGCAGAATTTAATTCTCTATACGGCTATATTAATTTGTTGAACGAGATTTGTCTGCAACGTGAGTTAATGTGAAAAAATGATATTTTATCCGGTTTTGCGTCCTATTAGGTGCGTTTTTTCATTATTGTGGGCGAACGGCGCCTCACACAAATTTGTGCGCAATGTCTAGATATGCAGAATTTAATTCTCTATAGGGTTATATTAATTTGTTGAACGAGATTTGTCTGCAACGTGAGTTATTGTGAAAAAATGATATTTTATCCGGTTTTTGCGTCCTTGAGTTAATTAGGTGCGTTTTTCATTATTGTGGGCGAACGGAGCTTCACACAAATTTGTGCGTAATGTCTAGAGATGCAGGATTAAATTCTCTATAGGGCTGTATTAATTTGTTGAACGAGATTAATCTGCAACGTGAGTTATTGTGAAAAATTATTTTTCATCCGGTTTTGCGTCCTTGAGTTAATTAGGTGCGTTTTTCATTATTGTGGGCGATCGGAGCTTCACACAAATTTGTGCGCGATGCCTGAAGATGCAGAATTTAATTCTCTATAAGGTTATATATATATTTGTTGAAGGAGATTTGTGTGCAACGTGAGTTATTGCAAAAATGATATTTTATCCGGTTTTGCGTCCTTGAGTTAATTAGGTGCGTTTTTTCATTATTGTGGGCGATCGGAGCATCACACAAATTTGAGCGCAATGTCTAGAGAAGCAGAATTTAATTCTCTATAGGGCTGCAGTAATTTGTTGAACGAGATTAATCTGCAACGTGGGTTATTGTGAAAAAATTATTTTTCATCCGGTTTTGCGTCCTTGAGTTAATTAGGTGCGTTTTTCATTATTGTGGGCGAACGGGGCCTCACACAAATTTGTGCGCAATGTCTAGAGATGCAGAATTTAATTCTCTATAAGGCTATATTAATTTGTTGAAGGAGATTTGTGTGCAACGTGAGTTATTGCAAAAATGATATTTTATCCGGTTTTTGCGTCCTTGAGTTAATTAGGTGCGTTTTTTCATTATTGTGGGCGATCGGAGCATCACACAAATTTGAGCGCGATGCCTAAAGATGCAGATTTTAATTCTCTATAAGGCTATATTAATTTGTTGAAGGAGATTTGTGTGCAACGTGAGTTATTGCAAAAAAAAATATATTTTATCCCGTTTTTGCGTCCTTGAGTTAATTAGGTGAGCACTTTTAGTCGCATTTTTCGAATCTATGAAATTAAAAAATTTATATTTTTTATCTAATAGAAATTTATCCAATCTTTCATAATCTAAAATCAGATTTTCATTTTAGCAAGCTTACCTTATAGGGTATTTTGCGTATATTAAGAATGTGAAATCCGTTCTTGTCGTTGGGCACCATACGAGGCTAGCGGTCGAAGTTAGTCGTATTCAAGGCACCCTAGGAAGGTAGCGGTAGAAGTGACTCATATTCAGGGCACCGTACGAGGGCAGCGGTAGAAGTGACTTGTATTCAGGGCACCATACGAGGACAGCGGTAGAAGTGACTCGTGTTCAGGGCGTCCGTACGAAGGTAGCGGTAGAAGTGACTAGTATTCATAAAATATAAAATATAATTTGTGCTATTCGGAATTGACGAAAAAAACCGCTTCATGTATTTTTTTGTTATGAATTTTTTTCACTTCTTATTTTTCCGATTTTAATACTTTATTTTATATAGAATATTTAAATTAGTCGCGGTGTTGTAAACATCAATTATTTAATTAACTAAGGTATATAGTAAACTAATACGAACACAATAAATCATTTATTTGTATTGGTAAATTACAAATTCCTGTTTTTCCTCATCCTTATTGCATCCCAAAACCAATATATTCTTTTCTTATGCCGAGAACTATTGAAAGTAAAAGTCGATTTCGTGTATGTGTGTTATTTCAATATTGTGAATTTTTACTTTCGTCTTCCCAAGTACGTGTTTACTACTACGTTTGTTTATAAACAACTGTTTTGTTCGACTGACGTGTATTATCGCGACGCACCTGCCTTGTACCTGGCAACTCGCAGCGCACACGGCAGTCGTTTCACCGCGTGGTCCGCGAGCGCGTCTCACTACTTGCCACGCGTTTTAAGGCTCCAATTATTCAATTAATCGTCGTCTATTCTTTTCGTCATCAGCAAAATATTTGTAACGACAATGTGTGGCTGTTTTGTTTGATGAGTTGAGGCGGTTAGAGTGTTCTTAAGTAAGAAATAAGTGTCTGTTAATTTCTGCCCGAGTTTTCAGTTTATAAAAGATATTCCAGGATCTAACATCTTTTCATCACTGAACTAGAAGGTGTGTAATTAATTTTTATCGAGGAAAGTTAAGACGCTAAATATTAAATTGATTATTCCATTTGAGGGATATTAATTTTGCAAATTACAAACACGTGGTAGCATTATTTATTTGAATTCATAGCTCTGTTTCCGAAAATAACATGCATGATTTAAATATTAAAAACATTGTTATAAAAAAGAGGATCTGAGGATTATTAAAATGACCATATTCATGTGGTCGACCTCGCTCACTTTACCGTCGACCGTCGGCTCGTTCCTCTTTTCGCTGAACGTTTTTAATCGAATTACACTCCTTAGCATCATTAAATTTAAACATTTTTTGTTGATCTAATAAAATCTTGTACGTTGAATAGTTTTTCGCTCTCTTAGTCTCCATATATCTGAATATTTACAAGTAACAAGTTATTTTTATCGTATTTACCTACTGTATTACCACGCGCCGTCGCTTGCCGTCTGCTGATTTGGATGTTTTCTATCAATTAATGATGATGCTTCACCCGTCGGTTATCTTATGCAGTTGATGCTATCATCAAATGATAAATATATACACAATATATTAAAATGTAGGTGTTTTGTAGCACCTTTTTTTCTCACCTTACCGATGATTTGCGGGTGAAATCTTTGAATTTAGGTTAAAATATAGTTGTATATTAGTTTCCCTAACAGTACGTAGTAAATCGCCTTTATTTGTGAGTTTTGAATGTTCTTTGTTTTAAACTTGGGATTTCATTCTGAAACACCCTGTATATTCGCTTTTCTTTGTGCCCGTGAAAATTTACCTTCAGCTGTGATTTTAAGGCTTTCTTTGTGCACTATAATTTTTGTTGTAACCCCCTGTTTATTAGTTTCCCGGAGCATCGGGTGAAAACGAGCAATATTTGTAGTGTTTAGATGTTTTCCTGTCTGTATACTTTATTTTCTGTAACACCCTGTATATTTCTTTCCATTTTCAATCACGAAGAAAATTTACTTTGCTAATTGCTTTATCCCGCTAGGACTTCACTTAGTGGTACGCGGTTGTATGCACGGCTAAGTAGGTCGTAAATTCTATTTCAATATGGCGGCATGAATTCTGTTGACTTGTGAAATCCAAACTTGTATTATTTTACATTGTATTTATTAATAAAGAAATGTTAAGAAATATTATGTCTTATGCTTTGAATGTACCCCTTCTATCATTTCAGGTACAGGTCTCTAAGAGAGTTCCCTCTCTCAGGGGATGATCCCCACTATAAAAATTGTTACGATATCCTGTATGATTTCTGTACTCCATCTTTTATATCAGCTACAGGTCAGAACTTGTAAGAATATTTTTAACTGTCCCCTCTCTTGAGGCGACTTAAAACTAGAAATATTTTCACAAGTCCTTAAAAGGATCTACTTATAAGGAGTTCCTCTCTCTGGGGATGATCCCCCACCATAAAAATTGTTGATATGCCTGAGTATTTCGGGGATGAAGCGCAGAGACATCGTAGCTGTAGGATGGGCCGGGAGCAATGGACACATCGAAGTAGTGGACTGTTATAACGACACGTGCCAAAAAATTTAAAAATCTGATCCTCTCCTGTTCTCTTTCTTCTATTCTACTCTGTGTTCTCTTCCTACTCCTCTTCTCTACTACTTCTTCATCTTCTATTTCTCTGTTGTTCTCCGTTTCTCCACTTGCTCTTTCTTATTTCTCATATTACCTTCACTTGTATTTCAATTTCTCATAAATTTCGTTGCAATTCATATATGCAACCCAAATTACACCTGATATTTTTATATTTGAGAAAAATGCCTTTTATACCTGAGATTCGATCCGTGTCTGCTAGCATGCCAGCAGGTGTACGTCTCCACTCGACCACCGAGTGTTTTTATCATTAATATTTGATTCTTCTATTTATGTTTTTACTTTTATCATGTTTTAAAAACAACACAATTTAAGCAACAGTTAGTTATCTTATACCCGCTGCTCACACATAAGGCTTATGTGCCATATTATTTAAAACTGAAAACGACAAAGAGGATACCACAAAGAAATAAGAATTAGTTTATAACATTACAATGTGTTTTATTGACAACATTTAAAATACATATATCATTCAAATAAAAAAAAACATTGACGAATCACAAATCTCGTAACAGTAAAGACTTACCTTAAAATGTGCCAATACTTCTTTCATGGATATCGCAGATTCCATGACTCCCATACTCAAAAACTGGGCACCAACGTTGTCTATCAGCAGGAATTAATATTAAATCCAAGTTTTGCCAATATTCGAGAAGATAAACGACTGCCGATGAACACGCACGCGGCGCACATAAAGACCAACACGGTTGCAGATAATACCACAATCGAACCGATAATTAATTGGGGTTGCGCCACATTACCCTGTTACGAAAGGCCGATGAAGGCAATTACAGAATTAAAGTAAGAAACGCGAAAAGTCCCTACGAAGATCGACTGACGAAAAAAACACGTGCTAACCGTATCACAGCGCGCGATCGACTAAAGTGTAAAGAGAATTGATATCAGGCGAACACAAAGCAGATAGCCCCAACCAGTACTATCTAAATAAGCAAGAAATTTGACGCGCTGCGCCGGCACAAGCAACATATCAGACACAAAACAAAATTAAAAACATCAGGGTAATATTTATTACTTTTGATTCATTCAATTTGATTTGAGTAACGCTCTGCTTGTGTTCCAAAAATCCTAAATAATTAAGTGAAATCCCTAAAACCACAAAAATTAGTTCTTCGAACATAAAAATGCAATTTTTGGGTTAATTTGTAAGATAATCACAAAAGTTATTTAGGAAAATGATAATGAAATTTAATACTCACAATCTGGAGTAATAATGGTTCTTCTACGATATAGGACTCAGGAGGAAAAGTCCTAAAACAATCAAAAATTAGTCCTTCGCAACACAAAAATTTTAAGGGTTCATTCGTCAGATAATCACGAAATTTATTGATGAAAATGATAGAGAAATTTAGTATTTACCATCTGGTGTAGAACAGATGAAACACGTGTATAATACCAAAAGAATACGACGGCCGACGGAACATCACTCACGCTTTACCTCTGAGTATGTACAATCCGAGTGGTACGAACCCCGCTCAAACAAAGAAGCATTTAGCAACTCCAGAATAATGAAGAAAATGTGCGTGCAGACCGGCTGACGACAAAAATGAGACTAACGTGGTACACAAGCCAACCGCGTGGCGATCGCACAAAAATTGCACGAGATAAGAAAACATGTTAGTTTGTAAACACTGATACTTTAAGTGTGGTAGTGCAGAACATGAGATGAATTGTACTCGTACTATGCATGGAACTTTGAATTACGATTAATCTCTGAATCGGAAACTAGTAACAGAATTACAAATTAAGCCCTATTGGCTTATAAAAACCATATTTTTCATTAAAATTCAAATCGAGCCCAAAGGGTCAATGACAGTTAATTACTTAAATAGTCAACTAAGAATTAAATTATCTATCAAAATCTGAAAACAGTATTTAAAAATTCCTATTAATTCGAAAGCTGCATTTTCTGAACTAAATTTCGTCATAAAAAAATTTGAATACATGGTGAGAATAACCTCATGTATTCAGTGAACTGATTGACTTTCTTAGAGTGTCTCTAGGCCAGAATAGAGCTAAAGAGTTCCTCTACACGATGCACTCCCTCCAGCCTTCCAGCCTTTCCGGAAGTTCCCGAAAATGCCCTTCAAAAATGAGCAATTTCAGGAAAATTTAAAATATGATGTGGAAGACACCCTGTATCTAGTGAACTAATTGACTTTCTTAGAGTTTCTTTGCGCCAGAATGGAGATAGAGAGTTCCCCTACAAGATGTCTACCTTCCTACCTTTCAGCTTTTCCGTAAGTGCCCTAAAATGCCCGTAAAAAATGAGCAATTTTATAGAAATTTGAAAACATGGTGTGGAAAATAGCCTGTATCTATTGAACTAATTGACTTTCTTATAATTTCTTCACTCCAGAATAAAGTTAGGGAGTTTTTCTACAAAATGTATAACCTCCAATCTTCCAGTCCTCCCGGAAGTACCCTAAAATGCCCATCAAAAGTGGGCCATTTTATAAAAATTCGAAAACTTTATGTGGAAAACGACCTGTATCTCGTGAATGATTTAATTTTCTTGCAGTTTCTTAACGTTATGTTGGAGTTTGAGAGACCCTCTAATCTATGCATACGTTTTTAACTCAATAAACCCTTTGGAAGTGTCTTAAAATACCCTTCAAATATCTCTAATTTTGTCCAATAAATTTCATTTTTGGCTGAAGAACAGGGTCGAACTTTTCCTGATACATTTTTATTTGTCAAAGAACAGGGTCAAACTTTTTTTGTTAAAATTTTTTCGGTGGAGAAGCAGGGTCGAACTTTTTTACTTAAAATTTTTCGGTCGAATTTTTATGTTAACATTTTTTCGGTCGAATTTTTTTGTGAACCTTTTTTCGGTCGAATTTTTTTGTAAACTTTTTTTCGGCCGAATTTATTTATTAAAATTTTTTCGGTCAAATTTTTTTGTAAACTTTTTTCGGTCGAATTTTTTTGTAAAGTTTATTTCGGTCGAATTTTTTGGTTGAATTTTTTTCTAAAAAAATTTCGGTCGCATTTTTTTGTAAAAAGTTTTTCGGTTGAAAATCAGGGTCAAACTTTTTTACTTAAAATTTTTCGTTTGAATTTTGTTGTTAAAATTTTTCGGTCGAAAAACAGGGTCGAATTTTTTTGGCGATTAGGTCAAGAACAAAAAGGTCTACGAAAAACGAATGCATTTTTCTCGAAAACTGGACGGATCAAACAAAAAACATTGATTGAACATGAAATTTTAGAGTATTTCTCTCTTGCTCTAGCACACGTCATCCTGCCATATCAATTTTAAGCTTAATTCGTGAGATAATCACGAGATTTATGGATGAAAATGATAGAGAAATTTAATATTTACCATCTGGTGTTCTTCTACGATATCGGACTCGGGTGGAGATCCCTAAAACAATCAAAAATTCGTCTTTCGCAACACAAAAATGCAATTTTAAGCATTAATTCGTGTGATAAACACGAAATTTATTAGTGAAAATCATAGAGAAATTTAATATTTACCATCTGGTGTAGGAATGGTTCTTCTACAATATCGGACTCAGGAGGAAATCCCTAAAACCATCAAAAATTAGTCCTTCGCAACACAAAAATGCAATTTTAAGCGTTAATTCGTGAGATAATCAAAAATTTATTGATGAAAATGATAGAGAAATTTAATACTCACAATCTGGTGTAATAATGGTTCTTTTACGATATCGGACTCAGGTGGAAAAGCTCTAAAACAATCAAAAATTAGTCCTTCGCAACACAACAATGTAATTTTAAGCATTAATTCGTGAGATAAACACGAAATTTATTAACGAAAATGATAGAAAATGTTAATACTTACAATCTGGTGTAATAATAGTTTTCTACGATAACGGACTTAGGTCTAAAACAAACAAAAACTGGTGACTATGAAAATAATAAAAAGTTCCAACACTTACTTTCTGATGCAAAAATGGTTAACGCGATCGGGTTCAGTTGCTGCACCCCAAAAACAAACAAAATTGCAGTCTCAAAACACATAAATTTCATTTTTGCACACTTCCCATGATGTATATACAAAAAGGTGTATATCCAAATGATACAAAAATTCAATATGTTCCATGTGTTGGAAGAGTTGGTTTCCTAAGATGCCCCTAAAACAAACAAAGTTCAGCTCAGCAAAATACAAGTATGCTTTTTTTGTTGCCTATCTATACTAATGTCTAATCTCAAAAGTTATTTATGAAACCTATAATGTAATGAAAAACTAACAATATAATGAAAGTATAGCTTTCCTATGAAATTGAAACCCCTAAAACAGGCATGCATCAGTCCTCAAAAACACAATGCCATTTATCTTGCCCATCCATGAGATAAAAATAAAGGAGATAAAGAATTTCAATAATTACACCCTGAAGTGGTTCTCCAACAATGTCTTGCTAAGGCATCAACCCACTGAAAGACAGGAAAATCTTAATCATATGCAGATTACACAAGCAATAAAAGTATACTTACTTGGTAATATATATTCAATTTGTAATACTCTGCATCTACAAATTATTGTTTTTAATTAAATACTTTTAAACCGAGATTCGTTTTTCTAGGTGGTTAAAAAAACTTCATTAAAATGTCAATCATGCCTGCCTTTAACTCTCTGTTGTCTACTTGTCAGTGATTTTAGGTTAACCAATACTCAAAGAAAAATTCGATTAAAAAAGTGATTATACCCAAACCAAACAACAAAATGAAGTAAAGAAAAGTGCTTTTCACTTGAAACTTACCATCTGCTTCTCGTTGTGCGCTCGCGACCACCACCAAAGATGGACAACTTGGTTGATGAGCTTGGAATCCCCAACAAGTTCCTGAAATCTACAACCAGAGAGGACAGATTCACAGCAATTGTACCTAAAAGTTGGCTGAAGTAAGTTGTAGATCATTACCTGTGCAGGATATACTTAATACTTTATTGTAGGTCGCTCCTAAAGCACTCCAGGCTAGCAGAATTCAATGAGAAGTTGAAACTTGACTCCTGGCCCAATCAGCACGATGATATAGATGAGTCTTGGCAGAAGATTTATGTTAAAATATTCAAGAAAGCTGATGCTAAAGTTATCCCCCTGCCAAGGATACCACCCAAGTCAGTCAGATCAGAGGCACCATTGATGTTCTCTCAGCTAATGCAGTATATTGCGCACACAAATTACAAAAATCTCTGGAAAGATGCATACAAGAAGTACAATTCAACAGAAGGCAACCGAGTCACCCAAGTAACACTCTGCAACTACAATGAGGTCATCAGAGAGACCATTATTAGGACCTATGGGTGTGCAATAATCAACACATGTGATTCTGACCTGAATGTAAATGCATCAGAATCAATTGATGTACATTCCAATATATATGGGGCATTATGTGCAGTTGAAACACTCAATGCTATCTTTTTGATTCATGCTCAATATGTTCCACACAACTTGTATGATTGTTTGACATTCAGCCCATCAATCCTAGAGCAATGCTACACTAAACCACTTTTCCTCGTGTATCAGTTGGTGAACGCGCTGCGTACAATGCACGAGCGCTCACTCACAGTCGGCGACATCACCCTGAAGGACATTTACTTAAGCGACGACCTCTGGTTGCATATATTTCCGCAGCTATGTTCGAATATCCACGTGCAGGAGGTGCCGCGTGTGGACAAGACTACGATGGGGTACGACTGTCGCAAGTTGGGGCATAGATACGACGTCGGCGCGCAGAAATGTTCCCATTGTGGGTTGCGAACGTACGATAAGGTGCGCGTGAACAACGGGGAAAGTTTAGAAAAACTGACCAAACTTTGGATTCATGGAGAAATATCGAATTACACGTACCTAATGGCGCTCAATGCCCTAGCGGGACGTAAGTTCGCCGACCCAAATTGTCACTACGTCTTCCCATGGGTCACGGACTTCTCCGAGAGAGGTGGACGCAGCTGGCGCGATATGAAAAAGTCAAAATTTCGTTTAAACAAGGGCGACCGCCAGTTGGATCTTACCTACGAGCATGTTGAAGACGCGCAAGTGCCGCATCACGTCTCCGACGTGCTCAGCTCGATCACATATTACGTTTACATGGCACGCCGCACGCCCAAATCGGTGCTGTGCAAAAACGTGCGGCCCAATTGGGTGCCGGCGGAGTATCCCAGTTCGATCCTGCGATTGCAGGAATGGACGCCCGACGAATGCATACCTGAGTTCTTTAGCGACCCGATGATTTTTAAGAGTGTTCACGACGACTTGGGCGACCTCGATGTACCACCGTGGTCAACGAGCCCCGAAGATTTTATTGATAAGCACAGAGAGGCGCTGGAGAGCCAACATGTCTCAGAGCGGCTGCACCATTGGATAGATCTCACATTCGGATACAAACTTAGCGGTACTGCGGCGATTAAGAGCAAGAACGTCTGCTTACATCTAGTAGATGGCCACACAAATTTAACCAGCAGTGGTGTTGTTCAGTTGTTCGTGCATCCACACCCGCCCCGGCTTGTGAGCATGCCCTTTTGGGGCAAGATCCCACCGAAGGTCTACCCTAAAAAAAGTAAACGTAAATTAATTTATTCTTTCACAGTTTTTGCTAATAAATGTACTTATTATAGAAAATCGCGATTTATCCACTTCATCCACAACATTAGAAACCTCGCGCAGTGAGGAAGAGGATCCTTCCGTCGATGAAGAGAGTCTCAGTGCAAGACCACTTGTTCTCTCCCGACTACTGTCGAGAAGTCGTTCGTCCCTCAATGAAGATACCAAACGCGATGAGAAAAACCGCTCGTCCAGTAGCCAGCGCAGTGCAAGCTTAGGACCCAAGAACCCCACGTTTACAAGTCACGTCCCGCCACAGAAAACAATCCTGCCTAAAGAGTTCAACCCCAGTCTGGCTCTAATCAATCTAGAAAACGTACAATCTTTCCTATCGAAAACATTCCACACCGAGGATGGCAAACGCATTCAAGTCAGCGCCGATGAGGATCCACCGAAGGAAGAGAAACCTACGATAATTCACGATGTGCCGCAGGTGCAGAACGCGTTCACAAATCGACTATTTCAACAATTGTCAACGCCGCCTGACCAGACGATCATACACCATAATCGAGCGACAAAGTCGTTTACGTTTCCGATTGATAATCAAAATATCTTGCCGTTTCGGCAATCTCGGTCGCGCCCCGTCCACAGGATCGAGAATCAGATCGCGTGTCCCTACAGCGATATAATCACCAAGCGTCGCACGGAGGAAATGCAAACGTTGGGCTGTTTAATCGTGGAGATTTTCATGCACAAACAGATCCGAGTGCTGCAAGGCAGCGGAAATGCGCTGCGTTTTAAGAATCGGTTGAAAATCTGCCTCACCGTGCTTAACTCTTGCAAGCATGAGATTCCGAACTGCATTAAACATTTGGTGCACATCCTGCTACCACCAGACGAAATAAACACATGCGAGTTTAAGTACGCGCCGGTGAGCGAGTGCGGCCTACCACCACCGTCGGCGCATCTGTTACTAGAACCTTTATTACATTCGTTGATACCTTTCAATGAGCATTTTGCTAAACTCTACGGAATTATATCAATGCTCAAGGATTACGAGGTTGTCGCAACGGAGCTGCATATTCTCTATAATTTCACTTGCAATGGCGACCAGTGTGCTGAGTTCGAAATGGTTGAGCGCACGAAGCTGTTACTCACTCAGAACATTGCCGAGTGTAAGGTGAAGAGCTGTGCCAACCAGCTGGAAGATCTCATTGACGACCTCAACTCCAGCAAGGATATCGAAATCGTGAATATCTTGGTCTTACCCATTCGACAATTGATCGACGACCCGCCGACGGCCGTATTGTCGGCGTGGTATCTGTTTGATTCAGTAGCGCGTTCGCTTGGCCTCAAGCGCAGCGTCGAAATGTTGCTGCAGCCTATCCTGCGCCTCTACGAGCATGAGACGTCCGACGCCAACATTCCCTACAACACAAAAATAGCCCGTTTGTATCATCACAGCTTCCTTCTGCGGTTGATGGTCCGATTTGGCTTGCGTACGTTTTTAGAGCACTTCATCACGCCACTGGTCGAGGCCGTTGGCGGCTATCGGGACCTGCTCGAGGAGAAAGAGATTATCTTACATTCGCACGCAGACAAACATGCGAAAAAGGCGAATCTGAAATCCTTCGATAGCGAAAGCCACGAACTTTCCCCAAGCGACGACTCGAGTGAGTCCGAGACGAAATTACCCGGGAAAGAACCTGAGGTGTTTCACTTCGATGGCGAAGAGGTGTTGGAACGCCTACAATCAAATCTTACCACAGATCAAGCATTCCACAATACCACAGTTGAGGATACACGTGAGACCGACGAGCTCACACACCTCGACGTCGAGTACAAAGGCCTCATGACCCCCACCATTCCAATTCCTTCGCGTAAAGAACTCTCCAACATTAGTTGCGATGTAGGAAGCAAAAAGTCTGAAGTCGAGTTTCCTGTTGCTGTGGATGCACGTGATTCTTCTCAGGGCAAGAGTAACGATCGACCGAAGAACGAGGCTAAAATCTCATCCATGGCCACCGAAAGTATAATTTGGCTGTCGCATCGACTTGGTCCGGTGCTTACAGCGCGCTATTTGAGCCGCAATCTCCTCAAAATGCTCACGCTCTGCTATGTGGGAAAGGAGAATTTGATAAGGGCGCCGAAAACGGATGGCGGTGTCGACTTTATAAGCATCGCCTGCAGCCGCGTCGTTGGGGACAATAATGCCGCTAAGGTTCTCGAATGTCTCGCCAGCATCGCCGGTGTGTATTGTTTTTAGTGCCTTGCCTCGATATGGGCACAGCACGCGCAAATATGTCATGCCTGCTTTCATTTCTAGCTCTCTACGGACATCAACTGATACTATATCAGTACTTGCCGCACATGAGCGAGCTGATCGCGTTGTGCAAACGCAAACTGACTGCAAACTTGGAGGGAGGCTTGATTAGCTGCCTGGCTTTGCTAAAGCACATTATTCCTTATATTTCGGATGCTACTTTAATGGAAAACTTGCAGGTAAGCATTGCCATTCGTCGTCATACAATCCCTTCTCCCAACTTGTTGGTATAACATTACGCTGTTTATTTTCGTCTGTTTGTGGTTTTTCCTTCAGCTTTAAACAATGGATCTTGATATAATGCCTGAAATTAGATTTATTGCATGCGTGACATTCAATGAATTCATAATTTACTTTGGCAAACTTCATGCATGCATACATGTTTAGTGTTCTTAATTAAAAAGCAGTTACATGCCAATTTACCACATTGCACTTTCTATCGTCCTATTCATTGGCAATGAATTACGTTAGCACGCGCGTGCTCAATAAAAAGTCCTGTTTTATTTATTACATCTTCGACGTTCCGCTTGTTTTTGATTTCCGTATTATCGGCTGTTTATTTTCGCAATTGAATTTTTCCTCGCCGGGATAGCTTGATGTAACAATCCGCTCGTTTGATCTACGCGCGCTGAATTTATTATCGTTTGCCCACAGTTTCAATCTGAATCGCATTTTTACGCGTGATTTATTTCATTTGGTTTTGTTAGCGCGCCGTTCGAAGTGTACATTGGTTTCGTGTCAAAACACGGCCTGGGCTGCGGGCTCAAATATATTTGTAGCGTTGCTTCGCCGCATTCGGCCTATTATTAAATTGTCGCCAACGTGTTTTTAGGACGTTATACTTAAAAACATCCTCTACCCAACAATACGCCTGCTGGGCTCGACGAAGTATACATTCCCGAACGGTTCGATAGCACGCAATGTGCTCGCACGAAAATACTTGGACACTTTGTACGTGCTCTCGCTGCGAATGGGCGCCACGATGACGCACACGCATTTAGCGGTACCTGCACTACAGCGCTTCTTTCTAATCTTCGATAAGATCGTAGAACCGTCAGGTGCGAGCGGTGCCACACTGGACGTTTTTTCTACGGCCGCGAAAACTGGCCAAGGAGACGCGTCCAGTCCGGGCAACTTGGAAGAACTCGATACGAACTTCATCGAGGTGCGGCGGGATGGTACCCTTGCTGAATGGGCAATTGGGGGACGACCGGTGCAGATTTCCCGCTTGCGGGATTCTGATTCAACCGATAGTTTATCTCCGCCGCAATCGCAGCCTGCGACGCGGCCGGACGAAACCGTCAACCTCGCCGTGAACGAACTGAAAGCGGTGTTCACGGCGGATTTGGCACACACCGCCTATGTCCCATTCATGAAGCAGATAGGTCTCAATGCGATGGAATCCTCGCTTAAAAACTATCAGCGCATCATTGCCTTAACCCAGGAGTATGAGCTGGAGGTGCAACAGACTAGCTACAAACACGAAGAGCAACAATTACCTACCGAAAGTCGTTCAGTTTCCGGCTCCATTGGCAGTAACATAGCTTTAATTGGAAATCGTATTGATGTGCAAGATGACGAGGAGCGCAATGCCGATATGTTGAACTATGTGAGCAATAAGATCGAGAATACGCAGAGGCACCTGCGCGGCAACTGGTTGGCATACTGGGAGCACGAAATCGGGCGTTCGGATAAAGATACACAGTTTAATTTCAAACAGATCAAACTGCAAACGTTCACGGGACACACAAACAGCGTCAAGTCGCTGTATATCCTAGACAACGAAAACAGTTTCCTGAGCGCCAGCAAGGACAAAACCGTGAAGTTGTGGTCCTTGCGGAGTCAAGGTGACGGCACCAGTAGTTCCACCTGTCAATCCACATACCCCGCACATAAAAAGGGCGTATTCGCAATTACATTCCTCGAAGGTTTAAGGCTAGTAGCGTCTTGTGACGGTGTGGTACATCTATGGGATCCGTTCATGTGCGCGGGGATTGCCCAATTGGAGTCGCCCAAATATGCACCAGTACATGTTTTGAAGAGTTTACCTGCACCCAGTTCTTTGTTGTTTGCCGCTTCAGCGGAGTGCAGTATTAAAGTGATTGATGCGCGGATTTGTAGCTATGTACATGATCTCAAGGTAAATTTAGATGTTTTATTATCTTCGGTGGGAGTTAACTTATTCCCTCTCTTGGAAGGTTGCGGTGAACCAAGGCGTTTGGATCCGATGCGTCGCCATTGCACCTTCGGGTAATTGGATAGCCACAGGCCTCTGCTCTGGTCACATTACCGTACTGGACACCCGAACAGGTCTGGTCCTATCAACTTGGCGTGCGCATGATTCCGAAATCGTACAATTGGTCACCTCCGATGACGATACACTCATCTCCAGCGGCATGGACCAGTCCCTACACGTGTGGAATGTACACGATGGCAAACTTAAGTTCTCCCTCAAGTACGTATCCTGTCCGCAGTGTGACGAACCGCACATTTAACACATGTTCACCTATTCACGATACAGTTTGACCTTGCCTAGGGGAGTTTCCGAGCCGGTCCATTGCCTTAACGTCAACAACGGCGAGCTGATCTCCGGCACCACCGGTAATCGAATCGGGGTCCACACCAGCATCGATGCGGACGCTTCATTCTCCAGTACCAAGCTGCGCTCGGACGCCTTCAAAGGCGCACTGGTCTCGATGGCAATGCTACCACTCAACCGGCTGCTCCTGCTGGGTGCCGACACGGGCGTTATTAACTTGTTGTGTTAGACGATTTTTAGAAGAGATTTAGGAATGCGGCTTTTTCTTAGTCAATTACTAGCGAAGGTGAGGGCAGGTTAGATAGACTTGCGCTGGTGTAGATTGTTTTGCAGGGGATGACACACACCATTCATGATTACATACCAAAGATATTCAGTATTATCGCGGAAAACAAAACGATACGAATTTGTGACGAAATTCCATCCAACTTGCATGATTCCACATGTGAAATGATGTAAGATAAGGTTTTTACACAATAATCCTAACGTAAATTGAAATCAGGGGTTCCCAGAAATACAAATCATGTAAATCTATTTTAAAGTGATTATGTAATATTATAAAAAAGTACGATTTACTATTAATTTAAATAAATTCTAATTGAACATTTGTTGCGTTGTAGTTTCTTTCCAAACGCTACAACCGACGTATTTTCGCGGTTTAGTTTATGTCTTGGAATAGCATGGTAATAATAATTTCGTAATGTATTTTCCAATTTTTCAATCACAAAATGATATTATCGCGTAAATATTATCAAATTCCAACGGAGTGTGGGCTTCAATTTGGCGCAGTTCTACTCTGCGTTTTATTTTTACGATGCGTTAAAGTACGACTGTAAAAGTTGGATAAAATAAAACATTTATGAATTACATTTACAGCAAACAGTCATTTGTTGGCAGATTGAAGGTAAAAATGCTTCAATTACCCACTGGGACTGGTCCTTGAACGATAAAAATTTTGGGCTGCCAGCAGCGAAAAAATAGCACTGTTTTGATTTGATTTGCTATTGTTGGAAAAACTGAAAATTGGCAAATTCCTTGAAATCAATTCCGAATGCGTCCTGTCTTAATCCTGATTCAATGCTCCTGCTCCATCCTAGGACCGCGCGCTGCTCGTGAACATAATATGCGGGTGATTCACTCGCGTTATTCACGCGCACCGCGCGCGATATTTTCTATTCGGCCATCGTCGAAAGAATTTGGTATTTTTAGGTAACTATACCGAATCGTAATAGTATCGTCTGTTGAAGTCCGAGACACTCTCGGGGTCGACGCTAGCCGCATCAACTCGAAATGTGTAATATTCGAGTGAGCAAGCGAGCTTTCAGTGTTTTCAGTACCGAACTAAGTCACACACAACTCTACACAACGTATTCCTGCAGTCTTTTCAGGCCTATTTGCGAACAGAGCGCTGCAATTGACGATTGAAGTCGTGTTCTTCCTTGAAGGAAATACTTGGTGAAGTTTACCGATTGATGATTGATGCATTCCGAGTGACCCGCTGTAAATTCGATACTTGTAGCAGTGCGAAACACTGTACAGCCACCGAATTATATAAATAATGTAGCGCAGTTACAGAAATACACGCTCACGCACGCGAGCAAAGCGAAGCGAACGCGCGCGGCGCGCTCGAAAATGAGTCGTCCAAGCGCGGACGGTTGTAAATCTCGAGCGTTTCAAAATCGAGCGCAGCGCGACTGAAAAACAAGGAAAACGTCATTCTCTACGGCGAGAAAGTTGAATTTTCGTTTGGACTCCGCCTGTCGCAAACAAAATCAAATATATGTATATGCAAGCAATATTCAAACAGAAATTTAGCTGGGAACATGATTATTAATCGCGGAATGATTGATCGCTGAACATTTATAATATTACGTTGCATTAATAAGCCGTAATTCATTTATTCGGCTCGGTTCTCAGGCGCATTATAGCGCGTATTATGGCGCACCTTCTGCTCGTAAATTTGGCATGCAGCCCACCGCATTAACTTTAACCGTTTGGACTCAATCATCCGATTAATCTTGGCACATTCGACGGGGCATCGCGCGCTCGATATTGTAATAGAAAACGATCGACACGTTGTGCGGAAATATTACAACTGGTGGAAATGCAGGCGTGAGAGATGCGTTTGTTCTTCACATTTTTTTAATTATCGGCCGGTCGAAAACGCGTTCCGAGCCACTAATTTTGGAATGCTGACTTCGGCGACGAAGTCAGTCCGAACTCTCCGTGTTCCATTTTTAAAATAGAATTGCCATTTTACTTGGCCGGATTAAGCAGTGTTTCATTCGGCTTGCATGGGCGTGCGCATGTCATGCTCATGCACACCGCGATACCTTTTCCTCTTTTCTGACCTAATCCTGCCCGTCACCGCGGGTGGAAATCGTCCATCTATGATTTCATCGCGCGCCGACTAATACTGGATTACATAAAGTGTGCGATGATGCTCGCAAGTCGAGGAAGGCATGAGGTGTGCTTTTGAAGTATTTCCAAGCTAGGGTTCCGCTTTGGTGGCGTTTTCGACTTATTTCGGGACGGCAAATCGGGCAAAACGAATGGCATCTGCCCGTTATAACGCCGCACTAACCCAGTTTGCGTGCGTTTACCAAATAACAAGAAAGCCGCGAGAAGAAATGCAAGAATACAAACGCTCGCCTGCCCGTAGCGTTCAACTCTCGAGGAAACGTAATTCGCCGGCGGTGGCGGTTTGGACCCGCGCTATTTATACGCGTCGACTATTTAAAGCGCGCACGTTGCGTGCGCGCCGTTCGCTCGCTTGTATGTTGTGGGAAGAAGCGCTATTAATTGAGTGGATGTCAGCTCATACTCATTAACTGGGCAGGAATAACAAGAAAGCGCGGAAAATAGAATTGGGTCGCGCCGCGCGCTCGTCCGACGCCGCCACCGATTGTTCTGTGAGCGTCGTCGCGAGATTTTTTTGATTTTTGGACGCGCGCTGTCGCGTACAATACTAGCGAGAGAAAAAAAAAACAAATGGACCGCGACCAGGCAGGCGGTGCAGTTGTAAATTTCGCGTCTGCCAAGCAATTGCCAAACGCGGGCCCCGCTAGCGCCTAGCGTAAATATTTCTCGAGCAAGGTTAAACGCGGTAAATAGGAGAGCTCAATTTTCGGCTTTCGCGTAAATCTGCTCCCGATCCCGGACACGCTATTGTAAGCAACGATGATATGCCAACAATGAGATAGAATCTTGTTTCAGGGCTATGTATCAATTAGGAGCAATTTGTCTTTTGAAAATTTTGAAATAAAAAAAATGTCTCCTTTTATGAAGTAAATTCCGCTGGAAAAACTATGATATTAATATTGATATTGAAAATAGAAATGGAAATGAATGCGACGCGGCTTTTGGCAGCCGCTGGGCGAAACTGAAGCACTGGGTGAACGCACCGTGCCTACGATTCTCTATGCCCGCAACGGTGCGCCATAAAAAGTTGAACGCGCTGATCTGTTCGTGGAACGGAGAGATACAGCCGGCGGCGGCGAGATGAACAAGGCGAATGCTGCATATGGAAGACGCGGCGGCCCGGCGGCGTGGACGCAAATTCCGCCGCGCCGAGTGCCGTATGGCGGCAACAATTCAACGCCGCCGCCGCCGACAATAATAGCGCACACGCGCGCACGCCGCGCCGCGCCCGGCGCACGTACGCTGCCACACACACTCGCACGTACACGTACACGATGAGTGTGAGCACACCTCACTAACGCGCATGCATGAGTTTTCAGGCCGAAGAGAAAATCTGACCAACGGCCATGTCTTCCTTGTCTGCTCGCTTAGCCTGGTCATTCCCCAATGCCCGTGCCTAAAAAGGGAGACCGGGAGCGGTTGTAAGCGCGCTGGCGATTGGATCGGGACCAGCGCCAATCCGCGCGCGCGTACCATTTTCGGATCTGGTTGCAGACATATATAAACGGGTCCGGTGTGTACCCATCGACCAGAAGGCTTTCGAACGTAAGTTCATACAGTTAGCAGAGGTTCTCCTCTACTCACGCTATCATTTCATTTATCACAATTCACACTTTAAAACACTTGAAGCGAATTCAAATTTTTGAGCGCGGCGTTAAACAATAGTGATTCTCGAAAAGTGAAGGGGCGTTCTTGGACTAAGTGCTACCTACCACCAAGTGACTTTCGACCCTGCGACCCAGTGACCCGCCGAAGTGTGTGTGTGCGCTCCTACGCCGCGTGGCATTTGCAACCAATTTTGGATTATTGAAGAAGCACTAGTTCGATACCAAGCGAAGATCAAGCACAACTTGTTCCATTGTTGCCCTTTTGATAGTAATTTCAAGTCACTTTATTGCATGCTTTATTCAAAACAAATTGAGTCTGCACCTTACTTGGAGTCTCTTTTGCGAATCATTAGAACGCATCAAACAGTAAATTTGCTCACAAACTGATTTAACAACAGTTTGCTTGTTTTTTTGGGAAGAAAACCAAGCCAGCAAAAGGAGGAACGGAAGCTGCTTCTTCAATACGGATCGCCATTATTGGTTGCAAGTTGCCCAAGTGCATGCGCATATGCCACGTGTCCGGGACGATTAGATAATCAGCGGGTTCGTGAATGAAATCGAAAAATTAAATCAAAACGGCGTATCCATGAATGAACGGGTGTACAACGCGTTTGCCAAACGGTCGGGGACCTTAAATCGCGTTGTCCAAATTTTCCTTCGGCGATTGTGCAAATTTGGTAATCGATTGCGCAATCCCGGGACGGAGAACGCGCAGGCGCCGGGTACTCAGATGCGTTGCGTGCCAGCGTATCCTGCCTTACATGGCGCACGGCTGGGAGCGCCGCGTGCCGAACGCCTTGTGACATAAGCGGTGCTCGTTACTATTTTTAACACTTTTCCGACTCGCACGTACGACGGCCTCGGACCGATTATGCCTACAACGCGAACCGCTGAAAGTCATGATGTCGGTATGACTTAACGTGTCGTCATACTCACATTCTTTCAAATCAAATCGGAACCGGACAACCGTACGACACCCTCTGATAAGGGAGGGATTCACATCCGGTACCTACATCCGGGACAAAACACTTATGACTTAGATTTTGACTAGACACGCGTTGATCAAATATTTATTGCCCGACATTTTCGCACCGCCATTATCGCCCACCTTGAATTTATCGCTCACGCAGGTGACTAATCTGATCCGTTTGTTCTAGGAAGGCTCTAGGGCTGTTTTTACGTGTCTCGATAGCCCCGTCTCTAACTAAACCGTAAACATGCCTAAGGTAGTCAAACAAGAGGGGGATGATCCCGATCCAACCCCATACTTGTTCGTCTCGCTGGAGCAGAAGCGTATCGATCAGACCAAGCCCTACGATGCCAAGAAGTCCTGCTGGGTTCCAGATGACAAGGAGGGTTTCATCCTGGGTGAAATCAAGGGCACCAAGGGTGATCTTGTCACCGTTGGCATCAGCGCTGGCGAGGTATTATACCAAAATCAAATTCACCAATATTGCACACGCGGAAACAAGCAGATAAAATATTGGCAGCAAAAAAATATAAACAAAAAAGCAAAAAAAAAGTCGAAAATTACGTTCCGTGCGTTTGGAAAACCAGAAAATTACTCAAAATTTATTCAAAATCAAAGAGAAAATTATTAACTTTTAAAAAAAATAAGAAAAATATTAAAATTCTATTCAAAAATTTGCAAAAAGTTCAAAATTACGTTCCGTGCGTATAGCAAAAATCAAAAAAAAAAAGCAAAAATTCTTCCAAATTAAATTTTGCACTATGAAAATAACGTGCGTCCGGTGAATTTCGTGTCCTAATCATTGTTATTAAACTGAGTATAGGAGAAACACCTAAAAAAGGATCAGATATTCCAAGTGAATCCTCCGAAATTCGAAAAAGTAGAAGACATGGCGGACTTAACCTTCCTTAACGAAGCGGCCGTCCTGCACAATTTGCGCCAGCGTTATTACTGCAAACTGATTTACGTAAGTCCAGCACAATGACGGAACTAATCTCTTCCTCTCTGCGAAAAAATAGGAAAAGAACTTCAAGAAGGAACTGGTCACCCAGGTCAACCCCCCGAAATACGAAAAAGCCGAAGATATGTCCAACTTGACTTATCTTAACGACGCTTCAGTTTTGCATAACTTGAAGCAGAGATACTACCATAAGTTGATCTACGTAAGGCATTCGTGTTTTATTTTTCGTGGCGTTTTGCAAAGTTTGCGAGTTCCTGGCGAAGGTGGAACACGCCGTTCGAGCAGCGACCGTCGAAAGGAGCAAACGTATTTCCCCCAAAACACACCCAACAAGCAGAACTCTTTTGGGCCAATATAACCAATTCTCGTTTAAATTAACACCTAGTTTTAGCACTTAGTTCTAGTACCCTTGATAAGCACCAGGGCAATACCACCAGAAAGACTGGTCGCTCTACGTGCACATGTTGTGTTGTTTTGCAAAGAAAAAGCCCGTAGAACGGGCTTTGCAGAACGTTTGTTTGCTGACCAGCTCGTCGAAGACCGCTGCTAATCGTCGTTTAATGTTTACAGACCTATTCCGGTCTCTTCTGCGTCGCCATCAACCCCTACAAGCGTTTCCCCGTCTACACCAACCGTTGCGCTAAGTTGTACCGTGGTAAGAGGCGTAATGAAGTCCCACCCCACATTTTCGCCATCTCTGACGGTGCCTACGTGAACATGTTGACCAGTAAGTTACCGAAACTCCCGAGCACCATGGAATCAACGAAACTAATGCAAAATGTTTATATCTTTCTGTTCCATTTGCGCACCTTCAAATCGTCATCTCTAAACAGACCACGAAAATCAATCTATGTTGATTACGTAAGTTGATCGCCCGACGACTTGGCGCTCGTTTTACTAATATCGCTCTCTGACCCACAGTGGTGAATCTGGTGCCGGTAAGACTGAAAACACGAAGAAGGTAATTGCGTACTTCGCCACCGTCGGTGCTTCCTCGAAGAAGCCGACTGAGGAAGACAAGAAGAAGGGTTCCCTTGAAGATCAGGTCGTACAAACTAACCCGGTACTTGAAGCCTTCGGTAACGCTAAGACCGTCCGTAACGATAACTCCTCCCGTTTCGTAAGTGACTTAGAAACTTAGCGCAAAGAACAATAAACTAAACAGCACTTACCATCCTCCAGGGTAAATTCATCCGTATTCACTTCGGTCCCACTGGTAAACTTGCTGGTGCTGATATCGAAACCTGTAAGTTAAAAAAAAAACTTCTATGAAACAATTGCAACATCACTTAACATACAATTTGAAAATATTCCAGACTTGCTCGAGAAGGCTCGTGTCATCTCCCAGCAGACCCTGGAAAGATCCTACCACATCTTCTACCAGATGATGTCCGGCTCTGTCACTGGCCTGAAACGTGAGTACTCGCAGTCACTGCGCCTACCTATTTAAAAATTTCAGAGAATTTGCTGGACATTGAAAGTTGAAAGTCGGTCCTGCGATTGCGCAATCTCCTCCGCAGTCATGTTGTAAGATATTGTTAACGTCTTTTCTCTTTTTCTTCGTCGACGCTGTTCACGTATAGAAATGTGCTTGTTGAGTGACAACGTCCACGATTATTACTTCGTCGCTCAGGGCAAAATCACTATCCCCAATGTCGATGACGGCGAGGAATGCACCCTTACCGATGTAAGTGGGTGACACGGTGCTAGCGGCGACACCCACACGACACACACGAGTTTGATTTCTCTTCTAGTATTGAGAGTTTTATTTTTTTGGCGTGAAAGTAGACTAAGCGATCCCGACGATTTGCAACACGGCATCAGCGAACCCAACCATACGTGATGCTGATTGCCGGTAGGCAGTAGTGTTCAATTTGTTTTGATTTAGGCACCGAAGATGCGCGCCGGGCACGGCGATGAACGACCGTTGGAAGGCAGTGAACGACGTGGTACTAGCAACAAAATGCAACAACGGTCGCGAACAGCCGACTTTCGATATTTTGTTGTTACCTTGTTTTACCCTCACCTGAAATTGAGTTTGAAACGTGTTTGTTCTTTTCTGCTTTGTTTTTCAAACAGAACTTTGTCTGCTGTCGAACAATATTACCGATTACTACTTTGTCGCGCAAGGCAAAACCACAATTCCTAGCGTGGACGATGGAGAGGAAATGCAAATCACTGACGTAAGCCTACGAAACGGCTCTACCGATGCAATTTCTCATCTGTAACTTTGTATTGTGTTTGATGTTTCTTTCTCACCGTGTTCTTGATAATCTTTAATCTCTCTTAGCACTTCGCAGCTGGCTCCAGCAATGTTGACACCTAATGATTAAGCCGCGCCACACGTCACGCAAATCGTGTCCGGTCACTTTGACTTCACACGTAAATGTACATCCAAAATCAAAACTTGTTTTCCATTTCTATATCTGTGATAGAGTTGTGCTTGCTCAGCAATCGCGTATCCGATTATCCCTACATTTGCCAAGGGAAAACGCGTATACCGGGCATCAATGACTCGGACGAAGGAGAGCTCACCGATGTAAGCACTCGATGGTAAAACGGTTGACCCACACCCCCTTTTCGTTTTGGAACTTAACGGAACCTGACTCCCTGCTAATCAAGTCAGGGAGCGTGCGCGTTTTTTTATTTTTGCAAAGATCTGCCTCCATCAACTTGTACAAATCTGTATAAATCTGTATATAGGAATCAAAACTTTGATTTTGGATGATTGCTTAGCGTGATTTTTGCTCAAGTGCTCGCTCCCTGTTTGCGCCAAAACGACGCACTCTTGCACATGACTCAAACCTACGAAAAACTGCTCTGGGTAGAACTTGTATATTATCAAAATCTCATCAACGTTCAGCTGCATAACTCCGTTACCCTACCCGTACCTTCTGTTAACACCCCATACTCAAAAACGCTAATTAATGCTTTGAAATATTCTTCTTTTAGCAATGTGCCTACTCTCAAACAATATCTATGACTATTTCTTCGTCTCCCAGGGCAAAGTAACAATTCCCAATGTAGATGACGCCGAGGAATTGTTACTGACTGATGTAAGTCACACAGACCCCCCAAAATCAATTACACATTCAGAATTGAAGATCAAGTCAAAATTTCGAATTTTAAATCAATCCTCAGACTGATAACAGATAGCTTGTCCCCCGTGTTACTTTGGACTCATATGTACATTGTTGTTGGTAAGTTGTACATACCGTGAAGGATGAACGTCTGCACTAATTCTGTATATTAGTTGCGTTCGTTCAGGAAGACGAGCTTTGAGCACACCAAAATCACAAAACGCTTTGTAAAATGGCATGAACTGCTTGTTGGCAAAATCAGAACCTAACGCTATTCTCAAAAGCTCACGTACGAGATTACTAAAACCACGATGGAAACACACATTACACTCATTCTCATCACGTAAAACGCTTACGCCGACTCACGACTCATCGACCCAGTATTAATCTAATGTTTCTCCGACGTGCAGCAAGCCTTCGACGTCCTGGGTTTCACCCAGCAGGAGAAGGACGACATCTACAAGATCACTGCCGCTGTCATGCATATGGGTTGCATGAAGTTCAAGCAGAGGGGTCGCGAAGAACAGGCTGAAGCTGACGGTACCGAGGTACTTACAAAAATCCCACCTGGATATCAAGGGTGCCATTTACTAATTTGCTCTCTTTACTCTTCTGAACATCATAGGAAGGTGACCGTGTTGCTAAGCTTTTGGGTATTGAGACCGCCGGTCTTTACACTGCTCTAGTCAAGCCCAGAATCAAGGTCGGTAACGAATTCGTCACCCAGGGCCGTAATGTCAACCAGGTATCCTACTCCGTGGGTGCCATGTCTAAGGCCATGTTCGACAGGCTGTTCAAATTCTTGGTCAAGAAGTGTAACGAAACCTTGGACACCAAGCAAAAGAGACAGCACTTCATTGGTGTACTGGATATTGCTGGTTTCGAAATTTTCGACGTAAGTTCTTCAACACTCTAGAAACAAATGAGAAGTTTCTTTCAGCATTCCAAGGATCTTCCAATAGTAGTTTTAGTCTTAGATAGTTTCGTATTCCAGCACTAACTTAATGTATTATATTATAGTATAACGGCTTCGAGCAGCTTTGCATTAACTTCACTAATGAAAAGCTTCAGCAGTTCTTCAACCATCACATGTTCGTCTTAGAACAGGAGGAATATGCCAAGGAGGGCATCGTATGGGCGTTCATTGACTTCGGCATGGACTTGCTAGCTTGCATTGATCTTATTGAAAAGGTGCTTTCATCCCACCTGCCCCCCAAATCCTCTGACACGAACTCTACACTTGCAAAACTCACACGCTGTGCAAATAATCAAAGATAGGACTAGATGCGTAAGACTAACATCGACGACGTCTGTTGGTATTCCGTGCCACGATGGGTACTGTAACCATCTGTCTCCTGTATCTCTAGTACAACGGTTTCGAGCAGCTTTGCATTAACTTCACCAACGAAAAGTTGCAACAGTTCTTTAACCACCACATGTTCGTACTTGAACAAGAAGAATACGCTAAGGAAGGCATCCAGTGGGCCTTCATCGATTTCGGTATGGACTTGTTGGCCTGTATCGAGTTGATTGAGAAGGTAATTACAGGTCTTCACCATCGGACACGACGCAATCTTCAATTCCTTCGAGGTGCAACGCTGGCTATATGTGTCTATTGTCTCTGTCTCTTGTGATCGTCCAATGTCTTTGTGTTTCAATGTGATCGTCTTAGTTTAACAGTTCTATATGTTATGTATACTTGTATTTAGATAGTCAGCGCAGAGTGGAACATTGCGACTGCTAAAAGTATCGTACTTGCCATCCAGTAAACTTATAGTACCTTACGAAAAGGGGCCGATTATCGAGACGAATTTGCCTTTTTTCTTCCCACGTGTGTAATTGTGCTCGTCTTTTTGTTTTTCATGTACATGTAGTTTAATGGTTTCGAACAACTGTGCATCAACTTTACGAACGAAAAGTTGCAACAATTCTTTAACCATCACATGTTCGTACTCGAACAAGAAGAATACCAACGTGAAGGTATCGAATGGGCCTTCATCGATTTTGGCATGGATTTGCTAGCTTGTATTGAATTGATTGAGAAGGTAATTTGTCCGTTTTGTGTGAGAATCTGCAAACGATTGGCGAACCAAATCGAATCTAAACGCAGCTTCTCGTCGTTTTCTTTGGAGCTTAGCGCAGTGCTTCCAATTCCCGATGGGGGAATGCTCTCGACCATAACCAGTTCTTCGCAAACAACAAATCAATGTGCTTTCAATGTGCTGAAACTCACCACCGCTTACAGACGTGTGTCACTTTCTTCGGTTTACTTACTAACTTTCAGTATAACGACTTCAATCAACTGTGCATCAACTACGCGAACGAAAAGATGCAGCAGTTTTTCAACCATCACATGTTTATCATGGAGCAGGAGGAGTACGAGCGCGAGGGCATCACCTGGACGTTTATCGATTTCGGCATGGATTTGCAACCGACGATCGATCTGATCGAGAAGGTACCCGCTGTAGGGTAATCCGCGTAGCAGTCACCGAACGCAACTAGTTAATGCACAGTTTTTTGTAAGCACTGATACTTTGCGCATATGCTATGTATGCTAGAAGCATATGAAAAAAAGGCACCCGGAAGGTATTGTAGGACTTGTCTTACGATTCACTACACGTTCCTCACCGTCAACTACACCCGACTCTGCACCACGTGGACTCCAAAGATTAACTCTTCATCTTTCTCAATTTAGCCCATGGGTATCTTGTCCATCCTTGAAGAAGAGTCTATGTTCCCCAAGGCTACTGACAAGACCTTTGAAGAAAAGTTGAACAACAACCACTTGGGCAAGTCTGGTAACTTCTTGAAGCCCAAACCACCAAAGCCTGGCTGCCAAGCTGCTCACTTCGCCATTGGCCATTATGCCGGCAACGTAAGTTACCATCCCAAAACTGACACTTCTACAGATTCTAATTGCAACTCTGGTACTAAAACAGGTCGGCTACAACATCACTGGCTGGTTGGAGAAGAACAAGGATCCCTTGAACGACACTGTTGTCGACTTGTACAAGAAGGGTACCAACAAACTGTTGTGCGAGATCTTCGCTGATCACCCTGGCCAGTCCGGTGGTGCCGGTGCTGATGCTGGCGGCAAAGGTAACACCCCATTCAGATCACCTCATGTGGAAACACTTATCTTATATCAAGTTGATCACATGACTCATTCTATTTTACATCCAACCAGGTGCTAAGAGAACTAAGGGTTCAGCCTTCCAAACTGTGTCAAGTTTATACAAAGTAATCCTTACAAAAGTTTGCTTGTGTACTGGGACTAGCAGCAAATTTACCCTTAAACCCACATATCCTTTCGGCATTATATGCAATACGCTCCCCATTGTAGATGTTCTCCTCGAAGACCTACCATCCTGTGGCATTAATGTACTTGCGCTCATTGTTAAGCTTTCTTTCTTATATTTGTTGAATAGGTGGTCGTGGTAAGAAGGGTGGTGGCTTCGCCACTGTATCTTCTTCCTACAAGGTAGGTTTGAGCAATGCTTGACCGAATGTTACGCGTGAAATCACACCAATGATACTTATACAGATATCATCGTTACAACCGTTTATATTCACCATTTAATCTAGACAGCAATCTAGAGAATGATCACTGAATGACCGGACACCAACCTCCTCCAAATAGCCGAAAAAGGGGCCTAGAACGGCACCGGCTAGTTCACTTGTATTGAAACTACATTCTACTTCAAAGCATGTAAAATTCAACCACCAACTTGGGACTCAATAAGCAAATACGCTTCCCATAATCATTATCAAAGTCACGCTGACACATATTTCGAGAAAAAAAGACAAATTCTTTAAATCACAAAAACAAACAACCACCTTGGGACAATGTTAGGGTTGTTTTCATTAACCGAACATTTCTTAGAGCTAAAACGAGCTTATTTCGAACCCCTGCTTGGGGTCTCCTTGTTGATGCATTAGGGAGACCCGTGTGTTTGTATTTATTAACCCCGTAACGTTTGTGTTTCTTTGTGCCACGGAAGATATGTGAAGAAAAAGTACTAATGTAATGCTTGGCGCTATAGGAACAATTGAACAACTTGATGACCACCCTGAAGTCTACTCAACCTCACTTCGTCCGTTGCATCATCCCCAACGAATTGAAACAGCCAGGTTTGTAACACTTACCACTTGGGTAAATTTGAACGCTCGACTCATGTTGGACTTTTGTTACTTACAGGTGTCATCGACTCCCATCTTGTCATGCACCAGCTTACTTGCAACGGTGTACTTGAAGGTATCCGTATTTGCCGTAAAGGTTTCCCCAACAGGATGGTCTACCCTGACTTCAAGCTCCGGTGAGTTAATAAACACATTCAAAGACATTCAAATTTCAATATCTACATTATGATGGAAGGGACTCAATACTTTATTAATTCATTATTCAAACTCTTTGATACTTAAACATTTTTCAACGCCGGTAGTTACATGATCTTAGCACCTGCTACAATGGCCAAAGAGAAAGATCCCAAAGAAGCCGCCAGAAAGTGTCTGGAAGAAGTAAAGTTAGATCCTGACAGCTATCGTGTCGGACACACAAAGGCAAGGGTTCACGTCAACCCTAGTGCTCGTCTTTTTTATGAATTCATAGTACACCCCCAGCCCTTTGAACATTTGTCTAAAGTTGAACATGTCTTTGCCCCGTAGCATGATATAGCAAGCCCCCAATGTCTCGTTGTCACTTATTTTGATATACACCCGCACACTCTACCACCGAAGCAATTGTGAAGCATCTTGGAATCACTGTAGTTGTGATGTCGAACACCCCTTTGATTAATGTTGTGTTGTCTAGTTACAAAATCTTGAACCCCGCCGCTGTTGCCAAAGAATCCGATGAAAAGAAATGTGCCGCGCACATTTTGGACAACACCGGTTTGGACCCCGAAAACTACCGCTTGGGTCACACCAAGGCATGTTCCCCGTATAAATTAGTCTGAACATTTTGTTTTTGCTTTTTGGAAGCGAGGAAATTAGCGAGAGTCCATAGTTTGTTCACAGCCGCATCCTAGACATTGCGGCTCCTACTTGAAATACTCGATCACAGTCAAAACCCATGTTGAACCATGAATTGTGATTAACCACTTGTTTTTTTCTTTCTAAAACATTTTGTATGCGTCGTCCTCGGAGAGACCAGAGTCGACCGTTACAAATAACCCCATAGTCCTAGTGTGATTTTTTCTAACTTAACACGATTTGCTCGATTTGCCATGCAAACAGATACAAAATTCTGGCAGCGAGTAAAATCAAGGAGGGTATGGCACCCGAAAAGATTGCACAAATTATCTTGGAAGAGGTACAACTAGACCCAGAGCAATACCGCATGGGTAAAACCAAGGTACATGAATAACCCACTATCTACGACTTGAACACGCGCAAGTCGCCGTTGCTTCAAACTTTATGTTTACCCCCTTAGCAGCAAAATAATCACAAACCCAAGCCAACGCTTCCACCCTCTCGTTGTTGTTCATTGCTAACGACCGATTGCATGTTCGCTCAGTGTTCCACGTACAACTACGCACACCGTTACTAATGATGCCTTGCAAACGTGTAGGTATTCTTCCGCGCCGGTATCCTGGGTCAGATGGAAGAATTGCGTGACGACAGGTTGGGCAAGATCGTAACCTGGATGCAATCCTGGGTCCGAGGTTACCTCTCCAGGAAGGAATTCAAGAAGCTGCAAGAACAGCGTATTGCTCTCCAAGTCTGCCAGAGGAACTTGCGCAAATACCTCAAGCTCCGCACCTGGCCATGGTACAAATTGTGGCAGAAGGTCAAGCCCCTCCTCAACGTCACCCGCATCGAGGATGAGATTGCCGTAAGTGGTCATTGACGAAACTCGCGTTTTGACGCAACCAAAATGGAACGCGTGCGAACGCGGAATTCTCAATTTAGCCCACTTCGAATAAATTCGATATCGTTTTAATACTATAAATATCGCGTACATCAACATCGTCATCGACACAAGATCGGCCTGGATGCAACACCTGTCCGCGCGCGTCGATCGGAGATACCTTAGCGGCTGAGTAATCGCCACTGCTGCGCGATCTAGATCGTTATATTTATTTTTGAAAAATGTCAATTTACATGCTTGGTCATCATCACGATCTCCCACTTTGGGTGATCTGCTTCCAAAATATTCATGCATGGGGCATTCAATCGCCATCATTCATCCGGATTTATAAATAAATTAGTTTTGATGTTCCTTCCTCGCGTCGACGCTGGACTTGGAGCATCGATCGACATCGGTTCGAAGATGTTCAGTTCGCATCTCAAGTTGGTCGCATCCGCAACACTTAGGCGTTCGCGTTTGACTCTTGCTCATTGATCACTTCGAATCAAATCAAATCAAATCAAATCGAATCGAATCAAATACGATCGAATCAAATCAAAATTTCTACGAATATTAAAACGAATCGAACTTATTACAAGTGAACTGGGAATTTTAAAATTGCGACGCGAGTTTTAATTCCGAATCGAATAATCATGGTTGACATGGACTACATTGATCCAAACGATACCTTACAGAAACTTGAAGAGAAGGCACAGAAGGCCACCGAAGCTTTGGAACGCGAAGTTAAGGCCAAGAAGGAACTGGAAGGCCTCTACGCCAAGCTCCTCGCCGAAAAGACTGACCTCCTGGGTATGCTGGAAGGCGAGAAGGGCTCCCTCTCCGAATACCAAGAGAAGTCCAACAAATTGGCTGCCCAGAAGAGCGATCTTGAATCCCAACTCCAGGTAAGCGATCGATTCCCATTCATGGCGAATCACTAAGCGAAATTACGAAATGCGCTCAGTGAGCCGCAAAAACAAACAAATCGCGAAAAATAAGTCATGTTTATTTGGAATATACACGGCCTATCTTACGAGATGTGAAACGATGTGTAAATCTGTGTTTTTTCTCGATTGGATGTACATCAGAATCCGGCGTTGGATATTTTCGTACTATCTAATGACAGATTTATGCAGCGCTAATTGGAAACCGGCCAAAAAGATATTTTCAAATTAATGAGCCGGCCGCGATTATAAAAATAAATACGAAATGTTTGATGATGACCCATCTTACAGGAAACCCAAGACCGCTTGAGCCAGGAAGAAGATTCCCGCAACCAGCTCTTCCAACAGAAGAAGAAATTGGAGCAGGAAATCTCTGGCTACAAGAAGGACATCGAAGATCTCGAATTGAGCGTCCAGAAGTCCGAACAAGATAAGGCCACCAAAGACCACCAGATCCGCAACTTGAACGACGAGATCGCCCACCAGGATGAGCTCATCAACAAGCTCAACAAGGAGAAGAAGATGGCCGGTGAAAACAACCAGAAGGTGTCCGAGGAACTCCAGGCCGCCGAAGACAAAGTCAACCACTTGAACAAGGTGAAAGCCAAGTTGGAACAAACCTTGGACGAATTGGAAGACTCCCTGGAACGCGAGAAGAAGCTCCGCGGTGATGTTGAGAAGTCCAAGAGGAAGGTTGAAGGTGACCTGAAACTTACCCAGGAAGCCGTCGCCGACTTGGAACGCAACAAGAAGGAATTGGAACAGACCATCCAGCGCAAGGACAAGGAAATCTCCTCCCTGACCGCCAAGTTGGAAGACGAACAGTCCGTTGTTGGCAAGCTCCAGAAACAGATCAAGGAACTCCAGGCCCGCATCGAAGAATTGGAAGAAGAGGTTGAGGCCGAGCGTCAAGCCCGCGCCAAGGCCGAGAAACAGCGCGCTGACCTGAGCCGCGAACTCGAGGAATTGGGTGAGCGTCTTGAGGAAGCCGGTGGTGCTACCTCCGCCCAGATTGAGCTCAACAAGAAGAGGGAAGCTGAGTTGGCCAAGCTCCGCCGCGACTTGGAAGAATCCAACATCCAGCATGAAGGTACCTTGGCTAACTTGCGCAAGAAGCACAACGATGCCGTCTCTGAAATGGGTGAACAGATTGACCAACTCAACAAGCTGAAGGCTAAGTAAGTATTCGACGACTAACCACGCTCAAGAATCCGATGCTTATTTACCGCTTTACTTCTGCTTTTCATCAAAAAAGGGCCGAAAGAGACCGCGCTAGTATTTACGTTGAGCTGCAACAGACTCGCGGCGCGGTCGAGGCCGTTGGTCGCGAAAAGGTACACCAGTGGAGTTAGTTTGCCACCCAGATTGTACCTGTGAATGAACCGCATGCACTTGCAATTCTCCTGCATTCTGTCCATGTTAATCGATTGTATGCAACATGTTTGTTAATTGTTTCTTTCTTGTATTCTATAATTTAGGGCTGAAAAGGAAAAGTCTCAATACTTCGGTGAACTCAATGACATGCGCGCTTCCGTCGATCACTTGGCTAACGAAAAGGTACACAATTTGGCACCGGCCGAAATGATATTTTCAGCGCTTCAGCTAGCTTTTTATACAGACGATAATCACAGCTAAGTGCAACGCAACATCAGATGTGTGTTCTCATAAAAGTTTGACCGATTGCAGCTAACGATGTTATGCTTTGTGGAGTGTCACTGCCGACCTGATACGTCGCCATACTAATGTTGTTACTTATGTGTTTACCAGGCTGCCTGTGAAAAGATCTCCAAGCAATTGCAACAACAGTTGAACGATGTCCAGAGCAAACTCGATGAAACCAACCGCACCTTGAACGACTTCGATGCCGCCAAGAAGAAGCTTTCCATTGAAAACTCCGACTTGCTCCGCCAGTTGGAGGAAGCCGAATCCCAGGTGTCGCAGTTGAGCAAGATCAAGGTATCCCTGACCACCCAATTGGAAGACACCAAGAGGTTGGCCGATGAGGAAGCCCGCGAACGCGCCACTCTTTTGGGCAAGTTCCGCAACCTGGAACACGACTTGGACAACATCCGCGAACAAGTCGAGGAGGAAGCCGAGGCCAAGGCTGACATTCAGAGGCAGTTGAGCAAGGCTAACGCCGAATCTCAATTGTGGAGGTCCAAGTACGAATCCGAAGGTGTTGCCCGCTCCGAGGAATTGGAAGAGGCCAAGAGGAAGTTGCAAGCCCGCCTTGCTGAAGCCGAGGAAACCATCGAATCCCTCAACCAGAAGGTCGTCGCTTTGGAGAAGACCAAGCAGCGCCTGTCCACCGAAGTCGAAGACTTGCAACTGGAAGTCGACCGTGCCACCGCTATTGCCAACGCCGCCGAGAAGAAGCAGAAGGCATTCGACAAGATCATTGGCGAATGGAAGCTGAAGGTTGATGACTTGGCTGCTGAATTGGACGCCAGCCAGAAGGAATGCCGCAACTACTCCACCGAATTGTTCAGACTTAAGGGCGCTTACGAAGAAGGCCAGGAACAATTGGAAGCCGTCCGCCGTGAGAACAAGAACTTGGCTGATGAAGTCAAGGACTTGCTCGACCAAATCGGTGAGGGTGGCCGCAACATCCATGAAATCGAGAAGGCCAGGAAGCGCTTGGAAGCCGAGAAGGACGAGCTCCAGGCTGCTTTAGAAGAAGCTGAAGCTGCCTTGGAACAGGAAGAAAACAAGGTTCTCCGCAGCCAGTTGGAACTGTCCCAGGTCCGCCAGGAAATCGACCGCCGCATCCAGGAGAAGGAAGAAGAATTCGAAAACACCCGCAAGAACCACCAACGCGCCTTGGACTCCATGCAAGCTTCCCTGGAAGCCGAAGCCAAGGGTAAGGCTGAAGCTCTCCGCATGAAGAAGAAGCTTGAAGCTGATGTCAACGAACTTGAAATCGCTCTTGACCACGCCAACAAGGTAAGGCTACAAGGTGGTTGTTTCGGGTGCACAGATTTTATTACACTTGCAATGATTACAGGCTAACGCCGAGGCCCAGAAGACCATCAAGCGTTACCAGCAACAGCTCAAGGACACCCAGACCGCTTTGGAAGAGGAACACCGTGCCCGCGACGAGGCCCGCGAAGCCCTTGGCATCTCGGAACGTCGTGCCAACGCTCTCCAGAACGAATTGGAAGAATCCCGCACCCTGTTGGAACAGGCCGACCGCGCTCGCCGCCAGGCCGAACAGGAATTGGGCGATGCTCACGAACAGTTGAACGACCTCTCTGCCCAGAACTCTTCCATCTCTGCCGCCAAGAGGAAACTGGAGGCCGAGCTCCAGACCCTCCACTCCGACCTGGACGAGCTCCTCAACGAAGCCAAGAACTCCGAAGAGAAGGCTAAGAAGGCCATGGTTGACGCCGCTCGTCTCGCCGATGAGCTCCGCGCCGAACAAGACCACGCCCAGACCCAGGAGAAACTCCGCAAGGCTCTTGAGACCCAGATCAAGGACCTCCAAGTCCGCTTGGATGAAGCCGAAGCCAACGCCCTCAAGGGAGGCAAGAAGGCCATCGCCAAGTTGGAACAGCGCGTCCGCGAATTGGAGAACGAATTGGACGGCGAACAGAGGAGACACGCCGATGCCCAGAAGAACCTCAGGAAGTCCGAGCGTCGCATCAAGGAGTTGAGCTTCCAGGCTGAGGAGGACCGCAAGAACCACGAACGCATGCAGGACCTCGTCGACAAACTCCAACAGAAGATCAAGACCTACAAGAGGCAGATCGAGGAAGCCGAAGAGATCGCCGCCCTCAACTTGGCCAAGTTCCGCAAGGCCCAGCAGGAGTTGGAAGAAGCCGAAGAACGCGCCGACCTCGCCGAACAAGCCATCTCCAAGTTCCGCGCGAAGGGACGTGCCGGTTCCCAAGCCAGAGCAGGCAGCCCTGTGGTGAGTATTGACTCTAGCACACCTTCAACATCACACCATCCTACTACCCCCACTCCCAGCTAACACCAATTGCTCATATGATACATTTAACAAGCCTGCCCTGTCCACACATGGATTCATGATGTCTCATCATCGCCTCTTCTCTTTATTTTTTATAGCAACGCAAGCCTTTGTCGGCGTTAGAGTAACAACTTTCAAAGATCAGTAAGTGAGGGTTTGCTAAAAGAACATCCCCTCGTTTGTGCTGTCAGACGCCACAATAATTCAATGAAGTGAAACACGTTTAACACGGATGTTTTTGAAATTAATTGTTTTGTAATATTTACCGAGAGAGCGTTTACTTTCTTTAATTTTTGTTCTGCTCAAACGTTACCGTTTGAGAAACTAGCTGGAAGGACGCTAGTGTGATAGTTCACGTGAAGTCGTATGGCAGTCGTGTCATATCTACCCGTTGGTTTTTTTCTTTCTTTTTCTTGTACCCTGTGACGGCTTTCACTCGGCCCAGGGCGACACGATCTCGACTAATGTGCGCTTTATTTTTACAGCCACGATCCCGCCCACACATGGACGGCATGACCTTTCCACCCAGGTTCGACCTTGCCCCTGAAATGGACATGTAAAGAGTAACACCAATGCGCCGTGTTAACAGCATTCTATCAGTCACTAAAATCAAGCCAAACCAAATTCTATGTATTATAATTTATTAATGGATATCTGAAATAGTACGCCAGCTAAAATTTGATTAACACGCGCACGACAGGTTCATTTTTGCGGCGCAAGAAATGCAAAATAAATCAAACAAAGCAAATTTCTTTTTTCTATTTCTCATTTTTGAATTTAATTATTATTAATTATAATTTTATTTTATTCATTCGTTATTTGGTTAAATCGGTTTTTCCTTTATTCGGCCATCACAAAACTATTAATCGTTGTACATTAATTTATAATTAATATTAATTAATTGATTATTATTCCGAACGCCATATATTGACAAAACGCGAGAGTAGTAAAGATCCAAAAGCGCGCACGTAACTTTCGGCCTCCGCCGCCCGACGATGTTCGAAGCGGGCTGACCCGCGGAGGGCCGGTACCACTAATCGAAAGAGACACGTACCCACCACCCATAGCAATATGACCGAGCGACCGGACTTCGCGGAAATGCGCGACTACGCCAGCGCGGGCACGCGCGCCGAAAGCTACTTGCTGCCAAAGAACAACCGAATAGAACGAATGTGATCGATGTAACAAGATTGTAATCAATTAACAACGAACAATTACAAATTCATAATAATGCCATTTCTATTCTATCTACTATTATCCTAGAATTACGTTATAGTTATATGTGTGACAGAAATGTATATGGCTTAAGTTTACAAATAAAAACAAGTTATATCTCGTTTAAAATAAACTTTGCTCTTATTCCTCACCGCCCAGCATACCACCACATTTCAGATGGCCATCGGGAATCAAAATTCAACTCCCAAATAAAAAATATTCAAACCAAATCAAACCAAGCCAGTATACATCCATTTTCTAATTAGAAACTGTCTAACATAAACAACACGAATGTCCCAGGTCAGGGGAAGATGTCGCTACAGTTGAATAAACTTTCCCAAAACAAATTTCGAAAATTCCAAGTAACCTAGGCTACCAAATGACTGACACCCACCAAAAATTCAGTTTTTTTTTCAAAAACGATCACGCGAGCATGTGAATAAATCTTTTTGGGAGAACATTTCATGGGTCCATTTGTGTGTTGAATTCGTATTACAGTCCATATCACGAGAACACAAGTCCTTACAGTATCATATATTCAAACATATGATGGAAACCGTACGCCTAGAAAGCGGCTTGCTGGGAATGGTGGTATTCGGAGTGCTGGCGACTATACTCTCCCCGTTCATTATAATAATTATCATGATGCAAAGCGCAGTCAAAGTGCTCTCCGTGATGGTACCACTGTTCAGCTTAGTGGTGCTAGTTGTAATCGGGGTGCCCGTACTCGCGATGTGCCGACTCGCGTATAACACTTTCGGCGTGACGCACCGAATCTTTCAGTTTTGCTATAAAGGCACAATCGCGAATCTCAAGCATATTGATAAGAACGAAAACCGAAGAAATTACTCGGACTCGGACGAATATGAATAATATGACAAATACATGTTGCCACCTTTGAAAAACTCTGGTGGCATCAATAAGTCACTTCTCCAACCGCACAGTGGACGATCCATGATTAATATTTCAGGAATGCCGTGAACTACGAACGCAATCATCGCACGTGGCAAAATTGAATCGAATGTGTAAATTGATATTTTGCACAATGTTTTTCATTAAATTTTCAATATCTTCGGAAGAAATAAACTCTAACAATATCTAACAGTCGATATCACATTTTATTCATTATCTACTCACAATGGCAGATTTTCTTTAGCACAAACCTTTTTTTGTACTAAATCTGCCACGCACAACAACAATTACATCTAATTCTAAATATAAAAATATATTCCTCCGTGACAAATATACAAAACGTGTAGAAAATGGTTAACGACATTGCTCTGACCCAGATCGGCTTGTATTCTTACAAGTGTTAGTCGATTGTTTGTTTCAAAAATATTGATCGACTTGTTCAAACACCTTGGGGCAGAACTTCCTCGCAAACGTCGTGTATGCCGTCGCCTCGCCCACCGGCACCTTGTTTCCTGCGCTGTGTTTGTTCCACACATGCAGCACATGCGAATCTTTTATCATTCGAAATACTTTTGGTACTGATTCCCTGTCGAAGTATAATTTCCAGTCCACCCACGGCACTGGATAGAACATAAACGGTGGATATACGTGGAATTCGTCGCAGGTGCGATTCATCATATCCTTACTGAGTTCCACCTTACAGAGCTGACGTAGTAAACGTGTGACTATCATAGGACCATTATTACCCCACTCATGGGCGCTGAAATGTTGTTTTAGGTCTGCAAGGCATGCCTCGGCGTATCTATGACCCGCACCTTCGTGCCCCATTGATATAACTCCTGCGGCAACATTCCATTGGGTTTCCGCGCCTGCATAATTCGGTTTTAAATCCTCCATGCTTTTCACCACGACCACATCAAGGTCCATGTAAATCCCACCGAATTTAAACAGAGTTAGATATCGAAGAATATCACTTGCGTGTGATATCGGATACGAACTGTAATCCAACCTGCCGCTCCTGTAAATTTCTTCCAGAGGAGTATTCCTCGTGTAGTTTTCAAAGTTAAGATGAACCAGTCTTACATTGTCATATTCTCGCAGAGCTCCAAGGATGCGATCATTCTGCGAACTTGATGTGTGTATCAAACCCGGTGCTGAGAAAGTAATGTAAACATCCCAGTGCGGATTTGATCGCGCGGCTGATTCCACAGCACATGCCTGTCTCGCGTCTAATGAAATTTTCCCAAGCTGCACATGTCTGCAGGACGTCTCATGGAAAAAAATCGACTTCCCTTTGCGTACCTCGTACGCAGAGATGTCCTTCAGTGTCAGCGCTGTTTTGCGATTGTAACGAAAGCAGCGGATGGAATCCGCAGGGTATAACAAGTGTTGGACATGCGTTCGGATGTCATGAGGGCTGGAGTTCGGCAGGAATAAAATCAGCAGTGGTGAAATGCATCCGAAGACGATTAACACGAAGAGTATTGCGCGCTTGTTTGAAATTCGCGGCCACATTTTCTGCCGGCGGCGCAATTACTACGTAATTTCGAATTAATCACGATGTTCCGCTCACAACAAAACTGCACCACGTTACACTTACATTAGGAAATTATGTTTTCATGATTATTGTTCACGCGACGAACGAGAAGCAACACCAGCACGCGACCTCGTCGCAGAGACAAATAACTGAATGTGTGCGATATGCGCGCAACGGAACACGTTCGTTAAACGCAAACAACACCGCCGACCAATATGCATCTCAGGAGGGATGTGTGTTTGTATCCTGAATCGCACCCCACGTTTAAACAGACGTGTGCCAGCTGCACCCCGCGCGCAAGCGTCGGTTGTAAACCGCTCGATAACGAGCGCGATGAACAGTGAACAAAATGGTGATTCTTGCTTAATATAGCTGTGAGATCACGGGAATATTAACATGTGCGCAATGAAACGAATATATATAAACAACGTATGCCCGTGGAATTCATATTCATAAATCATTTTGCTCCAGCCGAATCAAAGTGCCCCGCATACATTCAATTGGATATTGAATAATCAAGTTTCAGCGCTCGGAGTTTCTGTGTGTCGAAATGAAGCTATTTCGGGTACTTGTTAATAATAACAAACAGTGCAAATTGCGCGTACAGACAAAATAAACTAATTAGTCGATATCATGTAAACATTCAGATCAAATATAAGCCGATAAGAAAAACGTACATGCGGCAATTTGATATTTAATTATTTATATGCATTGAGTTCACTTTGATTCGCGCGCTGTAGTCACATGGAACTTTTTTGTATTGAGAAATTGTTGTTGGAGCTGTTTGATAATGAGAAATATGCGAAACAGTCCGCATGACAATTTAAAAGTGCTTATGTTAACTCAATAACAAGCTAACTATTTTAAACCATTTATAACTGGATAAATATTACTCATTAAATAAATGTAATATACAAATAACGTTCATATTGTATACTTCTTCCAGTTTGCAACCGGTGAGAAGCGCGATAACACATAAACATGTTATTTGTTTCTTTGTGCAAAGCGAAATAAATGCCATGGATGACAAAATAGCGAGCGATATTTCAGAACATTTCAACATTCTATGATTACATACGAAGTTTAATCGACTTAAAGCCTGCTGAAATTCGAAAAATCGCTCGCGATTTGATTTCACCAAGCCACGCGAAAATTATAAAAATAGAACAGGACCCACGCATACGTTAAATGCGACGGTGATTTTTCAGTTTCGTGCCGTCAAGAAAACTATTTCTTTACGTTTTCGGATAATTCATTTACCCGATTGCGGAAGTGTGACTTGAAACATACTGAATTTATTTATTTACGTCCAACAAATACCATGTTAGCGAGTGTAATGGGTTGGCAGTGGTACTAACAACGTAATCAGCATCCTGCTTATTCATGTAACCATGCAGTGTGACACAGCACGGTGAAATAAAATGGTGCATTAGTGAAAAATGGATAATTGGGTAAAATATAACACAACTACACCAACACACCGACGTAGATATTGTATAAATATTGTTTTTTTTTTAGATCAAAAAATGTCTAAATGTTTGTTTGCAACAATAAATGGCACACAACATCGAAATGTATGAATATGGTTTGTAACACATGTCATTCTATGTAATGCACAAGTATGTCGCAATTTACTCTCACTTGGTTTCACTTCAATTCAATTCACCTAACATAAACATGATCATACTGACACTAGCAAAAATAACTTGATTATGACAATCACTATAAAATACGATTAAAATTTAGAACGGATCTAAAGCGGGCGAAGAGCCAACTAACGCAGTCACTGGCTCCCCGCACGCTTTTCGTAACAACGCTAACGTTAGATAGTAATAAGATAAAGGTAAGGAATTAATAAATAATAAATAATATACTGTCGCCCACCCTAAGTACAGCATAATTAATTAATTACATGGCACGCTAGCCAAGAGCATAAAAAACGGATCAAAACAACCTCTTCTTTGGTTCCTCTGCTATTTGTAAAAACAATTAAGTTAAAACCAATACATTGACGAATGCATCATTACAAAATACTATCAAAAACATCGCTTTGATGCGACGCAATCTGATTGCGTCCAGCAACAACTTGTTTGACCTGCGTTGCGCATCCCATACTAGTTAATAATTTCTAATAAGCGGTTAAGTACTAGGCAGTTTAAGGCCTTTCGTTTCATTATCACAAGCGCGTTTCTCTAAGTATAATCCATTCACTCGTACATCATTAAATATGGAATACCTTCAGTTCTGGTAAACTTCGAACTGATGAATTTATATTTCATGTAAATCGTAGAAAAATATAAATGTTTGAACGCCTGATTTCGCTGCATGTATCAATGTGTGAACGTAAAATTTCATTGCGGCACGCCGAAAACTTGAAATGATTCCTATGAATTTTTTTTGTTTTGTTAAAATGTTTGGAAGCAACGCATTGTTCCTAAAAATGATTTAAGGCACATTCGTAGACTACATGACATACTGGCGTGCGTCGGCGGAGGGTATCTCGTAGGCAACGCTGGATCCGCTCTTTTTGAAGGTCGGCATCATAATCGAGGACGATACACGAATCACAATTGGCCGGCGTTTACCGCCCAACGAGCAAACTGGCCCATCAGTAACAGTGATCGGCAGTTCAGAATTATGCATGCTGCAACAGAAGTGAATGATCTCAATCAAATCCAACCCACGCTCAATCTACGACTCTCCTGATATCAGCTAAGTTGTACTTCTCCAAAAAAAAAAACTCAGTAGTAGCAACTCTCTTTTCGAATATTACATCAAAAAAACTCATCAAATTATCGCAAGTAAATAGTGTCAAAGCAAACATGACGTGGCATTCATTACATTTTTGTCTGATGAGAACATGATTAATCACTTCAAGTGCCAATTACTCAGAAAAAATGACTATTTGTAAAGTGAGTGAGTCGTTCTTATATAGCATGCATGAACTTTAGTTTTAACCTGCCTGAAACAATCGATAATCCGACACCAACGAAGAGAGAGCGCTCCTACTTTCTATAATTACTTCAAATAATTACGTGTAATTAACACAACTAACCTTTGATATTTCATTGCTAGAACGCCAATCAATTCGCCAACTTTATCCTCGGTGATAAAGCTTTGTAATGAAACTACCAAATCATTGCCACCTTGGCAATGAAGGACAAACAACTGATCCTTGGCGGAGCTGACACTCACACCCGTGATGTTCGCTAGCGCTGTACCTTCTTTCATTGGCTTGAACTTGTCCTTATCAAGCTTATAAACATACTGATCGGTAACCAGCAGGACACGATCAGCGCACTTGTTGTGTTTGTTGAATTTCGCGACAAACGACGAAAACAATACTTCTTTGAAAGCATTCGTGTTGCGTAAGTTGTTGATGCTCTCGTTGAAAAGCCCACAACTCGGGTTGTGCATCTGTTTGGACAGGTAGTTCCCTTCCCATTGCCTATCCAAACCATAGTACGGCCGCTTACCCTTCAGGCACGTAGCAGCCGCAATTTTGAGCCGCAGCTCGGGCCGATCCTCCTTGGGAATCTTGCGTAGAATCATATATCCACGCCAGTAGTTGTAATATTTACGCAGGGTCTTCGCGGTGTCCATCAGCGCCGGTGGCGGCTTGGGCCACGAGATAATCTTGCCATAGTCAGGCAGTTTCTTCGCATCCTTGAACTTCACCTGCAGACGCTCAATATACGCGCGCAGCTTGTACCGCTTGTATGCGCTGATAATCGTCCAGGCAGCCTTCATGCGCTCATACCTGCAACGTGCAACGTATCCTCTCCAGGTCTTCTGGATAACCGTTGCGATGTAGTACATCTTATCATTGCGCCGGTTTTCGAGCTCGAAGAGCGTCTTCGGTGAACGAATGAAGATTTTCTTATGGCCATATTTCACATCCGGGGTGAAACCCAACTCGTCCATCAGTACGCGGGTACCCTCCTTATCGTTGCCCTTACGGAAGTTGGGCCACGTTGTAGGAGAGATCATCTTATAGCGTTTCAGGAAGCGATCGTACCGCTGGCGATGCGCGAAGCCTGCGCGTCGCACGCGGACGTTCTCGACCAGCCCTAGATAACTCACCTGATGGTTAACACGCTCGTGGTCGAACATACTGGGAGATTTCGCTTCGTTCGGCTTAATACAGCGAACGTAATGCGGTTCCTTACACTGCAAATTTTTCACCAGCTCACCCATTGAATTTTTAAACAATGTTGCCGCTGTCAGAGGTCGTTTTGTCACCTAGCAACCAGAAACAAAAACTATGATAAAAGCCTACTCGGATGAAACTCGACACAACTCCACAGTACGAGAGACTGTTTTTATTTGTATTTGTAAATGAATAAAAAGAAAAAGTACCTCTGTGATGTGCTGCGCGCCTTCCGGCCACATGTCCCGTATGTTCTTGTCCTTGGACTGGTAGAGCAAACGCTTAAAGTCTTGGAACAACGAATCTTTGTTCTTGTCCAGAAAACCATACACATAGTACACCACATCGCCCGCATAGTGCGTAATCTTGAAATCAACTTTATGGCGCATACTCTTGTCCGAAGACTTGCACTGTCTCGAGGAGTAGTGCTGGTGCTGCTTTAATTTACTATCCATCACTTCCAGCAGCAATTCATCGCTGACTTTACCCACATTCAGACATGCTTCATCCAATATGGCAATTATACCCTTGTGTGGCGCTTCCACCAAATCGCAGATGATTTTATTGTTGAAATAATCAATGTTGGTCCATTCGATACCCTCACGTTGATATTCTTCTTGTTCCTGTTTCAAGACCAGTTCGATGAATAACTGCTGCAGTTTTTCGTTGCAATAATTGATGCAGAATTGTTCAAAACTGTTATTATCGAAAATTTCAAATCCGTAGATATCCAAGACACCAATAAGGCACGACCTGTATTTTTTCGATGCGTTGTAGTTTGAATTGCCGTCGACGGAGATGGCTGCGTTGATTTTATCAACAATCCAGGTGAATAGGCGATCGTAGATGGCTTTTGCGAATGCGTCACGTCCGAAAGTCGCCTCGGTTTGCGTGTGCTCCTTGCTCATTACTTCACCACGCGCTGCAATTGTACGATGACATAATGCCTTCGACAATTGCTCGTCGGTAACCTGCAAGAGTTGAGCTACCATGCTATTTTTGCCATTGATTACCCGTACGGAGTCCTCTTCGGTGGCGAACTCAACATTGCCTAAGTGCAGGATGGCGGCAATGACGTTCCAGAGCGTTTCCTTCTCATCCGGGGCGAATTGCAGCGTTGAAAGCGAATTGACGACGGTGTTGAAGTCGGATTTATCGTTGACCGAGTCGACACGCGCCGCTTGCCCTTGCTTCACGTAGAAATACTTATCCGGACTGCGTTGTAGATGCAGTTTCTTGAGGAGTTCTTCCGGCGCGCCGACCAACAGCTATACCGCAAAACCAAACAGTCAGAAAAATAACTTTCGCGTAACTAAATCTAAGACGGATGTTGAAATTCCACACCACCACCACCACCGGCGTGTATCCTACGTGAAAAACAAAAATTGTAGCTACCTGATAGAAGCAGTGAAAGTTGCGCTCGCCGGATTGCTGATAAATGACGCGACTCTTCTCCAATAAGTACTTGTTGATGTGACCTCCAATAGGATCGCCCTTGAAATCAAAGTGGATGTCCATGTACTTTCCGAAACGACTGGAATTATCATTGCGATTGGTTTTCGCATTGCCAAACGCCTCCAGAATTGAATTCGACTGAATGAGGACATTCTTCACGCGCTCGATTTCCTTCTGGCCGTTTTGATTTGTCACAGCCGCAATGTATTTCATGATAATCTTGGACGCTTCGGTTTTGCCGGAGCCGGACTCCCCTGAAATAACGATGCAGGTGTCCCGGCCTTGCTGTTTCATCACCTTGTGCGATGCCTCGGCGATGGCGAATATGTGCGGTGGATTCTCGAACAGCTCACGACCTAATAAAGTCAATCAATTAATTTGCCACCCCGGGACAGAACGTCATACCGGAAAAAATCGATATGACCACCACGTGAAAACGAAAACCATCAACACCAAAAAGCAGCAAAGCAAACACCAACCATACACACACACAAGGTAAGCGCGCTGAATGGAAAGAAATAAAAACGAAATAAAATGCGAATTAATGGAATACCAGCGAACCGATGGAGAGAACACCCGCGTGCGGTAACAAAGCAATCAATCATTCCTTTGCGAATGGCATTTGATCAAATAATTAGCGATAATTAAGTAACAAGAGCACAGAAACGCATGAATAATGCATGGATTGCGTACGTGCGCGCATGGAATGCAACCAAATATGAATAATACGAAAGAAAACCAACGGACGCAGGTAAGTGCAAAATGAAAAAGACTTTCACTTGCGGCGCACCGTTGTTCATCATCGTGTAAGCGTAATGCGTGTTTAATGTGCGATAATGCGAGTGCCGGATCTAAATTAATAAATATGTTAATGCGCGCGCCATTATTTAACGCAGGCGACGCGTCGAAAGAAAGAAATCGAATTGCAAATCATCGTCGAGCATTGAATCTTATCACGGCGAGTGCAGAGAGGATTGATGTAATTGCATTCAAAGACTATGCGCGCGTCGAGCGTCGTGCTCGTTAACTTTCATTCCTGGCTTTTACGCGATTTGATTTTTTTATGTAGTGCTGCTAACGGTGCACGATCGTCGTACCAATTATTTAAAAAGTACGTAATTCGTTCGGCGGCGCATATACATAATATTCGAGGTGATATAACTTGAAATTTGCGATTGCATCACTGGGTTTCGAGTGCAGACAGGCAGGGAAATTCGACGGTATTTTTCAAGTGTTTACAGCTCCTATGACTCTAGATAGTTTTGGTAAGGATAAGGATTTTATCATTATTTGTGTAACCAAAAGCTATACCACTTGATACACATGCGTGAAGTGCACTTGAGAAAGAAATCCAACAAGATGTAGGTACCGAGAGATGGATACACAGGTCGAGAGTGCTTAAAAACAGTGCAGATAAGCACGCACGGAAATTTTCCGCGCGCACTGTGTGACTAAGCGCGCATGGAATAAAAGCGGTGAAATTTCACATGCGGTAGTAATGTCTGCATGCACATTTACCTTTGTATTTCTGGACGTGGGCGTTATCGTAAATGTTCATTTGCTTATAGGGGTTCATCGAGACGCACACCTCGCCGATGTATGTGTAGATTTTGCCATTTTTGAACCTGCAAAAAACGAAACAATCGCAATTCAGCGCATGGAATGTTTAAAATGCTTCAAAGCATGCATTCAACAATAAATAAAAAGTGAAACATTCATAAGCGCGCAGCATTAGCGTTCCGCAATAATTCTCGGTCGATGATTCAATCGCGCTCGCGCCACGAATGTAAATATTGTTATCGCCAGAGGAAGAAAAAATAGGATACGACTAATACAGCTAATCCCGACTTGATAAAACGCGTTTCAATTTAGTGATAATTGCACGTTATCAGCAGCGCGTTTTTATATAGCAAATTGTTCAAATAATTATGAAACTTGTAAGCCAGCTGGCAAAATTTTTAATGAATAACATGACAAGGGCAAAAATTGAAACTTTTTGATAGATTTTTAAATTGTGTGCAAGGTTTATCGTAGCAACTATTAAACTTTGGTAGTACATATTCGTGTAAAACTAGATTATCTACACGAAATCGACGAAAATGTAAGGCGAAACAAATAAATTTTTATGTTATGCATTAGAAAAAAAACATAAACGTCAACTGATATTTATACCGAAATAAACTTGAACGTTTTTTGTACTTTCCCACTGTATGCAAGAAAAGTTTCATCAATTTTCTGACAATTCTATTCATGTCAAACGAATAGAATAAAATATACCCATTTTTTTATTTAGTTGCGAAGGAAATTGACGTAAAACCGAAAAAATAATTGTGTAGGCAAAAACCGAGTTCGCGATTACAATAATCCGCCCAACAGCTAATTAAACGTTTAATCACTTTAAGCAACATTAAATTTATTGTTCAAATATCCTAAGCAACACGATATTTTATGTCATTTTCTAATTTTGTTTCCTTCATTAATAAAATTGGTTCACCAAGCACAGGCATAAGTAAAATGGAATAAATAAAACCATCCGAACAAGTATGTACGAAAATACAATAAAAACCGCTAAAACAATTCAATTGTGCGCGAGTGCTTGAATGCGGGGCTTGTTGTGTCTTGTCCGAGGCGCACTCATAATTAAACATTTAATTAATTTACAAACAACGCACTCGCGTAACTTTTCGTAAGTAAAAACTAAAAAAAAAACGAGTTTTATTTATGAGTTACAGATGCATCATCGCCGGAACGCCCAACGACATTCGTAATTTTAGGTTTTTTTCAACGACGAAAAACCACAAACGTGCATGCGTGTTGATAGTGTTGCGTTTCCTCGAGTAATCCGCCCGTTTCCCACTGTTGCTTACAATAAAAATTACGAAAACAGCGATAGTTTTGCATTGTTTCGCAATCTAAACATGCGTTTGTTACAGAATTGTTCAAATATGAGCAAGCGCGAGAAAAGTAATGACTAACGCGGCGCGAGCCAAGACGCAATGACTAATTCCGAATCTCCAACGGTCATTATGCAAATTTTGTTGATATGATGAATTAAAGGAAGATGTAAATTGCGCATTAAGACGCGTCGCCTTGATGACTCGCACGTGGACAATTATAAAACAAAGAATGTTTTTAAACTCGCAAACTACACAACAGCGAAGACAAAATAAAGAATGTAAACAACAACAAAACGCGAATTCCTTGAATATCTGGTCTTTTATCAAAAAATACGTGACTTTAAATTGCCTCTCCGCAGTCTGAATTGTATAGATAATAAACACGACACTCAAATAACGGTTTATGATAGATAATAGAATAGATATACCCATGTTTAAGTAGATTATGTCATGGGTTTAAGGTTTAATCGGCAGCAAGTAAATTTTTCCTGGTATCTCATTATTTAGGGTAAGGTTACTGCTACACGCTTACTCAAAAGCCAGCCGCCGCAGACGCATATTAAATAAAATGTAAAATTGTGTGCATTGTGAAGTTTACCTTGGATGAATCATCGAAAACGTTCTCAATGAGAAACATCCGATATTACACTTCCCAGATTTCTCAAGGAAAGAAAATGATGTACGACTTGCTTGTTTTACTTGGAGAGAATGTGTGGATGTGAGAAACCGGAACGCGGAAACAGAGGCAAGCCGAGCGGCGATTTGTCGGATTTTCCGGCAGCCGCGCGCGCGAATCGCATTAAAAAATTGATCGCGAGCGACGATTACAGGTGCGTCCCACGTACCTGTCCGTGTGTCGGGCATTGAACAATGCGTGTTTAGCATACACGAGCACGTAACGCCACTTTACCGCCCGGTCTCACGTGTAGGTGTAAGTTATAGACCACATACAAATGAGAAACGATCCGAATTCAAACTTACAACTCAATACAATTGAAAATTTGCGTGTACGAGAGTGCTAGGGACATATTTCACTCTCGCGGCTTAAAATAAGTTTCACCCGAGTTTAAGTCTGGAATGCACCGCGACTTAAGTCATAATATAGGAATACTCGTAGAGCGTAAATGAAGTAATGATGAATTACCTAAGCTCCAAGTTGTCCATGAAATGCTTTTGGTCGATTTTGTCCAAGAGGACAAAGTCACCAACGCCGACCTCTCGAGCAGATGCCATCGTGATGGTTTGACCCGCCGATTAAACTATAGTTCTTCGTTTACGACCGTGTGCAGGTTACACACGCCGGTTTTTCGTTTAGCACACAAACAATGTCGAAACAAACGCGCGTTGTGTTATGTAGGCGAAAAAAAAAAGTGAAATGCGCTCAGTGTTGCATCGCCTCTGGATGTAGTGTCTTCGGCGGTGTGCACCACGTCGGACTTTGCGGACACACACAACAACGCGCGCCGACTCGTGCACGCAGACTGAACGCGCGCCCGACCGATGGGAGTAAGACCCACTTAGCGATGACGACGTTCGGGTGTTTCTGACTCACACACGCGACTCTCACCCAACCGCTCTGCTCGCCGCTCGCAACGCTCACGTTGAGGATATTATTCCACTCGCGCGCACTTTTCTTCTTGCGGCCGCAAGAGCGTTGAAGACGTGCACGTACATTCCTCGACTGTTGGCGGATTTCGAACGTTTTCGGCGTGGATTTAACGTAAGCGATTCTATTTACAGCGCGGGGTGCGACGTGACACAAACGCCGCGATCAATCAAAACAGGCGGCGGAGGGCAGACGATCGCAATTCGCGGCTCGCATACCTGCACGATCGGCATTTATGGTTTCAAACCTGACATAGTTAGATATAACCTGCGGGCAGGCAACATTTTCGGCGCCAATTAACCGCTTGATGTACATGCAGAGCCACCTCGTGCTTGTAAACATAACCAAAACCATTTTTTAAATATTTTTTAAATACAAAGAATAAAAATTGGAAAAACATGCCAACATCATTACAAAACATCGCTTAATTAAATTAAAACAATACAATATATCAGTATATTAAATAAGTTTTTAATATATTAATACTGCGACATCTTGCGGGTACTAATAAAATATGCAAGAAAGTCATAAAATACAATATTTGTTAATCAGAAAAACCAACAAAAAACCTTATTAGACATCCGTCTAAATATCAAAAAAATCAAATAAAACTTCAACCATGCATATAATCTCATCAGCGTCCATTCTTAAATTAGCTTTCCACGCATTTTTCCAGTAGAATACTTAAAAAGAAGGGGGATCCATCGGGGGGCAAAGGTATGAGCAACCAGGGTCAAATCGCTCAATATAGTTACCTCTAGTAGGCCGGTCGTGGCACTCTTTGATTCACTTCGAGCGTCATCAACATGCTCAATCGAGATGACCAAACAAACAACTGTGGAACGGCGACTTCGTCCGGAGGTAACATTTGCCTAACAACTACGCCCGTTGAAACTGTTCTAACCTACAATCGCCCTGCACTGATTTAGCGTCAACACCCAAATCCGAAAATGGTGAAGATGGACCAACAATCAACGATATTATCATCATCGATCCGGAAACAGACACGCTGGACTTGAACCATGGACGTATCGGCAAACTGCAGAATTTAGAAGCACTCCGGAACCTGGAACGTTTGTATCTCAGATGGAATCTGATCAAAAAGATTGAGAATTTGTCCACGCTTACTACACTGCTGGAGTTGGAACTTTATGATAATCAAATTACTGTTATTGAGAACTTAGATGCTTTGGTTAATCTAGAGTGAGTACTGATTAAGTTAATTTCGTGAAGAGTAAATTTTGTGTATATTTTTTTGTTAGGGAACTATTAAGACTGAAATAATATATGTTGTAATTTGTGTTTTTTAACAATTTATAATAAAAATATGATGTCATGCTTGCATGAAATATATTTCAGGATACTAGATCTTTCATTCAACAAAATCAAGCAAATTCAAGGACTGGAACACTTGGGCAACTTGAAGAAATTGTTTCTTTCATCAAACAAAATCACAAAAATCGAAAATCTCAACCATCTGAGAGGATTGCAGATGTTGGAGCTTGGTGACAACAAAATCAGAGTGAGAAAAGCTCAAAATTATATCAAACTCGTTTAAAGTGTTCATAATTTTTTAGGAAATCGAAAATATAAACAATTTATCCAGTCTGGAGTATCTTTACATGGGCAAGAATCGAATTACGACGATTCAGAACCTCGGCGAGTTGAAAAAGCTGCGCTGCGTGAGTTTACAAAGCAATCGCATCACGAAAATCGAAAACCTCGACCAGTTGACCGAGCTGGATGAGCTGTATATGTCCGAGAATGGGATCCAGGTGATCGAGAACCTCGACAACAACAAGAAGCTGGAGACGCTCGACCTTGCCAAGAATCAGCTGACGACGATTGGCAACGTGCTGCACCTGGAACACCTCGAGGAGCTTTGGGTACGAAACTTTTACAAACACAATTAAGATGGTTATATTCAAGACATGTGCGTGGGATTTTAACAGTTGAACGATAACGGCATCAACGACTGGAAGGCGATCGAGAGGCTAGGCGCGCTGAAAACACTGGCGACTGTCTACCTGGAGCGGAATCCCGTCGCGAATGATCCAGGATATCGCCGGAAGTTGAAGTTGATGATTCCGTCCCTGCACCAGATCGACGCCACGATGTGTCGCTAGGTGTGCGAAGAGAAAAATAACTTTTAACCGCGTAATTGAGCGAAGCTGACCAGTAATAACCAATAATTTCATTTGAATTCCACATTTATGCCTGTAAAATGTATTTCTATTTAAACGGTGGGATGTGATCAATGCACGAGCGATTTTTGAATTAAATGATTAAATGATTATGATGTGGTTTGGATTTGATTCGAAGTGGCGATGCTTAAAAATTGAGCGCCTGCCAAGCGCAAAATAAGCGCGAAGCGTCATCATCTGGTCGTCGTCTCGTGAAACCGGTGCGCGCGGTTTGATGAGGCGCTGAGCGCAGCCGGCGCGCACGCGATTGCGACACGCGGCAGGGGCGCGCGCGCGCAATCAATGCCACCGAGGAGTTATTTTTGCACCGGCCGGCGGCGGCGGAGATAGCGGCCCCGCGCGCGCGCGTCCAGGCGACATTTTTAGCGCGCTTATTTTTTCTCCAGCCGGGGACGCGCCGCGACGCGTCGCAATGCTATTACACGTCTCTATCCAGGTCCAGCTGGACAGCAACTTGTTATTTATAAATATAAATAGATGCGCCCGAGACGCGGCCGGCGGCCGGCGCCGCATTAGCTGGACAATAAATGGGCCCAGTTAGATAATGCGCGTGGTGTCGCGCGCGGCAAAAGGAATGCGCGAAGTTCGCACGAGCGAAACTTTCGCGCTATGAATAACTGCGCCAGCGGCGAGTGCGACCGCCGGTGTCGGTCGAACGGCAGCGCCGACAACGAGGGGGAGGACGCCGACGAGGAGGGCGGCTGGCGAGGGCCGCCAGCCGAACAGCGCTATCTGCTACGATGGCATCGCCACGCACCGACCATCACCGATCACCTGCCTGCCATCTACGAGAAGGGATTATTCGCGGATGTTACGCTCGCCGTCGACGGGCAGTCCCTGCAGGCGCACCGACTGATTCTCGCTTCTTGCAGCAGCTACTTTTTACAAATTTTTCAAGTAAGTCAAACCAAAACACACACACCAATAACTTGATTACACATTGTTTTGTGGGTCGCAGGAGGCTGACAGGAATAATATTGAGCATCCGTATGTAGTACTATTAAATGCGCACCTCGACGACATCCGTGCCATTCTCAACTTTATCTACAAAGGCGAATGTTGTGTATATAAACATAGAATACCTGAGTTTCTCGCCACGGCAAAAAGTCTGCGTGTTTCCGGTTTATCCGATATGCAAGTGAGTGTTTTATCTCTTCTTTGTAAGTTTTTCATTAGTTACGCCGCCATTTTCAATTGAATTTTGTAGTTGGATGACTATCACATTTTACAAGACAAACCAGAGAATAAATCGCCCTCTGTCGGCTTAGAAGTGAACCGTAGAATCCCGCAGACGTTGATTTTACCACCGCCATCAACACCTGCACCACCCCCGATCGAAAATCAAACCCCAGCGGCTCCGCCGCCACCGCCTACAGGCAAATGGCACAATAGCCGCGACGTACCCGAGACTTGCAAGTGTTTCGTGTGCGGAAAATACCTCAGTAACCAGTACAATCTGCGCGTGCATATGGAAACGCACGTGGAAACATATCACGCCTGCGGGTCCTGCCCGCACGTATCCCGTTCGCGCGACGCTCTTCGCAAACACATGTCCTACCGGCATCCCGACCAGTACAACGCACGTAAACATAAGCGAAACAATAATAACAACAACGCCAACAATAATTTATGATGTCGCATATTATCTAGTCCTAATGGATGATATGACATGTTATGATATTGTGGAGTTACCTTTTTATTTTATTTTCAAGACTGCAGCATCAGAGCTTCGCCGCCGCTTTCTTGGCGGCGACCTTCTCGAGGAACGTGTGCGCTTCGGCATACGCAGGATTGAATTCCTCGCGCACGCGCTTCAGCCATGCGGAGAGCACTGGTCTGTCGGTGGTTGGATCGTACCCAACCAATCCTGAAATCGAGATGATATTGTTATACGACTTTTGTCGCGAGTCGAATGTATTGCGATATGTTATTAATATGAAATTATCGATTGTTAAAAGTTTGTTTAAAGTTTAAACTTTGTTTCTCTGAATTTTCCCCGAAACAAAATGGCGTCGTACGGTTACTTACTCGGTTGTTCGATTTCAGTTGCAGCGAAAACGTCAGCAACCGTGGGTTTTGGACCACAAATGAATGGTCCAGGAGTCAAAAAGTATTCTTCAAATTGATCCAGACAATTATTCATGTTCTCTTCATATTTCTTAACTTTTTCAGCTGGTGGTTCCTGTCCAGTAGTCAATGGAGTCAAAAACTGCGCAAAAAAACGTTGAAATTTTTACTACAAACATAATAAATCTGAATTACTCTTAGCCTGAAATACAGAGCGCAGTGCGCGCGGACATTGTGATGTTGCCATTCCAAGTATTCATCTACAGCAGCCTGTGCTTTGGCATCTTTAGGATAATACTTCTCACTCAGCCGGTTGGTATTAGACAGATACCTAACAATCGCGACACTTTCTGCCAACTTATAGTTCCCGTCGTGCAGTACTGGGACCTTCCCAAACTTAGAGACATTAGTTTTGTAGTCCTCCATCATATGCACACCTGTAATTCATACCCAAACATGAGATACACGTAAAAAATCAAAATTTTACGAGATTACCTTGGCGCAGCGGGACGACGCATTGTTCGAACGGCGTTTTGCTCAATTTCAGTAGAATATACAACGAGCGCGACGGCTGCGACAGCAAATCGTAGTAAAGTTTCAGCGACATTTTCACACTGTGATACAATCGACAAGTGAGTAGTAATTAACGAATAGACTTCGGTATCTTGTCAGGTTTTCGGTGTTGTGTGTTCTATGTGCAATATCAGGTTAGGTCGCTTTGATTTAATGAACAAAATGAACAAGCTCAAAGTCCGCGTAATAACAGTAAACATGTTTCACAGGTCACAAAAATAGAATAATCAAGTGCTAGATATGAATTTGTGCACAATCATTGCTTACAGAACATTTACGGCTGTTAAAAATTATTATTTTGATAAGAGAATAAGATCCCAGATTGCAAACAGAAGTTATGTAAACTTAATTTTACAACAAAAAGAACCGTTAAGCAAACATTGTTTAGAAATAATTTAAAAGTTAGGCAACCCAATATACGCCATCAGTATCAGCTGAGACGAACTGAGGAATCAATTATGAATTGAGAACGAGCGGGCCGGCAGTGACACGCTCCGTTCAGAACTGCGATGAACTTTTTACACTTATCTTTCTAGTTTTCTCCTATCCTGCATCAGCTTTTGGGCCTTTCGTTCTTTTCGGATCATCTCAATCCAAAACGTAAGTTGCTCTTATGTCAAACTACACAGTGAAGACACAACTGGCAATTGAACAAATAGTTTTTAGTTTTTCGAAATTTTGCAACATCCCCGGCCGCAAAAGTGAAGATGTTAGCGAAGACAGGCCTCGTCGTGATCTCCAACCCCACGCAGTTGAGCCGCATCTTACGCAGCGCGCAGAAACAAGTCAAAAACATGCTCTATGTTCAACTAATGTCCAAACAACTGCAGCCTTTTGCCAGTCCACAACATCCCTGGCCATCATTCAGTCAAGCCATCAAGAGTATCTACTCGCAGGCAGCCAGCGACTGCGGCAATCTCGATGTCCGCGTGCTGCTCTCCAGCTTAAAAGACAATCTGGCGAAAATTAAAACCCATGCAGCTATTGATCTGGTCATATTTGATTGTGAGTACAACAAGAATGACATTGACCAATTCCTGAAGCAATGGGTTGAGAACATCAACAAGGATTTCAATGTAGTCACGCTAAAATCGGAGTTGGCAAGCGAGTACATCTTCTCTGCTGAGGATCATAAAGTTTACAATCATACAGTACTTGGTGGAACTTTTGATCACATGCATTTAGCCCACAAGATTCTCCTGAGTGAGGCGGCGCTGCGATCGCAGAAGAAGATGACCGTTGGCGTCACCGAAGAGAATATGCTTGAAAGTATGTTTGAACAAGAAAAACAATGGCCCTAGGTAAATTCTTTTGTTTTGCTTGTTAACCATCTTTTAACATTTATGTATTTCTATTGATTATCATAAGGCCATTGTTTTTCCAAGCGGAATAGAAAGCAATCATTGCATGTTATTAACTGTAAATGTGATTGATGCAGATAAAATCCTTTGGGAACTGATTGATCCGGTTGCGGTGCGCATGAAGGCCGTGCAGAGCTTTCTCAGCGATATTTCGCCGGAACTAGAGTTGAATATCGTGCCTATTACTGACCCGATGGGTCCGACCAAGTCAGATCCAAGTATGGGATTGCTGGTTGTCAGCGCAGAGACACTTAAAGGTGGAGATATGGTGAATGAAATTCGTCGCCAGAATGGTTTACCCAGTGTGGATATTCTGTCGGTGGAATTGATAGATGAGCCTAGCCCCAGGCCGAATGAAGAAACAAAAATTAGCTCTAGCACCGGTAGATTGCGATTGTTGGGTAGTTTACTCAAACCGGTGAATTCTAAGTTGCCTAGGAAGCCTTACATTATTGGACTCACAGGTATTTGTATCAAATTATACTAATTTCTATAGTTTTGACAAAAAATTTCAAAAATACAGGTGGGATTGCAAGTGGCAAAAGCGGCGTTGCGAAATATCTTGGTGAATTAGGCGCGCAAGTCATCAATTGTGACCTGGTGGCGCATCAAGTATACCTACCAGGTACAGAATGCCATCGACAAGTTGTCACTGAATTCGGCCAGAGTATAATCAGCGAAAATGGCGAGATTGATCGCACAAAACTAGGTCCGATCGTGTTCGGCAGTAAGGAAAAGCTTGATAAGTTGAACGCGATCGTGTGGCCCGCAATTGCGCAGAATGTCGCCGAACAAATCCGCGTGTCTACAGCTGATGTGATTGTCATCGAAGCTGCCGTGTTGCTGGCTGCACAATGGCAGCATATGTGTCACGAAGTATGGGCGACGATCTGCCGACGCGATGAGGCCATCAAACGCATTCAGGAACGCAACAAACTCACTGAACAGCAAGCTGAGCAGCGTATCAACGCCCAACCATCGTCGAAATACTACGCTGGACAAGCGCATGTTGTTTTCTGTTCGATGTGGGACGTGCAGTATACACAGGGGCAGGTTGCGAAGGCATGGGAGTTGTTACAACAACGCATTCGCGACGCGGCCGCCATTTCGCATGAATCAAAGTACTGATGAATTGTCTCTGTTGTTGGCGGTGGAGGAAACCATGTGTGTTGTATCGATTTAGTCTTTGGGGGACAATTGTTAACTGCGATGATAGATTTTATATAAATTTGTTACATTTATAAAGCGCCTTGATCAGGATTTTAATGAATACAATATTTTAATCAGATTTTCTGTACTACTTTGTAGAAAATCCGTTGTAGTGTTGTGCATTTAATGTTTAAATGTCCCGTGTGTGTGTTTACGTGCGCCAGGATACCGGCTGCGCGTTTCCGGTTTATCGGCCGCGGCGCCCGGTGTTCGCGCTGAAGAATAATTACGCGGCGCGCAATAATACGCTCGAGTGAATCGGGCGCATTACGGCGAAACGATAGCGTAAGTGCCCGCGCACCATGAGGGTGGCACTTGCAGCATGCTACCGACGACGACAATAGGCAAATTATCATCATGGCGAGGCCGCCGCGTGCGCGCACCTGGCCGGCGTCGTCGTCTTACGCACCTGGCGCGCGCGCGCCATGAAGGTTCAAGTTCACTTCAACGAATAATTGCCGGGCGTTAGGCAGAGAAACATCGTGGTACTTTACAGTTACGCAATCATTATTATTACCGGCAATAGAACGTACAAGCAACGCGACCGTTGATAAGAGCGTATCATTGACGAATGTTACAGCCATGAGGAATTCGTTGACTTTGAATATATTTTGATATAGAACATATTCTACGCGGATGGGAAGATTAACGAATGGCCGCCATTTGCAATCTTGACATAGATGGCAATGGTTTCAAAATTTAACTCAAAATAATCAAAAAATCTTATTTTAAAACTAAATTCTCGGTTATTTTATGAATATGCGTGTATTTCTTGAACTTCTGATTGTTTTTTTAAATTTTGCAATTAAAAACTTTGAGAAATTGATTGGTAACTTGTTGCTTCACATTGAAAATGTAATAATTTGTCCTTAAAAGGTCAAAACCCCCAAAAGTGACAAATTAAAAGAGTAACTAGACATGTAAATATTAACATAGTCAATTACTCATTGTTAACAAACAGTTTTCACTTACGATTACCTCAATTAACGTATAATTTTAATAGAATTATTAGTTCGAAATCAAACAGCAAGTAAACTCCACGCATTTTACACAAATGTTGTTTGCACACATGTAAATTAATTAATCTGCTACGGTTTCTATTTATTCCTCCTTCCCTGAAGTCATAATCGATTAGTGGTAAAGACCGTAATTCCTGTCTCAAAATTATCATCAATTTTTCTTTCAAATCATCAAATTTATCTATTATTCACCAAAGTCTTTAAGGAGTCAACACAGGAGAATAATAAGAAGTAAATTGACGGTGTAAATATTAACTAAGCGTTTTACCGGCCGCGAGATTTCCGAAAAACAAATGAATTCGATGCCAAAAACGCCGGACATAATGAAAGTGATTCGCATTAGCGTTTGATAAGACACAAATAATTCAAATATTGCTGCTTTCATGTCAGCGGCGTGTACACAGTGAGTGCCAGCTCAAAGAATGCCAGATAATTGCTCCTCTAACTGCGGCCCCCGGTAGGCAGCAAGAACGTAATTTCTAATCGCTTCGCCGACGTTCGTTTCCGACCGAAAACAAACAAAAATACCCACCCCGTGTTTACCCGGCGTGGCATTCGCCTCGAAAATCAACAATGTGCAAACAGCGTGGACGCGAAGTGGACATCCAATGCGGAGGCGGCGCCGGTGGCAGTGGTGGTGCGCCGCGTGTCCCTACTCCGCCATTCCACTTTACCACATTTTCCACGTTTTCCACGTAATTATTAACGTAAAATCGATGATTTCCAGCGAACCGACCGGCTGACCGCTGACGGACATACCCGCCAATATTTTCAACAATTTCCACCCCCACAAAGAGATATACGATGTAAAATTTTTTTCCGAAAAACCTAGTACCATTTTTAGCAGAAAAATAAAATTTTTGTATAAAAAACTTGAAAAACCAGTAAAAAATTATTGTTTTACGATGTAAATTTAAAAGGACCTCATTAGGGGGTGTGGGTTTATTGCAAAAATGGTATATAACATAGTGACCAGTGATGGGACCCATCGGGGTGGTGGGGGAGTAACAACAATGAGTCGAGCGTCGCTTGCCGCCCGCGCCATTCGCTTTTCAGCGTCCGGCGATCATTGCGTGCGACGCGCTCGGCGTGAGAGGGTTGGTTCCGACTTCCGCAACTTCCTCAACGGGCGCATATTATACAAGTTTAAAAAACTCAACCGCTGTCAACGTTTCAACACCTCAAAACGTATAAAAAACTACAAACTTCACATCCGCAATCAAAATTCAGTACAAATCGGAATAAAACTCGTCGTAACCAACATTCGAACAACCCCTGGATGAATTTAACCATCAACCCATAAAGTCTATTAACTGTCAGTTGTGTTACCAGTGAAAAACCGCCTGGAAACTGCTTTCTAATCGCGCAGGCAATTAAAATAAGTGTGTCACTAAAGTACTTAAGGATTCGCTCACGGGACTCGTCACCGTCACCACCGGGAGGTAAGCAAAAAATCATTTATTAGCCCCCGTGATGTGGTGCTGCCTCTTTGTCCCACTTGCACCACGATTGCTTTCTTTTGATTGCGTTTTGTTTGGCGGCGGCATTTGCGTGCGGCGATTTTCTGGCCGGCAACGAATGAAGTTCTACTTTATGAGGTCAAAAACATAAACAAAACGTGTGGAAAACTTTGAAAAATCACAATGGCAGAAAATGAGTATTTAATGAGAATTCCCCAACAATAATTCTTAGACGCATTGAATACATCGAAAAAAGCAACAATGTAGATAATCATTTTTATAATAATATACTTCGAGAGGAGGAAAAAAATGCTTGAAAAGTGAATAGTCATGCATGTTCTTATAAATTCGATACGATTATTATTGGGGAAAATTTCTTCAAACATCCGACATCCACAATGAATAAATTTCCGTCCTTTTTGGCTATCTAATTTGCTTCGAATTTCCATAAATCCGAAATGGATTTAATGCGAGGCGTTAATTGTGATGTGCGTGCATTAAAACTGGAATCGAAATGAAACTACCCCCAAGGGGGTTGCAGTTGCGGTGAAATCATAATGACTCCCATGGGGGGACGCGCACAAAAAAAAAACGAATATAAACAAATTACATGCATTAATATATCGCCGTTCGAATGATACGAAACAATCAAATAACAACCGAACAAATCGAGCAAATTCATTACCAATGATAGCTAGGTCAATGCAGAATATGAGTAGGGTAATTCAATTGATAGTAACAAATGAAACTTTCAGATATTTAGATCGCCTATAACTAACCAGTAAAACCAGTAAAAAATATGCGTGACACACTCGTTCGGCTATTATCATTACGCTGCGTGACGGGGAGGAGACGCACACACGGCATTTACTAATAAACACGTAGCAAGATCGGGAAAATATGGCGCGCCAAGTAAGTGCGCCGATCGAACGGGAATCGTTCCAATTTGGAACCCTCCGTTAGTTGCGATTGAGGTAGCGCAAGTAGCCCGGGACGAGATATGACAGGGTAGGTAAAAAAAATAAACACTACACTAGCTCATAAAATTCTAGATTCGACGGAAACTTCAATGAGGGTTCCCCGGAGAAAAGGTAAAAATAAAAAAAAAGCGTACCCGTGCTAGTCTTGCGTATCGAAAGCTTCTGGGGGGTAGTTGGACGTGGAATAACATGCGCCCATGAATATTCGAGGGTGGTCGGGCTGTTTATTTCGTTCTAATATGCACGTGGTGCACGTGGACAGGTGTACTATGCACTTGCACCAGACTAGAGCTGTGGTACCGATTGTACGAGAGGGTGAACCACCCCAACGGCGCCGCGGCGTTTGTCGAAAACGGGAAAAGGGTGGTCGAGGCAGCACTTGATTGTGCCTGATATGGAGTGGATGCACAAACAAAGGTTGTGGCGGCGGGAGCTGAAGGGGGTGTACAGGTGCCGTGGCACTGTCGTGGAACAGGTGCCCCCCTTTGATTTCCATCGACTTATTATGAGCCAGTGTGAGAACGAAAGAGTAAATATTTTTTATGGAGGAAAATGATCTCATATTCGGATAATTAGAGCTATGAATCACTTGGTACAAGTGGGGTGATAAATACAAGTGTATTAGGGGGTGGAAAACGCGATGATTTGTTGCAAATACGGAAAAATCTTGGAATAATGCGTAAAACGCTATTTTAAGCCGTTTTTTGGGTGACAATTGTTTTTTCCGGTGAAAAACTTCAAAGAAAATGTCAAAGTGACATTTTATGACAGATGTAGTAATTTGACTGTAGGCGGTAAAGGTCGACTTTAGTTGAATTTCATAACAGATTTATGAAATAGTACTTTTTGGGCTATCATCAAATAGTAAGCATTTTCGGTGACTAAATAACATTGAACTAGTCTCTAAATTAACTTACGTCAATTCTGTTAATAGTATGCCACAAATATTATGGATATTACATGTAAAAGGTACTTTTAGACACTAAAATGTACTTTTTGTTCGCCTACGACTCCGCTTGCACCGGGTACGTCGAATAAATACACATGACACACTTAATATAAGCAATCTATTTCGATAAATTAGATAAAACTGTCAAAAATTCGATGTGTGCCCCAATTACGGTTTTGCAACAGTTAGACGTTGAATCTAGAAGTTATCTATGTAAATTACAGCAGCTTGTAGACATTGACAGGCCAACTTCGAAATCATGCAATGAAATTAATATATGAACGCTTAAAAGCTTGAAAAATTAATGAGTTCGCCATTTTGTGCGCCGCGCTGCCGCCGCGGGCTGCGAACAGGTGCACAAAGGTGCAAAGGGGTTGTGCGAGCGTGAGATTGAAGATGAAAAAAAAAAGAACACAGAACAGAACCCATTCCCCTTTCACAATTTCCTTTCGATTCCGTTTCCACGTAGTCGTAAACCGCCGCCGTCGGTGGATGTAACGTAGAAATAAAAGCAATGGAACGCCGTCGCCGCCACCGCCGGTCGCCGTTAGTATTGGAGAAAAATATTGATCGGGAGGCCGCACGATACGCGCGCGTCCGGCCGGACGATTGGGCGATTCCACTCGCCACTGGCTCCGGTCACTCGCCGCCGCCACGCCACACACGTTCACACAGCCACCGAAGCATCGCGCCGCCATCGCGCCTCACGCGAATAGCGGGAGCACGCCACCACCAATGACGTCACGGTGTTCCGTGCTCTCAGCGCCATCGAAAATCGACCGCCACCCCCACCGACACCGAAACGCATGAATTCCGCCGTCCGCGAGCCACGCTATCACATCGACCCACCACCGCGTTTTGTAAATTCAGCACTGGCACACGTTTTTCGTTGATTGTTGTTTTGAATGTCGCCGAAAGTCCGATTCTAAACGCCGTGATTATTTTACAGCACTTTGCTGGTATACCATCAACAGAAAAACAAAGTTATGTGAATCCTTGATGCCGCCCGCCATGGAATGGACACAGCATGGAGGAGACTGCTCTTTGTTGCCGCGCCGCTCAGTAACCCGCTCAGAAAATCAACGATTCTGCTCAAACCGCGCATAAATGAAGCTGCACACCTCCAGTAAGATGGTGGAGGAAATTCTGGAGCCCATGGAGGTGCAGGAAATGCACAACATTCACATGGACATCAAGGAACTGCACAACGTCGTGATACTCGACGAGCAGACGCTCATTCCCCTAGTCGCCAGCAACAGTATCATTATAGAGGATCACCTGGTCCAAGAGGAGCTACCCCCTCATCACCGGCACTCCCAGACACAAATTCTCAAAATTGCTTATGAGAACAGCGATGGACTCATCAACGCTGAATATGTACACGCCGTGGACGAAAACGATTTACTAAACGCCGATATCGGGGAGCAATTCATCGACGACGTTAATCTCTATGAGGAGCAGGTACCCTACGGCACAGATGAAGAATTCATCACCAGCGACCTACATCATGATCTACACAATACCAGTGGTAGCGTCAGCGGTAGTGTAGCGAGCTGCTCATCGGACGGCGCCTTTGATTCCGCTGACTTCATGATAGAAGCCGATACATTAGCGGATTCCCTCGGACTTGACCAAAGCATCAAAAGCACTAATAATAATAATGGACATGCAAGGTTCGGGAAGAATTCGCAGGGTACGAAAACCGGAGAAGAGACTGACCTGACCAGCTTAAACTGGTTGCACAATATTACGAATATTATGGCGGTGCCCAACCTACCCACACCGCCAGTGAGTCCCAAACCTAAGAAGAAGCCACCGCAGCAAAGCGAAGACCTCACCATCAATATCAATTTCTACAAGAAGAACGGCGATAAGAAGCCGCCGTTTTCGTACGCGACGTTGATCTGCATGGCGATGGGTAAAAACGGGAACAAAATGACTCTCAGTGCGATTTATCATTGGATCCGCGAGAATTTTCTGTACTACCGGAAGGCACACCCCAGTTGGCAGGTAAGAGAATATAAATTCTGTATTTGTATACCTATTATAATACGTGGTACGTTTTTCCAGAATTCAATACGACACAATTTATCGCTGAATAAATGTTTTGTGAAAGTGGCACGGAGTAAGGACGAACCCGGCAAGGGCGGTTTCTGGCGGTTGGACTTAGAAAGACTGGAAGAATCTCGAAGATCAAAGAGACGTTCCAGTTTGACGGTGCGTGAACCACGCCGGCATCAACTCAACGGCCAACCAGCTGGTAAACCGCCTAGTAAACCACAACGCAAAGCAAAACGTTATCGTCCTGCGAACAGTACCGGTGAACGCAAGCATAACATCCTATCCAATATCTCCATCTGCGGTGAGACAGAAATTGAAAATATTGACGCCTACAATAGTTCTTCGACAAACTCCGCCAAGAAACAGAAAACCGAGTCGAAAACATCGAAAACCACGAGTAATAAACTCTCCATGCGGGAGAAGACCACAAATTCGGTAGCGAATATTACTCCGAGTGCAATTGTGACCACATCAAACTCCAACTCAAATTCTGCATCCAATGAGGGCGAACACAACGACAAGTTGGTGCCCTCATCGATGCCAAACCAAGGGGTAGTCGCCGAACCAATCAACCCTATTTTACAAGCGGGCAACACCAACGGTGCCCCGCCCACTGATGATGAATTGACAGGTCTTCTACTCGCGAACAATGGATGGGACGAGTGCCAGTTGGAGCTGTTGGACTCCCTACTAGATTCACTGTAATAAAAACACACAGTACAAGAAAAAAGCAAACATTTTTTACCGAACTACTACGACTACAACTCTCCTGCATGATGTAAATAACAAAGCAAAAACAAGACGAAAACGATAATCATGATACACAACTGAATTGCTGCGATGTGTGAGGAATAGATACTACTATATTTCTAGCAACTAATGTAAACTAACTGGAGTGGTTTTCTTGTGCCTTTTCGTGCCTTCTCTCTTCGTTTCGACTTTCTACCAAAGAGTAAACGTACTGTAAGTAGACTTTAAGAGCAACAAAATAACGAACATTCAATGAATTTGATTCAACTCGTGTGTGTATAAACTTCCGTCCATGTACTTAGCTCTAAATTTAATTGTTTACAAATAGCAATATGGCCGAGACGCAAAATGTCACAAATGTGAGATAAGTAATTAATCCGTCCAAAAAACGAAGGAACTACAACAAATGTTTGATTGTTAAACGAATATTACGAAAACATTTTGCATTAATTAAGTGAATTGTGTTGTTTGCTCATCGCCCATCAGTCTCAATATGTAATTATTCAGTATTAACCAATTGATTTGGAATTGAATGCGCGAGAAAGAATTAGAAACATGTACAATGCTCAACGAATGGAAACTTGATCAACTAATGAAGCGACAAAATGTGGTAATGAACGTAATGGGGATGTAATTGCTCAGTTGGTTAATTAACAAATTTTGTTTCGCATTTTTTAATTGTAAATAGTGTTTGAATTGCGTTGAAATGCCGAAAATGAAACAAAAACCAAAAAAAAAATGATGATGATGATGCAGAGAAGGTTGATGAACATACCAAAGATGAAGTTTTATTAAGAATATTTTTCTAGTCGCAATCCTAATCATTATGAACAATTTATTTGTCGTATAAGAGAAACGTATGATATATTTAAAGAGAGTTCTCATTGCGTTGAAGATTAGTCTGTAAGTTCATTCAGATTATTTCCGTTTGAATAAGTTGATCTTAGTAATATAAATCATGTGCCTGTAATAATAATAATATAAATTATTATAATTAACGTAGTGTTACTTACGAATTCGTATTCGTTTGCATCGATTTTGGGACTTTGACGAATTTGTGAACTTTGATTGATAGAATGAGACATTCTGAACAACATTTCGGAAGGCATTTGTACTCCTTCACACTGAATCATTCTTTAAATATTGTAAGCCCATTTGAAAGAAAACTATTACACAATTGAACCAACATCATTGTAAAAGTGTAAAATATTTTTATGTAAAAATAGAAGTGGAATGCTTAAAAATTGCTCATTGGTTATTATTTAAATACTATTACTATTAAAATATCCGAATTTGTCGAATTCATTACCCGGATTGTGTCGAGAATTACCATGTATACCAGAATTCAACGTGTGATAACGAAGATTATCGCAATACGGGCACAAAAGGTAAGAAAACAATTTTTTACGCATCGCAAACAAAAATATCACGATTTAGTACAGCTAGCGACATCTTCCAACATAAATTTCAACTACTTTGAACCTTTTACATTTATTCAAATGTGAAACAACGAATTTTTCTGAATGAACACTTCAAGAATATCACAGAACCCAGTCGACAAAATCAATTCATGTTTTATATAATCCGATGCAATTTCAGCTAGAGCTACAACCATTGCGTTTGGATTACCACTAGCCAAATCCGGAATGGCGGACGCATCTGCAACGAACAGTTTGCTGGTACCCTTCACCCGGAAGTTGTAGTCAAGCACCGTGCCCAGTGCAGCTGTCCCAATCGGATGATAGATAGTCAGCGTGGTGTGTCGAATGAAACACGTCCAATATGCATCCGAATCATACTCATGCATGCGACATGCCGGAAATGGGCGCGAATCAAATTTAGCGCCGAGTTTTTGAAAGGACGGTGTCTTTACCACTTGCTGACTGAAGCGGATACCTTTCAGCATGCCTTCCATATCCGTTGGATGTTGAAGATAGTTGGGATTCATTAATGGTGGTATGGAGGGATTCGGGGAGTCTATAAGGACATAACCGATGCTTTTTGGATGAAGGATTATTGTAAGGAGCATTATAATAGGTTTACCATGAAGTGCTTTGTAGTGCTCGTTGTATACAGAGTGTTTAAGTCCAATGGTGGTGTATAAATGCGCGCCGAGATCTGTGGTGACCCCTAGTGGAGCAGCAAGAACCTGAAAATCTGGTACCGTGTCCCTTAGGTCCTTCTCACAAGTTTCAAAGTCGTCCTGTTTGCGGGTACTGTCCAGGAGGCAGTCAATATGCCCAATAAACATACCCTCGCATTCTATTGTCGTCAACGGACCTATCCCCCGAAAGATATAGTCAAATATAGTTATAGGATTGAGTAAAGTGTAAGTATTCAACTCCAAAGAGGATTTTAGTTGGATTAGATCCACGCCTACTCCAACATGATCGCGTAAATTCCTTCCAACTTCAGGTAAGTCCACAACTGTTCGTATTCCCAGTGAACTTAAATGTTTCGCATCCCCTACACCAGACAATTGAAGAATTTTCGGGGTGTTGATTGTCCCACCACTTAAAATGATCCCATGACGAGCCGAAACTTGTTTGGTCTCTCCAGTCTTCTGTGACACTGCTACAATCGAGGAAGCTTCATAATCGTCGAGGAAATTAATTTTCCACACTTCAGCGTGAGTCACCAGGTGCAGATTTGGCTTGTCATGTAATTTATCCAGTAGAAAGTGACCGGTGGAATACCTTGCACCATTTTTGACATTTACTTGAGGGTGGTCAAAACCGGTATGAAACACGTTCAAATCGCGTTTTGTTATGTTCATTTCTAGGGAGGCTTGTTCGAGGTGCGTACTCAAGTTGGTATGATAGTATTGATCAGTTGCAATGAGCGGACCATCACTTCCATGCCATTCTGTAATGAGATATTATCAAAACTCCTACTCCTACTGAATTTATTTGTGTTTGTGGTATTACCAGTGTCATTTTGATATCTTCCCTGTTGACTCTCACTGCGTTTCCAATAATATTTCAAAAACCGTTCTAATTCATGATCATTTTGAAGGTGGGAATTTTTGGGGAACCATTTACGATAGTCTTCAGGATGACCCCGAATGAACATCATGTTATTAAGTCGTCCGGTACCACCGAGGAGTTTACCGCGCGGCCAATTTGAACGCGCCTCATCAAAACTCAGAGCAGCGTTTTGTTGAGGCGTTGTTTTATACTTCCAATCCACCGCGGATAGTTGAAGGTGAGCTAAAATTCCAGGTATGTCCAGAAAAGGACCTCCCAGAGGTCCTGCTTCCAGAAGTAGGACTTTCAAAGAAGTATTTTGAGATAATCTATGTGCGAGTACACAACCAGCAGTACCACCACCAACTGGAGAGTAAAAATACCGTATTTGTTTTTCGCTCGTTAGTAAAACTGGTTGAAAAAAAACTTACCAATAACGTAATCGTACTCTTCTTGAATATCACTAAACTGTTTAACATACTGGCTGTTTTTATAAGAAGGTAGAAACCAACTCCAATCAATATGGAGGTATACCACGAAATAATATCCCCATGTTAAGATCAACAGTAAAAAATACAGGAGGAAATTCATCGCTGTATATCGCGCAAATGGCGGAAAACTTTATAAAATCCGCGTTGAAATCAATCGAAAATGTACAACTTATTTCCGAGTTTAGATAATATTGTTAATTCAGAACCGAAAACACTCTTCTGCAGCGAACTCATGACGACTACTCGCATAATTCACTTACGTTCAACTAGCAATCGATTCGGATTGAAGTTTTATTAATTAAATTACCGCGTGGATTTCAAACGACCGCTGCCGGCTTACTGCTTGTTTGTGTCTAGCAGCAGGTTAGGTTTGTGAAATGCAGGAATATTCCTGCTGCACATGTTTTAATAATGAATTAAAATGAGTAGACGGTGAATATTTGCTCCAGGGTCAGACGCTTATGAGATAACTTATAATTTATGGGCACTTGCCTTGCTTTATTGCCGGTTTATGATTATTTGGCGTAATTCCAGCGCGGAGCGGAGATTATCAACACTGCGTGCACAGGAACGTGATTTAAAACTGCAGGAAATGAAAGTTGCCTATATGAAAAGTGCATTCAACAGAAAATTTCTCTAAATTCTGTTATTTTCAAATAGTTTTGAGCTATGATGTTAGTTATGACAATAAAAATATAATAATTATTAAAATTAGATAAATTTTTATCAGTATTACCCTCCCTCGTGCCCTTTTTCTATTGTTTTTTGCGTGTAAACAGAAAATTTACTTTTTCCAGTGAAAGTGTTGATAAAAAGCAAAATTCGGCGAGCAAATCTCAAACACGCCAAACCAACGTAACATTTTCGAAGACTTTCTCTATCGGTGGATGTTTGCCCATCCAACAAAACCCGAAAATTGCATCAATTCATACACTTCCTCGAGATGCTAAGTACACACAAGCATCGCCAAATTGAAAAATAACACCGCTCGCTGACTTCGACTATTGACAGTACTAATTGACTCCTCAAGCGGCGTACTTTCTATTTAAGAAACTCTGTCACCCGCGACCCGCGATCGGGTGGGCCGAGCCTGCGCTCCCGAAGACAAATCGATCAACAAAAAAGGTTCCCACCGCGTGTGCGAGAAAGCGAGCCGTATATCAAGTGATCAAGCCGACAGAAAACGACGTGGAGGAATGAATGAGAAAATACACACCAAAAAAAAACACCACATGCAAAATGAGCGAGAGACGCACGCCGCCGGTGTCGTCCATTGGACGTCCAAATGGGAGTAAGTGGCGGCGACGAGGAGAAGCAGCGGCGAAGACAAAGCGCGACGACATTCGACATGTAAAGTTAAAGTTTTAATAACGGTACTTTTTCCAATGTGCAGTAGTAGTACGCGTATTGTGTCGTTTGTGGTTTCAGTAGTTTATGCGTGTGGCTCCGACGTTTTTTTCTTCTTCGTCTTCGTCTTCTTTTGCAGCTTCCTTTCTTCCTTTCCGTCTTATTTAGCTGCTTTATTTACTGCCGCCGGTCGCAAGGTGATTATTGCCTCATTTTTTCTCGCTTACAAAAATGTGTTTATAAGTTAAACGAAACCGATTTTGTTTCAATTATCGCGATGGTGAGATAATTACTAGGTCAGTTTTTGGCCCATGACGTGAATTAATTTCGGCAATCGGCGGAAATATTACCATTGAGACCTGTACGATTGATTTCCAAAATGGCAGCCAGACTTAATATGCCCCTCGCGCTGCAATAAAGCAAATAGAAACAGCGACGCTTTATAGTTAGCCTAGATTCGCGGCCGAACCGCGCCGACCAAACCGAAGCGTCATGATTGAGTTGCGTTTGTTAGTTAAACAAGTTTAAATGGCGGCTGTCTGTAATGGCGGCATTATTGAAATCAACAACCGAAGAACCCCAAATTATATTTTTAACAAAAAACCTAAATTATTTAACAGTGGAAGTAAAAATGCGCAAAATAAACAATGAAGTCAACTTCTTGCATGCAAGCGACGAAGTTGCTGAGGCTTTTAGCGGCGTGCACTTAAAATTAGACATGTAAACACGACAGAACTAAGTAACCCGCTGCACGCTGCGAAGAAAAACCTCGTTTTTTTTCTTTCTTCATCAAATTTCATGACCAACATGACATCGGAAGTCACTTCGCGCTGACAAGTCTTCGGGTACGTTTCAACTACACACTTTTAACGACTTTTAAGATAAACATTTATTATCCCAAAGCAAAAATGGTAATTTACACCTCATTTTTACAAAAAAGGCAAAAAAAAATACAAAAAAACTAAAAAAAGCCGAAAATTCCCACTTTAACGCATGATTATCCTTCGATTATGAAAGATTCGGATAATTTAAGGTAAACAATCGTGTAATGTCGCGCGACGCAGAAAAAAAAATGAAGAAGAAGGAAGCGACGCGACCCGCGCGCATCATTCACGTCTTCGCTTCTTCACTTCTTCCAGTTTTTCACACTCGCGGGCCGCGAGTTAACGAGTTCGGAGTTAACTCCATCGCGCCGCGACTCGTTCAGTCAGTCAGTCAGTCAGTAGGACTCGCTCGTTCATTCGTCCGCCTGTTGCCTTGTTAATTGTACACGCTCGCGCGGTCGCTCGCTTCATCATTCGCTAAGTGATCGCGTTAGTGCTTTCTTCGAGGCGCTTTTTTTTGCGCGCTCCGGCCCATCCGAATACACCACTTTTTCTCATCAATTTAAACATTACATTATCAGAACCATCAAGTGCCAACCATCAAGTGTATGTTGTAAGGAAATGTTTTCTGAGCGTAACATTTCTTGATACCTGTGCGAATATGATGGGAACTTAAAATTATTTGAAAAATTTATTCGCGAAGAAAGTAACAAAGAAGATTTTTGAAGATTTCCAACTAGTTTTCGAAGAATTTGAGGAGTTGCCAGGATGGATAACTTTATGATTTACCTTGTGAGTATATATATTGAAGTAAATGTTGTTCGTTATGCACATTATGCGCGTTGTTAACTAACGCATGGTGGTAACAGCAGTAAACAGTGAAAACTAGCCGATAAAACAATGGAAATGAAAGGAAACCCACATTTTTCACACAAGTGCATTTTTTTATTATCATAACAAGAGCAGCGTTCGTTTTCTGATAGAGACAAGTCAATGACATTGATGTAGAAAATTCTCGGCCGTTTTGAATTGAATATCATTGTTGTGGATAACATCAAAAAGTGTTTAATAAATTAAACAACGAGTGAAGCAGAGTGCGAATAACAAGGCCCCCCGCGAATTCAACGCACCACGAGAGGAAGAAACATTTTACGTGCTCTAATTGCCTTCCTACTGTTTCATTCATAACGGAATATTGACGAAATTTCGTATATTTCAATTCGGGCGGTTTGTGCAGAAATAAAAATGGGCACTGCGCGTAGATCTAATAATTAACACAATTTCTGCATGAAGTTCTTTTTGTTTTTCTATATGTTTGGACATGTAATGCATGAAGTTGATTAATTTTTATCGAATGCATGACTTTCTTCGGCCACCGCATATAAAAATCGGTGTTGATGAACTCTTTTCCTTCGATTTATATTCCACCAACCTAGTATTGGACACGCGGGCCATGATTCACGTGCCCATTTCGACCTTCGGCGTTCAAGGCCTACGAAAGTTTCCCACAAACGAAATTTCGAGGCTGCCGCTGAAAAAGGCGCACGCCGCGTGTGCCCGCGGTGGAAGAAAAGGAAGGTGACAAGAACGAATGAACCACATTGAGTTTATAAATATGATAATTACGCGCGCGGGCATGAATGGGCGGCGGGCGTGCGGGAAAACGGGCGAAGAAGTAAGTTCAATATCAATATCAAGGCTAAACGTTAGCTTTCACTAAAAATCCACACACCACTACAACAACGAAATTGATGCTTTTCAAGAACCCTTCCTTCCTTCTTCGGTGTTTCTGTATCGTGTAAAACATTGCGAAATGTTGCCAACAATGAGGACATTCAATAAACGCGCCGTTTGTGACCAAGCACTGTGTGGTCGTCGTGTACATGTGTGTTTTGGTAGATGAGCAAAAGCTGACTCGCGCCGTGGATGAACTACATGTTGATATATCGACGAGGAACGACGCCGCGGCCAGCGGATTCGATTCTCGATTCATGCAGAAGTGCAACTCATGTCTGCGCTGCTTCGCGCTGACACACTGACCCGGTTTTTCGCATCGGCTCGGCTCGCTCGCTCATTCATTCTTCATTTTCTCGAGACACTCACGCACCTACATATTAGAACAAACAAGTGCCCACCGCATTATAATTATATTCGCGTACGAAGCAACCTGCACGAAATCGTGCTCCTTTGGTTACCAAAATGACAAAAACTCTTTTTCTGCTTTTTCAGATTGGATTCTCCTTGATATCCCTGACAATATCATATGGTTTCGATGCGGGTACCGATCAAGGTGCTTGTGGTAAACCGGTCCGTGCCTCCCGGGCAATGAACAAACCCCCGTGTGATTTGATCAAAGAAAGCTACTGCACCTCAGCAGGAAATCAATACCCCTGGCATGCAGTGCGTCGATTTATAAGAGAAAATCAAGGATTAATGCGTCGCATGTACGGCGATGAGAGACACCTGGCTGTACTCAAAGCTGAACTGCATAATGAAGTTGAAAAAGATTACGATTTCGATGACGATTACGAACCGCCGACGTCTTTCTACCGCCAGGCGACCGAGAATGAAGACCTCTACCAGAATGGAGACTTTAAAACGCGGTATTCCAAACAGGATCACCTCATATTTGACGATAATGAACTTTTTGATGAAGCCCGCTATATACACCAGCAGGACCGCAAGGAAGAAATCATCCTAAACACAAAATTTGTGTATAGCCAGGAGCCTGGTATGCAGATAAAACTGAAAGAAGTGCTTCAAGCACCGAAATTCACACAGAAACAACAAAAAGACGATGCTAAACAGACAGAAACCCTGTCCCAACCGCAGGAAGCAGCAGAAGTTGTCGATGTGGAGAATGGGACCAACTCGCTGGGAAGGAATTACACTTATGGACAGGTGACAGGTGAAGTAGGTCAAGGATACCAAGGAAAACACAGTGGGTCCAACGAGTCCACCAATCAGGATGCTGTGAATGTAAACAATGACAACTTACAAACTAATGAGAATATTGAGTTTGCTACGCAGACCTCCAGCACATCGCAAGGTATAAGCACTGAAGGATTACCACCAGTGAAGGAAAGCACTACCTTCAAGCAAGAGGAAGACCACAGGACCAGTTCGTATAAACCGGAAGTTTATGAAACCAGTGCGACTAGTGAAGACTATGAAGAAGAGACCACCACGCAGGAAACTTACGATCAAACGGAGAACCCTGATAATAAACGTCCGGTGGGCGAGATGCTCTTCCAAGACTTCCAGGAGAGTAATAGTAAACCACCTCATAAGGACTACAACTATAACAATAAATTACGTGGAGTGTAAGTAAAAAAACACTAAAAAAATCAAACAATTCAATAAATTAATACTTAATTCTTACAGAAATGCTTGTCCTGTCAAAGAAGAAGTAGTTGCACCATTCTGGGCCAATAATACTCGTGGTGAAGTCCTGGCGCTGTTGAATCTCTACCCATTCGAACAATATGTGCATTGGGAGAAGTGTACTTACGAACACCGTCAGATGTACTGCCGTGAAGGTTGTCGCTGTGAACAACAGTACCGCCTGCATCGCCTGCTCGCCTACGATCCAAACAATGAATGCCGAGGAATCTTCTCCGATTGGTTCCGCTTCCCGTCGTGCTGCGTGTGTAAGTGCTACGACATGCCGGCGGAATTTCGCGTCACGTCGCGCAGCCCACGCTCGAGGAAGGACCCGGAACGCAGGGAGGATAAACGCGAGCGCGAAAAACCGAGCACATGGTTCGCCAAAAAGAAGTTGAACCTGAAGCGCTTTAATTGATGGTCAAGACTTCATCGCCCGGTTGAAGCAAAGTAATAACCATAAGGCTCGTGCTATTTTATTACATTTTAGTTACAATTGATTAGGTCCCTTAGGAGATCCAAGATGGCGGCAGAGAGGCTTTTAGAGAAATACGTGAACAGGTTTTGTTGTATTTGATATGCTATAGTTTAGATATTCTATGTTTATGCATCGCGATTCGCTGCGTTTTAACTTAATTGTGTTGTTCTTTATTGGAGGAGCGAGAATATTTATATTTTATTGTATATTATGACTAGTTGTTATTCGTACTCTGCGCTGGTACTCATATTTTGTATATTGTTGTTGAGAGATTTTATATGTTTAAATAAATAAACTGTTACAAGACTTTGTACTTCCAAAATATTGTAGGTTATAAAATTAAGTCCTGTGAAGCAAGGAAAAAACTGTTCTGTTCTGGAGAACAGAAGTTTTTAGATTGTCGAAGTTTACAAACAAGATAAACATTTTAACCAAACTTATTGATATGTATCTTAAAACAAAACTGACAGTAAATGTCATTATTTCATGTGTTTTATTATTATTATTATTCTTTTTTATCAAAATACGATTTATCTATAATAATAGTCATTACAATAATAAGGCTAGTGGCTTAAATATTAGTTAAGACAACAATCACCTGAGAGATTGACTTGAATACACATTAATTTCAGTAAAATGATGAAGCTAAACATATTATATTCACAAGAATACATACCTCTGCAGCAATAACATGAATCGGTGCTTGCTCTGAATTCATTTAGTATGTAAAGTGAAGTGTCGCGCTTCGAAGAACTCAGGCCGAATAACTCTTTCAAATATTACCCTACATGTGACATTTGTGGACCTTAGCTTCTCCTAAAGGCAACTGATAATTAAAAACTAGTACTTGTAGAAAGAATGCATAAAACCAAAGAGTGTATCTATGAACGTTGTACTTGACCCCAAATTTATTAAGCTATTGCCTTCCACTTCGTTCAGTCTCAATGAGACACTCACGCACCAGAATGCGTGCATGCACAATGCCTCTTTTGAGCCTTTCCGCAGATGACTTGCTGCCTGCATAGGTGGGCCTCACTTCCCTGCCAAGCTCCTCAATCACACTCAGCAGTTGTGCATACTTTGAGAGCCCATTGTCCTTGGGTGACTGGTCTTTGGCTTCTTTGGAAGTAGATGTATTTGATGGTGTTTTCTGATTCATTGGAATTGCTGTGACTGTCACATCACTCAGCTTTGACTCAACTGCCTGAATATCAACAGCCTCCATGATTTTATTCGATGTGCAATAAATTATAAACTGTTGATAACTGTAAAGTAGGCATTGAAAAAATTAGTACATAAACAATTGAATAGGAATAATCATTACCTGTGATTAGATGGATATCACCGTGCACGGATACATTTATTAGCAGTGGAGGAGATCACTGCGAGACTAACGAACACTACACGATGAATGCGGTGAAGTCTCGCGATAAGCTGAGCTGTTTCCGAACGGAATCAGAAGCGCGGTTCGTTCATTTCATGGCGCGCTGTTTTCTTCACTGTGTACGTTTGCATCAGCGGTTTGTGATTATGATGAGTATGAACAAAACATGCTTGTCGACAGCGTGCTGTAGCGTGTAAGAGACTAAAAGACCCCCATCAGAGACATCTGGCGGGGAAATTCAAATCATACTTATGCGAAGAGAAAAAGCACAGCTTGCTTTAAATATCAGATAGTAAAAGAGAAATTAAAATAAATCAATCTTAAAGAATATAGAACATGAGTTGATGTAAGGTTAAAAGAGTTTGGTGTTTTAAAATTGGTAATAGCAATCAAAAACGTATTGAAATTTGACATGAAATTCACCATTAATTCAATTACAATTCAATATTGACCTTTGATGTTCCTACTTGTTCTTTACATTATTAAACGTTAACTAATGGAAAACTTTCGTTAACCAACAAAAAACTGAATAGAATATTGAAATCAATTTTAATTTTGAAAGGTGTTATGTACTCCGATACATAACAGTATACATTTGTGTAAGTAGAACCGATAATATCCAGATAAAACTTTCCAAGCAGCATAGTACCTACATAAATTTAGAGGCTTATGTCAAGCCACTCAGCCTATATTTAAAATTATTAGTCGCGTTGGTGCGATGACCGCGTGGCGATTGGTTTGAATTGGTGATAGTGGTGGCTACGATCACGACCGCAGCGACGTTCACAGCGTGTATTAATTTAGTCTAGACGCGATCTCCAAAAGGTGATAACCCCTCGTTGACTGTTTACACATGCACTTGAAAAGTTGTAACGGTACTCCTTGAATTCAATCAAATAAATTGGATCAATTACACGCGTGTAATCGTAATACATGTACTTGCACGCCTCATCGTGAAGATGGACTTCCAGGACATTGTCTACCTTAGCCTGCTCATTTTCAGTGTGATCTTTGGACATTTCTACCGACAAATCGAAGATCTCCAGCAACGAAAGCGCATAGGAACGATAATTGGCATCCTGATTGTTCTAGTTGTTTCTGGTTTTCACATCATTCATAACCTGGTGTTCTTTTTGATCAATGCGGCGATTATTTTATATTGGGACAAAAGGTACTGCTGCCTCACATACTCACATTGTATATCATTTATTTATAATCATGACTTTTCAGGCAATGTCACCTTGTGTCAATTGTGTTCTCCTTTGCCTATCTTTTGTTCTTCCGGACAACAGAGTACTTTGGGATTCCATATCCTCCCAGTCATACAAACTTGGTGCAGATGATGCTTACTCTGCGTATAGTGGCAGTTGCTTTTGATTTAAACACAGCATTCACTAACAAAAAGAAGAAAGAAAAAGGCGACTGCAGTGAGGAAGAGAGGGCTGAGATTGACTATGATGACTTCTCAGTGGATGTGTTTGAGCTCTTCCACTACAGTTTTAATTACATTGGTGTGCTGACAGGCCCATTCATCAAGTACAGGACTTTCAGGGACTATTACAGTAAACCTTTTAGTAAATATGCGCCGTACAAGCAGGCGTTGCTGGGGAAATTGCAGTGGGTGCCATTGTATGCTGTACTTCATTTGCTTGCAACATACTACTATCCGTTTTCTGTAGGTTGATTAATATTTGAAGTTACTTAGTTATTTAATAATAACGTGGAACTTTTTTTTTTTTTTTTGCTTTTAGTATGCAAAAACGGATGAGTTTTTCTTTGAACGCTCAGTCTTTTATCGTCTCATGTATATTTGGCCTGTCTTCTTTGCGTTTCGGATGAGGCTTTTCATTGGGTTCGCTTTGTCTGAATGCGCTTGCATTATGGCTGGCCTGGGCGCATATCCAGCAATCACTGAACCCAAAAGTGGCGGCGGTCCATCGAAGAACTTTAAAACATTGCTTGAACTGTGAGTATTTTTAGGCAACTTAAATTTCATTTTAACATGATTGTCAAAACAGGAGTAAAAATACGAAGCAATGCGCAACAACAGAGATGAACTTCGTCGCTGTGGATGCCGTGGATGTTTGGGGAACCGAATTTGAACCAACATTCAAAGGTGGCATGAGGGCGTGGAATACCGGCGTGCAGTATTGGCTTGCTCTGTGTATCTACAAGCGATGCCCCTATAAGAAGTATCGCGCGTTTATCACGATGGGCATTTCGGCCATGTGGCATGGTATTTGCATTGGACACTATATCTGCTTGGGATGTGCTCCATTTGTATTACCAATTGATGCAGTTTGGACTAAGATCTTGCTCAAGGATCGCACTGGAACGGTATGCAATGAATGAAAGCTTTGTACCAATCTTTTCTGATGTTTTTTTTTCTTTAATTTAGGTTCGTTATATTAATGAATGGATAATGCTCGTGATCTCTCGGTTCTTCTTCTCGTACCTGGCTATTGCCTTCTACTACTTGAATGTTGATTGGGTGATGTATTATTACAATTCAATTTACCACATGGGCATCATCATTGGATTGGTGATGTACTTTGGTGGACTACAAATATTGCGGTTTATGGGCCCAAAGCGTGATAGTGGTGCCGTAAAAACTGTGCCAACTGAGCGAACGAAAGCCGATTAATAATCAAGTTTATTTCCTCCTTTTTTTTTTAGCAAAATATGCATGCATGTCAAAATATATATTCGTATATAGTACCAAATAGAAGTGCATATTTTTGATGATGTTGAATTGTGGTAATAGTTTACTGATATAAATTGTGTTGGATAAATAAGTCTGGTTGCATAAATTGTGTTGGGATATCACTTTTGTTTAGTGTTTTAGATTCAAATCCCACCATCCGAAAGATCATAAAAGTATATAACATAATTAACTAAAAACGAAACAAAGCGATACCAATAACTGGAATTTATTTAAAGCCTGCAAAACATCAAATCATACTTCAACTGAAACCTAATCTTCGATACATTGTGTCAATGTGGTTGCATAATTATGTTCCCTTATGATTTCGGATTCAAAGCGTTGTTTTTACTCAAACTTTTCACCTTTTTGGAGTCTGCGGAGTTTGCTTGCTGATCTATCGATGGATACGCCATGGTTTCCCACGTTTTAATCTCACTGGCAGTTGTATCCCCGAACGATTCGTCCTCCGCAACGCACGACCTCTCAGTGTGTCCCGCCCCTTGGAATTCAAATAACTTGCCGCGTCGCACAAGTACTCCATTTGCTAGACCTAAGTGCATTGCGTCTTTCACAATTTTACTAACTTTTCTTCGATCTTCATTTAGTGAAACCTCCGGCCATATACCGCTAGATGAGAAAGAATACGTTGAGCTGGGACACAGCGAAATGGAACTCGACGACCTGGACCAATACTTGCGCAATTCATGAAGTAACTTATCCCAGGAACATAATAATTCTTTTTGCTCCTTGCTCCTGTCATCGAGTGTTTTCGGTGAGCGATTTTTGATCACCGATTTGCGCTTTGGTCGCGTGGGGCGGTTTCGACCCATTTCTATTTTATTGACTAAAATTTTATTATGACAAAATGTCAGAAAGATCTGTTATTGTCATAAATAAATCGCGTTTTTCATTAAAACAAAGCCAGACACATGTAACTTCTTGTTCATGCAAACTATGTTGCATAGAACAAAAATTTCTACTTGAACTATACTCGTATAGTAATGTAATGTTAATGAGCAGGTTTTTACTTCATTTGTGGCAAGTTTGTTTTGGAAATGAGCCAATATAAACACTTTCGAGTAAATATCGCTAGCAGTAGTAAAATGTACTCGTAATTGAGTATTATTTTCCTTCCGACACAAAATACTTGCAACAACTGTGCCATAAGTTTATTGCACAGACCAGAACAACTGGATGTAAACTAAAAAGTAAGTTATTATTCAAATATTCAGAAATGTATTCTTTCAGTAGTTGCTTGAAAAATTCTGAAAATTTCGAAATTTAACCAATCATTTCATGCATGAGTAATTTTTGTTTAATATTTTGCGAAGTGTTTAACTACCTAAACAAGCAAAGCATCTTCAATTGTATTATTTATTACTTTTATAATGTACACCACATACAAATAATATTTACATTCATAGATCGACAGACAGAGGAGGAGACAGTGATTTAAGATACATTAAAAAGCTAAAATTAGCGCCCAGAATAAAACATGCGTACGGTACGGGTGAGGTGAAAGACACTGTATGATCTGCGCGTAATCAATCAGAAGAAAACAAATCTGTTCTACGCACGCCGTTGCGGACAAACCAAGGGTAGCAAGGCGTTCGATTCTCTTTACATTTGCAGCTTGCCGGCGACCTCATAGGTGACCTGCACAATGATTTAAAGCTTAATTAAATTCGCGAATACATTTCACTCATGAATAATTGAGTCGAGGTGATTTCCTCGCATTTCGAGTGCTACTGGATTTGTTTAACTAAATTCCCTATCATTATGTTTTGCATGTATGCGTAGTGCGATTATATTTGCTTGAACTCTCCGCCCGTGGCAACGATATCTTACGTATACCATAACAAATAATAGAGGTTGCCTCGATGGACGTGTGTTCATGCATTGCTTATAAAAACACCCCTGAGGGCGCGAAGGCAGGGGCAGAGTTAAGTCATCAGTACGGAGCGCGCGAGTCGATTTGATTTGAGTGGAGCAAGGCGGCACTGGTGTCCGCGCTATGTCTCCTTGATGATCTTCAATAACAATTCGAGAAAAAAATAAAAGAAAACTAACAAGATGGCCGTGAATCAGGAGAACATCGAGCTGACGAGTAGGTAGAGCACCATGAGCGCCAGTGGCCCCACGTAGAAGAACAGTGTGTTGTGCGACCGGTTGCACAGCGTGTTGTACTTGTCATGCGCACGCAGGACCTCCTTATTGAGCGCGATTTTCTCCTCGGTGACGGACGCATAGCGTTCCTTCAGCGCGACCACTTCATCTTCGAGAGCAGTCAACTGCTCGGCGAGTTTGGCGGCGTGCCTTGAGCGCGTTGAGCATTCCTCGACAGTGTCTGTGTCGTCGGATGCCGCCTGGGAAGCGTGTTCGGCAGTGTCCGGTCGTGGGGCCTGTACCTTCGCGCTTTCCACCTGCTCCGCCTTCAGGCTGAACACGCGGTCATGCAGCTCTTTGGATTCGTTGAGACAAGCAACGTACTTTTCCTCCAAGGCGGCGCACTCCTCCTTGAGCAACTCCACCTTGCTCAGCAGATATGACTTCTCTTCCTTCTCATTGAGAAGCGATTTTTCTAGAAGGGCTATCCGAGTTTTGTTGGCGCTCGACAGGAGTTCCAGTTGCTCTATGTGTCGTTTCTGCTCACAGACGGTCTGGTACTGGTACTTTAGCGTGCGTGTATCAGCCTCGCCGACCGGCGGTCCGACAGTTTCCGCTGCGCTGCTCTCTTCAGACGACGCCTCCTTCTGCGTATCAAGCTCGTCTTTATTTTCTACCACTGCTAGCACACCGCCATTATCGCCTTCGGCTATAGATGCGGGCAACGGGGAAGGCTGCACGTCCGAAAAGGTAACCTCATCGGAGTCTGCTTCGTTGCGCGTATTATCGTCGTCGGTACGCATGGCTTCATTAAGAATGCGCTCGTACTTCATAATCTCGGTGTCGGCGTCGTTGTCAACGTCTGCATCATTCGGCTCATTCACCTCATCGACCTCCTCGGAAGCAAGCCGCTCTACGCATGTTTCACGGCCTACCTGTAATTCCTCCAAGCGCGCTTGGAGCTCTTTAATGCGCTGTTCGTGTTGGTCGCTTGCGGCGTCTGCCTTTCGTTGTTCCTCCACGACGCGGTGCGCCACCTCTTGTAGTTCCTGCTGCGCGCGTTCCCAGTGCTCACGCGCTAATAACGCTTCGTTTTCAGCGGCGGCACGTGCGCGCTCTTGTTCGGCAGCAGCGGCGATTGCCTCCAAGCGCTCAGTGTGTGCCTTCATGAGAGCATCCTTCGCAGCAGTCTGGTATGCACCGCGATCCTCCTGAAGTTGCCTAAGTTCATCGCGTAGACGATCTTCGCCAAAACCCTTACCAGCCTGAGTCAGCTGTGACTCAAGCGCCGCCACGCGTGATAGTAGTCTCTCTTCACCGACGTATGCCTGCCAGTGCTCGTCGGCGGCGCGTCTCGCGGCGTCAACCACATGTTGCAGGGCGGTCAGTTTTGTCTCGAGACACAATTCGCGCTGGCTGGCCTCCTGTATTATCTGATTGAGCTTGTAGAGTTCGTCGAGCGGCACCAGGCCGTGTCGGCCACCTTCGGCAACGCTGGGGCTGGCTTTGGCCTCTTTTCCATCAGGCAGGTATAATTTAAGCGTAGCGACAATACATCCATGCGTTACCTTCCGATTATTCTCCATAACATCGACGCCGAACTGCACGATGTCGCCGGAGCTCACCTCGTGCGGTTCGCTCTCGTTGGTCGACAGTCTATTGTTGTTGACGAATGTACCATTGCTGCTCTTTGTGTCCTGCAGAAAGAACTTGCCATTCTCGTACCAAAGCAGTGCATGGTGTCGTGACAACACCTTGCAGTCGAAGATGGCGTTTGAGTTAGCGGCGCGTGCTCTCGCAACCGACCGCCCCACCTTAACAGGCTGGTCAAGCGACAAATCGCGCTCCTGGAACGGGTGCGAGTTGGGGCGACTGATCAACACGGCCCGCGCAGCGTTCATTTCGCCGCAATGGACATACTGCGAGTTTTTCATCCAGCTCCCACTGACAACCACCATTGCCTAGATGACACGGACACAGTAATTGAACGATCAGCTGAGTGAGAATCTAAATGGTACTTACCTAGAAACGCCTAGAGGCGCGACACTATACACGAAATCAGCAGATCGCTGATGAGCTAGGAAGTCGCACGGACGGCGGGCACTCCACCGACCGTCGCTGCCTCTGCATGTACCAAATTCAACGTAGCACTGCGATTTATAGGCACCGGGCAGCCCTCACTCGCAGCAATTGCTAGGGCCAGTACGCTAACAATTAGCCTTCGTTGAGGTGTATTGTCACCTCAATCGCCTTGCAGGGCCCCGAACTGGCGACTCTTAGATGTTAGGTCAAGTGGATTGCTGTCAAGAGATTATTTGGAGACGGGCATCGGCTCGGGCACGGGGACTTACTATTTGTTACCAACGTAAGCAGCCAGCTGTAGGGGCGCTGCCGTCGCCAATAATCAGTAATTGTACAGCTGATATTAGCTGCTTGCAGGATCAACACGACTTCAGTAAAAATAGAATTTATTTTATAGGAAACGATTCAGAAATTTAATCAAGTAATATCGAGCTAAACTTTCCTTAAAATTCGAATAACTACACGGTTTTCAATCATCTGAATTCTCTTAATAGTTTGAGACAAACAAAAGTCGATGATAACCGATGTTGAGCGAGCAGAGACTTCGAGAACACGGCTGTCATAATTCGTAATATGCGTGTGTGATGTATGTGTGTGCATACAACATTGCAAACATCTGACGTCATGCGCCCGTCAATTTATTTATTGTGCAATTTCTAGAAAACACGGTCGACACGAACTGACAAGAACACACTCGCTTATTGTTACAACTTGTGATTGCGCGAATATGTCTCTCAACACGGCGCATTTGAACGGCGGTGTCCTTATTCACAACGGCGAAATGTAAGTAGTCTAAAAACCGATAAATAGTATCTATATGAGACTAATGTATCTCCACTGTGCTGTTTAGCATCTTGGTGTACAGCGACCATACGACAGTAGAATGGTCCGGACAAGACGCGCCCCCATTCAAAGGCGCCAAGCACGGCCGCATCTACTTGACAACGCATCGTGTCATCTTCAACAGCAAGAATTCTAGCGATGCGATGCAGTCGTTCAGCTTTCCATTCGTGACGCTCAGCGACGTGGAGTTGGAGCAACCAATCTTTGGTGCCAACTACATCAAGGGTAAGGTGCGCGCCCAGCCGAACGGCAACTGGGCCGGCGAGGCGAAGTTCAAGATTCTGTTCAAGCATGGCGGCGCCATTGAATTCGGGCAAGCCATGTTAAAAGCGGCACACTTGGCCACACGCATGGCGAATCAACGCGAAGCACCGCCGCCGTACGTCCCACCCGAAAGTCAATGGTACCAGGCGCCTCCGCCAGCATACGCACCGCCACCACAGGGCTACTACGGTTGGATGCCACCCTCGCAGGCCTTTCCCGATCAGCCGCCGGCCAACAGCGTGTTTATGACGGACGCGCCGCCGCCCTATCCTGGTATAAACAGCATGCAACCAGGCGGGCCACCAGATCGCACAGCGCCGCCAGCCGGCTTCCATTATCCGCCGCAGCAGGGTAACGCCGCCGGTCCTGCGCCCGGCTTCAGCGCCGGAGGTGGGTATCGCTCATAACGCCGCTGCGCGTCAATAAAATCACCGCTCATGCTTGATTCTTCCCTTGTTTTCGTTTGGCAGACGCGAAGGCAGCGGAGGCCGCGCAATCCGCGTACTACGACCCCAACCGGCCGCAGATGGCGTACGTGCCGCCGCCGTCGTACTACGTAAGTAACCCTCGCAGCCACCGCCGCCCACGCTAATTGCCTACTACTTTTAGGAGCATCCGCCCACTTACGACGAGGCGACTCACAAAAAACAGCAATAATTATTGCGCCCGCTACAGCCTTGCCTAACGATGATAACCAACGCTAGAGCGGTAGAGGGCGGGAGGGCATGCACGATACCACGTTTACTGCAGAACATTTCGGCCGCACGGTCCCGACGCATTCCAGTATTTAATGGACCAAGTGTCGGCGTCACATGCGAGTGGGTGCACCAGGCGTACTCGCGTTTCTCACTTGTTGTTTGTTTTGTTTCTATTGGCCGCGAGTACGTCTGGTCGTCTCGCAACGACCCTGCCTCCTCAAGCGCACTGTACATTGTATGTATTTAGGGCTCAAATTAAATACGGCTAGTGAATCAAATCGCGCGGCGCAACTCTATTTAGTTTGAGCCGTATTTAGATTCGTGCTAATCGCGAACGGGGCGCCCTCTGGCGGGCCTCCGTGCGTGTATCGCTTGTAAACTTGCAGCACCTATAGAGTTGTTATTCGAATTGCTATTTACATATTCGTACGCAAACAGATTATTACAACCTACACATGGCAGAATGTATTGTGACTGTTATCAAAATGTATATCTATTTTACGCAAATAAAATTCCTATGCGGATGCACCTGGTTCCGTGTCAGTTGTTCACCCCGGGCGATAAGATAGCGGCGCACCGCGAAGATATTTCAAGACGACTGTGTCGCAGTCCGTCAGTATCCACCCGAACGTGTGCATAGTGAACATGGTGACGACATTTGCGTGGACGCATTCATGTAAAACCGCTAGTCATTGACTTGTGCACGTTTCTAACTAAAGGCGCCCTTTGCAGGGATCGCTGTTTCTATCTCAGTCAGCGTTCTGTTGGTCCTCTTGGCGTTTTTATTCATCTGTTTGTGGTGAGTAGGAGCGATGGCACGTGTATCCTGCTAATAGCAATAGCGTTGTAGTTACAATACTGACCACGCGACCGATCAACAACGATACTATGTTTTGGACGAACATGGAATCAAGCGCATGCCTGGCCCGGCAAACCTGCGGCCCAATTTTGGTTTTTCTAAGGGCGGGTTAATCCTGCTGGCGAAGAACTCCGGACCTCCTGATCGGCAGTTTTTGGACTCGTTGGACTTCGACAAGCAGTTTACCAACTCCGTGCTGCAAATTGACGCATGCGCAAAACAACCGGGAGGTGAAGATGACGACTGGAAGTCGTGCATCAGCGTAAGTGCGAAAGCATTTTTAATTTAGTGCTGTCTTCATAAGAATATTCTGTAGGAAGGAGCCACGCGCAGAAATTCGATGGTGTCCGTTATAAGCGCAGTGTCTGATCCAGGACAGTTTATGAGCAAGCCTACCATTCATATGGTTTAGTTATGGTTTCATTATAAGCCACAGGATGAACTAAAACAAGATAAATATTAAAATTGTTCATAAAATATTAGTACCTGGGTAAAACTGTATAATTCTGTGGTGTAAATTATGATACAACTTAACACTTAGTTCATGCATGACATCATAGATCAAGTTTCATTGTTTGTGTTGTATTTTAAATAAGATTTTGCATGTTGTATCCTTGTACATATATAATACTGATTCATAAGCAAGCATTAAAATGTAGATTAATCATCAGCCCATTTACAAAAGGGCACAAACACAAGCAGTAATTATCTCAAAAATACAGATGTGATATATGTTTACAATTTGAGTAAATAATTGTACCCTGATCTAGTACTTGCGATTTTCAGCCGTAGCCAGTAGTTTAATCTGGCATCTATTGTTAACCCAAAGTCCCAACTTGTGTTATGATGAATCTCACCATAGATCATCAATATGAATATGAATGTAACTTATCATTATGGCGAGCTACCTCGAATGGCCTCGTCTCTCCGAACGCGTTGATTGCAACCGATAGTAGCGACATCTGGATCATATACAAACAGTGATCACGCATGCTAGTTGTCAATCTCAGAGAAGCACTCGGTGTTGCGCTACATATATACTCTATATAAATAGTCAGGCACTTCGCAGTGATCCTATAAATGTGTAAATACAATCACGTAAATACTAGGTAGAGAGTAACACTAGTGAATGTAAACATTTTAAGCAATTTCATGATTATAAATAGTCATGTCCAAAATAAGGGATGAAATTAAAAGAGAAGTACCGTCAAGACCGCACGTATCGCGTTCGCAGGCGGATATACAGCGCCTGAAGTTAGAAAAATTAATGAAGAATCCTGTAAGTACACTTTGTTAATATAGTTAGTAGCTTTAATAATCACTACAATTTTGATTGTAGGATAAGATCATCGTCATACCCGAAAAACCCAAAGGACGTGGCCCTCCGGTAGTACCGGATTTCGTTCGCAATGTGATGGGATCAAGTGCTGGTGCAGGTTCTGGAGAATTCCATGTTTATAGACATCTGAGGCGCAAAGAATACTCACGGCAGCACTACATGCAGAAACGCGCCGAGTGGGAGCAACTAGAATCCGACTATCACAACAAAATATCCGAAAACCAACAAAAAGCCGATATGGAAACGGCAAAGAAACGCGCGAAACGATTGAAAAAGAAACAAAAGATGAAACAGGCTAAGAAAAAACCCCAAAAGGAGGAAAGTTCATCGGAAGAATCCAGCACAGAGGAAAGTGATGAGGACAAAACTGAACCTGCAGCCATTATGCAAACAGATACAACAGAGGACAAACCAGATGACAATGCTGCAGTTTAGAATAATAAAATTATGTATATTATTAGAATTGCTCTTATTCTCCATTTTCATTCAATATCATCACCATCATCATTATCATCAAGAGGAGACAATCTTCTTTAAAGGTGTCTCCAAATAGATTGCTAGTGCATTTGCTTTTTCCTTCAGCATACCGAAACCCACCGTGTTTCGCGCGTATAAACAGAGGAGCAAATGTGCCACCTGAGTAATGGCAATCCGGCCCTCCAGGCACTCCATCAGAATCACCTGTGGCCTATCTTCGCGGAATACGTTCATGCCGTTCTTCTCGTATGCGCACCAAATATTACTGGCGATGGCGGCAGTGACGCGGGCATCGTTATCGCCGTAGCCGCTGTATGCCAGCAGTGACCCTTCGGGATTTAACAATCTAGAACACAAAGCGACAAATTAGCAAACACAGCAAGATTAATCGTGCACGTATACGTACAGTGTATTTTCAACGCCGCCGGTGTTGGCCTGCCCGAGGACCTGCGAGAGCGCCTTCGGTCGTAACATTTTTGTTTCAGCGCTTTAAAACTGCTCTTTCTTGGTTCTTTCTACACAGGAATTGCGCTAGATCGATATGAGCGTGATGGTGACTATCATCATAAGCAGTTTACTCTGCTCTGTACTCGTATGGCATCACACTGCTGCATAGATTAGGTATATATTCACTGCTCGTTGATCTCACAGCGGGGCACAGGGCAATCATATGTACGAACAATACACCAACGTATGACATCAAGTATCGTTTGGATTTTAGTTCTTTGTCTGTGCATTCTGTTTCAATTGGCGCTAGTTGCGTGTTTAAGAGTTTACGTACATAAACTGGTTTCGAAAAATGACAAACTTATGCACAAAGTTATGTACATACGGGACATATTCTGTTGTTAGAAATTTTGATATATTTAACTACAATCTGCAGAGCAGGTATTATGTAGATATTTTCTATATTTTGTACATATTTCGCTTTCCAACTGTTAGATATACATTAGCGCAGTATAAGTTTTTGTTACGCATGCGCGGTCTCATTCACGTCTCTTGCACGTTGCTCACATTGCAACCTCAAAACTGCGCGAAACAATTTTAAAACCTCGGAGGCATATCATTGCGAATAACATTGAAGTGTCTATAAATGAACGTATTAAATCAATAAATCAGTGAAAAGAAGAATGAAAACCAGCAAGGGTAAAATAAAGCCACAAAAGCAAAACAATGCTAAAAAGTCCAGGAAAGACATTCGCCAGGCGAAGCGGTTGGCAAAGAAAGCAAAGCGTAATGAGTATTACACTAATCGCAACAAAATTCCTGGACCTGTGGTACCTGATGAAAATTCGGTGAAACCAATGAAACCAACAAAACGTAAAAGTCAGCCAACTAATGTTGCTCCTCATGTTAAAGAAAGCACCAAACCCATTGCAGACAATTCCTCAATAGCAAAGTGTGTTGAAAAGGAGAAGAAAGTACACAATGAACTGAAGGCAGTAATGAATAAACAAAGACATAAACAAATGATTGAAGCTAACTGGGAGGAAGATAAAAATATTAAAAAGTTGGAGAAGCAATTGAAATTGAACAAACGGAAAACCAAGAGTATTCCTAAAACATTTGCAGAAGATGGACTTGATTGTAAGTACCTCATTGATATTTTTCATTATTGATATATTCATTAATAATTTTATAATTTTGCAACAGATTTGCTGGAAATTTGTGATTCTGACAACAGGAGAGATATCATTGGCACAGAAATGGATACTGAAAAGATAAATGATGATTTTGATGAAGACTTTGATTTGATGATGGGTAAAACAAGTACTTCTCACAATAAACCAGAGGATGATGACACTGATGATGAATTTAGTGATGAATCTTGCAATGTTGACAACACTGAAGATTTTAGTGATGATGAAACCATGGATGTTTCTGCCTGTGAATCAGGCAGTGAATCGGAAGCAGAGAATTCCATGTCTGAAGATGAAGAAGTATCCGATGGTCATGAGGAGGAACTTGATACACACCAAGAAAATTTATCAAAAAACGAAGATAAAATGGTGCAAGATATTTACGGACGTTTGCGGCATGCCGATGGAAGCGTAGTACAAGAAAAGGTGTGTTGGATAATACTTCACAATTGTTTAATTAAATTTACTTGATTTTTACTCAATTTTAGAATGTTTCCAACAAATACGTGCCACCCGCAGCGCGTGCAGCTGATACTGACTCCACTCTCCTTCGATTGAAGCGGCAAATAAAAGGACTTATCAATCGATTGGCAGAAAGCAATATGCACAGTATATCCAGTCAAATCGAAGCATTATACAACGCAAATAGTCGCCACGACATGAACGAAACCCTAGCATCGATCATGTTCGAGAATTTGATTGTTTCCACGCCGTGCCCGGAGCGTCTGCTGCTGGAACACGTGCTATTGGTGACGATTCTACACGCCAACGTTGGCTCGGAAGTGGGCGCCTTCTTCCTGCAGTCGGTTGCACAAAAATTCTGCACCATCCTATCCGAATTCGTTGATAATGTAGAAGATAAGCGCATGGACAACGCAGTCAATTTCATTGCGCAGTTGTATAACTTTAAAGTAGGTAATGAATAAGATATTTTCTGATTAGATCCTTATTGATATCCTTATATTTTTGTAGTTGTTCAACAGTCATCTGCTGTATGAAGTTCTTACAAAGCTCGTGGATAAATTTGAGGAGAAGCACGTGGAATGCATTCTCAACGTACTGAAAAACGTTGGTTTTACTTTACGCAAGGATGATCCAGCTACGCTGAGGACGTTGATTCAAACAATTCAATCGAAAGCTGCGCCGGAATTGACGAATAATAAGTGTGTATAGTCGAATATCATTTCATATGCATTTAATATGATAAATTTTTTTAGTCCTCGAGTTAAATTCATGCTGGAAATACTCTTGGCGATCAAGAATAACAATGTGAACAAAATTCCGAATTATGATACCAGTTATAGTGAACATCTGAAGAAAATTACGAAGTCTTTCATTAGAACAGGCAATTATGTAACGCAGTTGAATATTAGCTTGGAGGATTTGCTAAAAGGTAAACATTTCAGTCAAAAAAACGAAAATTTTCATAACGTGCGCAACGATTTTCAGCTGATGAGCAAGGAAAATGGTGGGTGGTGGGATCCGCATGGGCCGGGAAACGCGAGAGCGCACAATTGGACCAACAGACACCCGTCACCGCTAAAAGTACCTTCTCGAACAAGCTGCTGGCGCTGGCAAAGAAACAACACATGAATACGGATACTAGAATCAATATATTTTGTATACTAATGTCTGCCGAGGTGAGTACAATGGCTGCTTATATTCTAACAATAACTGCGTTGTTGGCTGCGTTAGAACTCATCGCAGGTTGTATGTGCGGCAATTTCCTCGCCGTCACCAGCGCACTCATACTCGCAGAAATTGTAGAATTCGCGATTGCTCACGGTGCATATGGGTTGGTAGTCGGCTACTGCGCAGCCGCAGCCGCATTCCCTAGTATAGGCAATGTCAAGCTCGGGTATGGCGGCTTTGGCACACTCGAACGCGCAGCGGTTGTGATAGGTGAGGCCATCAGTGCCGCAGAGAGGCGCTGGGAGACCATCGCATTCGCACCCTGCGCACTCACCTCGATGAACTAGTGAGAGTGCGCTTTTTCGCCGGGTGGCGCACTTGAAGTTGCAGTCATTGGCGTAGGTAACTTTGTCGCTACCGCAGATGGGGTCGTATTCGCGCGTGCACGCACACCACAAGGCTTCGGCAGTAGCCTGCGCTTCTTTGGGTTCATCTAATTGGTACGAACCGGCAACCATTGCCGCCACCACCAGAATACAAACAATGGAAACTTTCTGCATTTTGCAATTACTGCGCGTTTGATTGAAGCTGATTGTTGACTGCTCATCTGAAGCTTACTGCGCGTTTTTATAGCAAGATTTTATTCAGGTTTTGTTTGTGCAGTTCACTTGTCACATGGCGAAGCAATCGAATCGATTGTGCAAGTGCAATTGACCTGTTTTTGCTATCTATTGCATTGATTTCAGGATTATATGGACGCTTTTGAGAAACTTCTGCACCTCGGCCTGAAGAACCAACAGGAACGGGAAATAATTAATGTGCTGTTGCACTGTAGCCTGTCCGAAAAAGCCTACAACCCGTACTATTCGGTGCTGGCACAGAAGTTCTGCGACTATGACAGGAGGTTTCAAGTACGGGCATTTCCTACGCTTGCAGTTTGCACAGTTACTAATGAAATTGCAAATGTTTGCAGATGATTATCAAGTGTTCGATCTGGGATAAACTACAGACACTTGTAGATTGCTCACCGGCGCAAATTTCAAACCTCGCCAAACTCCTCACGCATCTCTTTCTGGAAAAAGGGCTGCCTATATCTACATTGAAGGTATACAACCAAAAACACATGGTCATAACCTAGCTTGTAACATGAATATCTTTGGCATGTTTCAGATTGTACAATTCGGGGAGTTGGATAAGGTGACGCTGCGTTTCATGCGCCAGATCTTGCTTGGCATCATCCTCACTCCTGACGCGGAGCAGTGTCAGGAGGTTTTCTTGAAGGTGTGCCAATCAGACAAGCTGAAAATGTTCCGCGAAAGTCTACGTTTGTTTATTCATCATTTTCTATTGCGCAATCTCCGCAAAGATGGCGGGTCACGAATGGACGAGGCGCAGAAAAGCCTCCTGGAAGGTCGCGCGAAGATGCTTGATAAGCTTCTCCTGAGCGCGAATGATCGAAAGAGGAAACTCACCTAGGTGAATGTTCAAAATAAGTAAAAATCTACACTGAATGTTGTATGTTTTTATTTCCTAGTTTATATATAAAAAAAAGTATTTAAAACGCAAATGCAGGCATCCTCATCACTTCGAATGCTTGTAGAAACCCTCTCCAGTCTTCATTCCGAGCTTGCCCTGCTTCACCAACTCACGCAGCTTCTCGGGAGGCGCAAACAATGGATTGTCGGGATACTTCTTATGCCAGCCCTCAACAATGAAGGCAGTTGTATCCAAACCAACGTAATCCGACAATTCTATTGGGCCCATCGGATAACCAGCGCCTAACTTCATCGCCGTGTCGATGTCGCGCGCGGTAGCATCCCCACGCTCCAGCATGCGCACCGCCTCTGCCATGTATGGCACCAGCAGTCGGTTAACAATAAAACCGGGTGTATCTTTGCACGTGACGCATGTTTTACCCACCGCTTTACCCCATGCCATCATCGCTTGGTATGTTTCTTCGTTAGTCTCAGGGATGCGGATCACCTCAAGCAGGCGCATCACCGGCACTGGATTGAAGAAGTGCAGCCCACCGAAGCGATCCTTGCGGTTGGTAACGGAGGCGATCTCACTGATCGGCAATGAGCTGGTGTTGGACGCAAAGATTGTTTTTGCTGGTGCCGCAGCGTCAATCGCTTTGAACAATTTATGCTTTACGTCCATGTTCTCAACGATGGCCTCAATGACGAGATCAGCATCCTGCACGCCTTCTTCAGCGCTGGTGACGCCGCGCAACCGCTTCAGGGTCTCACTGATGAAGCGATCACCGTCAGCAGGCTTCTCCTTGAACATTTTCTTGGCAACACGGCCGAGGCTATTCTGGATACCGGCCTGCGCCTTCTTCAACACATCAGTGTTCAGCTCTACCAATGTAACATTGTGGCCGGTAGCAGCGGAGACCTGAAATTGTAAAACATCGTCAATGAATCTGCTTGTAGTATAATTTTGGTCAACCCACCTGAGCAATCCCCGATCCCATCAAGCCGCCTCCAATAATGGTCACATTTTTGATGGTGGCCTGGCGTACGGCCGAAGTCGACAGAGACCGTTTGATGATACTAAGAGGAGTAGCCATTTTCGCCCGCTTTGCGACACCAACTAATTCACGTCGCCACTTTTTGGTACGATTTCAGATGGGTTCAGATAAGAAATGATTTCGCCGGGTCCAAAGTACGAACTTAAGTCTACAGTCTACAGTCCACACCAACACCATCCAAACCCCAATGCTGTGTCCAAACGCCGAGTATACTGAGTAAGGTGGGAGAGATTATTAAATTGCACTTGGACTTGGAACATGATGAGGGGATACTGCTTCAGTTAGTAAACATAACATATATTATGATCGATTTAATATTAGTGTGTAATGAACACCCAATAACTAGACTTTCAACTGTTTAAATATATTATAAACATAGATTGTAGATTATAAATAACTGATCTGTATACAGATTAGTGTTATAAGCAAGTCATAAGTGTGTGTGTTATACAACAGTATAACTGGTTGCCTAACAAGCAACAACCAAGGTGTCCAAATGCGCTGTACGAATATGTATGCTTGCTTGACAAGCATTTTGATTGAAGCAAGCTTGACGTATACACAAGCAAACAAATCAATCAAATTGTAAACACGAATTACGTATTCAAAAACGAAGGCAAAATAATATTTGTGTTTTTTTTTTTTAGTTTATTCATCACATAATATATTAAATTTTACACTGCGTACAGTTGAAGATGTCAATTAGTCGAAAATAAAATAAAATCCATAACATGATACAGAATTCAAAAAGAAAATTAAATAAATAATAATACGTGCGGGGAGCTATCGCAATTCGGTATTACATTCAATGATTCGGAGACAATTCTTTATTTTTATCAGAAATTAAAAAGCACTGCTTAAACTATTCTACCTAGCCGTACTTAGTTTAAGAGGGCATATATGTATTGTCGCTAAGTCTTTGCTGACAACAAATACAAATCTCACATCTGTGAACTGACCTAAAGTACACGACCTGATACAAATGTATAAATAAGTACATTCTCGCATGATTTTATATTCATTTATATGTACAATCAAAAACAATCATCATTTCTTCCGTTTGACTTTGGTACGCCCACGTTTCTTCTTATTGGTTGTCTCTTTTTTGCCGCTTTTTGCTGTTTTGGGTGCGGGAATAGTGCCGCCCGGCCGTTTGGACACAAGAAGGTGCTGTTCCACAAGATCCGCCAGTTTTCCCTGCTGTGCCAGCATCGAGAAGAATGTACAGATGAACTCATCGTAGTTGTGTGTACGCCGGCAGTCATCAATCTGAAAAGTATCACAACAATAACGAAGTAAAGTAACGATGAAAAGATAAATTACCTTATATTTATTCTGTTTGTCATTCTCGTCCTTTAAGTTAAGTTCGCAGACGCAGATCTCACTCTCCAAGTTGCGCAGAAGCGCAAGTAGATCCTGCGGCGCAAATGTGTGCGGTTCAAGCAATTCAGGGTTTTTCTCAGCGACAACAGTATCACCGTCACTGGTCCTTACACGTGCATGCCCCGTGTTCGGTTTCTTTGAATTTTGGGCATCCGGAGGCGCCGTCGCCGCGTCGATTTCGCCCTCCACGCGAATAACGACAAAGCGCTTGAAGTCCTTGCAACTAGGGCTATTCTGCGCCGCAGCCCAGTTGAAGGCAGCAGTTGGCGAATTGAACGCAGATCCCATCTCGCTAAAAGTGTCGGTGCTGCTGGTGCTGGGTGCTGGAGAAGTCTGAATGGTCAACGGAGTGGAATAATCGAGTGGACGAAGCGTCACCTTTTTCATTTCAAGCGCAGATGGCTGCGTTGGCATCGGTGATGCACAAATAGATAATTCCACATCAGCCCGCTCGATGCATGGCGGTGCCGGCGCCTCCGTGGACTCATCGGCATCAACAAGTGTGCAGGTGACGGAAGGTGTCAGATTTGCGCTAGCGCACGACAGAGCAGGCGCACTAGCTTCGCGCTCCTGCTGCTTCTGCTCAGTATGCTTGATTTTCATCAACTGCTGCAACGCGTCTAGCACAATTTGTCGATTAGTCTTGAGCATTTTCAGTTTATGTGTAATAGCCAGCCTCTTGTCCGGTACCACTGCCATGAGATTAAAGCGAATGTCGTGATACTGCTCGCCAGAAGTGAGACCCAGCCGGTCGCCAATCACACTACGAAACTTCTCCGTCCAGTCGGAGTTTTCACTCCATGGCCCGTGATCTATAGGAAACGGTTTCAGGCCGTCTAGTTCGAACAAATGTCCGTCAATGGGAACAAAGCTAACGAAGTGAAATGCTTCGCCTGTAAAGCGACCTGTCGATACCCCGCATACCTTATCGAGTTTTCGTTTTGCTTGTGGCATTGCATGTGAGTTATGTGCACAGGCCAGTTCTGGGGTGTTGCTGATAGCCCAACCCTTATTGTCTGGGCTCATGCCATGTGTGTGCTGCTTTAAGCGGCTGAGCGTGTCTCCCAGTTGAATGTTTGAGCAATTTAGCAGAATTGAGATGAGTGCATGTGTAGCACAACTGTTGGGTACCATTTGCTGGGCAAAGAAGATGTTGTTAACCGCCTCCTCATCCTTGACGAACGTTTCAGTCTGCTCGACAATCTTGCGACGTGAACGGCGCTCCTCAATCCAGCGAAATAAAAAGATATAACCATAAACAGGACCTTCCAGTGCCTTGTTCAGATCATAGATTTCCTCCACCTGTACACCTTTCACGCCGAAATCTTCAAGTAATAACGTGAAGAGACCAGGATCGCTTTCTAGTTCTAGCCAACCTTCAGTCAGCTCCTTGATATCAACCGGCATAATCTTCATTTTGCGCTTTAATTTGCCACATTCATCAATTTGAACTAAACCTTTGGTATTCTGCAGCAAACATAACCACGAATGCACGAACGTTTCGTGGTTTTTTTCGGCAATGCTTCTTCTTGATATTATGTTATTGTTATTGAGTGCTACTACTGCTTGTGTACTGTTTATTACTCGTTTGACTTTTTGGACACACCATCTTTGTGCTTTAGGCATACAGTTTGTCTGTCATTTCATGCAAGCCGGAGTCACTTGTTCAGATTTTGTTTGTGATCGAATTGTTCGGCTAAATTAAGTCTGTTTATCGTAAAAAGCATATTTTTGCAAATACTATATTTAGCATGTTATTATCTATATTATGTTGAATAGAAAAAATTGGAAGATGTTGTTTTCGAATGTAGTTCATAGATGAAATGTAGATGGCGCTTGGTCTGTCAGTAGTCCGATCTCTCGAATGTTCGAATTTTGTTTAGTTATAAAAGTAAAACGATTGCAAGCGAATACAAAGAAAGTGGAGTAGTTTTACCTTTTTTTTTTTAATCAGACTACACAATACTCAATGCACAATACGTTGAAAGTGTAAGTTACAGTTATTGTTTTATTCAGGAAAATTACAATAAATATAAAACATTTTCCAGAGATAATTTTAAAAACTCTTTAAAAACCAGTCAGCAACCTTGGAAGTGATGTAAAAGTTGCAAAACCATCGGATATAAGACTAGCTAACGTCGTTTTATCGGTGCGTATGTACTGGAAGAATTTTCCGTTACCAGCCGCAGTTTCTTCAGCTTCCACAATTTTGGCATTTCCTTTCAAAGCTTCCAAAATTGGATGAACGCTTTCCAAGACGCCATGTGCCAGCTCAAGCATGCGGTCCATCTCTGACAGCGCCGGTATGTTAACAGCTTTTATCAAGTCCCTGAAAACCTCAAGCGTTTTCATTCCGACCACCATAAAGTCAGCACGCGTGAAACCCACAGCCAGTTCTCGAAGATTACCGACTATCTTCAGCACCGCGGCGGGATTTAATACTGCGATGAATTGTTTTATATTTTTTATTCCGTTGGGTTTACTTTAATTTGATTAAATGACTTACAACCAGCAAATGGTATAGATTTTAATGTGGCCACCGGCCTGGTAATTGCCGACAGAATCGGCACTTTAGGCAGTTGATGGCTGGATTTCGTCTGGATCGCCAGGATCACCGCGAGGAGAAACAACTTGCGTGCAATCATTGGAGCGAATGTGCGATTTTCGGCCGGAATTGAAAAATTGAAAATTCATTATCGTCGCAGCGATTAATTTTATGCCAATTTAAGTAGAAAATTGAAAAACATAATTAAATCAATATTTTTTTATTGATTATTTAATGGAAATACGATTTTGATTAAGAAAATTTACAAAAACACATTATGTGTATTATATTATGTTTTATTTGATGATATTTTACGGTAATTTAATTATTTTTCAATTTCCAATTTCTTTATTTACGAAAACAAAACAGATTCATTTTAATCGAGTGATAAAAGTAGTTGCTTGAGCCTTGTCCCACACCTTGTACATATTTAAACAAGTTAAGCAAGTCACTAGGAAACAAGCGCCGTGTGAGTGCTATAACGGCGTCAACATGGTGAGCGAAAAGGACTTTGATCCGGCGGTAAATAACTTCGCTCGACGTGTTCCTAAGATTGGCCCAATACGCGCGCGGCAGGATCACGCCGCGCTCGCCGCAGCTGCGACACTCTGTGTGCGAGGTAGCGCGATAGCCGGCTCACAGTGTCTCGACGGACGCGGCAGTGGAGCAGTCATAGCACGCAGCAACATTCCAGTTCCAGTTCCAGCAAGTACGCATCATGGCAACAAGACAACTTCTCCGCTTCCTGAACAACGGCAGCCAGCAGGCGCTTCTGGCGAAGCAACTCGGTGCCGCCCGATTTTACAGTGCAGGCAGTAAGTGTCAAATGAAAGAAAAAGAAAAGTTTCAAATTTGAGCGAATGCGCGCACGTTGTGTTCAAAAAGTCAACAATTGATTAAAATTACATGCTCGGATTACATCACTAATAATAGAACGCGTTGCTGGTAGTTCGCTGATAGCGCGCCGAGTGCCGCTTATCTCGTTGCCGGTTATGCAAATGTAAACGTAACCGCAGTTGTTTGTTTAACTTTCAGGCTATGAATTCATCAAGGTCGAGGTGGTCGGCGAGCAGAAGAACGTCGGCCTGATCACACTCAACCGCCCGAAAGCCCTCAACGCACTCTGCAATGGTTTGATGTTGGAGGTCAACAATGTGATTCGTGATTTTGAGAGCGACAAGAAGGTGGGCGCGATTGTTATCACCGGCAGCGAGAAGGCATTCGCCGCTGGTGCTGATATCAAGGAGATGCAGAACAACACGTATGCGCAATGTATCCGCAGTAATTTCCTCAATCACTGGAACGGCGTGGCGCAATGCCGAAAACCTGTCATCGCTGCTGTTAATGGTTTCGCTGTGAGTGCTACCATGCAAGCATCACCGCTCATCATAAACTAATATTGATATATTTTGTGTGTTATTACAGCTTGGTGGTGGTTGTGAGCTTGCGATGATGTGCGACATTATCTACGCAGGCGAAACCGCTAAATTCGGTCAGCCAGAGATCCTGCTGGGCACAATTCCGGGCGCCGGCGGCACCCAACGTCTTACACGTTACGTTGGCAAGTCCAAGGCGATGGAGATGACGCTCACTGGCAACCAGGTGAACGCCGTCGAGGCTGAGAAGATGGGTTTGGTGAGCAAGGTGTTCCCGGTCGGCAGTCTCGTCGACGAGGCAATCAAACTGGCTGAGAAGATCGGCAAGAACTCGCCGCTCATTGTGGCGCTGTGCAAGGAAGCCGTTAATACCGCATACGAAACTACGCTGGCCGAGGGTCTGCACTTCGAAAAGCGCACTTTCCATGCCACATTTGCCACCAAGGATCGTCTGGAGGGCATGACTGCCTTCGTTGAGAAACGTGCTGCCAACTTCACAAACGAATAAAAATTTTATAGATATTATATTCTATATTAACTTGTTTTTTGTATGTGCGCATAATAAACGTACGCGTGGACGAGTGCAAATGGCTCACGATCTAGGAGACATCTCGTCCGCGTTATTTTTGGGTATAATTCAATTGTATAATGTAAAAGTAATAGAATAATTTTCAAAATTGTACTGCTTGCTTGCCGGAGCATGCGCAAGTTAGGCAAACCAAGCGACCGCTGTGGTCTTATCTGGTAGGGATAACATGACAAGGAAAGCTGAGAGCGTCGCTACCATCGCTATATGGTTGCTGTGTAACCTGTGTAGCACATCGTATACAATCGCGTTCATTTCGCGTCAGTATTTGTTTTTGTGCTTGCGTGCGGTTTGTTTTCGCCTGTAGAGTATCAGTGCCGCCGACGCGATGGCGAGCACCGAGCAAATCGGATTGAATAAAACATGGGAGCTGTCGCTGTACGAGCTGCACCGAACCCCGCAGGACGCTATCTTAGACAGCACCGAAATCGCAGTGTCCCCGCGCTCGTTGCACAGCGAGCTGATGTGCCCCATCTGCCTTGACATGCTGAAGAAGACCATGACGACCAAAGAGTGCCTGCATCGCTTCTGCTCCGAGTGCATCATAACCGCACTGCGGTCAGGCAACAAGGAGTGCCCGACATGCCGCAAGAAGCTCGTATCAAAGCGCTCATTGCGTCCGGACCCCAACTTCGATCTGCTCATCTCCAAGATCTACCCCAGTCGCGATGAGTACGAAGCGCATCAGGAGCGCGTGCTCGCCAAGCTCAACAAAAGCCACTCACAGGCGGCGCTTGTTAATTCCATCAACGAGGGCATCAAGCTGCAATCACAGAATCGACCAAACCGCTCACGCAAAGCCAATGAAGAAGGCGGCGGCGGTGGTGGACCTGGAGGTGGTGTAGGTGAAGGAGATGCTGCACCTTCCGCAGCCGTCATAGCACCATCCGCACCCTCGAATAGCAACTCCACAGCGCCCGGCAGTCCTGCGCCTTCTGGACGCAGCACACCTTCACAACCACCAAGCCCGGTCTCATCTAGTGTCAGCTCCGTCAGTAAGATGGGTAAACGTACCAAGAGTACACTCACGTCTGAGCGCAGCGAGGAGTCCGAGTCCTCCGAGCGAACCGAACAGACCGACACTGAAGGTGAAGGCGGCCCATCCGAACCAGCCACACTCAACGAAATCGAACTAGTATTCAAACCGCATCCTACTGAAATGGCAGGTGACAATCATCTTATTAAAGCGCTTAAAGAGAGCTCGGTGCGTTATCTCAAGACGACCGCCAACGCCACCGTCGATCATTTACACAAGTACCTCGCAATGCGGCTCACGCTTGACCTCGACTCGCAACTCTCGCAGACGCACAACCTGCTCAACTTCTGCATCTACATCAGCCCCGCCACCGGCCAGTACGTGCAGCTCAGCGGTAATCAAATGCTGGGACCTGTTAATGATAAGTATTGGAAGGTGAACAAACCTCTGGAGATGTACTACTCGTGGAAGAAGAGTTAGGGGTTGCAGCGGGGGCCGCGCAGCTCCGGTGTAAATAAGTTTAATTCCTTCAACAATTATAAATGATGTCTATGTTGTGTAGGTGGGGTAGCTAGCTGCATGTGTGTGCGATTTTAAATAAAACACCTTTATTTCTTCAAATTGTATCGTCGTAACAAAATATTGCGGTATTAAAACTCACGCAATCACAGTAATAGGTACAGTGTTGGACGCAGGTACAAACGAAGAAGCGCTGCTGCTGCTGCTGCTGAGGCGACAGCGGTACTTAGTTGTGCGCGCGCCGACGGCGGCGGCGACTGCGCACAGACGAATTGCATAGCCGGATGGTACGCGACTGCCGACGGCGCATCGCCTTCAGCATGCGGCATACGTACACGCGCCGCTGTCGCACCGTGATCAGCCATTTGCCGTACGGCCAGGTTGGGCGCGACGAGGCACCACATGAGATCAACATTCCCGTTTCCATGTTCCAGCAGGCACGACCTTGTCGGTAGAACGCCACGATTTCCCCGTCACGCATACACGCCTTCCTCAGCCTGCAAACGCAAACGTAAACATCAAAATCAGTTGAATATATTGTACAATATATTGACGTACCTATTGAAGCCTCGAGGTGGCTTGTACAGCTGGAGCGGCTTGTGCGTATAGTCTGCCAGATTGATAGCAGTCAGACGTAAGCAGTTTAACCGGGGCAGCTGCTGCAGCGCGAAGATAAAACCGCGATCGCAACGGAATGTCGTCTTCGCGAGGTCCGTGTCGCTGGGTAACTTGATGGTGTGCACTAATTTCTCCATTAGCCAGAAGGACATCAAGTCTGGTGCACAGCCCACAGTCATACGGTAATCATCTGCAATTATTCATCAAAAATTTCTATTTATACAATTCATTCAAAGCCAGTTAATTAAATCGTACCTTCGACGACGTGCAAACTCTCAATACGATGAGGCGATTTTTCGTGTTTGTAGACTTCTACAGATTGGTAATCGGGAGTAAAACAATAACTATTTATTTGCCAATTCGATGTCGAAGAAGACATGGTGCCCACCAACGACTCAAAGTACACCGTCACGCAATTCAGCTCCTGCACGACCACAAACTGCACATGCTTGGCGTACCTGCAACAATATGACACGAACGTAGATTAAAAAAGAGTGAAAACAATAGAAATAACTATTTGCATACCCTGTGAACTTATCAAGTTGATGAATTTTGCGCGTAGGCACATGATCGGTATTCCGCCGATAATACAACACGACAAACAGATCGCAACCGGGCACCATGCAGTTTTCGTGTATGTGCTCTTTGCAGAAAAATTCAACGTACACGATGCCCTGATCCGGTGTGTGTAGAATACAATCGCGCGTTGTTTTACGCACGCATGTATCATCGAACGACAACCGGGCGACATCGCTGCGCGGAATCCACATGCCCTGCGACTCAAGAAACATTCCCAATCCACTCTGTTGGAAGAAACTCACGCGCTCCGTCTGCGCCACTACCAAGTGATAGCCGGCGTAGTAGCAGCCAATCACGGCGCCGCCATCGCGTGGCAATATGGCGGCGTTGTCCGCAGGTACATGTTGTGTTCGTCTGCGCACCATGTTCATAGCTGGTCGTGCGGGTGATGGCGGTACGCAGTATGTGTGATCCGAGTGTGTTGGGTGCACGTATGGTGCGGTGGTATGGCTGCGCCTGGATAGATCGACGAACACGCAATCTTTAACAGGTGCATCTTCAGAGGCGTGTGGTACAACCATATTAGCTGCATCAGTCTTGGAGGCGACGTGTATCACGTCAATTATTGGCGATGTAATGACTGCTAGAGTGTGTGACGACTCGACGTCTATGGCATCCTCAATTTGTTTCGCCTCGTGATGATTATTGTTCATCGATTCCGACATGTCCTGGTCTCCTCCACCAGTGAACAATGGAGGCGTATTCGGATAAGTTTGGTTATGTTGCATTCCTTGTATTCGTGTATAGAACTGATTGGTTTTTAGCACATCACATGCGGCTGATTCATCAATCTTAAAATCCTTCTTCACGCAATAAATGATCGAAACGGATGCATTGCACGAATCCTTGTAAGCGGCAATTTCGATCTCGGGAACAGTTCCCATATCGGTGGGTTCACTGCTCACTGGATCTTTTAACGGTCGTGTCAGTGCGGTGTAGTTGTCAAAAGTTTCACTGTTTTCCAATGACTTGAAAGTAAACATGTTGAGGCTACCCATCACTGCACTGTTGAGTACATCACTTTTACCCTTGAATATAATATGCTTAAAGCGACTATTAATGTCCAAGCAGAGCTGCTGTTTTAGGTCTGTGGCCTGCACATTGTTATTCTCAGCATGCTCACACTTTTCATTCGCAGTCAACTCCTGATTCTGCAGATGCTCTTCTTTAACCTTCCGCACTTTCCGAATGCGGAGCGAGCGCCGTTTCAGAAGAGGATTATTCTCATTGCCTACTTTACCTGCTGGCTGCTTCATCAAATTCAAATATGAACACAGTTCATTCTTGCGATCTATTGAGATGCTAGGATCTAGGGCTACATCTGTACCTTGTGTACTGCTAGATATGGAGTCATTCTGTGGCAAGGGCGTGTTTCTGTTAACTTGCGCTTCGGCGAGTATCTCGGGCGCAACCACGTCGTTGGGACGCTTCCGTACGGACCCAGTGCGGGTCCATTTATGCATCACAACAACCAGAACGCAGATCGAGGTTATATCGAGGCCTGAAATAAATTCAAATTTGAAGATTGCAAGTGTCGCGTCCAAGCGAACAATGTATGACATGCAGACCTTACCAGTGAACAAATGGAACTCAATATTGCGACGAGGTTGCAGCAAACTCTTTTTTGAATCGTATTAGCCATGACTAAACAACACTGCTAAGCACACTCAATAAACGAAGGACGCACAGAGAAGGACGCATTCAACACAAACATGACAGAAACAAATAACAGTAGACCACTAGAGTGGCGTTTAAGAGGGGGGATTTGAAGTACAGCAGCGCCACTCAAAAAATAGTTTTTTTGTTTTATATTCGTAAAACAATGCGATTATTTAAAAAACCACTACACACATACGGTGAGTAATTAATTGTTGTTTAATATAGTATATTTGTTAGTTTAGAGATATTCTAATTTTATTTAAAACAGATTTTTGCATTTTATTCAAAAACTGTGTAATTAAACCGCACTAAAATTTGACTCTGTATTGTTACACCAAACTTTAAAGTTTAATTTTGCTGGGTTTCAAACACGAAGTATCTATATTTCGTGGTTTCCGAGATCAAGTCTTTGTCGTTTTTGACGGAAAGTCTAAACACTGAATCTCTAAACATTCATACGTAGGTTCTGTCATTATTTGCACTTTTTGCCGCCAGATGGCAACACACGAAAAATCAACAAGTGCATTCATATGCAAAAATGCCGAAAGGTGAGTGACGCGCGTCATTTCATACACGCTGGAAAAAATCGTGTGCAATTTAAAATAGCATCATCCGTAATATGCCCAATAATCGTCGATTTCAATTCGTATACCCATCAAGCAGGTGAATGCCCAAAATAATTGGGCCAACCGCGCGGACGAAACTTGAACCGGTTAGGTGCGTGTAGTTTTCTTCTAATGTGCCCATCGACAGTCTGGATGGACTCAAGATGGCCTCTATCTGTGAAGTTTAGATATGTATCTCCGCTTAGCACTGTGCGTACTGTGCATGCTGTGGTGCATGCATTGTTTAGCAATGTTTAGTCAGTGAGCATTTAGTGAATCAGTTTACATTGAGCAGTGTGAGGAAATAAAATACTCTCCGGAGTGAAATTCCAACGAAATTTTGGTTTGCACGCTACGTTTACTGTAACTCCTGAAGCGTAAGAAACAATGGACCACAAAGGATGATTGGATCGCGAGCGGAACGACAATTAAGTGGTAAGTCGCCTATAACCTCACTAGATGATGCGTATGATGGTGGAGTGCGGAAGTTATGCCAGAAAACAAAAACAAAAAAAAAACTGATAAAAGACGCAGTTTATATACGGTCATATTTCACTTAATAATAAAATAACATTAATGCATGAATCGAAATCAGTTCAAAGCGAATGATGCATGCATTCAGAGATCACTTCTAATCACCCTGGACCATGTCCCATCCAGCCGCGCAGTGCGTCTGCTCGGACCAGTGACCCAACAAGTCCGTATACGTCTTCTTCGTCGTGAGATCGTTGTAGTTGAGCGCCTCGCAGGCGCGGCAGTAGTGGTACGAAGGTGTTTGAAAGTACCCGTGCTCGTTACGCACCTCGAAGTATCGGCGCCATTGGAAATATTCGGCGAGGCGGTCAGGCGCGTCCAGCAGGTAGTGCAGATAGAAGGCTAAGTCGCGCGGCGAGGCGAAATCGTCGACGTTGATGTAGGAGTGCGGCGGCAGCAACTGCGCGTAGTTGCGTCGTGAAGGTGCGCCGCCCATGACGATGGGGATGGCATCCTTGGCGTATGCGTTCCACCACAACTTCTCGGTGATGTATTCGTCGCAGTTGGAGTTTTCGAAGGCTAGGTAGAAGCGGTACGCAGCCAGTTTAGGGCAGTCCTTGGTGAAATGACCAGGACACCTGAAATTCAACAAAAAACAAGAAAACTTTCAGAATGTTATTGTATTATTGTTGATTTGACTTACTCTAGAGTTCCGCATCCGCCGTAGAAGTCAACATCGATCCATTTACGCAACTCGGCAACATATTCCCAGCGGTGGTTTTGTGATCCACAATTTGATCCCATTACCGCTATGGGCGATGTGTTTGATCGGTTTGTCAACCAGGCGGAAAAGTCAAAAGAACGGTCGTTATCAATGCGTCGTTTTGCCACTGTTCGCCCATAGGGCACCGGAATATCCGAATCCATTCTAAAGTTTTTAAGTAAAAATTTAAAAATGATATTTTATTTCTTTGATGAAATATACTTGCCTGTAGTGCATTGACCAATTAAACAACCCGTTGTAGGCATTGAAATTATGCTGTCCGTTGAGAAAAGTATGCGTGGGACTTTCATCTGTCGAGAAAGCCCAAATCTGCTCGGGACGTCGCACGGGCGGCATATCCTCCACGTTTTCAGTGCGGTGCAGGTGTAATATCACCATGTCTGCTCGCGCTGCCGCCGCATCTTCATAGGTAACTACGCAGTTCTTCACCGCACACCTCGCAAATGGATCCACCCTGCCAACAACTCGAAATTAATATTGTCACTTCTTCATTTTGATATTTACGCGCACATACTCTTTGTCCGAATATTGCTTCATGTGACGGTCATGTGTTGTATACCCGTACTTCCACACGAGGATTAAAAAGGTTCGATTGCGTGCCGCTGGTGGATCCTCATCTAGGTACAACACTCTTCCTAGTCTCGACAGGCTAGCTGTTTGTGTAGGACTCAAATGTCGCCAGTTACCATTTCTATTCATGGAGAGTCTGTAGTTGTCGAAACTGCCCGTCGGTGTTATTATTGTGTCTGCAGTTTGCGATGTTAACGCACATCTCGGATCTGTTGTGAGCAATAATGTGGTCAGGATGGTTAGCGCAAGCACCGCGACGAAGAGTAGCTTCACGTTCTTTCCCGATTTCAGATGTGGCATCGTTATCATCGCTCACGTGGATGCGAATGGTTAAAGATCTATTTAAAAACCGCTGGCCGATTAAATTTCGGTGATAACAAGACTTAACACATGATATAAATAAACATCATAAAATGATACTTACTGCCGTGTTACGTCGCACTCGGCACTTTCGACTTGTACAACTTTTGGGTTTAGACTAAATCTACATTTTGTGAATTTAAGTGAATTGCTCAAGACGCACCGGAAAACATTTGTGCGGTTTTCTCTGAACCGTTAAAACAAACGGCAAGAAATTTGTCGGATAAAAAGCAGTGCGAGTATGAAACTACCACAGAACTCGCGTTATTTAAAAATTTCAGATTTGTAATTAGCGTCCACGTAAAATTCGCATTTGGATTATTAATCCACTAGATTAGTTTTTGATTAACCTGATTACGAAAATAAATCAATGTTACAGTGGTTTTATTGATTGAAAACTGAGGAAACACCGCGCAATTTTAGTAGAAAACACTAAGTGATGCAAAGCGATGCGAACGTTTTGTGATATTGATTTTATTCGACAGGATCGAGCTTTGTATAACCGTTTTTGATAGAGAAGTTTATCACATTGTGAAAGGATACTTAATGGGCACATCCATTGTGGGTTATGGAGTATATGTATTATGAAATTTGCTTATCGGAGCTGGTATGGTGGTAAGCGTTATCATTTTGTTTCGGGGTTTGTTGAAGTAGATTATGATTGCCTGTGTACACTTTCAGAAAATTTCGTCCCTGAAACAATTCCTCTGATTTTTTAAAAATATTTTTTACTTACAATATAAAAATTATTTGTTATCTTGTGTACAGTTGAGATTTACATACAACTTGACATCGCACCAATGACCAATTTTTAAGGTATATTACACTTAGAATCTGTTTAGAACTGCTGTTTAGAATTTAAAAAAAGTTTCTTCTGGTACAGTTAGTTCGTACAGCAGTAATGACGCAACATACGTACATAATAATTAAAGAACTAAGCTGAATTTAAGCTGAAAGTTAGCTCTGCATCCTTGTTGAATTGTTTAATTCAAGTTTTAAGTTAGATTTACGTTTCATATGACAAATGCATGTTATTTTATGTTGTGTTATTTTCAATACATTTTTATCCTTGTGGCGTTGTAGAATTAACATGTGAGGTTAGAGAAGCCGAAATAAGTAAACAATTTTGACAGCTACAAGAATAATATAATAATAATTAATAAATGTGCATTTGGATGCATTTGCAATATGAAACAAAATAACATTTCATTAACATTATAATCCAGACGGCATCTATCTCTTATACACAAGCTTACTTTAATATTTGTTTTCGTACAGAACAAACTTACGGCAATCTTTATTGACGCCTACTATTAGTGAACCACTTGCATTAACTCATGAGAATTGCGCGTTTGCATGAAACTGATTTAGACTTACAAATACTTGACGAAAAATCAATTTTATTAAACCGTTTTTAAACTATTAAAGAAAACAAATTGCAGATTTAAATATTTAGGGACTAAAAATCAGTTGTTTTTTTTTTACATTAAAAAATAGAAAGAATATTATTTTCAGATAATATATTATTGGTTTTAAACAGAATGCTGTGTAAACAAACAAGAAATTGCTGAAATTAAATAATAATATATTAACACGGCCGTTTTCCGAACAGCTTTCATACAAGTTACTCTAGATTTTAATAAACAACACAATATTTTAATCTACGGGACGCCTACCTATGTTTACAAATTTTCTACCTGCGTTCACCACTCGTTCAGCCGTACGAAGTTGTTTCGTAGTTTGCATGCCGAACGATTGTGAATTTGTACTGCAAAGTTAATGTTTTGCAAACAGTAGGTCTGAATAACTAAGCCCAAAAGTTAAAAATTGATATTTGATAGATGTAACAAATGTGCAATAGAACTTGGCATTAAAAATTAAAATTCATCACCCTGCGCATCGGAATGTTTACCCTGTGTCGATGGCCACCGCGCTCACCATAGTACCGCTTCGGCGCGCACGCTAACAAGCCGGTGGGTGGGTGGGTGCATCGAGGGGCCACGGCCGGTCGAGTGACCGAAAGAATCAGGCGCGCGGGAGAAGACAAGTGTCAAGTTGACTTGTTAGCAAGACGCAACCAGAAATATCAACCCAATCATTTACATAAGAGTTAACAATGAACGCGGGTATTTTATTCGCTCGGATCGCCGTAAATCAAAACGCATTTGTTGTCGACGCCTATTAGTTCAAAACAGTGCGTTTCAATATCGAAAACCCGAAATTCCGGGTACGCTGCTAGGTAGAGTTTGGCGATGCACGCGTACGACAAGAACGCACGCAAGATGTAGGAGAGGGAATACCTCGAATGCATCCGAAAAGCAGCGCTTTTCATTGCTCCACCTTCAGTAGTTCTCGGGTCGCTGTCCGCATCTGCTATCGGAATGCCACCGAAAACCGTGTTTGCCTTTTACATCAACACTCGCTACAGAGATGTAAATCTACGTGTTGCGTGTGCTATTTACAGACAAACGTAACAGGTATTTCGAGGTATTTCATCCGACAGCCGAATTTGTGCAATCACTTGCTTTGTGTGTTTTTATAGTGTATTTAATGTTTGTGTATTGTTGGTTGCAGCTTTTGACCCTGATGATGTCTCGACAGCATCAACGAATCAGCGTGCCTTCGACGTCCGATCAACAATATCTTCAGGCGAGTAACGCTGTCGTAATTTTGTGTAGTTTTAAAAATAATATTATTCTGTATGCAGGGTAGCAAGACCGGTACGTTACCCACGCCGCACAACTTTAAAAATGCGCCACCTTCACCACAGGACACCAACTATCACCTGAAATGCACCGGCTCCATTCGCGGCAATCCATGCCCGCTGGAACATGACGTATGCTTCACCGATGAAGCTTTCACCGAACACAACTACTACGATTACTATGACCAAGACGATCACGGATATCAAACTAGCCCTAACAAGTACAAAGACTCGCGGACTGAATACACCCAGTCAGATGGCTCGGATTCTGTAGTGATGATACCTTATTATGAATATGATGATACCAGCCGCCGCCAGAGCCGCCATTATTCAGAGCGTGCTTCATTAGCTCGTCAGCCTTCAATTGTTGAGGGACGCGCACGTGTTTATCCTAGCGATGTCGACCGATTGCCTGATAGATTTGCACCCGCAATGGCAGCTGATCCACATACTGCAGGAGGAGTTGGTACGACAGCTAGTTTTGTACGGCGTGCGCATGGTGGACGCACCTTCTCGCGCATGTCCACTCGCTCTGTCGATGAGGCACCCAGCGCTGTAGTTCACGGCTGCGGCGGCAAGTGTCAGACTTTGGAAAACGTCTGTTACTATTTTCTACAGGTGGCGTTCACGATGGGTATTCTCATCGGTATTTCGCTCGCCATTGCCGGCTGGGTGCTGCGCAAATCAGCGGCGCGTAACCTGCAGGTGCTGCTGTACATTGGTGCGATGCTTTCGCTTGTGTGCGCACTCCTGCTGCGCATTCAATGCAGTGCCCGAAAGAATGCTCGACTCAAACGACGCATCCTGCGCGGCGGTAAACGCGCACACATTGCCATGGAGATGCTGCCAACCCGCGATGCCGCATTGCCACTGCCACTGCCACCAGAAGCCGACCACCGCGGCGTGCAGGTGACGCTTGTCCAGCTGCCGAGCGATACAGGTCCGGTGCTGCAAGTGCAGCGAACCTATGATGCGCATCCCGCGCAGGCGCACGCCGCAGTCGACCAGCAGGGCATCCCGTGGTGGCGGCGCAAAGACATGGTGTAAATTGTATCTACCGATACCAAGACTGAATTCACAGGCCTTATCTATTTACAATTGTATTTGCGTGTACATACTTTATAGTGAATTTTATGGACGATCTACCTCTGTATTCAATTAACGGTTTCAACCATACGGTCGCATTATGTACATATTGTACAAGCTAACAAAGTATTACGATTAATGTGTTCTAGTCGTTTAGAAAGTACATTTTTAATTAGCTAAGCATTTTAAACTTTTACATGATGAAGTAAAAATATTTTTTATATACATATTATATATTTATTGTGTCTTGTCACCAGCCTTACCAATCATTCCACTTTCGTTCGTAGCTAGCAGCTTTTTATCAACGATTTCACCCTGTCATGTATAAAGTAAAACATGGCTGCCATGCACAGCAGCGCCACTCAAAAGAAATCGTGTTTTGGTTTGCATTTTGAAAGAAATGCAATTATTTTAAAACTACTATGCGCATACGATGAGGAATTAATTTCTTTTTCATATAGAATATACACCAATGCTGTGCATTTTGTATTATTGTAGATATTTCAGTTTTAATCAAAAACAGGCTTCGAAACAAAATTTTACCTTCTCTTAAATTCACATAAAATACGATTAAACTTATGATTTATATTGTAGAAGTATGTAAATCATAATCCGTACATCTGTTACTGAAGATGTCGCAGTCACTTGCACTGCACTGTTAAAAAAAAAACAAGCAAATTAACAACTAAAGGAATAATATCGTGAAGTCTTAGATAAAATTGACATTCAAACACCTACATGTAGTGTTCGGTACGGAAGTAGAGGGCGCTGATTATCATTCGAATAACTTCGTGCACGTTCGGTGTTACGAATGTTACTTGGCCTCGCCGCTATCTCCACGAGCCTCTTTCAACGTCGAGCGTTCCCGTGCGCCTGTTGGTCTCGTTTGACGCATAAATTCGTGAATTTCACAAAATGGGTGAAACTTTACAACTCCGAGGCACCCTTCTTGGGCATAATGGCTGGGTCACGCAGATTGCTACAAACCCCAAGTACCCGGATACTATTTTGTCTGCTAGTCGTGGTAAGTTGAACTTCACAAATTCATATGCGTCTGCATCGTAGGTTATGTTCGTTTAAACCACACTCGCTAGAATGTAAGAAATTTTATAATCTGCAAACATCCAAGGAATTAATGCATGAAATATTTAAACCAACATCCGAGTTCATTGGTGTAATGCATGTCAGTTTAATGGTATCAATATTTTTTCTTCATTATCGAACCGGATAGTTATTCATTGTTTACAAAGTCATGCTTCGAACAAACCTTATTGTGCAGACGAACTGTTACATTTTTTGTCATCTGATTAACCTTCTCTATTTGTTTTTAGACAAGACGCTTATCGTATGGAAGCTGACTCGTGATGAGACTCAGTACGGTGTACCACTGAAACGTCTCTATGGCCACAGCCACTTCATTTCCGATGTTGTGCTCTCATCTGATGGCAACTATGCCTTGTCTGGCTCCTGGGACAAAACCCTTCGCCTATGGGATCTTGCCGCTGGCAAAACGACTCGCCGTTTTGAGGATCACACCAAGGTTTGCTACTTAAAGTAATTCTATTTACTCTCTTAACCTCCCAATTTAAAACAGCTAGAAGAAATTGATGACCCTCATGTTACGTGAGTAATAGGTGTAAGCCACTATGTACTTCAATATCATCCTCTTATGATAACTTTTGAAATGTATCCTGTGATGGGGTTGGAATGAACGTGTGTCGACCACGCGTAATGATAGCCAGTTTGGTGCAGCTGCTAATCTTTTCTTTCTCGTAGGACGTTTTGAGCGTTGCCTTCTCCGTGGACAACCGTCAGATTGTCTCTGGTTCACGCGACAAAACAATCAAGCTGTGGAACACCCTTGCCGAGTGCAAGTACACCATTCAAGATGATGGCCACTCTGACTGGGTGTCATGCGTGCGTTTCTCACCAAACCACTCAAACCCAATCATTGTCTCGGCCGGTTGGGATCGCATGGTTAAGGTGTGGAATCTGACCAACTGCCGTCTAAAGATCAACCATTCTGGTCACACTGGCTACTTGAATACTGTGACTGTCAGTCCTGACGGTTCGCTGTGTGCCAGCGGTGGCAAGGACTGCAAGGCGATGCTTTGGGACCTCAATGATGGAAAGCATCTGCACACCCTCGACCATAACGATATCATCTCTGCGCTTTGCTTCTCGCCCAATAGGTAATTGTTAGTGAAATTGTTCGTGACACGGAAAATCTTATCATTTTTCTTGTAGATATTGGCTGTGCGCCGCATTTGGCCCCTCTATCAAAATCTGGGATCTGGAGAGCAAGGAAATGGTCGAGGAGCTGCGTCCGGAAGTGGTGTCACAGACAAGCAAGGCTGAGCCGCCACAATGTCTGTCGCTGGCATGGTCCACCGACGGCCAAACCCTCTTTGCCGGCTACTCTGATAACACTATCAGGGTATGGCAAGTGAGCATTCCTTCGGCGCGATAGATTGATTCAGTGAATCTGCGTGCCGTCGTTGCGTTGTATTTAGACGTTAAGTAAATACATAAAATAAATTGCTAAGAGTTTTTATTTGTGTAAAGCAGCAGTACTGGGGGACCTCTAATTTAATTTACAATTTAATATACTCTTAATCCTCTTTATGTTTACAAAAGAAAAGAAAAAGTTTTACTATGCGAATGTCAGCCACTCAAAAGTTACGTTGTACTGCGGTGGGGGGAGGCCTTGCGCCAACCAGGAAGGCCGACCGTGCCGGCTTATTGTAAGCGATTGTGCGCGCTGTGTGTGCCGAGCGGTCAGGCAGCATTCCAACGCGCATACCTGTTCGATCTCTGCGCTGCGAGACGCGTTTTTACTTCAGTCCAGGTGCGCGCGTTCATGGTTGCTGCTCCGCTCGTAGCGTGTTCGCGCCAGTCGCGGGACGCTCGCGCTGTCCGACGGTTCGGCGCTATCCGCACTGGTTTACGACGTTTTTCTAAAAATACGTGCATTGCGACGTGTAGTGTTCTCGCGAACAGCCGAACATTATGCGGCGCGCATTGTAAGTAATTTATAAATACGTGCGCCGCTCTCCGCGCCCAACTTGATTGACTCAGTGCGTGGGCCGTGTGTAAGTGCGTGAGTGTGTATCGCGCGGTTCTTGAGGTCTTCGGCGGCGGGTGGCGCTTGGCGGCCGGAAGAAGCGGGCAGCGCGGGCGGCGTCGCTGCTGCTCAGCGCGTCCAGCACGCGCCCCGCCGCTGTCGCGCGCGGTGGTGCCTCGCCGCCGAGTGCACACCTGTGGAATACGAGGCACACTAGGTCAATTCTATTGCACCAGCAGCGGGATCAACGTCATGTAGCAATGTGGTATGGATTGTATTCGTTGGAAGCGGCCGATAGAATAGGGTTTGACATTGCGGATCGCGCGTATTTATAAAATGCCACAAGTTGACGCCAGAACAATGGTGCACCTTGGTCGAAAACAAAGCGTTTGCGTGTGCCAAGTATACGCGAACGGTGCGAGCGAGTATTTGGGTGCGTGCCCCTCACGAGGTGACATTCACCTAATTTTGAACGCGCCGCAGACGAGATCATTGTCATCCGGTTGATACGGTGAGCGAAGAACGCGTGCCCGCAATAGGCACGCAACAAAAACGCGTTTAGAAAGTTTTTGAATTCGTGACATTTGGGTCATGCAATTATTAAACTGGCGGAATGCGCGTTAAAAACAATTCCGCGTTTTTCTTGTTTCGGCTTTTTTTTTTGTGTGTGCATGCACCACGTGGTTGGTCATTACATGTGTTTATTGCGTCTTGTATATTTGGTTGCAACTTTGGCAGCTTGGGAAGTTGAAATTGCAGGCAATTCAAATTCAACATTTTACGAGGTAGTTATATTGTATACAGCATGCATGAATTGTCGAAAATGATCAACACAGCGCATAATTGTTGCCCGCGCGCATCGGTCTGTTTTTCAACAAACATGCGTCTTTTGTAGCGCAATATTGCGTTATGCATTTTGCGCTCTGGACGCTAGCTCGTAAATTTTATGGCCGTTCGCACGCGCGTGAACATAACAAATTGATATTTCGGGCGCTGTCGTCTGGTTTTATAGTGTTCGCGCGCGCGTATTCCGGCCCTGTGCGTCGAAAACAACGGATTATTTGTCGGTTGTTAGTTGGTAAATTATCGGCATTGACCTTTCGCCGGTTGCAAGCGCGCCAGCGCTTCGCTGAGAGAGCGCGATGAACTAGGTGACGCACCGCCAGTGACCGCCATCACTCTGCAGACCGAATTGAGCGCACGGCCTCATCGCCAGCCTCCACATTCACGCGAGTTTCAACAATGTTTAATATCATCCAATTCGCTGGTTGGTTTCGTACGTGAAACAGTTTCTATTCACTGTACGCACATTTCTTCCGTTTAATCAACCGGAAACCGACGAAGATTGTTTTAGAAATAAAACGAAAACATTGCAACTATCTAATTGCAAATCATTTAAATGTTAACGGAAGCTTTATTTTTGCGATTTTTGTTTAAACACATCGAGGAAGAGCACTTCCGGGAAAACTTGCCGAACTTCCGGGATGAAACAATCAATCGCGCGTGCGTCAATACTACGCAACGCGAATTTCGTTACTTCCCGCGCGGGGCTAGCCTGTCACAGTAAAAAAAAAAATGGCGCAATGGCGACGAATCTGCCCGAGTGCCGAAAATTTGAATAATAATATTTATCCGAAGAGCTCAGTTGCGCCGCATGCGTGCTCGTATCGTTGTTACCTTTCTAAGTACGTGTTTGGAATGCGGTCTGCGGTCCGCCGCGCGTCCGCAATTCGCTTGCCGTTGGCGTTCGGCGCACGGAAAGAACGAGCGAACATATTTACATCGGCTGCCGGAGGAAGCATCATCAGCGTCATCGTTGTCTACTGGCCGGGCAAAATTGAGGATTTCTAATGCCGGATGTTGCGTCCCTCAAATTCAAAGGATGCACCCAGGGATTACATAATCTAATTAATCGAAACGTTCATTGTTTGCGTTCCGCGAATCGTCAATTTGCGCGTAATGATGCTTTAAACGCGAAATCGGAGCGAGGTGCGTTCGAAAGGCGCGTACTTTGATTATGTTGCGGGCAAACGTGCAGTTTGTTGAAGGAGTTAGGATCTGTAAGGCGTCGCGTGAAAACTCGACGGGATGCGTATTTATCAAGATGTAATATTTATTATATTGGGTAAAGGGATGTAAAATATATGCGTATACTAAAATATTTGCTGTGATTTCAGGTTGCCGTGCAGCGGATGAGCGGTGGCGGCGCGGCATTGAGGGCGGCAGCTAGCGGCGGTGAGTCGGCAGCGGTCGCGCGGCTTATCGGCGGCGCGGGCGGCACGCGCTCGCTTAAGTTCTCGCGCGACGAGTTGGGCCGCAGTGCCCTGCACCTGGCTTGCAGCGCGGGGCACGCCGCGATTGTGCGGCAGCTGCTAGGTGCCGCCGCCCCACGCGAAGTCGACAGCGCCGACGGTGCCGGCTGTACACCACTGCAGCGAGCCGCCGCCGATGGGCACGAGGAGGTTGTGCGGCTGCTACTCGCCAAGGGCGCCGACGTCGACCGGCAGGACAATGTCCACGGCAACAGTGCCATCCACGAAGCAGCGTGGAAGGGCTACAGTCGCACCATCCGTATCCTGGCGGAGACGCGCGCCGACCTGCGCAAGTGCAACGCGGGTGGTTTCACTGCGCTGCACTTGTGTTGTCAGAACGGGCACAATCAGGCGTGTCGCGAGCTGCTGCTGGCCGGTTGCGACCCCGATCTGCCGAATAACTATGGTGACACTGCCCTCCACACGGCGGCGCGTTACGGCCACGCCGGCGTTACACGCATTCTTATCTCCGCGCAGTGCCGCGTGTCTGAACAGAACAAAAATGGCGACACAGCGCTACACATTGCTGCGGCCATGGGCCGGCGTAAGCTCACGCGCATCCTGCTCGAGGCAGGGTGTGATGCGACGATGCGCAACAAGCAAAACGAAACTGCGCGCGATATTGCTGTGCGTAAAGAGCTAGACGAGATCCTCGCCATTCTAGATGAAGGTACGCTGTCGCCACTCAGCAAGCGCGCCAAGTACAAAAAGCGCACCAAGGCGAAAGTTCAAGTGACGGGGGCGACGTCACCCAGCAGGTCGACAAAAACGGGCGCTGCGCCGCGCACAGCGACGCAGGCGGAACCTCTCGGCAAAAGCCAGTGGTCACCATATGGCTGCCATTACTACCCCGACCCGGACGCATTTCCCTCGCCGCGGCTGGACACCTTACCGCCTGAACCACTCAAGCGCGGCGAGCAGTACTACCTGGACCTGGCAGGCAACATTCGCAAAGGGCCCGTTGGTGTCGGCTACACCTGCTATTGCGCACCACTCTTCCGCCATCTTGAAGCTAAGCTAGAAAAGGATAAACGCGAGTTGCAGAAGGCGCAGGCGAAACTGGGCCAGCGCGTTACAGGGCTGGAGCAGAAATTAAACCGGGGAGTCCGTGGGCGTCGATCAGAACGCGCCTATGCCGCCGCCAAGGAGACCGATGTAGGTACCCTCACCCGTAGCAAGAGTCTTCAGATACTGGAGGACACTAATCACATGCAGGATGCGATTCCATCAGCTAGGTATGAGTAATATTGAGTCAATCTGCCATCAATCAAATAGAATTAATCCTTAAACTTTCAGAAGTATGGATGAATTGGATGGTGCGCCGGTATCGGAACAGCGAAAAAGTGTAAAAGAGCTGGTGGCCCAAATCCAACAAACGTCGCCAACACAGGATGCGAATGCTAGCGGTGCCAATGACGCCAAGAGTGAGAGCAGTGACGATGAGGAAGCGTTACGATTGGTTCAAGTCCGTGGACCAATGGGTGACACAAACATGGTGTCCCCAAGTTACGAAAACGTACCGCTGGACAGTCCGCGTAGCCGCAGCGGCGTCTACAGTCCGGAGTTACGCCATATTGAACCCGTCGTCAAAGTGCAACAATTCCGATCGCAAGATGGCGCCCGCTACGCCGACGCAGCGCGATTCGCCCGCCTGCGTTTAATCGACGCCGGTAAACAATGCGCACAAACGGAACCGCTCGACACGTCCAAAATCTTCGAGAGCACCGCACGAATGCTGGAACACCCAGCTGCCGACCGCGATACGAACAACGACTCCGGTTACAGTACGAAAATGTATGGCAGTTCCAAGGGTAACTCGCCCAGCTGCCAGATCGACGCGCTCGGCGCCTCTAGCCTCGTCTGACGGAGGAATATTTTTTACTTGTCTAGTTCTAAATGATATACGTGTGTTTAACTCGACAGAATAAATTCTATATTTATGTATTTTGCATGTGTACGTGATACTCGTAAGGAGACGCTTTCGCTGCATGATAGTCAGAAAGCGTTGTCCTGTACAATGGTATACCCTTCAGGACCTGGGAGGTGGAAGCGTTGATTTGTACCGCGATGTAATCGCCCGGGCGGATGGGCGCGAGATTGCCATCGGTTGCGTCGCCGACTTCGCCGGCAGGTATGATTACTTTCACGTTGTGATCGTTGCGACCCGCAAGAAAGTTCTCGGAGCGCTTGCTGCGCCCTTCGATCAACACGAGGTGCGATGCGCCTATTTGTGCTTGATTTAGCGCAGCCACCTCGGTTCGGTATGCGTGGACCATGCGCGTGAGGCGATCTAGTTTGACAGCAAGCGGAACGTTGTCCTCGAGTCTTCGATGCGCAGTTGTCTTTTCGCGCATGCTGTATTGGAACAAGTATGCGTTACTGAACCTGAAATCAACGCAATAGTAAGTAAATTCACCAAAGTGTTGAATAATTATGTATTACTTGACGTAATGGATGAGACTCAATGTGTCCTCGAACTCTTCTTCTGTCTCCCCACAAAACCCGGCGATGAAATCACTGCTCAGAGCAACATCAGGTATGACAGCGCGTACATGATCCACTAACTCTACATAAGCCTCGCGAGTGTAACCCCTGCGCATGCGCTCTAGCACCTGGGAATTACCGCTCTGCGCAGGCAAATGTAGACTTTTACAGATGTTTGGAGACGAACGGATAGCTTCGAGCACTTCATCCGGGAAGTCCTTTGGGTGTGGACTAGTAAAACGTATGCGGATTTCAGGATCGACAGAAGCCACTTGATGCAGCAGATCTGCAAATCGTAATCCACTCTCTTTCAGCTTATAAACAGTTTTGAACCCTTTCGCCATATTTGTAGGCGTTCCATGGTTAACATCCTCTGATAAATCCCTATAACTGTTCACATTTTGACCCAACAAAGTTATTTCCTTGATGCCAGCGTCGCGCAGATGTTTAATCTCGTCGATTATTGACTGTGTCGGGCGTGAGCGTTCCTTTCCACGTGTGAAAGGCACAATGCAATAAGTGCACATGTTTTCACATCCTCTCATAATTGATCTGTTGGGAAATTAATATGATAAACATTTAAATGTTTGACATACAATAATATGCTTACACAAATGCCGTTTTGCTGTCGGCATTTAATCGAACTGGCATCACATCAGCATAGGTTTCATCCCAAGATAACATAACATTAATGGCAACCTCATTATCTTCAGCTAAAGCAAGCAGGCGCGGTAAATCTTTATAACTATCCGGACCAGCAACAAGGTCAACACTCTTGTCAATCTCCAGCACTCTGTGCTTCAATCTCTCTGCCATGCATCCAAGAATTCCAATTTTCACATCTTTCTGGATCTTCTTTGTCAGCCCTTTGATGTAGTCTAATCTGTTCCATATCTTTTGTTCAGCACCTTCTCTGATTGAGCATGTGATAATCAATATGACATCTGCATGTTTTAAATTATTTGTTTTAATATAACCAACTGATTTCAAAATGGACCAAATAATCTCAGTGTCATTCTGATTCATCTGACATCCATAGATCTCAAAGTACACTTTTCTTGCCTTGCCTAACGTTACAGAAGATTTTAGATAGGGTATTATCTCATTCTCGTCCAAGTGGTCGACGTTTTGAAGGTGTTCAGTCTTGAAAAAGTCTTTAAGATTAGGGCCATCGAGCAATCTTCGGCGATGAGGTTTTGCTTCATCTTTCGGTGGTATGTTACAGTCAGTGCTGCTATAGAGTAGCGGGGAAAGGCGCAGCAAAGTACGATTAAATTCTCGTCGGATTAAAAAGTTCTTGCAATTTCTTAAAAAGAGCATAATTACTGTCGTAACATGTTTTTACAGTAGTCGTTTCCTAACCATTTTATAACTTTGGCTTTAGGTTGAGAACAGCATGTTGCCTATCTGGAATTACGACATAACGCCCTCTATCTTGTTTCTGATTGCTAGAAAAACGTGATGATATTTAAATCCTTGTCGGTGCAGTGGTCGATTTTGTGATATCGTGTTAATAAATTCAGCTCACTTTTAACCTTAAGAACATGCCCACTATTAGTTCTTAAAGGTTTGTCATTTTCACGAAGTTTATTTGTAGAAGTAAATAGTCAACTACATCAAGTTTTGTTGCGTATTAGGTTGCATACTTTCTAAGGTCAAGGATTGTTTTGTTGTGATTTTGTTGCTCTGCGTGCAAGTGTTTTCATCGTTATTTTGCAAAACAAGAATCGAAGTTTGACGAGTTTAAATAGATATAATCATAATTCTAAAATGTAGTTACGATAACTTGTTTTATCGAAAATCAGATAAACACTACTTCAAACAGGTGTATAAGCGTAATAGATACTTAGCAAAAGTTAACCTCATTATATGTTATATCGCTGAAGTTCTTCTAAACTAGTGTATAATCTGTTGTCTTTACCACGACAGATATGAACAGTGGAATAAATATAACTACAAAACGAAACTATACATACAATTAATTTAAAACACGTGATAATGGTCGTGTGCAAGTTTTTTCTGCAAGGAAATTGCCGATATGGCAATAAATGCAAATTTGAACACTCCATCAACAGTAAGTGCCACTGATATATAACTGAAAATGTAAAAGTAAAACAATCTTAATTTTAAAATACTAATTTCAGCTGATACAAGTGAAGTTGGAAAGTCCATCATGCGTCCGCGAACCGCGACACCTGGGTCTGTGGACATAGCAATGCTAATTAAATCTGTGCAAACAGATATGTTGAACTGTGAGAAAGGGGGCCAATGGCCTCTCTCTTCTTATGCTCCCTTCAAAGAGAAAGCTAATTTTCCAGGCTTTGAGGATCAATCATTTGAGGAAGTAAGACTGGGTTTCTATACTGCTACCACAGCTGGAACCCTGAATCAATATGTGAGTGTGTACATTTCACAATTTTTGATAATATTTGTTTATTTGTTTATTTAACGACTCAAGAAGAGATGAAAGACTAAAGAAAACTTTTGGTTAGACAAATGAAAAAGTAATTTATTTGTTTCTATTATGTTTGCAGAAACAACTGCTGGAGAGTTCCCTCCAGACTGCAATCTGTAATATGAGGGCCCTTCAGACACCAAATGAGCATGTAGTACAGACATTGCATAAAATCTACACCACACCTGTGTATCATGGCCAGCCATACTCGCAGGCGCCGTTTGGAGCCGCACCATTCCCACCAACAAACTCGTCTTTCGCGCCCTCACCATTCGGTGGCACCAGTGCAACCGCTTCAAAATCTGTCTTTGGTGGCGCACCGACTTCAAATTCACCTTTTGCGTCAACGTCCATTTTTGGTGGATCTACTCAGCCCACGACTGGCAACATTTTCGGCGGCGGGGGGCCAATATTTGCCCCAACACCTCCGGCAACAGTTGCTGCCCCGACCGGCTCAATTTTTGCGCAGGCCGCGAAGAATTTCCAACCGTCGCAAATTCAACCCCAGCAAGCGCCCTCGATTTTCGGCCAGCCGCCTACTGCTTCAACGAACGTTTTCGGACAAGCCGCGCAAAACGTGTTTGCCACACGGGCCCCGACAGCTCCGACTCAAAACGTTGCTGTTTCAGCTTTCGGTAAAACCCAAGGTTTACTTTCGAACGCGCAAACGAGCAATTTTCCGGTCGGAACAAACACCCAAGCTACAAACAACATTTTCGTACAAAATCAACCAACAACGCAACACAGCATTTTTGGTTTGGCTCCACCCAGCAAATCCAAAAGCGCGTGCTACGCTGATGCTACATTATCCACAGAGCTGCAAGACATTTACACGGCAGAGCGATTTAAGTTTGGGCAGATACCAATTACGCCGCCCACTGCGGATCTGTCATGTTGAAATGTTTCGGTTCATATATTTATAAACGTTTTATACAGATTTAGGCATGTCAACATCTGGAAGGATTGGAGATTCAGTTACGACCGGAGTCTCTTTCTTCGCACGCTCGGTGCGTTCCCAAGCATTGTCGAAGCGATAATCCAGATCAACGCCGGGTCTATCCACCAGGTGTGGTTTCATCTTGAAGCGCTCCTGCAGCTCCAGTTGGCCCACGCGATCGCCGTAATCGCATCCCACGATGGATTTGAAAATCTCCTCGGGTGTGGAAACACCAGGCACACATTTCTTCGAAAAGAACTGCAAAAACATAGTCATGTTAAAATTGTAAATTATATAATTGATTGGCATTGAAATGCATACCTTGCTGATATTAGTGCAATCCCTGAGAAGAAAATAGAAAGCGTTCTCGTGTGATGGCTCCACCGATTGGCTCACATCAATAAAATGACATTGGTCCTTGTACCATAAGATATTGTATTCGGAGAGGTCGGCGTGGATCAGGTTAGCTTTGTGGTAGAAGTTATGCATCGCTTCGAGGACTTGGTCGTAAGCGATAATGAGGTCCGCGTCACTCAAATTGGCATCTTTTAATTTCGGCGCTGGTTTATTCTTCTTGCCTATAAAGGACATCACCAGCACGTGTTGCTTTAATGCAACCACCCGCGGTACTGGCACGGCAGCCTTCTGCAGACGAAGTAGATTTCGCATTTCCTTTTCAGCCCATAGATGCACCACTTTCTTGGTGTTCTGCTTACCCATGCGATCTTTAAAGCGATGGTCATTCTTTATGTATTTATCTCGTTGCTTATACTCCGAGAGTGTTGTTTTAAATACTTTAAGGACACACTCAGCTGGTAGCGGCACCTCAACATCCTTATACTCCTGGTTGGCGTCGGCATGCAGCACAACCGCCTCCTTGCCAATGCTGATCACTCCGTTCACATTCTGCAGCATTTGATTATTGACCATCCTGTAAATTAGCAAGCGAGTGGCTTCGTCCATGCCAAACTCGGCGGTTGCATGCTCCTCCTTACGGTCTACGCGATGACGGCGAACTAGTTCATTCTTCGAGTGCTTGCGCAAGCTGTTGAAAACTTTGTTGGACAGCTGCAGGTCAAAACCGGCGCCATCGCCAGTCTCGCATTCAGGTGGGAACGACATCATTCTGCATGCGTTTCGACGGCCGTTCAAAGTGGTGTCGTGTTTCGTCACCATGTTGCCGTTTTTGATGTGATAACCACAGGGCGGCATCGCTTTAAGATCACGCTGAACGCCATCAAATCTATCCCAGTCCTTTTTGGGGTTTTCTGGTTCTTCCTCTTCGTCAGTATCACTTTCAAAATCTGAAAATATTTCAGATTCATATGACTTCTGGTATAATATAAAATAGAATTTCTTTTACCTGGATTTAAAGTTGCTCGTCTGTAATTTGTGAAACTGACAGATACTTTGCTGCTGCCATTGTATTTGTCCTCAGTACGTTTGAGCATATCATCATACTCCTTATCATACTGTTGTTGCAACATCATTGCAATCTCCAGGTCATCTTGTACTTCAGCTTCATCATAGAGCAACTCTTTAACAGCAATTTCATCTAATTTGTCATCCTTAATTTCAGGAATGAGATTTTCTCCTGGATTTATTGCAACAAGTGCTTGTGCGGTTGCGTTCTCGAAGTAGGCGAATTCCTTTTTCTGCAAATCTTTGGCCACTTCTTCAGACATGATATCTGAGAGGTCCACTGGCTGTACTTGTGGCACCTTGCCCCATGCTGAAGCCATTTTCACAGTTTGAATCAGGAACTTGTTGGAATTGATGTTGAAGAATAGCTCCAATATTGTGTAATAGTAAATGTTCCAAGTGTTCGCACCACACGATTCACCAATGTATAATAATGTGAACACGGACTGAATCACAAAGTCAGAATGATTACTAACTAAGCCACAACCAGAATAGAGCACCAAAATCGTCAGAAAGGAGGAAGGCAGTGCGAATACGCGCATACGCGCGCTGCGCGTTGACACTAGACGGGAGCAGACGGGACGATTTAGAAATATTGCACAACATTGAACATATCGTCGGCGAATGTAATTTGGGTAGACTATTCTCATCGTTAGCTTGATCATCGAATATTGTTTTTCGAAGTATAGACTATAGGTATAAATGTTTTCAATATCTTTCGATGAAGTTTGATGCTGGAAATTCAATGACCTAAGTTGTTTCAAGTTTTTCGTGTATCTATATATACCTCAACTATAAGCTATGAATAAAGTAAACAAAAATTTATATTTTATTGATGTAAATACAAACATAGCCCGTTGTTTGTGTATGATAGTATCTAAACAGCTTGCGATCTCACGTTATAGTGGAATTCGACAGGTTTGTTCTTATATCTTATTGTCATTTGATAGCGTACGATAGTAGTGTATAGTTTTGTACTATATACGTGACCGTATGATGGCGATACGTGTACCATTTCCGCACGCTGCAGAAATAAAATTAGTTTCGCCGTATCCGACGGATGGTTCGCACGCGGTCGTCGCGATTCTCTTTTCTTAGGATTTAATTCAGTATCTCATATTATATTCTGTGTTCTTAGTGATTATTGTTAGCTATTGTGTCTCGCTACTGATTTATCGTGTATAAAATGTTCGCGGAATGCAAATATTATGTATTTATTCGTGAGGGAAGTGTCGTCGAAGATTACCATGCTGATTTTTAATTTCTATCAACCTCGTTCGTTTACGGTGGAAGTTTTTCAGTACTAACCAGTAAGTACCTATATTCAATAATCATCTCAGCCACGTTGATTAAATGCATATTTTGTTTCTGTCTATTGTGTTGCTATATTATCATATTTTCGTCGTGTGTATGCGCCAAGATCTTATTTCTTATCTTCTACTGATACGCGTACGGTCGTCGTGACTCGTCGAATTCCAAAATCTTAATGTATCAACCGGTTTTTTTAAGTTTATGTAATTATTTCTAATAATTAAATTTTGCCATTTTTTTCTTTTGAACTATAATTTCATCTCATAAATTTCCCATTTAACTAGCTTATTTTATAGAAACTTGTCCGTAGATATTCGTTCCTTTCTATCTCTTTTAGATTACGAGATATTCGCGATTGAATAAAATGGGCAAAATTTGAAAAATGTCACTTTTTAGCACTTTCAGTCTCGTTTTTCGACCGTTTACTGTAGGAAATATGATTATTTTATATTTTTATCTGATAGCGAATTTTCCAATCTTTCATATTCAGTAATTCGTTGGTTGCTAGCGCTTTTAGTTTAAGTGACATTAATTATCAAAAATCGTCGAAAAAAAGTATCAAGCAATTTGGCAATTTTTTCTTAAAAATTAAAATTTCATTTCTCCGATTTTCGCTTTAACAAGCCTATCTTATAGAGAATACTCCGCAGAATAGTCTCTGTGATGTGTACCTATTTATCTCTTTTAGTTTACGAGATATTCGCGATTGAATAAAATGGGCAAAAATTGAAAAATGTCACTTTTTAGTACTTTTAGTGGCTTTTTTTGACCTTTTACTATTGGAAGTTTATTTATTTTATATTTTTATATGATAGAGAATTTTTCAGTCTTTCATAATCAGCAATTTGTTGGTTGCTCTCGTTTTTAGTATAAGAGATATTAATTATAGAAAATCCCCGATAAAAATTATCAAGCAGAAAATGGGGAAAAGCTGAGTTTTCTTTTTTCAACTGATAAAGGAAACAAACTCCGCAGCCTTCTACGATTTATTTTTGATTCATTGTTTTATATCGTGTTTTGCGCAAAGTGTTTTCTCCTGAGTTTGCTTTTGTTAACTGATGAACGAAACAAATTCCGCAGTTTTCTTCTATTCATCTTTGTTCAATTGTTTCGTTTCGCGTTTTATGTAAAGTGTTTAATTTAATTATTCTATGATTACTAAGTATTGCATGTGACACAATTCGGGGTGTTTTAGTGGGTCCCACTAATATAATTTGTTCTTGAATGGGTGACCAAAGGTCGTGGAAACGAAGATACTTTGGTCACTCGAACTGAACCCCTCGCACCGCCCTATCACCAGGGTAACGGTTCTGTTCTGGAGAATGTTTTGCGCCGACTATAAAATAGGTAGGAACAAAAAAATACCACATTCCAAGTCTTCTTTTTGACAGAACGAAGTCTGTTCGGTCCGCTAGTTATCAATAAAAATAAATCACAATAGCCGCGTGGGTTTACGCGAATGATTGCATTTTATAGAAGGTTGCAATCATTCTTGCGGCAAATAAAGCCGTTGCAATTATGTGCGTATATGAATATATAATAATTTAAGGATTTATAGCTGCAAGGAATTTAAATATATGATTTTTATTTACCGATTTAGTTTGCTCCGCTTTACAAACTATATATTATGCGTGCGATTGTAATTGTTAGGGCGACTAAATAAGTTCAAACTGATCAATTATATTCTAATATTTCTCTTAATTTTATCCGAATTAAGATTTCTTTGTTTCGAAGCAATTTGAACGCTTAAAAAAAAGGTAAACAAACATTTATATTTCATTGACGAACATTCACGTCCAATGTTTGTATGTGGTGTTTACAATGGAAGTTTTACAGTACTAACCAGTAAGAAAATTAAATAATATTTTTAACCACATTGATTGATTATGTTTCAGTCGTTTGTTTTTCTTTATTATCACATTTTCGTAGTATTTAATAGATTGTTACATTCATAAATGTGCTTAAAATTGCATGGCATTTATTGTCACTTCAAGCGAAGCGGTTGTATTCTTATTTCTTATCTTTTGACAAAAATCAGAAAATTGCGCATTTTAGCACTTGTAGTTATATTTTGGGACCTCTTACCCCAAAGAATAGAATTATTTTTCATTTTTATCTTATACAGAATTGACATTCGAACAATATTCGTATGAAATATTGTTGTTTTACCTTATGTTTTCTTTTTTTCTTTACAGTATTTGCCGTGCCTTGGAGTCCCATAAGTTCTGCCTTGGTAAGTTTATAATTCAACTATATTTATCGTTTTAATTTCTGCGTTCTCCATTAGTTTGTATTTACGTTGTTTTGCTTTATCGCGTTCCACCGCGTGTTGCAAATATATAGGGTAGTCGCGTACCAGGTTGATACATCTCAAAATTAACTGTTTAGTAGTTTTTTCTTTGCTTACACAGGCAAGCACAAGAGTTGTACTTGAAGATGCAATTCAGCGGAATTTCACCTTAACCATCCCTATCCCATTTTTGTCTCGGTTTTTTCAAGTCCAATTATTTCGGCGTGATTCTAAATCTTCGGAAATTTCTTTATAAGTTAAGGTATTCAAATTGGGAAAATAGGAGAGGTCGAGAATAATTCTTTTTCATCTCACTGAGAGGTTTTTCATTTTCATTTTTAGGAGAATTTTGAAAATTTGTTTATTTTTATTTTCAGTATAATTCATAGATGGGACTTGCATCAACCAAAAATTGCTAATTTATCAACGTTTTGTGTATAAACAACAATTTTTGTGTTGCGTTGCCATCTGCTCATATCGCATGCAGAACCAAATTATTTTTAACTTTTACCTGATAGAGAATTTTACAATCTTTCCTATTCTTTGATCCGTTGGTCGCTTGCGATTTTAGTTTAAAAGAGAGCAGCGGTAGTGACTCGTATTCTGGATACCGTACGAAGCTGGCGGTAAAAGTAACTTCCATTCAGGGCACCGTATGAGGGTAGCGGTGGAAGTGACTCGTATTCAGGGCACCATACAAGGGCAACGGTAGAAATGACTCGTGTTCAGGGCACCGTACATGAATTAAAATTTCATCTCTTAGATTTGCATTTTAATTAGTTTATTTTATAGAAATTATTCCGTAGATTATCTCTTTCTCTCTCTCTCTTTTAGTTTACGAGATATATGCAATGATAAAAAGGGCAAAAAACAAAAACTTTTTAGTCACGTTTTTGTACCTTTTCCCCCAAAGAATTATATTATTTTTAATTTTAACATTATAGAGAATTTTACAATCTTTCATATTCTTCAATCTGTTGATCGCTATCGCTTTTAGTTTAAAAGATATTCATGATAAAAAATCGCGTACGATCGTCGTGACTCGTTGAATTCCTTTTGGTGTGTGAGAGACTACGGTAAATTCAGGAATTTAAAGATTTTTCAAGTTTTATTCATGTAATTATTTGTAATTATTAAATTTCCGTTTCAAATTTTCTTGGCCAATTTTACTAACGCTGTCGTCTTAGAGTTACACTGCTGGTCTCACGATACTTTTCAGTTTGGCTCGCAATACAAGTTGTAATAATTTTCTGTTACCTGTGACTTATACTATTTTATACAAGAGTGCCCGGTTCCGGAAATCACACGCGCAATTTCCACTTCTTTGCTGCTTGCAAATTTAAATAGAGCAAGAATTTTTATAAGCGGTGGGTCTCCGCCGGCCCCAAAAATCACATGAGAAGTGCTTGAAAGCCGCCCCCTAAAGTCGGCAGGTTTTGTCATTTTCCTAAATGTACTGTGGAAATTGCGCGTTATTTCTGAACCGTTTGCGCTATTTTAATACCGTTGGCATTTTTAATAGCGCAAGAGTTCTAAATATTATGCATTTGAGATTTGTTTGGTGTTCATTTCTACCTGCTTATCGTGGTTTGTATATAAACAACTTTTTTGTCGCCTTGAACCAGCTCGCGCTACAAGCGTTTGCAAGTTTTAGTCAGTTCTTACCTGCACGCGGCTCTGCACCTTTCTTTCTTTCATTTCAATTAAATTAATTGCACTTCATTTTATTGATAAAAGTCGGCATAAATATCTGCACTTAATAACAATAGACGTGTTAAGTGTTTTTCTAGCGATGATTTGTGCGTGAATCTATAATAAAACTCTTCATTTGTACGTTAGTGATCTGTCGGCTATTGGATTTTTGATGAATATTAGAATTGGAAATATGTATACAATTGTTAATGTCGAGTACCTATAATTAGCGTCTGTCTTCGGCAGGATTTCACGGGCGCTTAAGAAAGTTTACTTGCTCGCAATGATCGGA